GCTATTAAGGAGTAGTTAATCTCTATATTATTCCGTAAGGTCTAGATCTTTCTAAGCTTTACTAACTTTTATTAGGGCTTCGTCTATAAGTACTCGAAAGTTATAACTCTAATTATTAATCTCCTTATAGGAATAGTAGTAGGGAAGAAGTTAGGCCCCTTCGAATAGACTACTATCGCTATGTAAGCGTTTTATACGCTTAAGGACTACTTTATAAGTATATTAATACTAGTATATTATAAGCTTAATTAACGATATTAAGTTAAGATTAATACTTTAGGAGGAGTAATTAGGGGTATACTAACCTAAGCGTACGAGACGTAGGTAGGGCGTATACTCTAAAGGCTAGTAGTATTCTTTTCGAGGAAAATAATTCCTATAGAACGGAACTACTATATAGGTAACGGAGAAATACTAGTAATCGTTAAGACTTTCATAGTATAAAGATACTACCTTAAGTCGTCTATAACTAGTATAATTATCCTTATTAACTATAAAGCTCTAAAGAGTTTTATAGAGATAAAGATCTTAAATAGATAATAGATGCGCTAAGCTAAGGTATTAGCGGCGTACGACTTTATTATTCAATAGCGATAGGGAAAGGATAACCTAGTAGATAGGCTTTCTCGTTAACTAGACTATATAGGGCTAGAAGAGCTACTAACTAAGAATATCCTAATAGAACTACTAAAGAAGCGGATACTAGAGGAATATGAACTATACGCTAGTAGTATATGAGTTAGAGATAGTCTTATTATAGGTATTCTAACGCATTTAGTAGTCTAAAGGCATAAAGTAGGAGGAAAGAGCGTCTATAGCGTTATTACTTCACTACCTAAAGAGTAAGGAGTTATACTAAGAATTAGTAAAGAGTAAGAGGCTTTAGGGTGAGAACGTCGTAAGTCGCTAATAACTCGCCTAAAGTAACTTTAAGTACTAGACTCTTAGTATTAGGAGAAGTAATAGGCTATTACCTCTAATAGCTAAATCCTTAGTGGAATGTTTAGAGGAATATAGAGCGTAGATTACGTAAGTCTCGTATAAAGAGATAGCTATATATATATACTACGGAATCCTACTACGTAGTGCGAGATACTAAAGGTAAATTACGATAACCTATAGTAGAGTGGACATTTTAGTTAGGCTTAGACGTATACGACTATTATACGATACTACTAATAACCGTATATTAGGCGCGATATATATTAATATATTAGCTCCTACGATATCTACTAGCGTATAAAAGTACCGCGTTATTAGTTATATAGCTATCTAGAACCCCTCCTAAGACTAGATAGGCTATAGTAAGATATCGTAATAGACTTTATTATAGGGCTACTACCGTTAATATATAGGCGAAACGTATATAACTTAATACTCGTTATTATTAATCGATTCTTAAAGATAGTTTCCTTAACTCCGTATCTTAGTACTATTAATACTCTATAGATAGGCTAATTAGTCCTAGAGAAGATAGTTACGAGATTTAAGGCGCTAAAGTTAATTATATCTAATTAGGGTACGATATTTACGTCTTTATATTAGGGTACTCTATACTCCTACCTTACGACTCGTAGACTATTCTTAACTACTTTTTATTTATAGACTAACGGATAGATTAAATAGATAAATTAGACTCTAGAGTACTATCTCTAATACTATATTAACTATTAGTAGTTAGATTAGATAGAGCTACTTATAAGTACTAAGTATACGATTAACGTAGCGCCTAATGCCTCTATAGAAAAGACGCCGTTTAACCTTATCTTATCGTTTTTACCTACGTTATATATAAATGTTAACTATAAGGAGCTCATATAGTAACTAATAAACGTTATAACTAAAGAAAGAGCTATTACTCTTATAGAATCGCTTACTATAGTAGAGGAAATACGCGAGATTACTAAGACTCGTATACGAAAATACTATAATAAGAAGAGGATAAGTATATCCTTTAATATTAATAATTAAGTTCTTATTTCTACCTAGAATATTAGAACTCTCTATACTAGTAAAAAGCTCACTAACTAGTTTCTAGGACCCTTTAAGATTATAGATAAATATAGTATAAACGCGTATACGTTAAGGCTACTAAAGAAATATAGAAGACTCTACTATATATTCTACGTCTCCTTATTATAGGCGTATTACGCGCGCCCTAGCGTTAGTATATCTAAACCTATTAATATTAAGGGCGAGGAAGAATAGGAAGTATAAGAGGTACTAGGAGAGCGTCGCTAGTATAGCCGAACTAAGTTCCACGTTCGCTAGAAGGGATTCGGAGAGGTAGACGATTTATAATAGCTAGCGATAGACCTAAAAAATGTATGCGAGGCGATCACTAACTATAGAAGGAAAGTAGGGATAGGAAGATAAGTAAAGGGATTTACATTTAGCCTAAGGCTAGGTACGCGAAACACATACGACGCCGTAGCGTCTTAACCACTACTAGACTATAAGCCGTAGGCGCGTATAGCGCGCACTACCTAAGGGTAATACTATACTAGGAGGATACATACCCGCTATATAGGTGATACACTAGGAAAAACATACGACCGCTATATAGGTGATACGCTAGAGAGACGTATATAGACCGTATACTACTCGTTATCGTCACTCTTAGGAAGATCAGATAGTGAGTCTAGGTCCGACTTACGACTACTATCTACCTTATTATACTAGACTAGGGCGTTTAATTAATTCTATATAAGTTAGTACGGGATGTAAGTGAGGAGTACGCGCTACTTACGATAACCGCATAGGCCTTGACTATAAAGCGTAAGGCTTTAAGGATACTACTAAGGATGTTAGCGATGCGGTTAGAGGTAGTAGCGGCGGAGGGGGAGGTAGCGGTAGAGGCACTAGAACTAGAGGTAAGGTTATGTCTTATAGACACCTTTAATGCGTTTTATATACGCCTAGATAGCGTAGAGACTTCGTCTTAGACGGCCGTAATAGCGGGCGCGTCCGGATTACTATCTATAATTATCTGATTATAGGTAAGAAGACGGTTAGTAATAGCTACGTAGGATAGAGGAACCTAATGCGATAAGTATACGATAAGCTTACGAAGATACGTATAATAGTATAATACTTATAGGAATATAACTCTTAGAACTAGTATAATTACTACGCTTATAATAATTATAGCGGATATAGCCCTTAGTAGTACGCGTATCGCATACGATACACTAGTTAGTTAGATAACTACGACTAGCGTAGAGCGCGCGTAGATAATGTTAGTAAGGTAGCTTCTCTTAGGAGGAACGCCGAGACGCCTTAGAGAGAGTTTAGGGGGGAGCTAAGTATACGAGTTAGCTACGAAATGTATATAATAAGTATAAACTACTTACGAGGGCCGCTAAGGCGATAAGGAGGTTAGCTACCTATACCTAAGGTGGTACTATTAGGACGGAAATTAACTATATTTATCTACGAAGCGATTAGTACGTAACTAGTATACGACGGATGTTACTAACGTTAGAATATTACGTAAGACTAATAAAAAGGAAGAAAGAGATAAACTAAGAGAGAAGAAGTAGTATCTATATACCTAGGCGTAAGAGGCGACTACATTAGGATATAATAAGGCTATTTATGACTATACTATTATTATAACGTATTAACGCTACGTATTCACGTTACGCATTTATATATGCGTTTAATAGAGCTTAATAGCGATTCACGCTTAATAGGTATAATGACTATTTATATAGTGATTTATATAATAGTTCACATAGTACATTTACGCATATACCTAATAGGCATATTTAATAGTGCATTCATATAATGCATTTACATAGCGAGTATACCCTTATACGCACTATTTAGACGGTATATTCAGGTAGTAGATAAGTAGCGCATATAGGACGTAAGCTACTCGTACGCGAGCCTCACTAAGTAAGAGGGGAATACTACCTATACGGGCCTCTTAAGGACGAGAAGCTAAAAGAGGGGGGTAATATTATAAACGGGACCTAGAAGTCGGGCATAATTAAGATCGCGCTAAGCCGGACCGCGCTAAGCTACTTTAGGCCGCATATAGTCCGTATAAGAAAAGTATGCTTCTCGTATCCGAGAAGCATCCTCTCCTTATACTATAAGTCTTTGTCACTACTAGATGTAAAAGGATACTTATTACTACGGAATATATCTATCGCTAAGTACTGCCTATCTCTAATAAGGCATCCTTAATAGGATCGTGCGTAACTAAACGCTCAAAAAACACGCAATTTGGCTGCAACGCCTGTGGGGTGAATCTATGTATCAAAGGTGGTTGCTTTTATAGATACCATATAGATTTACATAGAAATTTACTGTGGAATAGTATTTAATATCTAAATCTATCCCCGTGGTAGCATCGATGTGCCAAGTGCCAAGAAAAAAAGTGCCAATCGGACGGAACGGGAGATAGTTAGATTTAACAATAGTTATTGTGATGGGTTGAACCCTGAAGGAGACTCGGTTCGGAGGAACCAGCGCTAAACCACCTCTAGTTAGTCAGCCGGACAATATCCACGCAGGGGGTACACGACCACGTAAGGAGTACAGATTAAGAGAGCCTCATTTCCTCGTCTAGCGGATCGACGATGGACGATCACAAGGCCTGTGCGCCATATACAAGAGACGTGTAAGAGAATTCTCGGCGATAGGGCTCGCATTTCCGTCAAGGACTTTATGCTAGTTCGTTACCCGCAGGATCAAGGGAAGATAGAGGTAGAGCTAAAGTTGCACAGGAAATCCTACGACATTGAGCTCCTTTGGGCTCCTGCGGGTTAGCACGATGCGATGTTCATCATACACAGAAATTGCGGTGATTTCTCACTGGCTTTAAGCCGACAGTCGAGCAGGTGCAAGGAGACAATATAGCCAAATTGGGACATACCATGCAAGCAGCGGAACTGTCAAGAACAAGGAGGAAGACTTGGTTTTCATTACGTGTTATTAGCTTGAGATATACTTGGGTTGGACTAGAAGGTCTGGATTTTAGTTGAAGTGATAAGCTGTCTTGAGTCTTGGGGGGCACAACCGCACCGCGCCTCCTGCGCTATGAAAAGCCACACTTGTCCTTCCCGACTTTAGCCACGTTGCCGTTATGTTGATTGTGATCAGTGGTTGTGTGTGTAAGAGAGAGAAGCCGAATTGACATCACTGATGTGAAGAAGCCGAGTACCGATTGTTTACAAGAAGTGGGGGGCATTGAGCACAATGCCCATGATGCATCCTGCAAGCGTGCCAGCGATCGGAATGGTCATGATCCAGGAGAAGAGCAGGAGACCAACTCGTTGCCAGTTGACCGCCTTCCACGTGCCATTGCAAAGGCCAACTCCGACCGTGGCGCCAGTGATGCACATCGAGGTGGAGACGGGTAGCGAATACTGCGAGAACAAAAGCACAGTGATAGCGGCTCCCATTTCCATCGAAGAGCCCCGAGAGGGTGAGTGATAGGTGATCTTATTGCCCATGACCTTCATGATGTTGTAGCCATAAGTGATGAGACCGATCGAAAGCGTTGCCGAAAGCACTGCGAGTTGCCAGATAGGCACTTCGGCCTTGGACTTTGCGGCGTCCCCAGTGGACCAGGCGGAGTAGATGACCGCCCAGGGACCGACCGCGTTACCAATGTCGTTGGCGCCATGGGCGAAGGACGCCGTGCATGCCGTGATGACCTGGACAAAGGAGTAGGTGTGCTCGACCTCGTTGGGATATTTGGTCGCATGGGAATACACCCGCTCCATACGTCGACCCTCAGGCGTGCCCGCAATACCAGTCTGAGCAGAGTGGATGTCGTAGTTCACGCCGTATAGAACAGCGACGACGAGCATGGCCGGGATACGAATCATCAAAGTCTTGAGGTTGCGTAGCTCGTAGATCTCGCCTTCACCGATGGGATTCTGGTGCAAAGTGCGCATGGCCCAGCCGAGAGGGCCTCGCTTCTTCCGAAGCCGTGCGTGGAACTTGGCTTGGGCCTCAGCTATTCGCTCTTTGTAGGTCAATTGGGTGGACTGAGCCTCGACCTCAGCAAGACTCTTTTCTCCTGCACCAGCTTTGACATCACCTTCAACCTTTTCAACGTCGTCGTGGCTCAAAGAGTCTGGTGAATGAGTAGAGCCTTCGTCGTCGTCATGCTTCTGAACGACAGCATAGTCCGGAACATTGGCTTGCTCATTAGTATCGGCTGTGAATGGTCGCTTCCACAACAGAGGACCCATGGGGAGATGCCAGAACTTGACGGTATGATCCTTCTTGATAACCTTTGCGTGCAGCCAGGGAACGAAGAAGATAGCGGACAGGATAAAGAGGCCACCACCAACGCCCATGGTAACAGAAGCGATGTACCACGAGGGCTTCTTGTTCAGACCAAGATTAGGAGAGCCCTTGTAGACAACAGACAGCGTGCAGACCGTGCCAGCAATGAGGAAGAAAAATGGCGAGGTAAAAACGGCCCACGGCACCGGGTTCTTTCGCAAGTGTACCACCAGCTTGATTAGCATGAATATTGTCGCAGCAAACCCGCCGGAGATGAGAGGAGCCAAACCCAAGCCGGCGAAGATGGCACCGAGACCCTGGCCACCATTCCAGCCCCATTCTACCTGAGAGGCTCCAGCGACCGCGACACCCACGCCGGCGACAGCCGAGATGAGCGAGTAGGATGATGAGACATGGGCAGAATGTCGTGTACACCACATGACCCATGAAGAAGCACCTGCGAGCGCACAAGTGAATGCAAGCATCTGAACACCAGCGTTGTCTTGGAAGGCCTCGAGAGGAATGATCTTGTTTTTGATGGTGGATGCAGTGCGTGCGCCGACAGTGATGGCTCCAACCATCTCAAATACAGCACCAAGGACCATGGCTTGTTGGTATGTGACCGATCTGGAAGAGACGCTGGTGGCCCAGCTGTTGGCTACATCGTCTAACATGACACGGTGGTTAACACCCCACACAAACTATAGGAAGGAGGACGAGCTACTTACTGGCGCCGTTGTTGTAAGCATCAAGAAGAGCAAACAGTGTCCCAATGGCAAAGACGTAATCGTACTGGGTGAGTCGTGCCATCTTGGTGAAGATTGCACAGGTATCACTTTGCAAGAGATGTTGATCTGGCTCGAGAACTGGTAAGAGGAAGAAACGGACGGCACAGCAGAGCTTTTATGTTGGCCAGCGCTCGGCACTGTTGGAAGTAACTGCAGAATCCATCCTCTTGGCTGCAGGGATCGATGTAGCTTTCCTTCTCCTCCCCTGTCCACGCCACTGGACAAGCCAAGCCATCATCAGATCGGAATACTCAATGCTTCAGGCGAGGTCAATCCCACATTTTAGAGCGTCCGAGGGCCTGGGTTGGTCGTGTCGCTCCCGAAGGTCTCGTCTCGCCCGCCTTGGAGAGGAGGTGAAGCAAAGGCCAAGAAGCGATAACCCGCCCCCGTTTGCAAAAGAAGCAAGTTCAAGCTGCACTCACGCTCCCTTCCCACCTTCCAGAAGGCCTGGCTGCAACTCCGAGCGGGCGTGTCTGCGAATTTGATATACGGCGGAGGCGAGCACGTTCCTCCAGGAGGCTTCATGACTGGTCCGCGAACGAGCAAGGGCCGGTCTCCGCTCTACTTGGCATGCCTTGGCGAAGTGAGTCCGCCTGCGCTGCGCCCCTTCTCTCAGTGCTCGTCCGTCGCGTAGCTCCCGATACGTTCCTGGGCCAATATCGACTTCATCTCAGACCGTGCTGGAGTCACCCAACAGGGCTGTCACTCTGATCCCTTGGCGTGCAGAAATTTGCTTTTTTGTGGTGCTCGCAGTCACGGTCGGCGGACCGAATCCCACGTTTCCAAGATAACGACCTTGAGAGGGACACTGCAATGACAATCACGCGAAATGGAGGCGTATTAAGAGAGGAGGTCCATCAAACTTGATCCATCGCAGCACTTATATTGACAAATTGGGCTCTTGGCTTGCCGTAACATGTTCCTGCCTGGGTAGGAAACCCGGGGGGCGTGTTGCACTCATCATGAGACCTTAGGCTCCCTTTCGCGTGCACATAGCCTTTTGAGGAATCACAGGATGCCAAAGCACAGGAATCGTGGATTTGGGCACTTCGTGTCACTGCTCTCGACGTCGACGTCGATCTCAACCTCGAACATTGCCAGCAAGGGTCTCTTGGACAACGGCCAGGCATATTTCTGATCGATGAGATCTTGTCTTGACATCCTGGTCTCGTTCAACTGCACAATTTCAAGTGTTGTTCATATGCTCAACGTTGAAGGCGAACGAGTCAGATGAGACAGATGTGGTTGATGGTCAAACCAGAAGCCCCCCAAGTCTTCCGCCAGTTGCTGCAGTTTGCGTCAAACATGCCAAGCACATTTGTTTGCTGCCATCCACGTGACCGTCATACAATTTTAGACATTGGCGGGGTTTGAATGCGGGTCTGGCATCTGCTCGTGCGACGGAGTCACACAGCAGTCAACAATCCTGAAAAGTCTCGACTCCTGAGTACACAAATCGCTCAGCGGGGAGGCAGTGATTGTTTGTGGCTCAACTGACTCTGAGTCATTTCCATTGTCGTCTCCCTTCAATATCTCACGAGCGTCCACGAGTACAATGTCCCACTCTAGAAACCCCTCCAAAACCGAACTTCCCACCCGAGAGAAAGAGTCCAAGACTGAAGCCGGACAAAAGATGGAGGCAAAAGGTGCTCCTGACAAGCCAATTGGCAAAGCGGAAGCGAAACTTCCTCAAAAAACAGGCGGAAAGAAAAAGAAGATGGAGGGTGCAGCGCTGATTGGCATTGATGTGTCCAAAGATGTCGACTTTTCGGAGTGGTATCAGCAGGTCTTGCTGAAGGGAGACATGCTCGACTACTACGATATCTCTGGTTGCTACATCCTCAAGCCTGCCTCGCAGTTCGTTTGGGACGAGGTTAGAGCCTGGTTTGACGCGAGGATCAAGAAGATGGGTGTCAAAAACTGCTCCTTCCCTCTGTTCGTCTCCGAAGACGTGTTGAATCGTGAGAAGGCTCATATTGAGGGGTTCGCAGCCGAGGTGGCATGGGTGACCCATGGAGGCAGTACCAAACTGGAGAAGAAGATTGCCATTCGCCCTACCTCCGAGACTGTCATGTACCCTTACTACGCCAAATGGATTCAGAGTTACCGTGACTTGCCCCTCAAACTGAACCAGTGGAACTCGGTTGTCCGGTGGGAATTCAAGCATCCCCAGCCATTCCTGCGTACACGAGAATTTCACTGGCAGGAGGGTCATACGGCGCATCTAACCGAACAGGAGGCGGGAAAGGAGGTCCTGGAGATCCTCGATCTGTATGCTCAGATCTATGAAGAGCTTCTAGCGGTCCCTGTCATTAAAGGGAGGAAGACGGACAAGGAAAAGTTCGCGGGAGGACTGTATACCACCACCGTTGAAGGGTACATCCCTGCTACGGGGCGTGGTATCCAAGGAGGTACCTCGCATTGCCTGGGACAAAACTTCAGCAAAATGTTCGGCATCACCGTGCAAGATCCCAACGCAAAGACTGAGGAGGAAAAGAAGAACCAGCTATATGTCTGGCAGAATTCTTGGGGTCTCTCGACTCGTGTCATTGGTGTGATGGTCATGATCCACGGGGATGACCGTGGTCTGGTAATCCCACCTCGCGTCGTCGAAGTCCAGGTCGTCATTGTGCCCGTCGGAGTGACAGCCAAAACCACAGAGGAGGACAGAGAAGCCTTGTACAAAGAAATCGCGGGGCTGGTGGAGGTCCTCAGAGCTGTCGACGTCCGAGTAGAAGCGGATTTCCGAGAGGGGTACTCCCCAGGGTGGAAGTTCAACGACTGGGAATTGAAGGGGGTTCCTCTTCGTTTGGAGTTCGGACCTGGGGAGAGCAAGGGCCACTACGTCACGGCGTCTCGACGAGACCTTCCCAAAGCTGAGAGCAAGAGTCAGATTGCCATCAGTGAACTCAACACTGCCGTCCCGGAGCTGCTGAACACCATCCAGAAAGACCTGTACGATCGTGCGGATGCCAAATACAAGTCGCACATCAAGAAAGTGACCAACTGGGACGACTTCGTTCCGGCACTGAACGACAAGAACGTCATCCTGTTGCCTCACTGTCTGACTGAGGCATGCGAGGACCAGATCAAGGAGAACAGTGCCCGTAAGGCGGAAGAACAGAGCGGTGTCCCCCAAGACGAACGAGCTCCCAGCATGGGTGCGAAGAGTCTTTGCATTCCATTCGACCAACCCGAGGGCATCGAGAAGGGCGTGACCAAATGCGGGAATCCAAACTGCTCGAACCTAGCCGAGGCATGGTGTATGTTCGGCCGGTCATACTAGTTGGATGGAGGGAAGAAGGCAGCGAGGGCCCGAGATAGACAAGACGGGGGGGTGACATGTGGTAGACATGTGGTAGACGACGAGATGGCCGCGTTCAGAGCATGCATGCATTGTTTGAGTCAAATCTCCTTGATCACGAGGGCGCTGTCGAGCATATCAGCTGTCACCGGGGGCACCACTGGGAGGGTGTCGGTGTTTGACGACAAGAGGCGAGGCTTGCTTAGCTTTATCAGACACTGCACTGTCGACACATGATGGGTGCCCATGGTTGGTCCCGGGGTCCAGGAACAGGATAAGATCACCCAACTGCGGCCCCTGCAGCCCAATGGCAGCGGGCGTTTTCTCAGCGTCTGCTATCAGGAGGTGCTTGGCCTGTGTCAAGAGCCCACTCCCTGGACGATAAGCTCTTTCGGGGGCTTCAGGGTTGCGCAGGAGATCGGAGGAGAGGAAGAGGGAAGAGGGCATCGCTCACGAGTCACGATAGACGCAGCCTAGATGGCGTCAGATGGAGAAATGAAAAGGATACAAAAGCATCTTCCAGTTCCACCCTCTTGACATTGAAACCAGGTCGGCCAGTCTCCTCCAGGTATATGTGAACGTGGCCCCCGTACCAAGTAAACTAACACCTCTGTTTTTCTCTCTCTTTCTTTCTTTTGCCCCTCATCGCCAACATCCACATCCACATCGAACATCCACCCAGCGATCCCTACCACCTCGTGCCCGCCGAGCCGCCCTCGCTCCCTCTCCTCCCTCTTCCTACGCCGCTGGTCTGGCTCACCCAGGCCTAGATCTCTCGGATTCTAGGCGCGCTTCTTTTCTTCTTCCCGGGGGCCATTCTGCCTATTGCCCTGCTGCTTGCTATTGCGACTGTCTTTCGCTTCTTGCCTCGCTTTCGCCGTTGCCGCTGGTTCGGCCGGCGCCTGTGCCTGTGCCTGTGCCTGCGCCTGTGCCCTGCACCCTCCGCCTCTGCGCCAATGCGAGCTGGTTGAACATGCCAATTCTGGCCGGGCAGCAATTTTTGGATTCCAGATGGGCAGGAACCATCACCATCTTCGACTTCCAGAGCATCTCTACCTTTCGCCGCCTCCCCCTCCACCGCCGCCGTTCTCTTTCACCTCTGCTTCCCTCCTTGCTGTCAAGTCTGCGGTCCATTTCTCTCCTTCTGCGGCTCTCTTCTGGGAGACTGGTCGTCCCACACCCTTTGCTGTCGGCGACCGCATTCCAGGCTTCAAAACCTCTGCTGGTGAGAATACGACATAATTTTCTTGTCTCGTTTGGGGAAAGAAATAGCACACCTAGGGCAAAGAGAGAAAAAGAAAGATTCTAATCAATCACTCTGAACAGCCTTCTTGACTACCCTGCGGGCAAATCTCATCCTCGACCTCGAATCTACCCCGCCATCTTTTCCCAACACACCAGACATTCTAAGACCAACCGACATGGCTTCTTCCGGCAGCCTCCCTCCGCCTTCTCCTTCGCCTCTGGTGCAAAGCTCCGAGGCTGTTGGTGAAGCGTCTCCCCTCGCTGAGAAGCACGCAGGACCGCTCGACTCGCTCCCTGAGCTCACGACTAAACCCGCCGTGACCGAAGACGACAAGATCGAAGCGCTGCATTTGATTGCCGACTCCGTTGCGCAACAGCGCCAACTTGCCTCCGCCGCCATTATCTTCCATCCTTTGACGCTCTCGTTGCTCGTCCTCCTCCTGGGCATTGCCTACCAGAATCTGTACAAAGGCGCCTCCTCGGATTGGGCGATCATTGGCACGACATCGGCGGGTATTCTCATGGCTGTGCTGATCACCGTGCGCTGGCTCACGAGCGGCTACATTTTCGAGGCGGAGCGTGTAGGGACCTGGAAATGGCTCAACGAAGGTCGTGACAATCCGGACGGGGGCATCGTGGGCTCCGAGGACGAAATCCTCCTGACCAGATTCGGCGACGATGTTATTGGGACGACTGTTGTCCGCGGTGTACGCGAATCCTCTGGTTCTTCCGGCAAGTCACGCAAGAATGCGCCTGTCAACGGATACATCCGTGCGTGGACGGTCAAGCGTCGGTATAGGCACAAAGGAGTAGGACAGGGTCTGCTCGAGGAAGCAATCGCCCTGTGCCAGCAAAAGGGATGGAGCGGTCCAGAGTTTGCAGAGGACCACGCCAACTCGGCGGATGTCGTCCACGCGACGTTTTCGGGCGGTTTCAAGAAGAAGGAAAGGCAAGCCAGGGAGATGCTGGAGAGGATGATCGAGGAGAGCAGGTCGAATGCCAGCGGCAAGAAAGGCAAGAGATGATACCCCCCTTTTTTTTGGTTTCCACATAATTGGAATGATAATACTAGACATGGCGAGCGGCTGACTGCCCCGAGGCGGAGGATCTTGACGATCGATTAATCGAGGCATTTGGGCCCCAGGGGAAAAATAATCCGTGCTGCAACCCCTAATACCATCGTCCCCTTGTCCTCCCTGTGTCGTCCCTGACTGACTGACCTCCTAATACCGTCCCTGTTCTCCTATTTCCCTCAGCCCTCTAACCTCCCACAAACATACATGCCCCTTGCATGTACTCGGTACCTGGAGTACCTGGAGTACCTACTCGGCACGAGGTACATAAATCTCAATCTCAAACGGGCACGGGGAGCAAGACCGTACTCGCCCACCGCACTTATGCTTGGAGTATTGGGAACTAAGGTCGACAGGGCCAGCTGGTTGCATAGATTCCCTTCCACTCGTGTCTCGAAGGGGCACAGTAGTAGGTACTAGTAGGTAGGTAGGTAGGTAGGTAGGTAGGTGTGTATCTGCGTCTCAGCGTCCGAAGCATGAGGGCGATTTCTTGCCTTTCGCTTTCGCTTTCTTTCACAGATAATACCCTAGACTCAGACCCTGAACCAATCCTAGTCCCAGTCCTAGACCTGGACCTGGACCTGGTGATAGTAAAAGTAGTAGCAGAAGTGGTAATGTTACAAGAAATATTCCCCGACGGGCTTCTTCGCAGGCATGCCCCTGGTGCCCTGCGGCGCGGCCTCGAAGACTCTATACCTCCGCCCGGGGGTGGCCAGGTTCCAGAGCACGCCGGCTCCGCCGCCACTGCCATCCCCACCCACGGGTTCTTTGCGGCCTTGGTCGCCGTTGGCCCTCTGAATGCAGCCGCCGTTCGACCCGTCCTCGCCCAGCTCGAGGATCGCGGCCACGTTGCCGCACCGGTAGCAGTAGTTCGGGGCGCTCCAGACGGTGACGATCGTCTTGTCAAACATCTCTTTGTACCCTTCCATGACCAGCTGATGCGCCCGCGCAATCAATGACAGGTCGTTGTTGTGGTTGAAATGCCTCACAATGTCTGCGCCAAAGAGAAATCCCGCGCCTCGCGGGCTGAGCCCCCATCCTTCAATCTCGTCCGGGTCGGACCAGAGGAGGTCGCACATTGCGCCCTCGTGAGGGACTTCTTGCTTACGGTCAATGAGACGGATTTTGTCGACGGTTTCAACCAGGGGCGATAGACCGCCGTGGACGCAGAGGACTGCGCCGGTCGAAGAGGTAGGAGGTTGGAAGAGCGAAGGAGGTGGTTGGCTGGGTGAGGACTGAGAGGCGTCAAGAGATGACGGGAGGTCGACGTCCGGAGCGGGAGATATTCGACTTCCGTCAGAGAAGGCTTGTGATTGTTGCGAACTCATCGAGAGGCCGGCGAACTGGCGACGGAGGGTCTTGGAGATGAGTTCCCCGTTGGCGTTGAGGACCTCGGACTCGAGGTCTTCGTCCTCCGACGGGAGGGTAGACTGCGTATTGCTGTCGTTCATGGAAGACGCCATGCCGCCTGTCGGAGGTGGGACGTCGGTCGTCGCGCCCAAAATCAACGCCCCGAGCGCCAGATAGTCAAACACTTCACAACAATACCGCCAGACGTTCGCACTCCCATATTTCCTAATACATTCATCGTAGAACCCGTAGACGGTGGTGATCTGCCTCGACTCGTGATTGCCCCTGATAAGGGTGATGCGATCCGGGTATCTGACCTTCAGACACAGGAGCAGCAGGAAACTCTCCAGGCTGTAGAACCCCCGGTCCACAAAGTCGCCCATGAACAGATAGTTTGTGTCGGGGACGTCGCCGCCCACGCGGAAGAGTTCCATGAGATCGTGGAACTGGCCATGGATGTCGCCGCAGATGGTGACGGGGGCGTCGACGCAGACGACATTGCCTTCTTCGATGAGCAGTTCGCGCGCCTTGTAGCAGAGTTCGCGCACTTGGGGTTCGGGGATGGGGCGGCACGCGCGCAATTGCGCAATGGCTCTGGAAGGAAGATAGGCGTCAGTGTTATGCGGGCAAGAAAGGGTGCGACAGGCTGCAGTAGCAGGCGCACTTACTTGTCGAGGTCGCTCATCACCGCAGCGCAGATGAGGAGGATCGTGCAGCGTTAGAGCACATGAGTGTGAGATGTGTGACTTTGGGGCGGAGAGTGGGTGGCGGTGGGATGGCGTCAAGTACTCCGTAGATAGCGAATCAATGAGTCGACGATGGCGAGCTAGGCGGCGCAGCTGCAGGTGTCGAGGTTGCTGAGAAGTGCTCGTAGGTACAAATGATGAACTTCTCAAATCCGAGTCACTGATCACTGATCGTGGTGTCGCGTGGTCTGGGGGAAACTTTGTGGCGGTCACAAAATGCAATCAAAGACTGGCCTGGGCTGCCCAACCCATGATGGGACTTTTTGACGATATGCAACGGCGATCATCTCGGGAGATCCTCGGCAGCAGACGGGTACGGCGGAGCATCTACGCATTGAGATGGTCTCCGCAATACAACCGCGAAAAAGGAAGCTTGGTGAAAGTCGAAGCTCCAAACATATATGCGTCAGGGACTTATCACTTCCCCCCTTCCTTGTAAGACTCGAGACGGGCCTTGATCCATTCTCCCGCTCTACCAAGGTCCTCGCTCCTTACATCCGTCCATTTCCGATCCCGCCCGAGCCACTCGTTGACGTCGACCAGCCGAATGAAGATTCACACCACACCACAGCTCCTCCCGCACGATTGAAGCATAGCAATAACCTCTCCCCCCATTGAGCAACGGAAAAAGAGGGGGGCAAAACCTGGCAAAGAAAGAAGAAAAAAATGCCACCACATCTACACCCGCGGTCCACGGCAACCTCGACCCTTTTCGCGGGGACGCTGCTCGCCTCCTTCATCGTGGTGGGCATCCCGCACGTCTTTCCCTGCCCGCGGCCGCGGACGGGGTACGCGGCGGACGCGGGACGGATAGAGCTGGATGAAGACGGCAACCCTGTCCGCCGACGACAAGTCCGACCAGGCGACAAACCATCCACCTCCGGAAATGCAATCCCCGCTCACTGCGCGTCTCGGGCGCCGGCGCAGGAAGAACAACAGCCACCACAACCTCGCAAAGCCCCGCAAGGTCTCCAGAAGGGGCTGACTGCGTCGAAGAACCTGGACGAGGAAGCGGCTCTGTTCAGAGAGCTGCAGGCCGAGGCAGAAATGTTGGAGAAGGAGGCCAGGTCGGCGAGGGAATGCCCCGTGCCGAAGCCGAAGGGGTGGGTTGGGAGGATACTGGGGTTCGAGGAGCAGGGTAGGAATGTGGCGGATAAGGAAGGTGGATGAGAAAGGAACCGGATCTGGAGAAATCGCAATTGACAAAGCTCACGGAGCGAGCTCAAGCGCATGACGGGGTTGAGGTCTGTGGACTCAGCTGCATAATTTTGCACCAGTCCGGCTAATCCCAAGGACGATGTCGAGGCGTGGGAGAACGCCCTTTCCGGCACCCACGAGGTACCGGCAGGACATCTTGACGGACGCCGCTGGCATCAAGACCGCTCTCGACTTGGCGAATGGTGTGGCGGAACCGGTGGTCCCCACTGCATACAGCTGGCTGGATCTACGACCAGATACCCGCTACCCAGAGTCACCTGCTGAGGGAACAACCTCGCACGACCTCGGACAATGACTGTCGCTATGTCGAGCAGCTTTCACCCAAGGGCAGACTGACCTCCAGATGGTAATGAGTCTGGTTATACGCATTGGGCCATCCTCTCAAGGGTGAATATGGATGGCATATGGCTGCTAGGTGTCGACGTGGACGGAGACAGCCGCTGCGATGAATGAGGCCAGGGCAAGGAATGGTGATTGAATGGAGCACAAGGCAGACAAACAGGATCATGGTCATATCTTGACTCACGAACTATCGCTTATTCTTTATCCAAAACTTTTGCGCACCATCTGGTAGCCTCGCCTGACTTCCAGGGCCTCCAGGCTATTGACTGTTCAAGCATGAGAAACAATGTCAAAGGAGAAAGCAAAAGCTGATCAAACACGTCTCCGACTCCCCTGGCAAAGCCTTGCAACATGTCGCGCATCCCACCTCAGATCTTTCCACCCACGATTCCATCAATCTTGAATATCTCCATCCATCCCCCGAAGACTTCTGTCTCGGCATGGTTGGGTCCCTCTGCCTCAACTCAGCTATCCCTTTCCTGGTTGATCTCTTTGAGCTTCACCCCCGTCTTCCAATCCAATTCTCTTGCAATCTTGGTCATCCGCTCGAACACGGGCCGCCCAACGTATCTCCAGAACCCACCTGCACGAACACAGGTCTCCCGTTGTTCATTCTCAAACCTTTCCAGGTCATCTTTCACGAGAGCCTTCAGAGCTGCGACCAGGGAAGGAGTCTGCTGCGAGGAAGAGGCAGGGGCTTTGTTGATTCCTGCTCCAACGCCATTCTTCTTCGCGCCGACACCATTGGCAGCGACCGCCACAGCGTTCGCAGGACAACCACTCGACCGAGCATGTCCTCCATCCACCCCCAGCTTCACCAAGACGGCAACGAGCAAATCCTCCATCTCATCGTCCTCAGTGTCACAATCATGCACACCCTCGCTGTATCTCCTCTTCTTCCCGCCACCACCGTGGTTGGATGCACCGGCAATCGAGCTCTTGCGCCTTTCACGCTCACTTTTTCTCCTCTGCGCAATGCTGGATAGTAACGTCTTCTTGTGCGCCTCAATGCTCGCCATGAATCCCATGTTTCTTGCAATGACCTCTTCGATGGTCTTGTCACTCGCTAGTGGGTGTGTCGCACCGAGATGTCCTCCTGTTGATGTGTTGGCGCCGTGCAAAACCTCTGCGACAAATGAGACGTCCGCAGTCCGGACATTGATGGTGTGCTTCTGTTGATTCTTCGCAGCCTTGACTTGCGACTTTGCTGCCTTGGCAGCCTTTTTGAGCGCTCGAGCTTCGGCTTTTGTCAATTTCGGAGGTATGCGCTGTCGGTCACTCTCGTCAGTCGTGCTGATTGTGGTGTCGGTCACGGTCTGAGCATCGTCATCTTGGTCACCTTCGTCGTCGAAGTCATCATTACCACCGTCGAGCTGCCGGACAGCTTGCTGAACGTAAGGAATGTTCACAGGCAGATCTCCCAACAATGGTCTTGTCTTGGCCGCGTCTGCACTTGAGCCATTTGCGATCCTATACTCTGCGAGAAGTTCTGCGATCTTTTTGCACATCAAAGCGCAAATGTCAGTTGGTTCCTCCGTCACAGGCCAATTGTCGCCATCTAAGGGTGATGTTATGGGAAGGGTATTGCAACATGCCGCATCACTCACCTTCCGATGTCTGTTCTCATGCAATTCATCGGCCTGGATGCAGGAGAAGCAGTTGTGACTCGTGCCAATTGCGTGCATGGTCTGGTGGTAGCGAAAGCAAGGGATGCTGTGGACGCCATAGCATGTTTGTCGCGCCTTTGGGTTGCTCATCTTCATGGAACAAAGGTAGCAGCTGTGCTCTATGGTGCACGACATGTGACGTCGATTTAGCTTGTGCTCTCCGCGTGTATTTCAACATGATGGCAAGGCTTGTGGAACAAGGGGTATGTCCAGGTGCAGTTGCTTACCAAGCCCGGAGGCCGCTTCCCATTTGAATGGGCTGTTGGGCGCAGCCGGATCCATAGTCACAGACCGCTCGCCGCTGCGTCTTTGTGGACTGGTATATTTTTTTTCTGTTCACGAGCTGTGTTGAGGATGTGACAGGGGTGGCACTATGCCAGACAGCGCAACAGGCACCAAAATGTGTGAGGTGTTGGTGGGCGCGGATGGATGAGGATGTTTTAAAAGGGTTGAGGGTTCAGATCGGAAGAAAGGAGCACGGTGAGGCAGTGAACGCAGGAGAGACGGATGGTATCAGACAAAGCCCGGTCTGCTTGTGCGTGAGCACCAAACAGTGATTGTATGTGATCGGGTATGCGCGGCTCGAACTGGAGGCTTGCAGAGGATGGAGTGTCTGGACAGCAGGCGGTGTCGGCGTGATGTAGAATGACTCTGCCGCTTCCTAGAACAAAGAACGAGGGGCATGATGGTGAGCTGTGTGCAATCTGACTTGATGGATGGAGGCACGGCACATGGAATCCAAGTCGTTACTGGCATTTCGGGCAACTGCAACTCGGTGGAGATGGTCAGCTGTGAGATCCCGCAGAGAAGGATGGTGCCAACACGAGGCTGCGAGGAGATACAGAGGATACGCACAGAGAGAAAGAGAGAGGAACAAGACGCTGGAAGATGGAGAGAGGGGGAGGAGGAAGAGGAAGAGGAAGAGCAGAGAGGTTTTGTTTCATTGCCAACATCGCACCAAGCAGAATGAGTGAGCTTGACCACGACGGACCATTACCTAAGATATCAAGTTTGCTATTGCCATCCACGCGGAAGCAGCGACCGCTCGGTGTTTGCAGCAGTCGATTCTCAAGTTTGCTTTCAATTCCAGAGATATTCCCACAACGTGGCCAGAGTCCCCAACAGTCGATGGTAAAAGAGCGTCAAGCAAACTGAAACGTCGGGCGGCTGCATTCCAGGCCACATTCCATCGCCATTCAGACGACCACATCCCTGACAAGCCTGGCTGTGCACCAAACATATGGATAGTTCCTCTGGTACCAGTTGACAAAGGTCTTCTTCAATGCAATTCTCGGCACCGTGGCCCAGCTGCCTCCGAGACAAACATTGTGCTTGCTATCGAAGAAGTCAGCCGTGTATCCGGGATACAGGTCCATGGCTTTGAACCCTTCGTGTGGCGCCAACGGTGTACTGGTCCATTCCCACAGGCCCCCAAGGTCGCTCTGTCCACGGAGTCGGTCGGCGTTGCCAGTCACAGGCGTCGGATGCCAGTGGCGGAAGGCAACATTGCGATCGCCCAACTCGACGAAGAGCTCGTTGGGGTCCAGTGAGGGACCATCTGCACTACCGTTGACGACACCATTCGACTGATGGGTTGATGGAGGTGTCTCTTGGACACCATCATTGGAGAGATGGCTATGATGGTCAGCCTGGTACCTCCATTGCTCTGTCATGCAGACTTACCCATTCACGGCTGAAATCAACTTGCTGGTCACCTTCTGTAAGACGCTGTCTTGGTTCTCAACGTACTGGTAAAGGCTCCGGGCCTCCTCCAGCGTGGGAATGCGTCCGTTGGACCATTCTGCGTAGGCCGCCAATTCGTCGTACGAGGCCATCACGGGCCAGTCCAAAGCATATTTGAGAGGGATGAGACCGTAGACGGTTCGAATAGCCTTGTCCTCGACAAAGGACGGGCTGGCCATATCTAGTTCATCCTGAACATGGCCATTCGCACCGTTTGTGCCGTTAGTCCCATTGAGCACCGCACCTACTTTAGAGGCCGTCCACGAAGCTGGCAGAGAGTCCTTGTGGGTAACTTCCAAGAAGCGAGCGTACTCGCCATTGCTGATTGGACGACTCTGGGCCTCGAACTCATTGACCGCTACCGTGCGTGATGGCCGCTCGTTGTCCCAGCCGAAGTACCTGTCGGGACCGAAGTTGTTCTCTGGGTCGTCCAAGCCGATTTTAACCTTGCTCGCAGGAATGCGATGCCACTGGTTCGAGGTACGATTCGCGCGAGCCTCGGCGGCCAATGTTCTGAAGTCGGGCAAACCTTCTCCTGGTGGTGGCAGAACACGCTCGCTCTGAAGCAGCATGTAGAGGAAGGTTTCCAAATGCATCGCCTCGTGCTCATAGGCAAGCCAAAGACCGCGGCTGAGCCTGCGGTCGGTGTAAGCCCGGCCAGAATGAATGCCCTCGACGATACGTTCGCGAACACGTTGCGAGTAGTTCAAGATGTCCTCCAAAGGAGGCCAGGAGTCCGGGATCTCACTGTGGTCATGACACAATTCGGGATTGTCCACGTCTGATACGCCTTCAGCTCCGCATCCTGGTTAATCGTATGGTTGAGGTCCTACCTGGATCAATGCCTCGCTCAAATATGGACATATAGTATGCCGGATCTGTAGCCTTTTCCTTGGTGGCCTTCATATAGTGAATATCTAGACAGCGGTTAATCTAATGCCGAATTGTGTTTCGCCATCCCCACATACCTGCGAACGTGGGGATGTGGCCCAGGTAAAAGATCAAGTCATTTCGCAGCTTGATAGGTTTGTTGAGCAGCTCGTCCTTGGGGACCATAGACTTGGTCACTGTATCCCAAGCCGCCCATAGCTGTCGCCAATCGTCGAGCGAAGGGACAGGGCTCGCAGCGAACTCTGCTGGCTTGGTGGGGAAATTGATGGTGGACGGCGACAAAAGATGAATATCTGAGTTGTGACAGTCAGAATGGAATCAAGTTCGCCGTGCACGTACTCACAATAATCATTGGTCTTGTTGTTGTAAGCCGTCTGGGGGATTAGGCCAGCAGCATGCCAGAGAGCATCACGCTGCGCCTCGGAGTACTTGAAGGCGTCCTCCAAATGGACCTTCTCGCCTTGCTCGAAGGAAAAATCTTTGTTGTTGATCGTCTTCAGGGCCACGTATGATGCCTGATGTTTGTTCTGGTTCTCGTCATACACGCCTTCGATCTGCCACTCATCCTGCCGGAAAGCCTCATAGCCCAGGATGTTGTTAGCGTGGGTGAGACCATTGCGGTAGAAGCGCTCCGTCACATTCATGGAGTCGTTATAGGCCCGGAAGACGCGGTCAGGCTGCTGGCATGCGTCGATCCCTACCATCACATAGTCCGAGGCGGCCAAAACTTTCTTGAACGAAGCAAGGAACTGAGCGGCCTCCTCTCGAGTGAAATTGCCCAGGGACGAGCCCATGGTCATGACACAGGTCGTCCTGGCGTCAGTCGCGGATTCCTTCAGCCACAAAAGAGCATCGTCATAGGTCCCATGCAGTGCCCGGAAAGTGACATGGTGGAATGCGTTGATGTCCAACTGGGCAAAGGTCCGCTTGAGCTCGGACAGGGATAGATCCAAGGCATAGTACTCGACGTTCTTGTTTGCCTCCTCAAATGCTTTGAGAAGGATGTTCACTTTGCGGAGGTTGCTATGAGGCATCCCACGTCAGCCTGACGAGATATACATCGTCGAGGAACTCACCCGCTGCCCAGTTCCACGAGACGAGCGCCGTCTGGAATCCGCCCAACGATCTTGCCGGCATGTCTTGTGAGAGTGTCTATTTCCGCGTTGGTGAGGTAGTATTCATCCACATAGGTGATCTCCTCAAACAGCTTTAGACCCTTTTCTACAATTGTTTAGTGTGTGCCTCAAACAACAAGAACCTCTGTACCGTCATAGAGCAGCAAGGTCGGAAACGTGCGCGGCTGCCCTTTGGGAGGATTGAGAGACTGCTTGAGGGTATGGAGCAGGGACTGGTCCGACTGGTCGCTCCTGATGTCGAGGATTGGCACCCCGGCGGGAGTGTGGGTGGCCATGGTCACGAGTGGTTGACAGAAGAAGGCTTGGGGATCAAGTACGAGTCGCAGGTAGATATTTGACCGGGGAGACGACCAAAATATACACGGCAGAGTAAGTAGAGATGGAAAAGAGATTCATGACCTTTGAAACGACGGAACACAACAAACTCGACGTATGCTGGAATCAAGGTTCCACTTTTACCCCGGGAATGGTTGGACCATTGGCCAGGCAGGGCAAGTCATGAAGTTACCAATAGAAGCAGATCTATCTTGACTCCACCGAACGGCTGAGGCTTTTCTCCCAGGCTGTGAGCCTGTAAGAAGACGTCCCTGAGTGGCTGTGGAGTAGGGAAACGTGCCGGAACCGTCGCCAGGATGCAGCCCTTGACGTGAGGGATGCAAGTAACACGCATGATCAGTCAACACATAAAACACACACATGCCACTTTCCAAGACCTGAGGGGCGCAGACAGGGGGGTTAGGTAACCGCAGAGATTTCATGATCAGGAACGAGGCAGAACGGTAGGTGATTCGAGAATCCCAGCCGGGTCTCCTCGCGAACCACTTTCAGCCAGACGGAGCCAAAATGTGGAGGGGAGTCCCGGCAGTGCTGACAATGACGACACGACTGAGAATCCGAACCCGAGTCGCATAAATCTTCCTACGCTTGGTGGTGACGAATATGGATCGGAAATAGGAGCACCGGCTTGGTGTCAGCGTAAGAGGCCCAGTGGAAGAAGTCTCCTGCCAGCAACTTTGTTCAAGGCTGGACGGAGTGAGGGGGGGCAGAAGAATAAAGGAGGGGCAGCGGCCCGTGACTAGAGAGACTAAACTGCTTTGGGCACTCGTAGACGTCGTAGTGCAGGTACTAGCGAGCTAGATAACTTGGAATGAAGCTTCACGCACCACTCTGCAACAGCGTGAATGGCCGTCGCGTATCTTTCAAACACTTCGCCAGGCATCCGTTAGGCACCAGACGGAGATGGCCAAAGGGCCAGTAAGCCACAGTAAGCCAGATGAGGGAGCCTTTGGAGCCATTGGTGCTGTATTCCGTAATCACAGAGACGGCAGTCAACTACTTCCTCGACAAGCTAAACATGGCGGCATACTATACGCAGCCATAAAGCGGCATCATCTTTTCTCCGCATGCTCCGAGTATCAGTCATACACGGCAACTCGGAGTATCTTAGAGCCGTGTAGTCCGGAGGCATGGACGGACTTGGCATTTATGGCACGGAAAAACGAGTCGCCGCAAAGCCCGGGAGCGGCACCACTATTCCCAACATAGCAAGAAAATAATAGAGCAGGCGCGCTCTCCACAACTTTCTCATTGAGCTTCACAGACACGAAATTGCATCGATCTCGTTCACATCCCACTCTTCATACACACGCACCCGCAATTGGCTTTCTAACGCGTTGATAACCTCGCATGATAACCTAAACCTAGCCTTTCCGTGTATCGGTCCCACCGACCTCGATCTATCCATGCTGCTGTTGGCCTCGATGATGGTCGCCCGTGCCTATTCCCCTCCGTCTGCTTGATCGACCCGCATATCCTCTTTTCCACCGGTTTCCCTCCATTCCAAATCAGCCGTCATGTCGAAGTCTGGCAACCTCGCCGCCCTGTCGGCAATCCTCAGCCCTGGAGAAACGCCCACCATCTACTACGCGGAGGACCCTCCATACCTACCTCGAATTCTTGTCTTCTACTACCCCGTCCAAGCGGTGGGCTCCCTTGCCTCGACCTCGCGCATTCGAACTACCATCCTCTCCGCAGCCGGGTTCAAGAGCTATGGGGCGTTCTCAGTCGCCCCGAACAGCAGTTACTACTCCGCCGTCCACAAATTACCGGAAGACAAACAACGGGATGATGTATCCCGAGGCATTGCCTTTGCGCTTTGTCGCTACTTCTCCGAAGTGCCAACTGAGGTCAAGAATGCCATTGCTGAAGAGAATTTACATCATGGGATTGCTCTGAAATGGGGGCAGACACACGCCGCTCAGGTCACATGCCGAATGTGCAAAGTGATAAACACCGAAGAAATAGTTGAGGCTCTCCGCCCCTTTTCCAAAGAGAGACCTGCAAGTCCTCAGACACCCACCAGACCTTTAGCTTCGATCAGAAAGACTCGGCCGTCCTTCCTGCCTACCGAAACTGGCAGTCACAATGTTGGTCGCGTCAATCACGCCTTCACACCATCTAGAAGGATACCCAGTGGTCACGCAAAACGCTCGCCGTCCATATCTACACCGGCAGCACGAAAAGCGAGCTCCACACTTGACCCAAAGTACTCGGTCCAGCAACTTGAGTCACTGCGCTTCAAGATGTGCGAATTTGTGGACACTGAAGATAGATACATTACCCGACTTCAAGAATTAATCGAACTAGTCACCAACCAGGGTCGTACCCCAAAGTCCCTGAGCTCCAAATTCTCGAGTTCGCGCAACCAAAAGGCTGTAAATGCCATGATCCAATTCCCTTCTCTGCTGGACCAGATCAAGGACTTAAATCTGGCTTTCCTCGATGATGTTGAGACGGCGCTTCACTGTTCCGAAGATGCTGCTTTGACTTTTCTGGATTCTGCACAAGCGAATCCGCAGCTCCTCACCAATGCCAAAGATCCTATGGGTATCTACAGTTTTGCCAAAGTGCTTCTGAACCACTTCCCGAAATTTCCCATGCCCTACCGGCAATATCTGGACCTGCATTCCCAAGTCTCCTCCAATCTCGATCAATTTTTGAAAGAAGGTACCACTTCTATCCAGCGAGCACCGTCCTTGCTTATGGAGCCGGCTCAGCGTATCTCAAGATATGGTCTTTACATCGACACTATGCTTCCGCATGTGCCTTCAAATTTCACCGTCGCAATACGAACCTTGGAGAAAGCTCGGAAGATCATCGCTGAGATATGCGAAATGGAACCTGCAGCTTCAACCATATTGGACTCTCTGCGAATCGAGCATGAAGCAAAGAAAAAGGGTCTTTCCCCGACCAAATTGCTCTCAGGCCTGACCCGATCGAATGGAACGATCCGGGAAGCTCCAGCATTGACGGGCAGTGTCAGGGAGAGAGAAGGGCCTCGCCTTTTCCCTAGCCTAGGTCGCAGCTTGAGTCGGCGCCAGAAGACCCCGAGGCCTGGTCTGTCGGGTATTTTGTCTGAACAAGATCCCGAGCAAGTGACCAATGTACAGTCTCGAACAGACGAGAACAGGCCCCTCACGTCGTCCTCAGTGCTGTCTTTCGGCTCCGTCAAGAGGCCGCCCACGTCAGGGTCTAGTGTCAGTGCCACGAACCGCTCCACCGCAAGCGCCAGTCCAGGTCCCAATGCCCCTGCCTTATTGCTGTCAAGCAAGAAACGCATTGGGACCGCCCCTGCGCCTTCCACAGTCACAGGTAACATCATGGCAGCAACCGCTCGCGACGGAGTTCAGATGCCTACTTGTTCGCAGGTGGGAGGGGTCGAAACTGTGGAACATTACAAGGCCCAGTTGGTACGGGTGGAGGAAGAGAATTATAAGCTCCTTCAGGAAAACGCCGAATTGAAGAGACTGATCAGGGAATGTACCTGCGGTGGTACAGGGCGGCGGTTATGATCAGTATCTCCCATTGGTGAACATCTCACTCATGGAGAAACAGGACCAAGGAAGCCGGCGCACCTGGAAACAAGTGATAGACGCAAGTTAATGAGTTATGACGATTGGGTTTGGCATCTCGTGTTTGGATTCATGGACACCTTTTCAAAAGCAAATGTATTTTTACGAGCTGTACGGCAGGAGGTTGAAGAATAGATTACAAGCAGGTCTTTTGCTCCGGCTAGGGATATTGAGACACGGCGCTCAAAGCCCATTATCTTAGACCGCAGCGAGTGTCCCTTAGGGACCAGATGATCAGAGTGAGAGTGCTCGAGTTATTTGAATCGACTGGATGGGAGTTGACCCTATCTGTTTGTCTGACTGTTCACGTACATCCTGTTCGACGCTCAAGAGAAACGCATGATCTCTTGTCACCGCGGAGTGTATGCCTGAGGCGGAGGGAACTCGCTTGTGTGCGATCGATTGAGTGAGTGGCTGCTTCACGGATTGATTGAGTGTGTGTGTCAGTAGTGAGAGCCTGACAGCGGATTTTCCAAAGAAAAAGGACTATCTATCCCCAGAGCTTTTATTCCCCTTCCCAAAGAGAGCCGCGCTAATGCTTGTGCTCATGCCAACGCCCATGTCCATGTCCATGCCCGAGGAAACCGCCAGTTGAATTCAGACTCGGAGCACAGATCAATGACGATCCCCTTGTACTTCTCACATCGACTTTTTCGCGCGATCTCCATTCCCTGACAAGGCCCTCATCAGTCCGTTCCGTCTCGGTGGACCTATGTGGTCAGCCCTCGTCCTCGTCGTCATCAAAGCCCTGTCGAACGGTCGCCCATCCACTCTGACTTCTCCTCCCGTCGCGCTCCGTGTTCATCCTCAACGCCCTCGCCTTGTCCGAATCATCCTCGTACCAGCATCGGGCCGTGTAGTCGTCTGCAACAGTGACCAACTGGCCGTTCCGATGCACCCATGCGACCGCGGTGACTTCCTTTCTGTGGCCGTTGATGAGGGGTGTGCCTGTGTAGTAAATGGGGCATTGGCCCTCTGTGCTGACGTCGTGCAAGGAAGCTGCCGCCAGTAAGGAATTGGAGAGCACGTTAGCTGATGAGGTTCGCTGTGGCAGGCGAGGTCGGGTGGACCGCGATGAAGTACTCAGATGAGAGACAGCTGGAGGACGGCGCTGAGCGGCTTTGGTCAGGTAGCGCTCGTCAGTCGGGAAAATCACCGCACAGTCCTCGCCTGAGCCGGCCGCCAGCAGTTCGGTGTTTTCGCTTGTCTTGCGGCGGAGGGCGAGCTTGTCGTAGAAAGAGCCCAGGCGGAGGGAAGGGTCGCGGAAACCGTACAAGGGGCCCAGTCCTTGCCCCGCTGTGCGAGAAGTTCGGAATGGGTGACTCGGCGTCAGTGACATCTCCGGGCATCCACCGAGTACGAGATGAGCGGTTGAGTAAGCATAGACGGTGTTGTCCCGACACAGTGTATACAGCCTGGAGCCGTCGGTGTTCATGGTCATAGAAGTCACGCCGAAGGGCCGAAGGGTCTCATGGCTCTCTGGTTCAAGAGTTGCGGAGACAGGGGTGGGTCTGCCCGTTCGTTGTTTGTATGATGCCCGCATGTCCCATAGTTTGATAATGGCGTTGTGCTCTGAGGCGGTCGCGAGCATATGTGGGCGAGTGTCACTGATGAACGCGCAGGTAGTGACCGCAAAGTCAACCCGGGAGGACAGTTTAGCAACTTGGCGCTTCCCATTCACGGGTTTGAGCTTGTCCCAAGAGGTGTGCGCATCCCGTATCTCGACTTTAGTGTTGACTTGTCTGCTGTTGTCAAGCAAGTGAGGTGCGCGCTGCAGGGGTGCGATATCCAGTGTTCCAACGGGTTGCGCACACCGGAGATCCCACAGACAGACACTGCCGTCTCGGGAGCAGGTTGCAAGGACCTGGTTCCCCGAACTTGGCTGCCACTGAACCCGCTTTATGGAACCCAGATGGCCAATCAATGTATGGGTTGACGTTTGTGCGTCCACGTCAATTATTCGACAGGTTTGGTCTCCGGACGCTGTTGCAAGAAGTCGATCATCATCTGAAAATTCCATGTCCATTATGGCATTGTCGTGGGGGTACATGCAGGACTGAAGCTGCAGGCTACCGGGGCGATCGGGGGACCGTCCCCAGGCTCGGTATATCTCAACCAGACCATCCTCGTTCCCGATCGCGACATATTGTTGATGGTTGAAACTGGCAACACAGAATGGTAGTGCTCGAGGTTGGACATCGAACGAAGGACTGGTGAATAGGTCTTCCGGCAGACTGTAGAATTTTGAAGATTCGTGCTGCCATAGACTGCTTTCATTACCAAAAGGGATCTCTTTTCTCCTCCCGAGTTGTCGCGACAACAACCCGGAGGCGTTGCTCGAATACTGATAGCGGGCTATCCTCGGAGGATACCGCAGCATAGGCTGCAATGCTTCCTCGTCCTCGTCATCCGTCTCGGAGTAAAAGGCTTCATCGCCATCCTTGACTTCTGCCGCAGCCCCTTCCGCCTCCAGGGTGCTGGGAAATCCACAGTTGACCTTGATTGGCGAGGACGGGATCGAGGATATCGACGTGAATGAGAGCTTTCGTTTCTTTGACGGAGGTTGTTCATGTTCGCCCACGGAGGCACCTAGGGACTGATTACTTCCCAACCGACTGTTGAGATTAACGGAAGACAGTTCTCGCAAGGCTTTCCTTGAGGTTCGAACGGGACGGTTAGCATTCTGGAGCCGTGGCGTGAAAAATCGAGTGAACCGGTTTGGAGTAATGGATGGGTTCTTCTTGATCCGACTACTTCGACGGGGACTCCTTGTTTCGTCCGGTGCAACTGCAAACGTGACGGTCTCTGACCGGACAGGTCTCTCTGGTGTGTGGTCCATGGAGGGAGCCTCGGGCGGAGAGTTCGATGATGCTGCTCGAGTACCTGTTATCCTTGGCTCTAGGAGAACATAGTTATTCTATAGATTTGGTAGGTACAGAAGAATAGACTGAGCAGAGGAAGCTGTTGGATGGCAATTGGGAAGAAGTATGACAAGCCCGAGAGACGTTGGAGCTGGGATGGGCGATGGGCACGAGTAGCTCGCGACGCGTAGCGACCAACGCCCAGCGCGTCTCAAATTGATACGCGATTGGAAGGTCAGCCGAACACCCATCGGAGAAAATTTCTCCGCACTACCTGATCCAAGGGTTTGATTGGTGGAATCGAATCTCTTCACAGACTGCGTTCTGGCGGCCCAAAAAAATTTCCCCATGGTCACACACAGCTCGGCCAGCACGCAAAGACCACATTCCAGGGCCAATTCAATCCCCTCTGGACGTGGACATCCCTTGGTAGTGATGTCCTGAGGCCCCTGTGTCTCAACGATCAAGATGGTTTCTGCAAAGCGGAAATCCGAGGATGCAGCGACAAAACAACCAAATAAACGGCCCAGGTCCAATTCCCAGAGCGGAACAGCGACTGCGGAACAAGAACAGACGAGAACTCCAAAACCGAAGCCAGTCTCCGTCCTCACCAAAGAACAGCCTGCCTTTCCTCGAGGTGGTGCGAGTTTGCTGACTCCGCTTGAACGGAAACAAATTCGAGCAAAGGTTGCTCGAGATGCAGACACGGAACATAAGCATTCACAGGACCTGTTTGCAGACCGGGACGCAACGGCGGACGTCGGAACAGACGAGGACGGCAGCTCTGGAGAGAAATTGTCAGCGAAGAAACGGGAAAGACGACGGCACAAAGATAAGAAACAGTCGGCGACCTCAGCGTCTGGTACAAACTCAGAGGTTCAGATTGGAGGGCTCAGTTATAAACGGATAACGACAGGCTCCGTCATATTGGGTCAGATCACAGCTATAAGCCCAAGAGCGCTGACCGTGGCCCTGCCGAACAACCTGGTGGGTTACGTGCCTCTGACTGCTATCTCGCCGCAACTGAGTGAGAAAATCCAAGGCCTTCTCTCTCAGGATGATGAAGAGCACACCGACAGTGAAAGTGGCCGAGATGAAGAGCGAGATATCGCTTTGTCAGGTTATTTTCATGTTCAACAGTACTTGCGGGTCGCAGTGACCTCCACGGAGCAAGATAGGATTGGGTCGAAATCTCCTGCGCGAAAACGAATCGAGTTGTCTGTCGAGCCTGCGATGACCAATGTAGGCTTGGATCGGTCGAATCTTGTCGCTGGCGCCGTTGTTCAAGTTTCTGTGAGCAGTATCGAAGACCATGGCTTAGTGGTTGATCTGGCACTAGAAGACGGCAAAGTGCGCGGGTTTATCCCCAGAAAACAGCTACCCAGTGGAACGTCTTTCCCAACCATCAAAGTCGGCGCTGTTCTATTGTGCCACGTCCTCGAAATGAGCTCCAACAACAAAGTGGTAAAGCTGTCAGCAGACCTCTTCAAAACGCCTACCTTGAAGTCTGCACCGTCTGTGGATACTTTCCTTCCTGGCACAAAGGCAGAGATTTTGATCAACAACGTTACAGACGCTGGGATATCCGGCAAGCTCATGGGCATGTTAGATGTCACGGCCGACATTGTTCATTCGGGCTCATTCAAGGATCGACAAGCGTTTCTTGCTAAATACGAGGTCGGCAAAAAGATTACGGGTCGAATAATCTGCAATTTTCCGCTTTCAGATGTGAAGAAGCTAGGGTTCTCTGTTCTAGACAATCTTGTCGATTTGAATGACACCAGTGAGGCCGGCGACGAGGAAACAGGAAAGTTGGCGCTGTCTTCCACCATCGAATCAGCGTCAGTCATTCGAGTTGAACCAGGGCTGGGCGTTTATCTGCGGTTAAACCAGAGCGATAGAGGCTTTGTCCACGTATCTCGTCTCTCAGACAAGAAGCTTGACACTGTCTCGGAAACCAGCGGACCGTTTAAGCTTGGATCCGAACACAAGGTTCGAGTTCTTGAATACAACCCCGTGGACAACCTTTACATTCTGTCTGCTCAGAAGAGCGTGATTGAACGACCGTTCCTCAGATTCGACGACGTGCCTCTTGGAGCGGTCGTCCAAGGAACAATTGAGAAGCTGCTGGTCGGTCCAAGCGGAGTTCAAGGCTTGTTGGTCACCCTAGGGGAAGGCCTGATCGGTCTCGTGCCCCAAATACACATGTCCGACGTTGATTTGAAGCACCCAGAGAAGAAATTCAGAGAGGGCCAATCCGTCACTGCTCGAGTCTTGTCCACTGACCCGATCCGGCGCCGTTTGAGACTGACTCTCAAGAAAGCTCTAGTGAACAATGACCAGAAACCATGGCTACGTTTCGAAGATATCGAGACCGGAGATTCCACAGTAGGAACGTTGACCAAGGTCGACCGCCTTGGTGCAGTTGTCCGGTTCTATGGCCCAGTCAGAGGATTCCTCCCCGTGTCGGAAATGAGCGAAGCATATATCAAAGATGCCACGGAGCATTTTCGAGTCGGTCAGGTCGTGTCAGTGAACGCAATCAGCGTCAACGCTTCGGAAAAGCGCTTGACCGTGTCTTGCAGAGATACCAATTCGCCGAACGCGTCGATCGAAAGCACCCTTGCGGCGCTGCAACCGGGCACTCTTACCAACGGTACCATATTCGAAAAATCTCAAAACGACGTTTTGCTGCGCTTGGAGGGATCCGACGCTATTGCGCGATTGACTCTCGATCACATGGCCGATGGCTCTCTCAAGAAGCGAGAATCTGCACTCAGCAAAGTCCGAGTCGGCCAAAAACTGGAAAATGTGCTCATCTTACAGGTCCTGGCAAAGAGGAGATTGGTCTTGGTCTCTAACAAACAGAGTTTGGTACAAGCTGCGCAGGGTGGCACTCTGCTCCGAAGCTACGAGCAGCTTCAGCCCAATGTGGTTGTGACAGGCTTCGTGAAGAATATCACAGAAGATGGCGTATTTGCGGGCTTCGCTGCTGGCATAACTGGGCTAATTCCCAAAGCTCAAGTACCTGTCGAGGTTGAAAGCGAGCCGGACTTTGGGATGGCCAAATTACAACCTATCACGGGTAGAGTTCTCTCCATTGATTACAGGGGTGCCACGCCTCGCTTTTGGCTGACGATGAGAGAGGCTCCCCCTGCTGATACCGACATATCGAGCAGACCCGATGCTTCTACGGATTTCCCCAGGCTCATCAACCCGGTAGATGCGACCCTTGAAACCGTCAAGGATCTATCGGTCGGAAAAGTCACAAAAGCGAGGGTCGTCTCGGTCAAAGAGACACAAATCAATGTTGAATTGGCCAAAGACGTGCAAGGGCGCATCGACGTTTCGGAAGTATTCGACGATTGGAAGGACATCAAAGACCGGACGAAGCCACTGAGGCAATTCTCTCAAAAGCAAGAACTCCTTGTCCAAGTTCTCGGGGCGCATGACACGAGAAACCACAGATTTCTACCGCTCACACATCGGAAAGGAAAGAACACGGTATTTGAGCTCACCTGCAAGCCAAGCTCAGTCTCGGGTCCAGAGCAAGCCCGATTGACGCTGCAGGACATGACAATGGGATCATCATGGCTTGCCTTCGTCAACAACATCTCCGACGATTGTGTGTGGGTCAATATTTCACCCACAATTCGCGGAAGAATTCGTGCCATCGACATCTTCTCCGATCTGTCACTTGCTGCCAATTTGCCTCGTAACTTGCCCTTAGGCTCTGCTCTACGGGTCCGAGTCCTCAATGTGGACGCCGAGAAGGGACATTTGGATCTAACCGGACGCCCCGACGGGACGGCCAGCTCTCTAACGTTTGCGAATATCTCGACGGGGCTGGTACTCCCTGGGCGGGTGACGAAGGTTACCGACCACAATGTCATCGTCCAGCTTAGTGAGCAGGTGGTTGGTGTTGTTGAGTTGATTGACATGGCGGACGACTACGCTGAAGCAAACCCCGCAAAGTACCAGAAGAATGATGTCCTTCGGGTCTGCGTGGTCAAGGTGGATGCTCCCAACAAGAGGGTCAATCTGTCAACCCGGCCTTCCAAAGTCCTCAGCTCGTCAATGACTGTTACCGACCGAGAGATCAATTCACTCGAACAATTAGCTGTCAATGATATCGTCCGTGGATTCATCAGTAACGTGGCCGACAAAGGAGTCTTTGTGACATTGGGTCATGGCATCACGGCATTTGTTCGGGTTAGCAACCTGTCGGACAGCTATCTGAAGGAGTGGAAGGATCACTTTCAGCGCGATCAGCTTGTGAGAGGGAGGGTCATTATGGTTGACAGGGATTCCGGTCACATCCAGATTAGCTTGAAGGAGTCGGCACTAAAACCCGACTACAAAGCGCCTCTCACCTTCAATGACTTGAAAGTGGGAGACGTTGTGACTGCCAGAGTCGTCAAGGTTGAGTCCTTTGGAGTTTTCATTCTCATCGACAATTCCGAGAACGTGCGTGGGCTCTGCCACCATAGTGAGATCGCCGAACAACGAGTCGAGGATGTCGGCAAGCTGTTCAGTGAGGGGGACAAGGTCAAGGCCAAGGTGTTGAAGATCGATACTGCGAAACGCCGCATCAATTTTGGCATGAAAGCTTCATATTTTGGTGATGCCACAGAAGATGCAGAAAGCGATTCTCCATCTGAGGATGAAGCTGAGGAAGGTGGTGCGCATCTCGACCAGGAACCAGAAAGCTCCGAAGACGACGAGGAAGCACTGTCCCAAGATGAGGACGAGCAAGATTCGGAAGGAAATTCAGAGGACACTGACGAGAGGCTTGAAGACGAGGCTCAGGAGTCAGAAGACCACCAAAAAGGCAGCGACGTCCTCCGGGATGCCACGAAGCCGACCGACAGCAAAGGTCTCTCCGTCGGGGGTTTCGACTGGTACGGCATTTCCGAACCCGCGCGAAACAAGCGGGCGGCTGAAGCATCGGACTCGGAAGCCGAAGACTCAGCCAAAGCACCCAAGAAGAGGAAGAAGCGAGCACAAATCCAGGTCGACCGAACAGCAGATCTGGACGTAAATGGACCTCAATCGGTGGACGACTTCGAGCGGTTACTCTTGGGCGAACCTGATTCATCTCTGCTCTGGCTCCAATACATGGCCTTCCACCTTGACCTAGGCGACGCTGATCAGGCACGGCAAATCGGCGAGCGGGCCTTGAAAGCCATCGGCCTAGGTCAAGATGAAGAAAAACTCAATGTCTGGGTGGCACTGCTCAACCTAGAAAACGCCTATGGTGATGACGAAAGCATCGAGGCCATGTTCAAACGGGCATGCGAGTATAATGATCCGCAAGAGATCTACTCGCGATTGACCAGCATCTACATTCAATCGGGAAAACATGACAAGGCGGACGACATGTTCCAACGCATGTTGAAGAAGTTCACGCAGGACCCCAAAATGTGGGTTAATTATGCGCATTTCTTATTCGATACGATGAGCAACGCGGAGAAAGGGCGAGCACTTCTTCCGCGAGCTCTTCAGACTCTGCCTCGATTCACGCACTTTGACGTTACCTTGAAATTCGCTCAGCTCGAGTTCAAATCGTCCCACGGGCTAGCTGAGCGGGGACGGACGATCTTTGAAGGGTTGATCAGTTCGTTCCCCAAGAGGGTGGATTTGTTCAACGTGCTTCTCGACCTGGAGCTCAAGCTGGGAGAGGAGAATAAGGAACAGGTACGAGGGTTGTTTGAGCGAATATTTGGTGGCAAGTTGAAACCCAAGCAGGCCAAATACTTCTTCAAACGGTGGATGGAGTTCGAGGAGAAGGAAGGAGATGAACGGCGGGTCGAGGAAGTCAAGGCCAGGGCAGCGAAGTGGATCCGCGATGCTGGCAAGTAAGTCGGCGAGGGGAAAAAGAAAATCGGATCTGGGTTGGTGCTCTGGCACGATCTGGCCTATACGGCGGGAGTGCCGAGAGAGTGAGACATGGAACAGTCGAAGGATGTAGATGGCTGTAACGCTTGCTGGTGGATTCTTGGTACAACATAAAATGAGATCATGGCACAAAACCGCAAAATGTCATTGTGGACTCATGAGACGGTGGTCTCCGAGAGCTTCTTCCTCCTCCTCTTGTGAGGGGACAAGTATCAGATCTTTTTTCTTTCCCTGCGGTGCCTGAGGTGCCTGGTGGTAAAATTCTCAGTGTCTGGCCACTGCCACAAGAAGCGACTATTAGCCAAGAGGAATTCCTGAGGCCAATCGTCTGTGTTCGACGACGGATCCATTGTTCCGTTCGCTGGAGCCCATGAAGTCACATTCGTCGGCCCTGAGCGCATCGGCAGGGGGGACAAATAGGGCTCGAGAGGTGGTGTGGATATTGTTACTCGACGGAAAAGAAAGGCGAGCAGCAGGGGAGCGAGAAATTCTCGGTTTTTTTTCCTTTTCTCTCTCGTAACATCTATCAAGTAATGGATGGAGAGAAGTGAGCGACGGATCAGGATCTTGACGGACGGACAAGTGGGCAAAACTTAGCGACGGCCTTGTCCACCATCAGAGCTGAAGGGCCTTCTTTTTCTCGATGCGATGCAAAGTTTTGGATGAATAATAACATGGTATAAGGAGGAAATGAACATTAGCTCTGGGATGTTGTTGCCTGGAAAGGCAGGTGAGAAACAAGGACCCTGGCCGACCTGAAAGAGAGGAGAAGGAAGTTCGCAGAGCCACGCAGGCATCAGTATTCCCCGGCACCACAGCGTGGGTGTGGGCTTGCTTTTGCTCCAGGTGCCAGGTCTCCAGGTCGCCAGGTGGCATTGTGCCCGGAAGAGTGGTGCCAGAGGCCGCGTGGTTTTCCGTTGCAGGCGTCTGGCCGCTAATTGCAGCCTTAAACTGGGCCCCAGCCAGCCGGAAGCACCCTTCACCACCCCTGAAATGGCCCTAGGTCCCCTAGACCACGCTCACCCTGGTGCTTCCGAGTGGCTGATGTGGCCCCAGGGGCATTGTGTGGCTCCAGGTGGCTCCTATCGTCATCATCTCTTCCGATCATCCATCATCCCACGACCCAAAGGCTCCCATTTCCAATCCCAGCTGCACAGTACGAGTCCTCCCAGGCGCCTTGGGGGTGGTGCTCGCGCTCTGCTGGTTACGCTTACGGCTGCAGGCTAGTTCCGGAAGGGCTGCCCATCTCCAACCAATCGCCCTCGCTTGATATCGCCGTTCGTCTCTTATCTTCAGCCAGCACACGACCTTCACTTCTCTCTCACCAGCTGCAACAGTCCAAACATCAACCCATCATATCCACGGGGTATTCATTCGCTGAAACCATCTCCCCCCCTCCAAAATCCCCAGACGGTGCTCCGTAACAGGGCTGCATCATCATGCCATCCGCTGCGTCTTCCTCTGATCTATTGTTCCCTCTATTATTGCTATCTCAGTTGCTTCACTCCCAGCTGCCTCTCTACAGAAACCCCTGATTCAGCCTTATTCGATCCACCCTCTGCTCTAGGCTGCTCCGGCATGCCCCCCGGATCCGATTCTCTCGTCCGCCGATATTCCTAATCAACAAATATCTACTCCTCCAGGTCTCTCCCCCGTAGACCATCCTGCGGACATCGCCATGATGATGGTCCCTAGGGCTTTCGCCCACAACCCACTGGCACAGAGGCAACAAACCATCGACTTCAATGAGAAAGAGAAGGACAGGTTATCATCCCGAAGGCAGCCGCGAGACACCGCCCCTCGACCACCTCCTACCCGTTCAGCTCTCACCCAAGTTCTTTCTCAAGAGCCAGCCGATTCTCCCCTCAGACCCTCCTCAGACCCCGTCAGGATACCTTCGCGGACAACGGAGACACGGACTCACATCATACCTCGACAGCCAGTCAGCTCCTCCCAGTCGTCAAGACATCTCTCGCCCGGAATTGCCGGTTCTCAGTCACTGGAAATTCCAAGGAGGAAACAATCAGCCCACGAGGTCTTGACCTCGACTACTATTCCGGTTCGACGAAAGCCCAAGCAAAGATCGAGCCAACGCCTGCCAAACTGTGATTACGTCGCAGATTTTAGTAAACTCTTGAGGGATGATGTACTGCCTAGCACTGATGCGAGTCCATCAGGGAGTTGGACAAACCCACAATTTGAAGGACTGTTTGGAAATATTGACGGCCTCGTCGAGGGCCAAATGATTGTGGGGAGTGAGAGCCTCGACCCGGGGATCCTGTCCGCGAGATCACTCTCGACCGAATCGATGCCTTCTCTATCTTCACCAGACGACTTTAGCAGTCTTTCTCCCGCAACCATCAGGTCTCCTTCTGATCAGCGGTTGCGGCAAATGGCCAGTTCAGAGGATTGCAGCAACGAGCATCCCCTCCTGCCCAAGGACGAGGATGAGAATTTTAGTGGAGCGTCGACGCCCGAACTTATCATTTCACCACCGGCCAGGATGAGACGAAGGCCAATCATCCCTGATAAAAGACAAAGTTCGTTCAAGTCGAGTCTGACGGCATCTCTCAAAGCGCTCAAGTCTGCTGCTCAAACCGTATCTGATTTGGCAAGCTACCCGCCGCCGATGCAACCAGACGAGCTCCTTACAAGATCTGTCTTCGAATTCAGGCCCTCCCTCACCGACGACCGACGACCTCCGCCATCAGACGAACCACCCTCGGCAGCACTCAGAAGGTATCTGAACCCACGTACATTCGTCCCGCCTGACTCCCCCGCCCAATTGCATTTCTGGGTCGACGAAAAGCCCATTGCACCTTCATCATCTGGTTTGGACACGCGACCAAAACTCAAAATCAAGAAGAAATACCGAAGTCAGAGATCGCTTGCCCCTCCTGCCAACGAAGCTGCCCCATTTCTGGCTTCCAAGAGTGTCGTCTCCCAACTCCCCCCTGTCGTCCAGCTTGCAACATGCATTCCCTCGACGATCCGCACCGCGCACGCCTCTAGCCCGCCAACTTGGCTCGAACCTGACGGCACTCCGAGCAACAAGTACCGTGCCGCCCAGACGTTGTGGGCCGATCCCGAGAATGGCATAGAAGAAGGTCAGCCGCGATCACGCGAGCCTCGAGAGAATCGAGATTTCTTACGAGTTTTTGTGTGTGAGATGAACATGCGCAAGAGTGGAAAATTGAGCGACGATGCCGTGGGCCATGCAAAGTTATGGTTGCCGCCTGTTGATGAGACGTCGAAGAGCAAAGACAAGGAGTCGGGTGACCTGGACGGGAAGAAGGCTGTAAAAGGGAAGGGAAGAATGATAGACGCGAGGGAAAGGTGGAGGAGTTGGTCAATCGAAGATTTGTAACACCTTACAGATGGATGGTTCGTTCGGAGATTGCTGTTTTTACCTAGGTGACGGCGGCCTGGAGCATAGAATTGACAGGGAAGGGACACGGACCCGGTCCCCAAAGGACCACCATGACGAATGATGACTGCAAGCGATGAATACCGGCTACTGGATGAATGCATGAAGTGAAGCGAGCCCGGTCGAATCCCTTTGGGGAGGACAAAAGAAACTGTACAATACATCAGCATTGATCTTTTTCCTGTACAACGAAACAAGGATTGTTGGGCTTCAGATACGACTCGGACCTTGTGAGGGACCCGTGACGAAAGGAAGTTGTCTCTATGGAAAAGTAGTCTGAGCGCTGTTTCGCGATAGGTATTTGTACGGAATACATGCCTTGAGATGGCTGGATATTCAATACTACGTTCACGGCATGTTTTAGGATCCCCGACTGCCGAGGGCATGGAGGGGGAACAACTCCCTGAGGTTTCCTAGTACTTTGTGTACCATATACTCCCGTGTACCTCATCCTTTGAGTCTATGAGCCAGCGGAAGCAGCCCCCGTCTACCGAGTACATTTCGTGGTGTTGGGTGGTGAGGTGTGGTGTGGCGAGGACTCTTGTCTCCTGGTGCCCCTGGGTACGGACATAGTATCTAGGTAGGTAGGTAGGTAGGTAGGTATCTATGTATCTAGTCAGAACAAGCCGGCTCCATCGTGACTCGTTTGTCGAGATTTCCAGACGAGTGGCGCCAAGAGTTTGGATGGCCAACATGAGCATGCCAGGACTGGACTGGAGAGGAGAGGAGAGGGACTGCATGGGTCGACGTCTCCTTATGCGCCGTGGGGTGTTGTCCCTTCTCGGGGAAAAGTTGGTCTTCTCATCTGGCGATGTATGCCTCCTCGTCAACTCTCGTTCCCTCTTTCCAACAAATATCAATCCACTCGCGGGTCACGATTCGTGGGATTTTCCTCGTCCCCCACCGCGAGACCTGTCTCCTCAAGCCTCCGAGATCTGAAGCAGGGTCGGCGATGATATGGGTGATCGTCGATCGAAGGTTGGAGGGCACCGACGAAAGGGCGGTGTACGTGGGTGAGAGGAGGTGGGCACCCGCGAACTGGGCAAGCGCTTGGGTACAGTAAGTTGCCGTCACCGCTGCGGTCTTCGAGGTGGTCTTCGAGTTCGAGCTCGACAATGGTGCTGTTGCCTTCTGCGCCGCGGGAATGGGCTGATCGAAGAAGAGTACCAGCCCGTGTAACATGAACCCCTTCATATTGAGGAACTCGTCGCCGAAGAGGTCTGGAATTCTCTCTCCTTCCTCTTCTTCAATGTCGACAATGCCCATCTTGGTCATAATCTCTTTCAGCTCCTCCTCACTTACATCCCTCGCAAAGCTATCCCCATACTCGTCCACGTTATCCTCGAACAGCTCTCTCATGTTGTCCGGGATGAAATAGAGGTGCCGTTCAGGCTCCAAGGGAACGACCATCTCTTCCGCATATCCTCTAGCGAAGTCCCGCTTCGCTTGGTCAATGCAGTCAAAGATCCACATCGGCTTGACGATTTCCTTTTCACCGCGCTTCTCCAGAGATGCCACTTTGACAGTTCTGCGGGAAGCGATGCACACCACAGTTTCCTGATCTTCAGAGGTTGGAGCTGCTGTTTGCACGATTTTGCCGCCATTCGCCTTGACCAGGGCTTCCAGCTCGAGTTTCGACTTTTTTCGATCCCCAGGCAGAGCGGATTCCGTCATGATATAGAAAGTCAATCCTTCGAAGACGGTTCCCCTCGGTCCCTCCGGCAACTTGACATTGTTCACATCTCTGGCATTGTATCCGGCCACCGTGAGCGGTTTCTTCCTACTCGCATATCCGCCAGCGCGGCCCTTGCGTTTCTCCTTGCGCTGCTGGTCAACTTTCATCGCTTTCTCCTTCTCCTCATGCTCGGCTTTGATTTGTAGATCTTCAAACTCATTGACAGAGAGGGCGGTCTTCCAATCTTTGTCCCTTCTGAGTCTCATGAAGCGAGGAAACCGCAATGTCTTCCCAAAACCATAGTCTTCGCTGATTGTGACTTGTGCAGCTTTCACCTGCACAACGAGTGAGTCGGAAGGTTTGATCCACATATCTGGTCTCTCCTTAAGCAAGCTCAAGTTTCCCAGGTCGATATAGTCTTTTGCAGCCGGCCGACGGGAATCCCAGGGATGCCATTTCCCGTCTGTGGCGTGGCGGATAGTCGCGTAATCGTTGGCCGTCATGCCACCACCAACCTTGAAGAAGGAAATAAAATTCTCGGTCGGGCCCTTGGTTTCGGACAATTCACCTCCTTCAGCTTGGGCCTGAGATTGAGTCTGCTGCCGCTGCGCGGCTTGATCCTGGCTTTGGCTTTGACTGAGGGACTTTTGTTGACGTCGTTGACTATGGCTTTGGCTCTGACTTTGAGACTGGGTCACTCGTTGCACAGCCTGGCCTGAGGCACGCAGGCCGCAAAGAAAGCTAGATAGGTTTCCGCCACGTCTCCCCGAACCATAAAAGCCGCCAATGATAAGACAGTCAAGCTCCTCTCCAAATCCATCCATGTACTCTGGCTTGACTTTCTGCCAGTCGCCTGAACGGTCATCTAGACGATACATGGATCTTGGGTTCTTGAGGACCAAACCCTCGGAAGCCTCAGCCACGACCTTCCGAAGAAGGTCTTCAATATCTTCCACTTTTGTTGCCACAGTGTATTCATGGATTTCGAAGCGTTCGGGTAGACTTTTTACGCTGGCAGCCAACGCTTTGCGGCGATCTCGCAGGGTATAACGACTCAGAGGCTGATCGTTCAGCAAAAGTATGTCGAAGATTCGGAAAACAGGTCGGTGGCCTTGGCCGAAAGGATTGCGTTGTTCCGCCAGTGCGGCAGTCTTTAGCGTTCCGAAAGGCACCAATGCTTTTTCATTGGGGTCCCACGTTATCATTTCCCCATCGAGGATGATGTTCTCTACCCCGTCTGCGAAACAATCTTTGATGTGCGGAGTGAGCGCGCCGTTTGGGTCGTGAAAACCGTCGCCGTACAGATAGGTGTAGTCTTTGGCTTTTCGGGACCAGAATCGGAAGCGTCTCCCGCCTGGCTGGGTGTCGTCGGTGACCATATGCATCTGTATGCGTTCACCGTCTAGTTTCTCCTCAATCCAGAACTCGGGGTCATCGGGGGTTGGCCTCAGAGCCTCGACGACCTTATTGAGAGATTCTTGCTTGAATTGGGCTAGCATAGGCTGGAAACACTGCATCAGGGCGACTCCAGCCTCTTCGTCTTGGAGACGGACTTCGGGGCTGTACAGTTCCCAGCACACTCTTCGTAGGTTGCTGGAAACGTTGAAGAGACTCTCTGCGTCAGGGTGCCAGAGGTGGAAAAAGGTCTTCTCGGTAGCACCCACTTTCATCTGTTTCAGAATCACACGAATCAACCACATCAGCTCTTCCGCATTCATGCGCTTGTAAAACTCGGCCAAGATCGGAAGCTGGTTCTCCTCTCTTGGAGCTCCTGACAACTTATCCAAGAGCTCATTGACTTCTCCAATGGTCATGTCTCCAACTTCGACCCTCATGGGTCGCTTTGAAAGGGCTTCATAGCAGCGACCTGCGAAATCTCCCGCCATGCGCGACGCGGCCGTCTGACCAGGCTGTTTCCAGTTCAACAGACTGTATCCGTCTTCGGAGTTCTTGTCGATCTTCATGATCTTGATAAGTAGTTTGGCGATGATCTTCTCTTTAAGCCCGTATACGCCACGTTCACGGTCTTTGTCTGGGATGATAAGACGGAAGGCTGGGAAGAAGTCAGGGCCGACCTCCTTACGCCACCGAGCAATGTATCGTTCAATGATTGCGCGCCGCCTCTCAGATGGAGAGAGATTGGAGTGGCCATCTGGACCTACTTTTCTGCGGTTGACAATGGCTGCTGTTGGCTTCTTCTGCCTGTTGTCAATCAAAGGATTGAAGAGGTCCTCGAAGAGGGTGTGAAACGGAAGAGTCTTGCCATGGTTGCGAGGGCGGTTGGGGTACTCCTTGTCTAACTGTTTCTCAAAGTCTGCACGGCTAGGCGCATCTTCGTGTCTGGATTCATCGTACATACTCTCGTCGTCAGACATCTTGAAGATCGGACCGACCGTCTGAGTTGAGATGAAGTGACGCTAATTGCGCACTGGCATGCTCGGGGTAGATGATGGATCCTTAGCTGCATCGTCAGGTAGGCTGCGAGCGGCAACTTGATGGGTGGTGTGTCCTCGTTCCGTTGCCTAGGAGTGAAGTCATGCTTGCTTTGAATCTTGACCTTGACACGCCAAGACGCGAAGTCACGTGCCGATCACGGACCCCGTCAAGGCGGAAATCAAAGGCTTACGAACCAACCTTCAGCTTCCCTTTCCCCTTCTCCTGTTCCTCTACATGCTTCCACTTTCTGTTCTCTGCAGCCTTCATCATTCGTTCGGCAGCGGGCTTCAAACCTTGCTACACAGTTGGAGTTATTGAGATGTGATGAATCCCTTACTAAGCTCATGAGAGTCGTCCTGAGTGTCCCATTCGCTTGAATTGTCCGATGCTTCGGCATCCTCTACTTGACCCGTTGTCAATGGATTGATGAGTGGGAAGCAGGCACGGCGTCCTCCTGTGGCGCCAAAGCCCTCCTTTATCCAGCAACATAATGCCACAGCCAAACTCTCCCCTCTGCCCTCACCCGCCCTCCAGGGTGCCACTTTAGCATTTGGACCGTCCGCGGCAAAACCACCCAATATCTCCGTCTCCGCATCACATAATCCATCTGCAGGAGCCCTGCTTGCGGCAACCACTGCCTCTATCAGGAAGCAGCAACAACATCAGAATGAGGTCCCCTCACAAGACTCCGCCGTCAATCCTCGGGGTCGAGCCTTGACAACAGAAAAGCTGCCGGTCGCAGTTTCCGACTACTCCTCATTGTCTCCTCCCAAGCCGGGGCTTCGGCCTCATCCTCCTCGATCTACGTCTGCCGTTGCTGCCGTCGCTGCTTCTGCAAAGACAAGCCCTGTCCGCAGGCCGGATTTGAAAAGAGACCAGGTTAGCTCGTATCTGGCGAGACGGGATCCATCCCAGGTTCGAAGTCGGGGCATGAGTACAAGTAGCAGCAGCGAGACTGTCCAGTCACTCCAACAGAGCGCGGCTGCCCTCGCTGGCGCAAAGGCCTCGATGACAACAGCTCCGGTCCAGGTGCAGACTGCGACGGGGGAGAAGCATAGAAGCGACATAGGCTACCTCTTGAATCTGCCCCTCTACTCTGCTCAGACCTCATCGGCGCCGAGTCCGTCTCTCTCCGGGGCTACGGCCGCTGCCACAGCTTCTAGGAACGCTGCTAGTCTAGAGGCCAGACGAAGAGCTCTCTCAACCTCTGAAGAGAGCAGTCCCAGCGCACCCGTGCTCCGGAATCTTACCGTGTCCCCTCAATCAACCACTGGCTTAGGATGGCCGCGCCTCAGAGTGACTCCTCCACAGACCGACTCCGAGAGCGACACCGGATGGCCGAAGGTCGAATACACCCCCAAACATCTGCCGGCTCCTGTCCCACTACGTGCCAACCGTGCAGCAATCGTCGCACAAGAACAAGCTTCGACCCAGGATTCGCGAACAGGAATGACTGCAAGTTCTCTGGCGGACGCTATGGTTGCGGGCTCCATCGCAGCAACTCACACCGGCTCTCGCGGAGCCTCTCCTGCTTCAAAGAAGGTTCCGCCACCAATACCTCGTCGCCGCTCGAAGTCGGTGGGCGCCTTTGGAAGCGCCCGACAGTTAATGCACCTTCCTGCGATAAGGAGTGAAACAATCTCGCAAACACCAAAGTTAAAACCGCTCCCCATGCGACCTATGAGACAGACATTGCGGAACAACTCGCCCGATCGTGACGAACAAACCGAAGAAAAGCGTGGGCGTAGACATTGGAGACGACATCCTAACATGCACCATGAAGGGGATCGCAAGCGGTGGAGAGACAAGGTTACGGAGCGGGAGAGGAAGCGGTACGAAGGGGTGTGGGCCGCAAACAGAGGATTACTTCTCGATTACGACCTAGACAACCCCGACTTGGAGTCGAGTAAGGATGGGACTCCGGCAAGTGACTTGGTTGTCAACGTTGTGGTTCGAGATATCTGGGAGCGAAGCCGTTTGCCTAAAGATGTGCTGGAAGAGATCTGGGACCTGGTTGCGCAGCCCGGCGCGAAGACGCTCAATCGGGAAGAATTTGTGGTGGGACTCTGGCTGATTGATCAGAGGTTGAAAGGGAGGAAGCTGCCTGTCAAAGTCTCGCCGAGCGTTTGGTCGAGTGTCCGGCATCCACAAGGGGTCAAGATCTCTAGTAAGGCGCTGCACAAATAAAGAGTTTATGAATAGACTTGTTCACACGTCCAGACATGACTGATCAAGGGATCTCGATTGATTGGTAGAGGGCATTGTGGACATGGTGGATATGACTTGGCCCCTGAGTTTTGGCAGCCTTGACGGTTGTTGTAGTGGGTCAGGACAGCAGCAGCAAAGGTTTAGAACGGACTGGCAATATTCTACGGTACGAGGTTCATCGGTGATGGCATCGCATGACAGCTGTAGTGCATAGTTTGTCCTAGTAGAAGCTCTCTGCTTGACCGCTCTGTTGGTCGTGCTCTTTGTATGTAATGATAGAAGGACATGTACGGAGGTAGACGCGACGCCCCCGCCCAATCGATGCAGCCAGTCGCACGAATCTGTGTGGTTCGGCGGTGAGGAAATTGTCGGCATACATTATTGCTGGTAGGATCCTACCCACTCGAGGCAACGGGGACGCAGGATGGGATGGTACGATGGATAGGGAGATTGAGCTCGGTAGATGTACCTGTATGTGCCTGATGTAGCCGGTACAGGACGAATACACGGTAGTTGTTTGGTCTGAAGGCCGGGCCGCGCGAGCCGCCTGGATGTACGTATGTATGTATGTATGTACGGCTGTCCGTCTGCGCCTGTCTGGTGACTTGCCTCTCCTCTCCTGTATTCTAGCTCTGCTCTGCTCTGCTGTCACTATCATGCATGTTCTCTGGCTGAAACGCCCCATTACCGATTCCATCGGTGCCGTGCCGTGCGTGGGATGATAATTCCAATTCCAGAACTGGGCCCCTCATCGCCCCGATCATCGCAGCTCTATTGCCCGATACCGCTGGCCCCTCTACTCGACACTAAGGAACTAGGAACCAGGATATAGCGGTGGCGGCAGTGGTGGCAGTGGTGGCGGTGTTCCGAATCATAATGACTTCAGGTGAGGGGAGGGACAAACTCGCGCGAAGGAGGAGGAGGAGGGGTAAGAACGATAATGGCCCAGAACAGCGCCAGCGCGAGCGCGGTTCTCTGGAGGAAAGACCTGGGCGAGACCAGGTGATCACTGCAGCTCACCAGGGATACAATCGTTACCTGCATTGGTAGAAATTACCCTCGCTACGTAGCGACCCCTCCGTATTAGGCATGGAGGGCACGCCGATTGGAAAGGGCGAGAGCGAAAGGGAGCAATGATCGACGGCAGCAGCGAGAAACCCGGAATCAAGATTCCACAAACACCCCCCAACCCACCTACCTCGGACATGTCGAGTAAGTAAGCGAGCAGAGGCCGAGATAGAGAGCATGTTCTCGATATTTCCTCGGACGGAGGGGGGCGCAGCGGGGTTTGCTTGGAGGAGTGGCCCTCTAGACGAAATGGCTGACAACCTCCATGTAGGTAGTTGTATGACTTGACTCGACGCTCAATGCCCTCAGTGGTAGATATCTAATCCTTTGTAGGTACCTAAGGTCTACGAGATTTGCTGTACCAAACACCGGGTGGGATTGTTTGTCCATCGGATGATCGATCCGCCGGCGTCGATCGCCCGCTCTCATTGGCAAGACGCGGTGCCGATGCCGGGCAAATGGATACGGAAATGTCTGGTCGACATTGAGGATAGAGGGATAAAAAAAACCTGGCATGGTGCGAACGAGACGGGGAGGCCGAGCATTGAGAAAATCATTGACGAAAGATTTGTGTAATTGATTCATTTCCCTCCTTGTCCACTTCTCGATTAAAAATACAACTGATAGACAATCTCAGATCTCCCGTGCAATGCGGGAGAAATGGATGGCGGCCGAATTACTGTACATAGACCATGGATCGCAGATCTCGGTGTTTCCAGTCCACACCCGGGGACCCTATACGGCAGAGTGCATTCCCTACATCCCAGAATGGAGACTCACTCCTCCCCGACCCCTCGCCCCAGGCTGACTTGTCAAAAGCCACGACTACTGAGGTTCGGTGGGAAGGGGGGAAGCCTGATGTCCCATTCGAGAGGGGTGCTCATGCGCGGTCCCTTGCTTCCTTTCCTTTCTTCCCGGGAATGTCGACGACCTGGTCGTTATTCCGGTGAAGCTTCCCTGACACGGTCGAACTCATCCTCTGTCGCTGCCATCGCGCCGGTGGACCTCCGTAGCATCTAGCTCAACTGGAGATCCACCGTCGATATTCCCAGGTGATGGTGGCATTGGCAGCGATGGGAGAGTCGAGATCGTAAAAATCGTAGCCTCGCGGCTCAATAGATGCTCTAAAGCAGGGGGGTATCAAGTTGTCGTAAAGGCATATCGTGTCTGGCATCCAGCCCATCTAGTCGTCGCCGTCGACTTCGATGGCCGTCTCCCGGACTGTGACTGGTCGGTTCTGCTTCCAGCTCTGGCCGTTCAATTCGTACGTCGAGTTCGCAGCCGACGGTGGAGGGGGAGCTCGTCTCCTGGGGCTGGCCGGCGCCGAGTTGGACGGGGCGTCCTTGGTCTCCACAGGCGGGACCACACCAGTCTGAACGGCGTAGACTTTGGGGTTGGTTTGCGACTGTTGCTCAATGGTCGTGTCGTCGTCGACCTCGCAGTCAAAGATGGCAACCTGGTCGTCGACAGACATGGCATCCTCGTATTCCTCGTCGGATGCCGAGTCTTCGAAGGGGTCGCTGTCCGTGTCCGACTCGGAGTCGACCACCACGGTCTCGGACGGGGTGGCTAGGTCCCGCGACCATCGGCGAACATTGTCGACAATGGAGGCGTGCAAGACAATGCGATGGAGGTCGGGGGTTTGTCGGCGGCACTCCCGGTCGAGCTTGGTCTGGGAGAGGTGGTAGACCTTGTAGGCCTGGATGGCCGGGTTGGTGGATGTTGAAGCGAGCATGGTTGTGGTTGTGGTGGAGGTTGGTAGTTGGGGATGGTGTGTCAACGCCCTCAAGTACTCAGTACCTGTTGGTTGGATATGGAAGTCGACCTTTGGTTGTTGTTGGGAAGGAAAAGAAGTGATCAAGCTGGGATGGGACGGAGGAATATATCTTTTGGATAGGAAAGGGATAGAATCAAATAGCCGGGGTATGGGCGGTGAAATTCAGGATGAATGGAACCACGGGCTTTGGGTTGCGAGGGTAATTAATTACCTTTCCCCGGCGACACACGGGCTAGTGTGGTCTCTCCGGCTTTGACAGACGCCATAGCATCCGTCAGAGAGCGGAAAGAAGCACAGGGTGAAGCGCATTCATTTCGGAACAGGCGGGTGGGTGACTAGGGACGCCCTAGCGGAGCATTTTCAGGCCAGGGCGACAGGAAGGGAAGTCGTGAGGTAAGCATGCAGGGCGTCGTAATAATGGACGAGGTGACAGCGCAACATGCAGGACGAGCAGCTGCTGAGATTTTTCGGAGGCCGGCGTCCAGTCAAGACTCGGAGCAAGGATCAAGCGACACGCTACGCCATGCACCCCGGGGGTCACTTTGGCCTAGTAATACGCATTGAGGAGGTGCTCGTCATCTGTGAGATGGAATCATAGTCATTGGTATGAGAGTGACTCTATAGAAGTAATATAGGAACAAGTGACGGAGGTGAGGCAGAAGTGAGGTGTGAGGACCCAAGGGAGCTGGAGGTGAGAGGAGCGTGAGAGAGGGAGAGGGAGAGGGAGAGTGAATAGGTAGGTACCTGTCACTTCCTCCTGTCCAACTCCATAGTACGATAGAAGTAACGTGACTGTCCCACTAATGGGGGAGTACTTAGTAGGTAGTGGGCAATGACGTAGCCGCCTCTCTTCCTCCTCCTCCTCTTCCTCCTCCTGCTGCCGAATTGCCGCCTGTTCCATTTTTCACTTTCCCCTCCGTACTACACTACGGACTACTGACCTCTCCCTCACCTCTACTCGGGCCTCTACTCGGCGGTAGGTCTCAGTTTACTCAACCTGACTCTTGCAAAGGTCCGAAGCTTTTCCCCGGGTGCAACGCAACTCTACAACCGCCCGCGCGCGTGTGAAACTTCATACGTATACGCTATTCCACTCTGGCGGTTAATTGTTTGGGGCAAGGTCCTCAGGCACTCAGACCACCTATCCCGGTTAAACCATCCCTGCTCCCAAAGGTAAGGTGACCACTGCATCATCGGTGTTGGCGGTATATACACCGCCAACCCTCACCGAATCTCCAGGAGCCAGGAGCCAGGAGCCCTGGCTGTCACCGACATGCCTATGCCCTCTTTGATGACTTGAGCAATGCACGGCGGGCACTGTCAAGGTTCTAGACTTGCATATCAGTCGATCTTTGCCAAAATGCACCCGACCATAGTGTACTCGTTCGGTGCCGATACAAACCAGATTGCCTAGGTAAGCTTTCCTTACTCAGTCAGGCCCCCGCATTCATGCACCGGGCGCGCAAGACCACCCTGCAGTTGATAGGTCGTGATTGACCTTGCAGGAAATCGGGACCACGACCAGCCAGTCAAGTCTCTAGCTAGCCCGTCTGTTTCTGCATCCCACTCCTTACTTAATCCTCCTAGCAACTGACACGACAGACACTACTCTGTTGGGAAAGAGGGCCTTAACTGCTCTCGGTACGAATACCTCGTTCAGCATCCTTCCAGAAGGCGCACAGTCCACCATCGCAAGACGCCAACCATTGTGACGGTTTCAGATTATGGACATCCACACTTGCTGACCTTATCTCTTCCCGTCACATGTGCGGCTGGTACAAAAGGATAGACAAGTCTTGGGAACTGCCAAATCAAGAAACATTCCAGAAGGACTCGCTAGAGGATGGATCCCTCGACGCGCCTTCAATCTCCAGAGGCCCTGTCTTCACATCGAACTGCGACCCCCTATCATCTGCGACTTCCTCAAACATCAGTCCCGTTGAAGGATCTCAAGGTCACTCCCACAAATGTCACGGGCCCCAGTAGATTCCCTTTCTGGCATCCTTCTAGAAGTCCCATCATGTTCTCCACGAGCGGATCGACGCCTTCTCCACTGAGCGGTTTTCCATCCGGTACGACCCCGAATGGACGCCTTGTACAGATCCCTAGCAACATCGAACATCAATCCTAAAGAGAACCCCATATTTTTTCATTGATATTCTGACGCGAAACACCGCGTCACACACGGGAATCCCTTTAATGGCTCACTGGCCCAGTCGATGATGGATCACTGACTCCTTTGATCTACGATCTTCAACTTCTGCGGGCTTGACCGGCGAGTTTCAACCCTTTTTACTCTTTGTCTCGAGTCATTTAACAAGTTCTGATCCAACCGCACATGACCTTGCTCTTTCTCCCAAACAGGACAGAAAGAAATGGCTCGACACCCAATTGTTTGATTCACTTTTCTGGCGGCTAGTCCCCCTTCAACGACTAGCCCAGAAGATCGACGATTGAGGTGCGGGGCGGTCACTTTCCACTGGTTGCCCTCGGAGATCTCTTCCTGGGACGCGGAACTCAGCTTGCTTCACGGGCCCTACCAAAATCTAACTTCCCCTCTCCTTCCGGCACCGACTCCGAATCTAATCCGGGATAAAGGCTCAATGCCGCTCGCGGAAATTCATCGGTGCTGGAGTATGGATCGCTCCGTGGTTGCTACAACGGCGCCGAAAACCCCTCAAATGATCTTCACTGTCAAAAAAGACCAAAAAACTCGACGGTGAGCGGTTTTACTTCTGGCACCGACAACAAAACGGGCAGAAGCACTCTCCAGTGACAACACCCATAGACCGGGGGAATCCTGACAACGGACAATTCACGGTATGAGGTCACTCTTCAAATATTACGAGTCATGCAGCAGCCAAACGCCAAAGAAAAGGAATGTCTCAAATTCCTCGAAATGGTTAGCATTCAGATGCTGGCTGCAGACTCTGAATCTCAAGTCACGGGAGTTCGAAGCACAGAGTTGTCTGGCCTGGACTGTTTGTGTGACACCAATCTACCATATCGACCATGACAGATCACAGACCTGCAAGGGAACATGTTCTGGCCCTTGGAGGGGCCTGCCCAATGCAGTAGGTGCTGGGTGTCTGACATGGCATAATTGATTATATCTGTCCTTACTCAGCCTGCACCCCCACCAACCTTGGGGCACATTCGCTGCACACTCAGCACGCGCAAGGTTTGGCTCTGTGCCATGACATAGTGTCCAATGGCTACATACGCTCGCGTACTCGCTACTCAGGCTAATATCCATTCTTTGCTGCTTTATCATGCAGAACAGTCGAGACCTACAGAAACCGCGGGAACACAGCCTGCCAAGTAGGACGGGCACCCTCTCTGCTGTTGTCGGACTAAGTCTCTCGCTTATGGGACTGAGTATTCAGCCTCAATCCAACAACCTAAAAGCGGGTGAAGCCTGCTCATTGCTAACGCACTATGGGTCCTCCAGCATGATGGGGAACTATTAAACCACACCGCAACAATTCTCAACACACACCAACATGCACACGACGAGTGGTGACAACCGCTCCGGGACGCGCACCAGTGTGTAACTTATAGAGGCCGCTCTAACCCTACCTAGGCCAGGTTGTCCGTCGCACTCTTACGGGCATCAGTCGGTGCATGCTCGAATGCGGGCATCTTTTGCAACCAACTGCTGGTGTCACTGTAGGGGCTTTCAATCTGTCGTCTCCCCAAAGACAATGAGCGACATGGTCCCCCAACTACTAATCTGGTCTGCGGCGACGCAAGCATTCGCTGTCGGATCTAGTTGTTCATGGCCACGAAGTGCCAAAGAGCGTCTGCGTGATCTCTCAGGAGACGGTGAGGCGACCGGGAACGACCCTAGCCAAACACTTGATGAGAGGCCGTCTACTCTGTATATGTCTGGCGCATCACGACCCACTCGGGTGCATCGTGTTGACGCCATAGCCAGCCTCTGGTAGCTCATTTTGAAGCCCGTCACTCCAGCCTATCAAGACCTTGCTCAACGAAGAAATCGATACCTCGAGTTGGAGACAACCACCGTCTTCGGACAGTTGACATGGTGAAGATTTGTGCGTCCGGTACTGACGGCGAGCGCAAACACACACAGCAGTCGCGTAGCTGGTATGGTCTTCGTAGGCTCTCTATGCTGGGAACGTCGCGGTACACAATCTGCAAAGCACAATGTAAGAACACGAGTAGACGAAGGCACGCGCGCAAAGGCTCGGTTGCAATCTTGAAGGGCACGTCGTTGTTTTCCGAAACTATCTGTGCGTGGGCAGTTCAAATATTCGTCTGCCTCAGCCTTACTCCTTAGTCCAGCCAATCAGGACGGACGGTACAACTGTTCCATCACGTGACCTTTGGGAGGCCCTCCCCGGGGCCCTCCCGGGCCCATCCCTGGCCTGGCCCCTCTTCCAGGCTGCTCGTAACAAAGATCTTCACTGATGATCAGTGATATTCCCGTCTTTTTGGCACTTGCCAGGGAATCATGGGCCTATTCCTGACACAGGTGTAGCCAGTTGCTAGGGGGCCTGAACTGGCCCTGGCTGAGTAGCTCTGGGAGTGCTCAGGGCGACCGCTGCTTCTGCCACCTGGTCGGCCTATCAATGCGCCTGGCACTCGTCTAGCTGTTTGACAGGGGGCAGGAAATAGACCTGTACTCGTGATGGAGTAGCATGTCGGATCCCGGCATTTCACCTCTGCCTTCGTCTTCCAACGTCATGTTACACATAGGTCGCGTTAGTGGGGTTATAAAGTGAGGCACTCATGCAGGCTGCCCTGAATTCCAAAGGCTGTCGCCTCTGTTGGGAAAGAGCCGGCGGGCCTGCCTTTCTTCTTAGAAGTAAAAGCATTCGCAGCAAGGGTTTGATTCTATTGTTCCCTCCAACTTCACCTTCAGCCCATCTACCCTTATAATAAGGCCAGTCCAGTTTAGCATGTGCAAAGATGTTTACTCTAATCACCGGGTCTGCCTCACTTTCCATGCAGAGGCGATGGGAGACTCACGGTAGGGCGCGTTGCTTCACGACAAACCAACGCGCATGCTGCTGAAACTTCAAAGCACGGCCAAGCGCCATATTTTGAAGACGGTGAGTAAGGACCAATCTTTTCTGCTCGCCATTTGGGAAGCTGATGCTCTGCCTGATAGGTATTATGCCCAACACCTTTTAAACCCACTCGATACGCCCGCTCAGAAGAACGCCAAAACCTCCACCAGATAGGTGACCGACGATGCCCCCAGAAGATTCATCAGTATGATACACAATTCTCAACGCGTCCTATCCATATAGTCTCGGCTCGGCTGTGCTAAAAGTGGATTCACAAAGCGCGCCCATACTCCTACCAATAAGACCAGTAATCCAACAACCTTGGACGCCGAGATCAAGAATCGGACCGTGTCATTTGGTGACTGGAGTAACTGCGAAAGGAGCCATGAAAAGACGATCATTGGGCGGAGTGCACCTTCTCCCTCTTGTCGCCACATAACAAGGACAGTGGCGACGATCTCTGCACAAATAATAAGTAGACACAGAAACGGCAGTATCAACTTCCCAACGAGCAATATCCGGTTTGTTGCAGGTGTCTCAGACGATCTGCCTTCCTCTGCAGCGTTGGCTGTAAAGTGTCCGAACTGATTGGAAAATGTGGCGTCCGTGGGCTTTGCCTGGACCCCTGACGCATCAAAAGAGTTGCTAAAAGGTATCTTTCCTCGGTCTGATGTTGTCCCTCGATCCTCTGATATCTGGGTTTGCGACTCCGCATCGTTGTTCGAGTCCTCGTCTTCGCCACTAAGGTCGGCAGTTGTAGCAGGTCCAAACGAAAATAAACTGTGCACGTCCTGAGGCTTGGCTATGGCACTGCCGTTAGCCTGAGGTTCGATCCCTGCGGGCTCTGATAAAGGTCAGTCCAATGGCAATGGAGGGAAGTACTGGGACAGACTCGCCTTCGAAGTCGGATTGACCATTCATGGCGCTCATGAGATCTTCCCCAGCGATCATATCCGGGCACCGAGTATTATCTGTGACATACACCCGCTGATTGATCCTCTGTCCAGTCCTTTCCAGCCGGATGTGCACCAACATTTCGCCCGTCGCCTTGAGTTTGACGTTCCCGGCGTACAGTGTTACTGTTTCCGTGACCTCCTCGACCACAGGCAAAACGGGAGTCGTTATCTGGTTGTCGCGCATAAAGGACTGCCGAATCCAAGTATCGGGTATACGATGGTCTTCCAGCCGACCGGGTTGCGACCAGGTATCGTCGGAAATCCAAATTTGAAATCTTGCCCTTTTCTCCCGATCACTCGTCATCCTTCCAGGCTGCGCCATCTTTTGACTTTGACCCCGCATCGGTTGCGAGGATGAGCGCGGCATCGTCAATGCCCGCAAAACTCTGGCGTGAGTCGGGTTCGCAAGCGAGGCATAGTCTCGAGACCAACGACTTGTGGTTCGATCGGCGGTGAAGGCGATCGGGTTTTGGAGGGGCAGCTAGAGATTCGGTTCGTCTGGCAACAATAATGTTGGCTGGGCCGTCCAGCAGTGAATTTCGATGTGAATGAAACGCGGTGACTATGGCGTGTGTGCTGATAGCTAGGCAGGATCGGATTTTGGGCTGCGCAGCGTGGCAAAGTTCGAGGCAGGTACCTTCGTATTGTATTCTTGGGCAATTTTCCAGGAGATTACTGGTTGCGGTTGATGGTCACAAGGGCCGGCAAGATGGCGCAGCCAAACGGCTTCAAAAGCAGAGTATGAACGAGTGGTATGCCAGGATCACAGAATGAACGAGAGCCTTTGACCAAGGTCTGAACTGATATCAAGATGAAGTGAGTGAACTGATTGAGTACAATTAGAAGGTACTCGTAGCGGGGAGCCTGGGAGGTCAACAAGGGGTGTCTGTTAGGGAAACTTAGCCGTTCACCACAGTGAGTGGGCACGTTATCCTGCCGTGACGTTAAGAAAAGCTAGGTTAAGGGACCCGACGATCGTGCACAGGCACAGAGGCCAGACCCGAAGACCCGAAGATTCAGTTTGGCGGACCCCGGAAAATCTTGACTTTAGGATAGGTACCAATTAAGCGTACCTAGGCATATCACGCATTAGCTCGATCCAACATTGAACCACTTCAGACGACAGAAGAAAGACAGAAACACCCTCTCCCGTTGACAAACCCTTAGTATCCCAGGTCGAGAACATATGCGGGTCCATCATAAGGGACTTTGTTGCCGTTCTGGTCGTGGTTATACCACTCATTCTTGACTTTGTCCCACTGCCACCCTTCTTTCTTCATTTTATTCATCCATTTGACCTGTTCATCAAGTTTCTTTCCTCGTCGTTCAACATCGCCGTCGTCTTTTCGGTGCGCTTTCTTCTCCTCTGTCGCGGCCAGTTGTTAGTCATGTGGTCTGGGACCGGCGGTGAGTTCCAATCGGACTGACCTTTGCTGGCCTTGCTCCTCGACGTCAGTGGAGCAACCACATCGAGATCCTCTCCTTTCCAGATCACCAAGCCGCGCTCCATCAGCGACCTGCAGCCGAGGATTACATCAAATTGACTGCTCTTTCGTGCAATCTGGAATTCACATGGTTGTGTGTGGTTCTCAAAGACAGTCGATCCCTTGAGAAGACCTAACGAAGTCACTGGACTGTTGTCGAAGCTGTACCAGCGAGGTTTGCTCTCCTCCCATTTCGCGGGGAGTTGGCTGGCCGATACGATCTTCTCGTTGATCCAGTTATCAATGGCTCCGGTGTCAAGCAGGAACACGCCTTTCCATTCTTTCCCTCCTGGAAAAATCAGCTCCGCTTCGATCTGGTTCATTTTGAGCTTTGGTTTATCGGTCAGGAGCATGCGCCTCTGAGTTTGCTGGTCGGTCATTGTTCTGCTTTGTAGCGCTCGACTGTCGGAGGACGCTTTATTGGTGCGCGGTCTCTGTTGGTTGCTTTGGCCACGAGCATTTCCTTCAGGTGGATAGCTGTCGTCGACGCTGTCGTCATCCTCGTCATCTGTGGTAAGACTCGGTGTGCTGTTTGCCCCTCTGCGTTGTGCTCCACGCTTCTTTGCCTCCAGGTTCTCCTTGTGTGGAATATCGACGGGAACGCCACCAAAGATAAATGCTGAATTGAGGTAGCGCTTGCGATCAAGATCTAGAACGTCATAAGAGTTATCTTGCTGAGGCATGCTCACGGTGCCTACAAAATAAGGCTGGAACAAAAATTTGCCTGCCCGTAGGCAGACCAGCAAAGGGCTTGCGCCGCATCGCCTTTATCTATATCACGCGACAGAGCCCCGACTGCCCCGCATCTGGACCGTGTCTGCGTTGTCCTAGCGATCCGTAGCGATGAGGCCCTAACAACGGATGCCTACCTGGGAGTTCCATTGGCGGTGACAGAGTGACAGCCATTTGGCTGCCCAAACACGTTACACAGCAGGCTTCCAAGCCTACAGGTGCAGCATAACCACTGCGATTTTGCCCGGCTAGAGCGGTAGCAAAACCGGTGAGCAAGCATCAATGCACCTATCTCTGGTCACACATGCAGTGATGCTGCCAATTATCTCCGCGCCCGGTGTTACCCACCTCTGGTGAGCGAGCATTTATAAAAAGTGCCGCCTGGATCTGGTAGCTGTTGCATGCTTTTCGACTGTTAAATTTGGAAACCTTACGCAGAACATGGCTGGCATGCGAGGCTACGATAAGCTCGCGCATCTGATGAGCCAGTATCCAGAATACGGCATCGTCCGCCGATTCCGCGAGCTGAACTACAGAAATATCCTCTATCTCCAAGCCGAGTTAGTGCAGCTTGAGGCAGAGCTGCAAAGCGCAACTAGCGCGGACGCCCGATCCCGGGACCCTGTCCGCCAACATTATGGCAACCACTTTCCCCTTCTGAGCGCCTCTCTGGGAGCCGGCCACGACGTGCAATGGACCACAATGCTCGAAATCCGGAGTAAGCTGGAAAAGTACAGTGAGCCTAAAGTCACCCTCCCTCTTCATGCTCCAAAGAGCATCCACTTCCCAGGAGTGGTAGTCCAAGTCACTGATCATCGATGTTTAACAAGACCAGTGCCTTCAGGACCAAATGGCACTCGCCAAGTTGGGTAGACCAGCAAAGCACAACCTCACCTTCCTCCGAAGCTGGTTTGAGCGACCCCACATGGGCAACCGCCCGATCATCAGCAGCGACAGACATGTCTGGGACGCGGAGAAAGAGCATGACCTCGTCGTTCTCGAACCCGCCGGCTCCGCAGACGCTCTGAGCGACTGGATCTCAGGCCACTGTGTGCCCCTTTACCATCGAACCATCGGTAAACACCACAAAGCCGCCGTCGACTGGGACCCGGCATCGGAGATGTCGTGGTATTCCTCGTCTGGAATCCAGGCGGCCGTCGACGTCGCCGCGACCATTATCTCCTGCCTTTTCCCCATTGGAGCCACCGTCGTCTTGTACTTTGTGCAGAGCATGGGCGCGCGTTTGGGAGCCTTGGCCACCTTCACCGCCGTCTTCGCCTTCTGCCTGGCACTCTTGACGAACGCAAAGCGCGTGGAGATCTTTGCGGCCACGACAGCGTAAGTTCGACCCTTTTGGGGACGTGCCTTCTCAGACGGTATCGAAGTAACATGTGGCTAGTTTCGCCGCCGTTCAAGTCGTGTTCATCGGGACAAATTCTGCGAACCCAGGAGCTTATGGTTGATCGCTCAGGGGTACTCCACGCGGAGAAATATACTCGTATACCCCTTACTATGCCAAGCCTAATGTGGGCGAGACCGCACCGCAAGGCAGGTAAGGGAAGCGAGCGATATCGCAACACTATTTAAAGCCAGGATAAGCTGTCCAGAAGGAGCGACATGAAATGATAGAGGGAGAACTATTGGCTCAGCCGGAATAGAGATAGAAAGTCATGAGAAGGGCACAGGACATTGGGAGGACTGAGTGGCAAGGCATATGAAGTATGTGGGTAACCTCACTGTGTTTTCCCCAGATATTTGGCTGGAACTCGCAGAGTATTTTCTTAGCATACTTGTAAACTCTCTAATTATCTTTGTCATTTCTTCTTCGTTTTTTTGTCTTATCATCAACAATGATCCACCTCCTACCCATGCCTCTTCTTCCCACTTCCTTCTCAACCACATCTCCCTCGTCCTCTTGGACCAGTATTTCCATTACACCAGGCTTTCCATCTATATGCTGTCCCTACACTCGCACTCCTAACACATTTCTTCTGGAGTTCTGGTCCCAAGATTTACGAGGTTGATGCCGAAAAACTCCAAGCCCGAGATTTTCGTAACGACCCTTGGTGCCCGATCACTCTTCCAGCACGAGTGTGTCATGAATGACAAGGCTATTCCTCTTATCTATTACAGCGTCCACATCTTCACTAATAATCATTGATATTCCCGTCTTTTTGGCACTTGCCAGGGAATTGTGGGTCTATTCCTGACACCGGGCCTCAAGACAACGCTGTGCTTCTGATTTGAGGTCGGGCTAGGCAGGTACTGAACGGTAGGTTTGAAGGCTTGGTAACACTTGGTTATTGACTACGAAGGACTTCCTAAAAAGCCCGGTGCCTAGGGAGTGTGTCTATATAGTCGTCCCTTCCCATCGTCCTTTTGAATGGGTCAATGGTACAATGGTTTAGCCACGTTCCCGTGTCCCATTGTCCCATTCCGGATTTGGCTAGTCACGTGATGTGCTACTCTGGTACCTCTTCTGGCACGTGTTCCTCAGCTCAGGGCCACCATCAGGCCCAAAGATGGGGATGGAAAGTGCTCGTGTCGAGATTCCGACGTCGAATTGCCTGTTTCACCGCCGGAATCTTGACATGACACTTTCCATTTCCACCTTTGGGTCTGAGGCGCGACCTGAGGCTCGCCGCTTCAACCTGAGGTGCTGCCCCACGTGACTGATCACGGTGTCAATTCGGCGTGAGGAACGCGTCAATCGTGCCCCAATCCGAGCCAAAATGTCCTGTTCCTGGCACCCTCCTACAGTTGTACCTTTAATACGCCTCAGGTTCCTATCGTCCCCGGAGTGGTGTAAGTAACTATTCCACTCTCTTCCTGCCTTCGCGTCGAATCCTGTGCTCTGCCCTAATACTCAAGAACCCTGCAGTACAGCCCTTGACTGTATCAGACGACGCGGACAAGTGCGATACTTAACAGTGGCGACGAAAAGGTCGACCAGCGGGGAAATGAGATTGGAGGCCAGCTCCTGGATAATATTGCTGAAATTTCCACCAGGTTCGAGGGCTGCTAAAAGCTCGCTGGACGGTTCAGCACAGTGAAAACCAATTGAGAGACTTAAGATATGAGCGTGGAAAGCTTCCATGATGTTCCTGTGGGCGAATTGGGATACATGAGTCGCAGCTGCGGCCCTGAACATGGTAAAGTCTCGATCCAGTTGGAGAATAATCCGGATACTATTACGGAGCATAACCTGACCGACCACGACTTCCACTTCAGAACGCTGCGCTGCCGCATTATGGACGCCATATCAGACTCGGCTCAGCTTTGGTACAGCCTTGGTCAGGCCCACAGCCACGGCCCAGGCGGCTCTCAGAGCTGTTCAGTCTGCAAATCTACCTTGACGATAGTTAGGTGGTGCTAAGAGGTCACCTGATCTCTGCCAACAGCCTCTTGCCGTGGCAACACTCGTCCCGCGGCATGATACATCAAGAAGGCTATGGCCGGACCGAGACGCACTTGCCACCTCGCAAGTCCCTCAACTAACTTAGGACCAGTCTTCAATGGAGCCGTATGCGTTGATGATGCACGTTACACGGTGACTCGGCTGAGTATTGGCAAGAAACGGGCTTCATGGCCTATACACTTCGTCTCATTTGACTTGGGCCCCGGGTTTCCCCCAACTGAGAGTTTGCATGAGACCAGCGAAGAGATCCCGCGGGCTATTTATCCTTGGCCGTCGGACCTGGAATGTTCCCGGATGAATTGAGTCCCACGAACCGAGTTGACAATATTTGTTTCATTTGTGATAGGATTTGAAGAGAGCAAACTGGCAACTTCACGGCTGATTAATTATTCATGACCTTGGTCCTTGTGCTTGACAGAAACAGGTGAACAATACTCCGACGTTGCGCCAACAATGGACAACAGCAGTTCGAGGCCCAAATCAATCGATGAATTTATCGAGAATGCGACTGAACTAGCCCATTATTCACTTTCACCTCCTACTCCCAGAACTCCCAAGGTGAACAAGTCGGGAATAACCCTCGTTCCTCAACCAAGCGATGATCCTTGCGATCCTCTCGTGCGCAGTCCCCAGTGTTACACTCTTCATTGCGATCTGCTAACAGGTAAATCTGCAGAACTGGTCTACAGCTAAGAAAGCTACAACATTGGCAATAGTGTCTTTGGCATCATTTTCCGCCTTAAATCAAAGCTTGGCCAACGCGGCAGGCTATTTTGAACAAGGCGAAGTCTACCACAAGACCCCGGTAGAGGTATCATACGGCGTGAGTGGTTATCTAATATATCTTTTGTGCTTATTTTCTTCTAACAAAGTCCCCCAAGAGCTCAACAGCCCTCGCCGGCTTGGCAGTAGGTCCATATGTCTTCAACCCGCTTGCGAAGCGCTATGGAAAATGTGCAATGATCGCCTGGGGGCTTGTTGTCAACTTGTGCATGAATATCTGGTCCGCCTGTATGACCAAGTTCACGCAGTACGATGCATATTTGGCTTCAAGATTCTTCGCAAGTCTTGCAGCTTCAGCGCCAACGACAGGTTTGTCTATTCGGTGCTCGGCTGTCTTGGTAGTTTATTCTGACCTCCATGGGTATTGATAGTGGGTGCGGATGTCATAATCGAGACATTCTTTCTCCACGACCGAGGCAAGTGCTTTGCCATCTACTCTTGCCTTCTCCTCCTTGGAACAACAAGCGGCGCTACCTTCAGTGGCTTCATAGTCCAGAATGTTTCGTGGACTGTGCAATTTTGGTACAACGTCGCCTTCGAGGCTGTTCTCGCGGTGGTCTGTTTTCTTTTTCTGGACGAAACAGGATAGACTAGGGAAGGATGTGAAGAATATCCTGCTATGCTTAAGGGCTTTGTGAAGCGCAAGGCAGCCACATATTTGTTCTCTCAACGAATCCGGCCGAGGATCAGCTGGGCGGAGATAGGTCGGACCTCAATTGCTCCGGTACTGATCGCTGTGTCCCCAGTGGGCTTTATTGTTGGCCTATTCCTCTTCATCACCTTTGGTTGGGCCGTTGTGGTGACTGTGGAGCTCTCAGTCTACTTGCAATATCCTGTCAGCGAGGGAGGATACGGCTTCACGCCCTATCAGTATGCATATTGTAAGTGATCCCACTGAGCACTCGATATTTTACACGTCACTGACAACGCTTTGGACAGTCAGTTTTGCCTTCTGGATAGGAGTTTTCGTCGCTCAGCTCTACGGTTATCTTGTCAACGATCGATTACCACTTTGGCTCTGCGCCAGGAAAGGGGGTAACTGGAAACCTGAATACCGTCTATACGCCCTTTGGTTTCCAGCCCTCTTCATATCTCCTCCTGCCTTGGGACTAGTCGGAGCGTCTCTCAAGTATCACCTCCATTACATGGTTCTGGCACTGGGTGTGGTTTTACAAGCATTCACTGCCGTGGCCGGGACTGGAATCTGTATGAGCTATCTTGTCGAATGCTTCACAGGGCAGGCGAACGAGGTCGCTGTTGCTCTCACCCTCTGGAGAATAGGCTTTGGACTGGCGCTCCCCTTCTTCATTTTTCACTGGTCAGACGAAGTGGGGCCAGGCTGGACATTCGGCACAATGGCCTTCCTCAATATTGTCGCATTTGGGGGCACCGTGATCCTTATGGTCTGGGGCCATAAAATTCGTCAAATAGGCGTGATCAGTACAAAAACTGAGGAGGATGTCAAAGTTGTCAGTGGTGCAGTGGAGGCCGGACAATAGAGACATTACATTCTTGCGTACTATGAACACAGCAGGAGTGAAGATGAGCTGCCAGGCAAAAAATTCTGAAATCTTTCTGTACTCTGAACACTTTTCGAGCATATCAATCATGGGCTACCACGTTATCCACGGTTATTGGACGTTCTACTTGCCAAGGTTGTGAGGCCTGAATAGAAGCCTTGATCATCAAGCTTGTTTACAAATCACTTACCGTCTTGCCTACCAGGCTTATGGACCGGCTACTCGGTATGTCGGAAGTAAGAAGGAATCCCCATCAAGGACCGACAGACTGATTCTACCTCGATGGTTGTGGAGCTCGGGAACTCATCTCCTGCCATGCCATGCCGAGTATTAAAGCCACCGCCAACCTCCAAATCATGGTATGATGCAGCAATTGGCCTCTCTGAGTGTTTTCACCTATTAACGTCCTTCGTTTGCAAGAACAGAGGTCTCCGTCATGACCTTACCAACAGAAACCCGACAGTGGATCTTACGAGAGAAGCCGCAGAGTGTTCCTATTCTCCGCGGCGACAATACGACATTTACGCTTATAACTGCACCAATCCCGAAGCTTCAGGACGGACAAGTTCTTCTCAAGGTTCATTACATCTCAAATGATCCGGCCCAGCGCACCTGGATATCTCCGAACATCAATAAAGTACGGTTCTACAAGTCTGCTGTTAATGTCGGCGAGCCGATGCGGTCCAAGGGTCTGGCTGAAGTCATCGACTCTCGAGCCACTGGGGCATCAAATGGCGTCTTTGTTGTCACAAACACGGACTGGTGTGAGTATAGCGTAAAGAACTGGAACGAATGTCAAATAGTCGAGGAGATACCCGGTATCAACTTGACCCACTATCTTGGCGCGTTTTCGTTTTCCGGTTTGGCCGCTTATAACGGCCTCATTTCGATCGGCAGGGCGACTAAAGATAGCCTCGTGGTCATCAGTGGAGCTGCTGGGGCAACGGGAAACATGGCAGTCCAGATCGCAAAGAAAATGATTGGGTGCAGGAAGGTATATACACAAAGCGCGAAAGGCCATGGAGATGCAAGCTGACAAAGTGACCAGATTATAGGAATTGCTGGTAGCGACGAGAAATGCCGGTGGGCTGAGAGAGCAGGATGCGATATTTGCGTAAATTATAAGTCCCCGACGTTCGAGCAAGACCTCGAGGCAGCAAGTAAGGAGGGAGTGGATGTCTACTTTGGTAACTCTTCTTGAGTGTTTGAACAAGAGAGAGAGCTGACAAGATACAGACAACGTTGGCGGGGAGATTCTGAACATGATGTTGCCTCTAATGAACACATTTGGCCGGATTGTCGCGTGGTGCGAGTTTCTCATTCCATCGCAGGGAGGGACCGATTAACTAACGTGTATTCAGTGGAGCAATTTCTATGTACTATGATGAAGGGTCGAAGTTGGTTTTGACCAATTACAGGGTACGACGAACTACATTTCATTGTTGCAGTGTTCCCCACCTCACGCTTGCTCTAGGACTTTATCTCTAGTCGTCTGACTATGCAAGGCTTTGTCTCAATCGACTTCAAAGATACCGCTCAAGAAACATGGAAGATCTTGCGTGAAGCTGCGAAGGACGGCATACTTGAGCTTGGACCTCAGCACGAGACTGTAGTAGATGCCTCGTTCGAAGATGTCCCGAAGATCTGGGCGAGCATGTTTGAAGGGAAAAACATTGGCAAGCTGGTCGCCAAGTTGATCTGAACCAAGAGTCCCTGAAGCTCCCTAAGGTCTAGAAGGCAAATCCTGAACTAAATGTGTTTCTTCGATGGTCTGGACTAAGCGGAAAGTTCATGACGAGCCTCTGCATCTTTCGAAATCCGCGCCCAATATCCTCAAGACCAATTTGGACATCCACGACTCGAGCAATGCTCGAGGGCCCCATTTTCCCAGGAGCATTTCATCTTGGTGTCCACTAACCTATTCTGGTATTACACAAGAATTGTCATTGTGGGTCGAGAACTGTCCAATAATAACTGCGGAATCTAGTTATCTCAATTTTCCTTGTTTTTTCTACCTGGGTAATGAATCATCGATAATTACACATAGACATTTCCTGCAGGCCTAGACCTCGCCGTTTATACCCACCATGTTGTTCGTGGAAAAAAAGGCGCAGAGGAACTCTGTAAATCTCGATCTGTTGCCCACCCCTATCTCAGTCGAAGCCCGGACATGTGTCTGGGTCAGGGCAGGTTGTCGGGCCGTGGTTCGAAAACAGCTGATTTCGATAACAGACTTCTTTGTACAATCTACCTGCTACTAACTCGAGCTCCCTCGGGAGAGACAAATGCCCCGAGGACTGCCGAGCGTCTACCACCAAGTCACGCAACTTCCATTACGGCTTCGGTTCGCCGGCAGTTCAAATTGCCAGCACCATGATGCCGCGGTAGACCACCAAAATCGCGTGAAGTCCATTGTTTAGGTCCCCTTGGTCAGAAATGCTGGTGATCAGAGTTCATTTGAGTCTTCATTCAAAAGGAGCGGCCTTCGAAAGTTCTCGATATTGCCCAACTTGGTTAACATTCATTTATACTATATTCTCACTATGAGCAACCCTGAATGCCTGCCAACTGAGGGCGCCGCCACTAACGGTGTCGCTGCCACTAACCAGGAGGGCGATCATCTCGTACCCAAGACTCATCCGAATCAATGGTACAATCAAGATTTTGACGGGTACCGCGTGTCTGACCGACACGTCTATGAGAAGAAGCCAGTTAGAATCGTTTGCATCGGTGCAGGCTTTACTGGTCTGCAACTAGCTCACAAAGCCGAGAAGCTCTTGGAGAAGGTTGACCTTCAGATATACGAAAAGAGCAAAGATGTCGGCGGAACCTGGCTTGACAGTCGCTACCCCGGATGCCGTTGCGATATCCCAAGTCACGCGTAGTGAGTTATTCGGTCTACGAGGAAATTTATCTCAGTACAGCAGACTTTGTGGTTCTGACAAATAGATAGTCAATATTCATGGGCTCGGAATCCACGCTGGTCCCAATTCAATTCCTCCGCGGAGGAAATTTGGGAATACCTGAAGGACGTTGCAAAAAAGTTTGGCTTGGAAAAATACGTGAAACTGGAACACCGCCTCGATACTGCGACGTGGGACGAGGGAGAAGGAATCTGGAGACTCCAGATCCAGAGTCCGGATGGCTCATTTTTCAATGACTACTGCCACGTTTTCATCAATGCCTCTGGCGCTCTAAAGTGAGTCCAATTGGTCCCCGATGTGCTGCTTCTCAAGCCAACCGACGCTGCTGCTAGTGATTGGAAATATCCGGATATTCCAGGCCTGAGGAATTTCAAGGGATCACTCATGCACAGTGCGGCCTTTGACGAAACTGTCGACCTTTCCGGGAAAAAGGTCGTGGTGATTGGATCAAAATCTTCGGGCGTTCAGGTGGTCGAGGCTATCCAGCCAAGTAGGCACAATCACCCGCACAATCATCGATTTCAGGAGACGACTGACATGGTTCAGTTGTGAAAAAATTAACCACATTCATACGATCACCGAATTGGATCTCCAAGTCGCGCGCATCTATTTCCGACAACGACAAGTGGACCAATGTCAATTGTAGGAGTGGGCTCTGATCAATAACCGGGTCTCAGTGTTCTAACATATTTTCCAGACAGTGAGGAGGAGAAGCAAAACTTTGAGTCGGATCCTGCTGCATATGAGAAATTCTGCCACGGGCTGGAGGCGGAAACGAACCGGAGGTTTCCGATGGTGAGACCACAATAGACAGACGGCTGCTGCTGTTGTCCAGACTGCTGACATGTATCAGCTCTTCGCAGACGGCGAGCCTCAGAAGCAGGCAAGACAAGCTGTTGAGACCTTCTTGAAGGAGAAACTGAAAGGCGATGACAAACTTTTGAAGCATTTGTTACCGCAGTTTCCACTGTACTGCAATCGTCAAATACCGGGGATTGGCTACCTCGAAGCTTTAGTGAAGGATAACGTCGAAGTCGTCATCGGCCCGGCAGTCAGAGTCACAGAGGATGGAGTGATCGACGACAGCGGTGCTGAACACGACGCAGATGTGATCATATGTGCCACAGGGTTCAAGACAAATTTTGCGGCGCAGTGGACCTGTGTGGGAAAGGATGGCAGGACACTTCAGGAGCAATTTGGGGATTTTCCCAAGGCCTACCTTGGGGTGATGGCGGAGAACTTCCCGAATTTTTTCTGTAAGTCGAGAAGAAGATGGATTTCTCATGTCGCACCCTCCTCGCCTTAGTGGGCCTATTTGGATCTCAGCAAAGCTAACCATAAAGCCAGTTATCACCGGACCCAATTCTCCCGTCGCTTACGGGTCGTTCATTCCAGTCGCTCAATGGCACACCCGGTACATCTTTGAGATGATCACGAAGATGCAAGAGGAGAACATCAAGAGTTTCGAGCCCAAGAAAGAAGCGATACGAGACTTCTACAACCATACCCACGAATACATGAAGCGGATGGTCTGGTCTGCGCCTTGTCGGTCCTGGTTCAAGAACGGCAAAGACCACGGCCCCGTGACCGCCGTCTGGCCCGGAAGCAAATTGAGCTATTTCGAGATCATGCGCAAGGTCCGGTACGAGGACTACAACATCAGCTACGGCACGGGAAATCGCTTTCAATTTGTGGGAAATGGCCTGACCAAAATCGAGCTTGATCCGGACGGAGATTGGGCTTGGTATCTGCATGATGAGTTTTTGAAGGTGTAGTTGGTCGACGGCTTTGGGTATAGTCTAGAAATGCGGTCGTCTATGAAGAAAAAGCTTTCTAGTACAAGTCTGTTCGGCTGAAGTTTGGTTCTTTGGATTCAATGTTTCAAGCTAACACGCTCCAGCAAGCGCATCTGAGACTGTCCATGTTAGCAATCACACAAATTGCCGCCGCTCACAGACCCTCCAAACGTTGGAAGTTTGTGTCAGGAAAATGCGGCCGTATTATACTCTTCCGCCCCCCCAAGGGACCAGTTGACACCAAGATCATCGAAGATGCTCCATTCTAAAGGTACCAAAGGTGAAACCGGTTTGGTACTCTCACTCCCCTGTTCCACCTCCCCTGTGCGAATGAATGCGCTCGTTTTGATGTTGTATGCATCCAGAGATACACGAGAATCTCGCAAGCGGTCACTTTCGCAGGAGAGTACGTCTGGAAGAAACTCCACCGGAGAGCTATCAAGGTAACCGCTCGTTCGCCCTTCAACGGCTAGATTGGATCCAGGAGGGGGCTTGGCTGGGACTGTCATGGTTCGCGCAGGGTGATCGCGCTTGGTAGCTATCTGGGGTTGCTTCATCGCATGAGAGCAGACGTCAAAAAGGAAGTCTGCACTCCAATACGTATGCTGTAATTCCTGCACCACCAACATGTACAGCTCAAGGTGGTGAATGGCAGCTTGTTGAGCAAGTGAGTTGGGATGGATTGAGTTCATGAGTTGTAGCTGTATCACAGGACAAAGGGCAAAAATCCTGTGCGTTAAGTGTCAGAGTATGAGAATCACCGTCAAGAAAATAAGGAGCCGCGGAACATACAGCATCGGTGGAGAGGTACGGATCGCGTCCTCCACAATCAGCTTGTCCAGCGCCGTGCTGCAGCGAAAAAGTAACGATCGCATTTCTGACGGAGATATTGAGGGATCGCGGCCCGTCTGTGAATTAGACCATTGCGCTTTTAAAGATCCGCGGAGATGGTATAGAACTGATGTCACCGTCCTGGAGGATTGGATTAGCAGTTTGTCTTCCCACACAATCTATATACATCAAGGAGACTAACCACACATAGAACTCGAGCTGATAACCATGAGCTAGTACAATGCCGCTCCGGCCATACAGTTTCTCTTCACAACTGCGCGAAACGCAAAGTAGCTCACTCTCCATGCCGCTGAATTTGTCTTGAGGCACCGGGACTGACATGAACTGGTCGCGAATGGCCAGGATTCGCTTCAGCACAAGGCTCGTCTTCAATAAGTCGACCCAGAGGTCATGCAATACTGTCAGATCTCCTGGAAGATACTTGATCTTGAGAGCGTCCGGCATGCCTGTCATGTAGTCCGACATGTCTGTGACTGAGGGCAGTGCGAAGTTCTCGCGCCAGGCCGCTCGCATTGACCGACCCAAGGCAAGCGAGAGCCATGCATCACGAATGCAACAATTCCACCAAATTAGCGGCATGAGCCGATTCTCGGACGGAAAGGAGCCAGCTCCTCTATTCGAATGAGAATCTGTCCGGCAGGCGACTCTGGCGCATTGGTAAAGCGCAATTGCGACGCCAGTCCAGTGCCATGCGGTGGTGTCACCCTCAAGGTCTGAGATCCAGAGTCCCATAAGAAGGGCTGACTGAATATGTACAGTCCTGCTTTGTCCGGTACATGTATGGAAGCATGCCTGGTCCATCAATTAGCACTGTCGATCTCGCTATTCCCCGCTTTATGACCAACCTTGGCTTTTTGGTACATTGCTCGTTTCGCCATTTTGCGAGATGAGTATCCTAGCATCGTGAGGGTTTCGACGTCAAGGAACTATAGCATTGTCAGAAACGCTGCCTTGATAGGGAATATGGTCTCCTACATTGGCGGCCGCCAAAAACATGCTCCATAAGAGGACGAGGTCGGTGCTGCAGGGACCACCCGCCTCATATTGCACCAGAAAGTCATTGGGCTGCACAATGGGAAGGAATGGATGAACCTGGTGGAAATAGGTTCTCAAGAGTCGGTCACAAATATCTGTTGGGGGGAAATCTAATGCTCCCTTCGCCCGCAGAAAGTTGCGATTCGCCTCGGAGACCTTGTTAGCCGAAGAACCGGCGGACCTCGTGCTGGGGCTCTCCACGGAGGATGAACGGTAAATGTTGGTCAGATGGTCCGTTCCCAGTGAGCTTGAAGCAAGATCTGCCACTGAGAGTATAAGTAATTGAGTTTGCACTGGCAGTGTTTGACCTTGGTATTGCTGAATGGATTAGAACAGCACATGAGGCTTACCCAAATTGCTATGACATGTGTCAACACTGCGGTCGATGGAAGGAGTTCGTATTCGGTGAATCACATTGTCAACCTCCTTGAAAACAGTGCTTTCACTTGCAGGGAACGATGCCTTATGTGCTGGGAAAGACGGGCCCGGGAATGGGGGAGGACTTTTCGGATCATTGCTGACTTCCACGGACGGTGACGAATCAAGGGGTATGGCTGGGGAATGCACTGGCGTGTGTCGTTTTCTGCGGGATCTGTAGCATGTCATTTTAGCATCTGATGCGCCAGACGCACATTGTCTTGACTGAGATGAGCCTACTTTCGAGCTGGAATCGTACATTCCGCCAGGGTTTCCACACAATTGTGACAAGGTATTCCCGACTGCGCAACATTGCACCTCACCTTCCGTTCCCGACACAGCTTGCAGGCCACCAGAGATCGTTTACGGCGTATGTTGTCGTAGTAATCTTGCCGTGATAAGGAATCCATTTCGAGACAAAATGGTTATGCGCTGAAGAGTGAGGCTTCCAAGGTCGCCTTGTAGCCAGGGTCGGGTGGAGGAGATGAAAAGGCGCTCTGGTGCTTAACGGGCAAATGCCCCTTTATGCTGTTGGAGGCGGGTTTCTGGACTCAGACTGGATTGGTGGGCTTTTTGATGCGGGGGGTGGGGAGATGGTGCATGGTCAGATGCATGGGGGCTACCGGCTCCCCTCGGGCGCCGCCACGCCAATGATGAGTTTAGTTCTCCTTAATCGAGTGAGGACTCGTAAATGTGCCCATAAGATAGCTGACTACCTTTGGACTCCCCTTATTTGATGTATTGTGTATATCCACCGCTCATTCGAATGTTGGTGAGCTAGAATGAGGTGCTGGGGACCGGTGCCAGGCCAAAAGGGAGAAATGGTAGCAATCTATTTGTATGATCTCGTCCACAAGATAGATCTCCAGCTAATCGACTATCAATTCGGCACAATCATATCAACATGGGTAATCTTCGTCTGTAAGTAACTCTTGGTTTCTTCAAAACCTGACTCGCGACCGTGCCCACTTTGTTTGAAGCCTCCGAAGGTGTCTGTGGACTGGGATTAAAGCGCTGTTGATACTCGCGGTCCCAGCTTCGAACTTTCCTGCTACACAGCAGGCATGGGCGACATCAGACGTGTAGATAGCGGGGTGGCTAAAGATGTCAGATGGGTGTACAGACATCGAGGAGAAAGATAATCTGCATCCAAGTCCATGTCGAGTATCTTTCACGAGCTATACGGCCTCTTCTTATTCTTGGAAAGTCCGGAGTCCGGACGCAAACTACTGAGCCAGAGATGTCGCCGTTTCGTACCCGAATTTTCAGGTCAGAGTTGAAGGAGCAACGTGAGCTGCACAAACGCCCCTTTCTCTCTTTCTCTTTCACCGCCACCCAAGAAGTTGACCCGCTCGGCTTTGCAATCATTCAAGAACCCATTGACCAGGCCGAATTGCGCTTTGTCGGCAAGGCGGCCGAAAGTAGTGTCGCCCAAGGAAGGATCAGCCAGTCTCTTTGCTGCGTCGTCAAAGGCGACCTTGACAGCTTTCATAGATTCGGGACGCGATGCTCTCCTGGACCAATAGACGCCAATGCACCGAAACACGTCTGTCCCTAGTTTTGCAGGAAACTTGCAGTGCAATGGAAAACTGCGTTCGGGGTGTTTAGGTGGTCCATCACGATTGCGGGAAATCTGCCTCTGACCCCGAGCGTCACCTGCTGGAGATTCGACCTTGTAGCTGTTCGTCGTACTGCTCGACCTGCCAGAACAGATCCTGTGAACGAAACCTTTGAAATCTCCATGTCGCGAGTAAGCATAGCTCGCTCACCACCATCGCCAGTGACAATGTTAACCACGCTCGGGGGAATTTTGCCTCATCGAAGAGCTCACCATACTCTGCAAGGGCGATGGAGGAATTTTCGTTTGATTTGAGGAAAAATGGATTGCCTGCTGCCAGGACTGGGGCCAATTTCGCGACAGAAAGAGGTGTGAGCTTGTTCCAGGAACAAGCGCCTGCGCATGTGCCGAGGGGCTCATACTGGACAATCTTATACATCCCATCCCTGCCAGGAGCGTATTTCTCGCCAACCACTCTACCTGCGTAGCCGGCATGATATCTCCAGAGCGCGGCATTGCCCTCCAGAAAGGCAGAGCAACCTTTGCTGCCTTAACGGTGCTCTCAATGTCAGCCTCATTGGCGCCCTGAATCCCGTCTGTGACCAATTGATCATAGGGGCTGTGGACGATTAGCGTCGCCCCGCAAGACCATGAAAAGTCCTAGAGGAGCGTCCAGATCGATAGCTCATATCAGGCGGTAGGGCCATACTTCGTTGGCAGAGAGGTTCGTTTGGAAAAACACGCCGAGGTTCTAGATGTTAGCACAACGGTCTCGTCCAAAGCACATTGTTACGGATAATTCGTGTCTCTAGAGAATCTCAAAGTATATCATCGGACAGCAGGCCCACTGGTACGCAGCGTCCCAAGAGCGAAGTTTTCCACCTAGCTTGCCTAAATGGTCGGCCCGAAGTCTACCACGGAATCTCGAAAAACTGCGATGGCAGCCTTGCACTCTAGGAAGGCCACAGCTAACCTGGTACCCCTTGGAATAGCCCCCACTGGCCATCCAACGACTTGTTGAGCCAGTCTAGCTTGGCTCTAGAACGACAGAGATCGAGCCGAAGCAGCCTCTCGTCTCAAAGTGCCGCGGGATCACTCGGCTATCACTCGGCTATTCGCCAGGTATCCCGGTAAGAAGTGTTGGACCGGGGATCGGGCAGTTCGACGTCGAATCCCGAGACGAGTACTCTGTACTTTCCATTTCGATCTTTGGACCTGAGGATGGCCTGAGCCTCGCCGTGTCAACCTGAGCCTGTCCGGCACGTGACTGATCACCGGTGTTCAATCAGCCTGAGCAACACCTCACCCTGCTTACTACACCAGGACGGTGGCCCAAGTTCTTGTCCCTCCTCTAGACTGTCAGGTTTTAACAAGTGCCTAAAGGAAGGCTCTCAGCGGTTCCTGGGAAGGCACCACGGCACATTTCCCTCCTTGACCGCGCGAGAACGTGGCGGTCTTTCATAAGCGTGATAGCCTCGCACTACCCGTGCTTGTGTCCCTGGCTGGAGAGTGTTCCTAGGATGTTATGAACTGCCTGTTCTGACAAGCATATAAGTCAAGAGGTCTAGGTTCCGTTCATAAAATGACAGGATTCTTAGTCTTTTGGGGCACTCCCCAAGGGACTGTGGACCTCATCCTGACAGATCATTCCTACTGTATAGCCCCTGTTTTGATGTCGGGTGGGTGACATGTTGTTTGTTATGTGATTCTCCGTACCTTCCAAGCCGTGTTGTTTAGTCATCCGTAGACGCCCCCTCGCATAGAATTCTTCTCGGGCGCTACTTTGGGGCACCTGAGTGGCCGTTCCACCTCAGTAAGGCAAAGACGACCTACAGTATTCAGCTCACAGCACAAGAATGTCAACATCTGTGCTCAGAATTGCTTAGCTCGGGTACGCAGTCTATAAAAGTCGCTTTTAGTAACCGTGACCGCAAGCACCATGCCGCTATCTTCGGCACACAGGGAGGCATTGCCGTGAGAGCATCCTATCCCTGCAGCAAATATTAATAACTGTTCACTGCAGTCTGCCGCCCTGCCCGAGCCATGCTGCTAGTACCCAGGTAGCGCTTATACCCGTACATAGCTTCGTAGCCGCTTGGCCCCGCAGTCCCCTGCCCCGCCTCTGCGCCCACCCCTATCCAAAATAAATAGGCTGGAGGGGCGTCGGTTTCCTCTTTTTGAGAAAGGTCTGGAGCTATTCATGCGTGCAGGTGCGAAACCGGCTCATGGGACTCCCAGAGATATAGCAAACCCCCTCATTCTGTTTCCCACACACGATCACCTACGCTATCGCCACATCGAGCACAACGACTCCCACCGTTGCAAGTACGTGCAAAGGACGATGTTCACCGAGCAGGACAATGCGCTGGAAGCGATCCGCATTACCGCCAACATTATCGACGCGCACGATGAATATGAACGGGCTCATTCCATGCAAGGTCAGTGACTTCGCCAGGCTGAAACCTGCGTATGGAGCAAGAGCGATGAACTGATTCCCGCCACGACATAAACAGGGTCCGACAGGGAGGTGAATTCGGCGCTGTACGCTGCGACCAATGGAATTTGCCGATGGCTGCATGCGCTCCATCAGATTCAACCCGAAAATCCAGGATTGATGAGGATGATCGAGGATTTTGGCCTTGCCGAGAAAGGTCATTTTAGGGGACACGAGGACTGGGATCAAGGGGCGTGTAAGCGTAGAATTCATAAATACGCGCACTACTTCCCCCCTGAGAGTGACGGCGAGGGCGAAGGCGGCGGTGGCGGAGATGACGGCGGACATGGAGACGAAGATGGATACGCCGGCTATGACAACGACGAATACCAGAATGGCAATGGCAATGGCGACGACTACGACTATCCTCAAGGGGTTGGCGACGAAGGAAATGACTACAGCGAATGGAATGGCCATGGCGGAGGGAACGGTGAAATGAACGGTGAAATGAACGGTGAAATGAATGGTGACATGAATGGTTATGGCGAAGAAGGCGACTTGAACGGGGCCGACGACTTTGGAGGTAGTGGCGGAGGACAGTATGACGATGGCACAGACTTCGGTCACAGTCACGGTCATGGCCTCGAGCATGATCAATATCAGCTGGATGATGGCTTCTATTCGCGGGAGGACACGTATAGATAGTGTCTTGGGCGGAGCAAAAAGCTTTGGGCAGGGAGTAGGCGTCATTTGATGAAGGAGCATTCTAAACTTTTAGTAGGAATTCTCTCGTCTTCCTTATGTGGGTCGTGCTGTTACTGAAGGTTGGTCCTAATTAGAGGTTGCATTTTAAACGCGCTGGTGCATAAGGCCAAAAATATATCCGAGTTCTGTGCCATGCCATCGCAGACAACGACAAGTAAGCGCAAGACGATAGAGCTTGTTCACGGCGATAAGATGACAAGAGACAATTCCGCATCAAGATCAAAAATTATAGCATGTATATTTCGTCTGCATCAATTTCATTTTGCTCCTAATGCGCCGGCAATACTATCAGGTCTATGTATTTGCATTCTTCAGTGTTGTTGTTGCGATTGGGTATCTGGCAGAGAGCCCAGTATGGTTGGTGCGTGGGGAGTCTCAAAAGGCACATTTGGTCCGATACCCATGACGTTAGGATCGTGCGCGGTGTCCTGGCCGACTGTTCTTCCCTGACCTCCCAAGCGAGATGCGGCTGACCGTTGTTCTCTGGCCAGGTCCTGTTGTGTCAGTTGGCGTGGAGGCATCAGCCCATCATTCCCATCTCCGTGCGGTCCTCCCCATTCGCTCACATGGTTCTGGCGCTTTTTGGTGGTCCAAAAATACCCCTGTTGTTGATTGCCTTGTACTTGTGGAGGATTGAAGACTGGTTCCACAATCTCTCGCATACCCTCCTCACTGAGCATTGTATATTCCTCCATTTGTCGCGTCATGCGGGAAATATAGTGCGTCGGAAGAGGTTTTCTGATGTTGCGCCCGCCCAGAGAGGCATACGGTACCGGCTTGTAAGAATTTTGGAGTACCTGTCTTTCGTCAGTTTGCATGCTGCGGAAAGCCACAACTGACTTCTCGTCGAGACGAAAGCTGGCAGCCCGTAACTCTTCGGTCATAAATAAGAAGGTATTTTCTGAAATGTTCAGTTCTTGGGAGTTCTTGGTGGTGCGACCGCCTATAGTACTATGATCTCCCGGCCACCAAACTATAGCAGTCCGTTGTGAAGGATTTAGGTGGGCTCGCAGTTGAATTTCGGTGTAGGGATACCGATATTCGTTGAGTGCATACGCGACTCGTAGGCTGCGGATCTGTGATGGCATACTTTGAAAGATTCTCTCTAAGGCGGATATAGGGTGACTGGCAATAGTGGTAATGCTCTTGTAGGCGGCAACAGGGTCGAATACCATCATTCCTGTGATGAGAGATCTATCCGGGCTGTTGAAAACATGATACTCTGCGTCCGGGACCTGGGGGTAATGTTGTCTTCCCATTGCGTGGCCGGACCTTGGCTTTCACAGTCAACCATTGGTTGAACAAAGCTGTTGCAACTTGGTCCCTTGAATCTCGGAAATGAGATGGAACTTCTTGCATAGGACCGATCCTGCTTCCTGGTAGTTTGATGACGCCAACATCTGTAAGAAATGCCTCCACGGCGAGGACCATAAAGCCGCCACGTGAGAAACCTATTAAAAAGGCCTCATCACCCGGCTGCCAGCGAATACAGATATCAACGAAGGCGTAGACAATCATCTTCGTAATTCCTGTCTGTCGTTAAGGCAGGATAAATCAATCTATGTGGAGTGCTTACCTTTCCCTAAGGCACCGCCTAATAGGTTTGATAAAGGCCTAGATAGAAAGTTTCCATCTGTTGCGTTTCCGATGCCAGGCTGGTAGATAGGTATCTGAAGCTGGCCAGCACTCCGCTCATTGAGAGGCCTACCATTGTCGTCTGGGCTTGTGGACTCCAAGAATGTTGAAAATAAGCGGCAGATATTGGTCTGTCCGTCCGACGGTGCTTTGGCCCGTAATGCATCGTTCCAAGTGCCGTTGGTGAGCATAACAATCTTTGCGCCTCGCGGCCCTCTTGAAGGGAATATCACGCCGTTTTGGCTCGCCGGAGGTAGGGCCATGTTGGGAGAGAGGACTTGAATCGGCGTCTGCGGTGAACTTGGTCTACCTCCGAGGGCCCCTTTGATCCATCCCTTGACTTTGTCCCTGTTACGACCGCCGCCGCCACCACCCCTGCCTGGTGGAGTTGACATGACAAAGTTCACTTCAAAACCTAAATTGAGATGTAAATCAAGAGATGAATGAAGTGCTTAGCGCCAAGTCAGTATACGGAAAAGAGTGATGAGAGATAGGCGATAGGAGTATTCTCAATATAAGCCCTCTAAAGCACGTGAAGTCAAACGAAGCGTCCAAGTATGAGACAATCCATCTTAGGATCTGGTTGCATACTCTTCTACGGAATATCCTCAGTGTTCTTGCAGGTTTGGAGGGGATTAATTTAGAAGAACGCCCTGGAGGTGTACTCCGTCTCGTTCCTGGCCGCTCCCAAATATAGTTCTCGCAAAGCGCAGAGCAGTTGTAAAATGGACTTGAAAACTGCGTTCGACCGTATATGTTTGGGATGCTCTGTGGTTTCAGCCCAAACGTGGCGGTTGCGCGCGGCAGTACCAACTGCTCGATGTCCAAAAACGCTCACAGACATGATGCACAAGGTCAAGGATGGCGAAAATATGGCCATGACTGAGCTAGCGGGAATAGAAATGGGGCTTCATCACGAGTCATGAACGACGTATTGGCGCAAGGTGTGCATCGACCTCGAGTCAGCGTGTGGAACTCGATGAAGACAATTACCTGTACTATCACGTAGTAGAAGTGGGATGTTTGGGGTTATGTAAAGGCTCTTCAAAATGTGGGGATATCAAATCATCGCTGCTACTGGTGGCTATATCCTTTGAGATGCATGGCTCCTTCCGAAGCGCCCGCCCCCGTTGCAACGAGTTTCGACATGGAGGGGCAAAAAATCAGCCTCGTGGTTGACCCGGCGAGACTGCAGGCTGTTTTGAGATGCTACACTGGTTGCAAACAAATGGACAGCCGACGAAACTTTTTGGCCATATACTCTACGGAAATCAGAGTACAAGCTGATCATATTTCGTGAGACGGAGGGCGGACACAGAGATAACGAATTTTCAAGCCTCATTGAAGAGCATTATATCCTCTCCTCCATCAGAACAGTCCGATCATGCCTTACGTCGAAGATTACACGGAGCACGAGTACGGAGATGTACACTTTGACGAAAGCCAGGAATCTAACGGCGACGGCCATGAAAATTTTGACGATGGTAGCTACGGCGATGATAATGAAGTTAATGGCGACTATCAGCAGCATGGGAGAATGAACGGTCATCATGAGCCGAATGGCAACCAGAACAACGGAGATGACGGAGCACGCTGGCCCCATGCCGACAAGTCAAATGCCGATCTGGATATGTTGGTCGATTATGTCATGTCTAAAGCCATTGAGTTAGGAGTGGTTAGTGATGGTGAAGCGGACGATTCAGACGAACGCAACGACTTGGGCGACCACGACGACTACGAGCGAGACACGAGCCACAGCGGAGAGTACGGAGATAACGACGGTGGCGATATGGGGGAATACCAGAACGATGAAGGAGACGAGGCCCGGTGAAGGTGAAACGTGGTGGTGTGCTATCGACAGCGTGGAAAACATGGGCATTCCATGACTAGGATTTCTAGTCCCTGGTAGCTGTTGGGAGGAGTTATTACACGAATGTAGACATAATTTCTGTTCAAGCTATAGATTGCAGCGTTACTATGGACCGTGAAAGACCAAACTCAACAACATATTGGCATTTGATATGTACAAGGCGGATCTAGCGCACAGCCACGCAACATGTGTCCTATACCTACTCCGACGTCTCAATGTTCCGCCGCCAGATCACCGTTGCTGTATAGCAAGTGGCACTCTGGATCGCTCGACCACTTCTCCGGCCGATGAATGTCGAGTTCGACCGCGTGCGTCCAACAGTGTTGCGGTTCCGCCTAATACGTCTCTGAAAATGTCAAATGAGAGCGTTCAGGTACCCTTCGCCGGAGTATTGCTTCCGTGATTGCCGCTTCCCTTGTTGTCGCCCTGTGCTGGATGCGAAGGCAGTGTTGTTGTTTCTCGAGGTATGCCGCTAGCTCCCGTAGCAGGATCGAGGTCACCATGCGAGGAATCTGGCGCAAACGGGTCATATGTAGCTGGCAAGTCAGGTTCATCCCCCGGTTGAGGGTCACCAGGCTCGTCCGGGGCGCTCGGGCACAATCCTGCGTAGCGATTTCTCGATATCATGCCAAATTGGGCAAAAGGACTTGGCTTCGCGCCCGATTCAGTGCCCGGGTTTGGAGATGCTGGCATATGTGTGATGGATTTGCAATGTATTGATCTTGATCACAGATAAAGGGTGGTTGATAGGAGTGAAGACTGATCATGAAATCAGGCAGCGGCCATCTGTCTACTTTTATAATCTCTCGGTCACGGAGTGCCAGTATGCTTCACGTGATCCAATATTGAGAGCCTCGACCCCTCCTGTAAGCGCCTGGAGCGTTGGGGCCGTTGAGCTAGCGAGCACTGGGCCAAATATGTCGCGGACGACTCGTTACTGTCCAATAATAGCGGCCCCACGCGAGGGGGTGAGCTTCGAGCGTTGAAGGCGCGGATGAGGCTTTGCGATAAGCTATTCCCTGAAATTTGGCCCTCATGACCACGAACAATACGATGTAGGTATTGGAGAGGCGGCACATTGGCGGTAATACATAACTCTATCTAAAGGCTCATCCTGCCAAAAAAAAGCTAGACAAAAGAGTCCCAGAAGGTGTAGCTGCCTCCAACGCGATTGGCCGATACGTGCCCACCCCAGGAAGTCAAAGATGTAGTCAACCAACCACCACCACCATATACTCTACCAATCTAAGTCGGATTTGAGCCATATCAAGAGCGTACGGACGCTCGAGATCAAATTGACCAATTCTTCTATTTCCTTGCCGAGGAGAGTCTGGCCGGTAGTGGGGTTGTAGGAGGGCACATCGGGTCCAGTGCATCAATGTCAAGTGGAATCCAACCCCATGTCATTCGCATCTAGCGACAGGTCCGTACCTCCACTTCCACCCTAAGAGGCCGCACGCCTTGAGGCAAGTTCCTCTGTCACTGGTTCGCGTGGTTAGCCCGTTGCGTCGCCGAGAATCGACTCAGGTGATGCTCAGGCCCAAGGATGGAAATGGAAAGGGCTCATGTCGAGATTCCGACGTCGAATTCGTTGTTTCTGACATTATAATTCTGGCGCGAAACGAACTACTAATTCGAATTGGGTAGGTTGTCACCATACATCCTCCGCCCCCCTGTCCCCTGTTCTCAGCCCCGACCGACTGCTCCTACTCTTCCCAGTCCTCCCACTGGGCTGGCGTAGGGCATGTTCCGCACTCGAAATCGTTGTGGGAGGCATGGGAGACGCATTCCCCCACATTTTTGAATCCACAGACTCCATAGTTGTCTTGACACCAATGGGCGCAGTTGCTGTTTCCTTGCGGGAGTGCGACCGCAAAGACGTAGGCGGAAGCTTGGAAGAAGGTCAACGAAAGTCCACTTGCTCGAAAGGATATCTGGCAAATCCTACCCGCCAGCAGAAATGCAACGTATTTCACAAGAGAAGACATTTGCGAAGGCGAAGATGATGATGATGATGATGCTGAGGTTGGAGTTGTTTTGACACACGGTAAGCTATACTGGGTTTTTGCAAGGGCTGCAAATGGTATGCTGGGAAATGCTCTGCTTGGGTCTATGTTCTTGAGTTGATGAAAGATGCACCACAAGATCCCCGGCTCTGAGTACTTCAGGCCGATTTATATACCTGTGCGACGCAGGATCTTGTCACTTCTGGAAAGTGACAAGGTAGCAGCCTCAATCTCACATTCGCATCTTGTCTTGGGAGATGCGGGGCCCCAATCCAGCTGGACTCGAGGTCACTATGCAAGGGGGATGGCTAGGAGCAGGGACGGCGACCTTGGAGCCGAGTCACTTGTTGCGGAAATTGTGAGATACGAGTACACGTCTTGCGGAGTGCATGGAAGATCTGGGGGTTGCGATGGCGTATCGGAAATTTGACAAAACGAGGTCCAGCGACGCCTGCAGCCTTCTCCCCTTCCGGTTCGACGAGGCACAGCCTCAGGGGAAAGAAGCGATGCGGCCGTCTGCTCCCCGACAGGCGCACGCTGGCGGTCACTCGGCTGAGACACTGCGCGTCACTGGGGGTATGTCATTGGCAGCACTGTTGCACCGGAGATGACGAGGCTGAGGGTAGTTGGCGGGTCAGCTCTTCCCCGTCTGTACCGAGTGGCATGGAATCAGCCTCAAGGTGGAAAGAGAGCAGCGGTTGCCAGGTGGCGCAAACCCGATGATCTCGCCCCGAAAGTGAGTGTCGGCTCTATCACATAATGAATACATACGGATGGTACCGGCAAGGGGGGGTTGATCGCGTCACTGAGGCGATCTAATAGGTCAGCTAGATTGGATTACACCGGACCCGCGGGGCTTTTTCCAACTTCGACGAGGAGCTATCAGAGGGTTGTCGCCAATATATCAAAAGCTCGTGTTCCATTGTAAGAATTGATTGTCCCCGTGTCCCATTGAAAAGAACTCGGTGTACGGAGTATAGGTAGTCCACACAAGCATAGTTAAGAGACAGACAGCCTTGCCAAGACGAGGCTGCTTCGCCTCCTCCCCCCCACCCCTCTGTGTGTTTGTCTCTCTCTTTTCGTCTCGCTCGCAGATTCCTCTCCTTCTACGAGAAGAACACCGTTCCGCCCGGGTAGTAGTATACCTTTGTATACACGCGAATATACACATACACACACACACACACCCAGAGAGGGAGAGCCATATAGCACAAATACACTATTAACATTGTTATACACACACACACACAGACAGATACACTTGTACACATATACCCATATACCCATATACATACATGCACACATAACTACATACATCACGCTCATCACTTCATATACTCGCCGCGAGGCGAAGACTCCGAGGGTCTCTTTTACTACCCGCTTAGTCTATCAAATTTGACAATCTCGATCTACAAAAAGGTCTATAAACTCTGACTTTGGTTTTTTTTTTTTTTTTTTTTTTTTCAGTCTCCCATTCCAGTTTTGTCTTTTCGAGGTCGCGCAGACCATAGTCTTTCCGGTTTCCGGTTTCCGTTTTCCAGGTCCTGTGTTTTTTTTTGGTGGTTGTTGGTGCTGGGTGTCGGTCCCTTGTCATATCATGTCTTGATCAAGCTTTCAACGCTTCTCTTTTTTTTTGGCTCGTGTTTTCTTGGTTGATTTTTTCGTGTTCGTGGTTTTTGATCTCCGTTAGCACTCCCTCCGTCCAGATGCCGTTCTACGACCCAAAGGAAAGATGGAAAATAGCACACCCGGAGATAGAAACCTCTCTGGCACCAACTGCTTCCGCAGCTTTCTCGTTCTAATGCGCCAACACGAGCGCCAACAGCGCCATTCTCGTGTACAGCCCGTACCGCATCTGCCTGAAGTAGGCGGCGCGCTGGTCAAAGTCGACTTCCTCGCTGATCTCCCTGTTCCTCGGCAACGGGTGCATGACAATCATGCTCTGCTTGGCGTGTTTAAGGACCGAGTTGTCCACGATCAGGCTGTCCTTCAACCTCTCGTATTCGTCGAGCGAGGGGAATCTCTCCTTTTGGACGCGCGTGCAATACAACACGTCGCTCTTGGCCACGATCTCCGGGGTGAGCGTGTCGGACTCGATGGCCAGTTGGCCCGAAGACACCAGGAGGTCGCGCACTTCAGGCGGCAAGGCAAGCGCTTTGGGCGACACGAGGTTGATGCGCACCTCGTAGTACTGGAGGAGCTTAACCAGGGAGTGGACCGTGCGTCCGTACTTGAGGTCACCTGTGAACGTGACCGTGAGACCGGTCACAGTACCCAACTCTTCGCGGATGGTGAAGAGGTCGAGGAAGGCCTGGGTGGGGTGTTCACGGCTCCCATTTCCTCCGTTGATGATGGGCACTGGGGAAAACTTGGCTGCAGTGGCGGCGGATTCTTCGTCCGGATGGCGGAGTACTACCGCGTCGCCGTAGCAGCCCAGCGTCCGGATACTGTCCTGCAGGGTCTCTCCCTTTTGGGTACTAGAGTGATCGGTATTGATGGCGATGGTGCGACCTCCTAGCCGTTGCATTGCAGCGTCGAAGGACCCGGACGTGCGCGTGCTGGGCTCGTAGAACATGGTGCACAGAACACGGGACTGCAGGATGGGGAGGATGCCTTGGCGTTGCACACCGAGCCGCATTTCCTGTGCCACGGTGAACAAGATGTGCAGATCTTGACGGTTGTATTGATTGACGGAGAGGACGTGGCGGTTTTTGAAAGGCGATGAAGCCAGAAGAGAGAGCAGAGACGGCGAGATTGTGGATGGAGGTTGCGGTTGGTACAACGCTGCAGTTGGAAGCATCGGAGTGGTCGTCTCGAGGACTTCGTCCATGGGCCGAGCCCGGACGATCGGCCTGCTCCGGGCGCTCATCGAGACACGTCTGTTTGCCGTGGTGTCGAGAGCGGAGGTTCGTCTGTCGCCTGGACTTTCCACTTGTGCCTGGATGACTGGAGACCCAGAAGTCCCCATTGTCGATACAGGGTGGAGCAGGTGTGAAGACATGTCGGAACCTCGAGGTCCATCAAGAAGGAGTTCACCATCGAGGCAAGCGGTCTTGCCCTGGAAAATGACTCTCGAGACTGCACCCCGCAAAGTCCTTCCGACGAATGGCGACCACACCTCGCCGGCCTGAAGAACATAGGGGCGATCAATATCAATCTCGACAGACGTCGAAGGCTGGTCGTGAAGCTCAAAGATGGCCGTCGGGTTGTCGTGCAGGCGTCCGATGACGTCCTCCACCGTCATCCTTCCTTCTGACACCGCCGTCAATAGCAGTGGAAGAGCATCAGTGATCCCCACAGTCGGACCTGCATCTTCGCCGGCAATCTGGTATGGCAGACTACCTATCGAGAACACATCAATTGTTGGAAGGTGGTCCCACAAAGCTCGCTGGTCGGCCGCGGTCGGGAGCGCAGAGCATTTGGGGTAGTCCAACTGAGACAAAAAGAGACTGTAGATTGACACGTCACAGGTGACTTTCAAGCCTTTCTCCTTCGAAAGAGCAATCAGACTGATATCGTCCCTGGACGTGACGTTGTGCACGTGGACTTTTCGATCATGTAGGCTAGCGAGCAAGAGGATTGATGCTAGATCTGTGGTCTTTGCGTCGGTCACAATAGGCTTGTATGACGGCCAAGTTCCGAAATGTGCTGTCACGGTTGCAACTTTGTTGATATTGCCAGAGGAGAGATGGTTGAAAGGGATGAAGAGCGAGCCAACCTCTTCCTTGACGTGGACGATCTGCTCGGAATTAGAATCGGTGGCCGCCACGGATAGGTTGAAGTCACAGAATGCTCCACTCTGGGCATTGTATTGTGCGATTTTCAAGGAGCGAGCATCGGTGACAGCACTATCGATGCCGACAGGCATCACCCGAACCATACTAAAGCCCGCCGCGATCGACGCCTTGGTAACGAGGGAGAAGTCCGGAGACCCCCTCTGAGTAATACCTGGCACAAATGCTGCCACGTTGATCAGTCCCGGAAGAACCACTGTTCGATGACTGGTCTGGAAGTCGATATTCCGGATGTTCAAGTCATAGTGCCTGGCTAGTGCTTCGATGAGGATCTTGGCAACTTTGACGTTCGTGATCAAAGGAGTCTGGTAGTCGACAGCCATTCTCCGGGTCCGATAGCCTTTGCTCATATAGTTGGCAGGTCTCCTGAATCTGTTGTTGGAGGGCAGATTGATATAGAGGTCGATCATGTTGGTGGCGAGGTGCTGGGTCAGAGAATATTCGGATTTTTGATCTTTGTCATCTCCAGCAAGAACTTCCAGGTATTTGACCTTGACGCCGTGCTCCTCGAGAAAGTCAGCCGTGCCAGATGTTGCAAATATATTATATCCCATCTGGTGCAATTTCTGGACCGAAGGAAGCATTTCCACCTTGTCTTTGAATGACCCGATAGAGAGAAGTATATTCTTCTCAGGTAGTTTGAAGCCAGTCGAAATGGTTGCCTTGATGTAAGCTTCGTAGCGATCTCGTCCAAAGCAGGCAACTTCTCCAGTCGACGCCATCTCGACGCCCAGTACGGGATCTGCTCCCGACAAGCGAGAGAACGAAAATTGAGGTGCCTTGACACCGACATAGTCTGGAGGCAGGTTGATGGGCGGGTAAGGGGTCACAGGTTTATCCATCATCACGTTGGTCGCCATCTCGATAAGATCCACGCCCATGACTTTCGAGACAAAGGGGAATGACCTCGAGGCTCGCACGTTGCACTCGATAACTTTGATCTCGTTGTCTTTGGCAATGAACTGGATGTTGAATGGACCTGTGACATTGAGCGCATTCCCAATCTTGCGCGTCGCTTCCTCAATTCGAGCAATGGTTTCGGGCTCAAGATCCTGCGGAGGACAAATGAGGGTGGCGTCTCCCGAATGAACACCGGCGTTTTCGACGTGCTCGGAGATAAAATGCCCTGTCATGACACCGTCTTTTGCGACGGCATCCATTTCGATCTCTTTGGCATTCTCGATATACTTCGTAATCACAACAGGATGCTCCCTTGATACGGCAACTGCTTGGTTGAGGTAGCTGGCGAGATCGTCCTTGGAATACACGGTATTCATCGCTGCTCCAGAGAGAACATATGATGGTCGCACTAGAACAGGATATTGCACCTTTTCGCAGAACTGCAGGGCATCCTCGATGCTGGTAAGCTCCTTCCAGGAAGGCTGATCCACATTGATCCTATCCAGCATCCGGGAGAATTTGTACCTATTTTCGGCCGAGTCAATCATTTCTGGGGATGTTCCCAGTATCTTTACATTCAGCCGATGCAAAGGTAGGGCGATATTGTTGGGCGTCTGTCCACCCATGGAAATGATGACACCACTGGCAGATTCCAGCTGATAGATGTCCAGAACCGTTTCTAGACCAAGGTTCTCAAAATACAGCCTGTCGGCCTCGTCAAAATCAGTGCTTACGGTCTCCGGGTTCACCTATTTTTACATTAGTAAATGGTGGTTGAAGTACTGAAGAACAAAAGGGAGCTTTGGGGGGGCCAGGCAAGAAGCCCACAACCCACTCTAGGAAAAACACGTCCCCAGAGGCTATGAAGGAGAATGGCCACAATCCAGCGGGCATATCAAACGAAAAATAACTTACATTGACCATGATCGTTTTGAAGCCTTGCTGCCGGAGAGTGCGGATGGCTCTGACTGAGCACCAATCGAATTCCACAGAGGAACCAATGCGGTAGACACCCGATCCCAAGACCATCACTCCGTGATCGTTGAATGTGATGTCGTGCTCTGTGCCGTTGTAGGTAAGATAGAGATAATTCGTGTACGCGGGAAACTCGGCGGCAACAGTATCAATCTGCTTGACAAAGGGATGTATGCCTGCCTCGGCCCTCAGACGTCTCACTGCCAGCTCGTTCGAGTTCCAGTATCGAGCTAGCTGTCTGTCCGAAAATCCAAGTTGTTTGGCCTGGCGAATCAACGCGGGAGGGACGCTCGTTGCCGTGAAGGTGGACATGAGTTTGGCGAAATCGCTCAGCCCCTTCAGTCGAGACAGGAACCACTTGTCAATCTTGGTCATTTCCCAGATCTTGTCCACAGAATATCCCGCGTGCATGGCATTGGCGATTGCGAACATTCTTTGGTCTGATGGGGTCTGCAATTCGTCGTCGACTGACATGAGAGGATTTGAGATATCTGAGAAGCCGAGATTATGGAAATCGACAGAGCGAATAGCTTTCTGAATGGCTTCTTCGAATGTCCTACCGATGGACATGACCTCGCCAACACTCTTCATCGATGACCCGAGTTGAGTAGACACTCTGGTAAATTTCTTCAAGTCCCACCTGGGGATTTTGACGACCACGTAATCGAGCGAAGGTTCGAAACAGGCACAAGTCTTTTTCGTGACCGAATTGGATATCTCGTTCAAGGGAATTCCTAGTCCAAGTTTGGCGGCAATGTACGCCAGTGGATATCCCGTCGCCTTCGAGGCAAGAGCAGAAGAGCGAGAAAGTCTCGCGTTCACCTCTATAATGCAGTACTCCTTGGAAAAGGGGTTGAGAGCGTACTGGATGTTACACTCTCCCACAACGCCCAGATGCCGAATGACATTGACGGCTGTGGTACGTAGCATGTTGTAATCTTCATCCGACAGTGTTTGCGACGGAGCAACGACGATCGAGTCCCCGGTGTGGATACCTAAGGGATCAAAATTTTCCATGTTGCAGACGGTTATGCAGTTGTCTCGGGCATCTCGCACGACCTCGTATTCGATCTCTTTCCAGCCCTTCATGCTCCTCTCAATGAGCACTTGCGGACTTGCAGCGAATGCTTTCGTGCACAACTCGCGCAGCTGATTCGGATCCTCCGCAAATCCGCTACCAAGTCCTCCCAAAGCGTAAGCGGCTCTGACAATCACAGGAAATCCAATAACTTGAACCACTCGCATTGCCTCCTCCAGGCTGGAAGCAGATGCTGACTTGGCGCACTTCTCTCCAATCGACTCCATGCTTCTCGCGAAAAGCTCACGGTCCTCAGTGGTAATGATGGTGTCAATTGGAGTCCCCAATACTTGTACCCCAAGAGCCGCAAACTCGTCCTTGAGCTGGATGCCAACTTGTAGAGCAGTCTGGCCGCCAAACGTGCAGTAAATTCCATCCGGCCTCTCATACTTGATGACTTTCCGAACAAAGTCCGCGTTGACGGGGAGAAAGTAGACCTTGTCAGCCAGACCCTTAGAGGTTTGTATGGTTGCAATGTTCGGATTGATCAGCACGGTGTAAATTCCTTCCTGCTTGAGAGCCTTGATTGCCTGGCTGCCGGAATAATCGAATTCGCCTGCTTGACCAATGCTAAGGCCACCACTCCCAAGGACCAGAACCTTTTTAACCGAGACACGAGGATGTGCTTGCTCGTTCTCCTCGATTGTTCCGCCTGGGAAGGATACAGGCAGGAGTAGAGCATCCACAGAATCGATGCTCTTCATGATTGCATCAATGAAGACATCGAATAGGAATTCGGTGTCTCGGGGTCCGGGCGTCGATTCAGGGTGGAACTGCACGCTGAAGTACGGCCGAGACACGTGCCGAATGCCTTCGTTGCTGCCATCGTTTGCATTCACAAACAATTCTTCCCAACCTTCAGGGAGGGTCATGGAATCAACAGCGAAACCATGGTTCTGTGAAGTGATGTAGCATCGGCCGGACAAAAGGTTTGTGCAAGGGATGTTGTGACCGCGATTACCAAACTTCATTTTCAACGTCTCTGCTCCAGCTGCGCGAGCTAGTAATTGATGACCAAGGCAGATGCCGAAAATGGGAGTTCGGGCTTCCCTCAAAGCCTCCGAGATGTGTTTGATCGTTGTTGAGAGCATTGCGGGATCTCCGGGACCATTGGAGATAAACAATCCATCGTAATCTTTTCCAGCAAGGGCCGGAAAGTTATAATCCCACGGCACCACCAGAACCTCCACCCCTCGGGATAGTAGACATCGAAGCTGGTTGTATTTTAGGCCGACATCTACAACGACCACACGGACGGGCCGGCCAGAGGGATGAAGTAGAGCTCTGGTTGCGGGAGGCGAGAGGACTCGAGGCTCCTTCACGGACACCTCTGCCACAAGGTTTCTCTTGTTCTGATCATGCCACTCCACTCGTTCAGCTTGTTCTTGCCAGTTCTGTGGGCCCATCACGATGTCTCCATTTGACAATGCATCAGGCTTGACACCATTGGAAAGTTTTGACTTTGAAGAGGCTCGTGTCTGAAGCATGCGGCCAAGCATGCTGCCTTCCTCTCGAATTATCTTTGTCAGTGCTCTAGTGTCGACGCCACACATGGCCGGAACGCCTTGTTCTTTCAACCAGGCGCCCAGAGAAGAAGTAGCCAGGTGATGAGAGTAACTCTCACCCGCGTATGAGGCAACCACAAGTCCTGCGATGTGGATCTGGTCGGACTCAAAGTGCTTGGGAAGATCCCCGAGCAACTCGTCCAAGGTCTCTCTGGAGGGTACGCCGTAGTTGCCAACCAATGGAAAAGTAATAACAAGGATCTGACCGCGGTATGACGGATCAGTGATGGACTCTGGGTAGCCGACCATGCCGGTCTGAAAGACGAGTTCGCCAGAAATACTTTTGTTGGCACCGAAGCTCAGGCCTTCGAACACTTGGCCATCCCGGAGCTCAAGGTAGACTTTTGGCTGGTCACCATTGAAGGGTTGTGGTGTCGCCACAGGGTTGAGAGCCCCTATATGGTCTCCGTCGATCTGATAGGTAGGGGAGAGAGGCCCATCGGCATTGCTGATACCAACAGAAGCAGCAACCGTTGGACTCTGGGGAAGATTACTGTCACTAGACATGGGGCGATGACCATCGGTGGTCAATGAGACTGACCGACTCATGGCGGAATGAGAGGACTGCTGTCAGTGCAGCAGGGCAACAATCAGGGGCACATCTGCTGCGTTGAATGGCGGTGGTGATGCAATTATGTATGAGCCAGTGTCAACACCAGACGTGGAGGGAATGGGAGAAGAGCAAATTGCATGCTATTGCAGTTCCAGATGAAATTGAGACAGTGGACAGTGCTGAGAAAGTCCTTTTTTGATGCCAAGCAATTTTTTTTCCTGCCGGCCAATCAGGCGACGGAACACGCCGTGGCTCTCCGCTCCTTGCTGCAGCTGCCCGCCTCGGGCTTCAGGGCCCCTGCGGATACCTACGAGTACTCGCACTGCTAAATTTTCCATGCCTACGGATACCGAGTACATCACCCCTTTTGCCCCCGGTCACGAGACGACGAGAGGAGCACAAGGCAAATCTCAAGGAGAGATGATGAGCCGGCGTCACGGAGAGGGTTTCGGATGGGGGAGACCGAAGCAACGAGAACCAGATTGGACCTGACCATATGTTACACACCCGCTGCGGCTTCACCCTTCCAAGCCCCGTCGATATCTTGTTCTTTGGCGCGTCAAATCGATCGAGGATCGCAGTGCTTCCCCACGCTGCATCCCCCCTGCCGCCTCTGCATAAGCGGCAGTAAGCGTGCAGGTCGCCCACAGGTCGCCCACAGCTCTCCCACGCCTCCCTCGCTTTGCTGCAGGCCACCCCCAATCACAAGCCCGAACTGTGCAACTCCATCCCCAAGCGCCTTATCTGCAACCACTGCCCTGATGTCACCAAACATTCGCCTGCGCCCACCGCTTGTCCAACTGACCTCTCGTCTCACTGATAGTCGCCCATCAAATTCCACCCTCCGCATTCTGCACATGCAGATGGAATCCCGTGTGCCTCGATGCAATTGTTGCGTGCATCAGCAATCGGCGACCCAAGACTGCTGCTAGTGGTAAGGTTCAGGGTTTTGCCAGGCCAAAGTGGGACGGGCGCGCAGCTGCGGTCACTACCTACTCGCCTGGTGCACCCTCTGCTCACAGAATATCCCGCATTGTCCAAGCTGCTATCAGAGACTCACCGACAAGTCCTTCGCTCATCCCTCCTTGCCTTTTCTTTATTCTCAAGTCTGCTGCTGGTTTCCTGTTGCCGTTGAAAATGCCCCTCTAGCGTCGAGATGTTTTCGTGGTTTGTGTTCAGCCCGGAGTCGCAACCGTTTGTTTACGCCTTCCGAATTCTAATTCACCTTCCCACTGCTTGATCGTCCACCGCCCACCGCCCACCGCCCACCGCGCGCCACAACTGCCCTCGCCGCTATTGGTTCGGCCATGATTTCTTTCTCTCTGACACGCGCTCCCCGAAGTCAGAGACAGCGGGAGAGGTCACCTTTCTCCTCGACCTACTCTCGAACGACACTTTCCCCCGAAAATTCACGCAATCCGGCCCGACATGGTTGGAGGTGGTCTTCCGGGACCGGCCGTGGGGCCTTCTCTCAGGAAGGCCATGATGAAGAAATAGATGACGAAGGAGACAGCCCTGAAGATGAAGAGGATGACGACGAAGAGGAGGAAGAGGAGGAAACCATTGAAGATGCAGAAGATGCCGGTGACGAAGACGAAGACGAAGACGGGCCTGAGGATACGACACCCCTCCTTCCCATATTCTCTGCCGCTCGTCTCGATGCCATCCCCGTCTTTTCTCTCACCCACGCCGTCCGTTTGCTGGTGAGCTCTCGTTGCGATACTGTCTTGACCTGGGAGCAACTTCGCGCTCCTCAGGTTTCACAATTCCTGGTCAAGCCTATCGAGCAAGAAATTCGCAGCAACCATCTGAATGCTGCCACGCACTATGCTCTCATGGCAAACTGTCTTCAGTACAGCAAAGAGGCTGCTATGTCCTCGGGCAATAGTGGAACAAACACCACCCGTGCGATGGTCTGTGAGCTGGTTGCCATTAAATTGCTCAAGGATTTTTCTACAAGAGAGCTCATCGACGCATTGTCCTATGACTTTGATCCTCTTCAAGGCCAGTTGGATGCTGTGCCTCATGCAGAGAACGAACGGAGAAACACAGCAAGCTCCAAAAAGCCGGCTCAACGGCCGGCAAGAATCTCGTGCTTCGAGATCGCCATCCGCGCTCAGGCTAAAAAGTTTCTCTCCCATCCCCTGGTTGTGAAGCAGCTCGAGGCCATCTGGGCTGGTACAATTGTGTTTCACTCTGCTGCCGACAGTCTCCATAGACCGCTGCCTTCCATAAATCGACCGAGAAGTTACGGTACCAATGATGGAGGCTTGGCGGCAAAGCCCACAACCTCCAACACCGAGTTTCGCACTCCAAGGAGAGCAGTCACACTATATGATCCTCGGGATGCATCTCTTTTCAAGTTGTCCCGGTTGCGGGTGCCACGCTACCGCAACATCTTGTCTACTTTGTCCTTTGCCATTCTCCTAAGCTTGTTTGTCGCCGTCCTTGTGCAACGCTCCCTCGAGATCACGACGCTCGAGGTCATCTTCTGGTTCTGGGCCGCTGGCTATATGTTGGACGAGATTGTTGGATTCAATGAGCAAGGCTTCAGTCTCTACATTGCTAGCTTCTGGAACACATTCGACTTGGGAATCCTCCTCATCTTGGTCATCCACTTAGCACTGCGGCTCTACGGGATCCTCATGCCAGATGTTAGAAAGCATATGGTGGCCAACATGGCCTACGACGTCCTTGCAGCCGATGCCATCTTGCTCTTTCCGCGACTATTTTCTGTACTGGATCACTACCGCTACTTTTCGCCTTTACTGATTGCATTTCGATACATGGCGGCGGATCTCATCGCAGTTTCACTGCTGATCCTGATCAGCTGCAGTGGGTTCTTTGTTGCTCTCACTTTGTCGTTTGGCAACGATGGTATTGACACTCCTAGCTCGGTGGCTTACGCCTTGCTACAAATGCTCATGGGCTTCACGCCCGCCGCCTGGGATCGATGGGAGAGCTACAACGTTCTGGGGAAGACGATTCTGACCTTGTTCCTGTTCATTTGTCACTTCCTTGTAGTCACCATCCTAATCACCGTCCTCACCAACTCCTTCATGGCTATCGTCCGGAACGCGAGTGAAGAGCATCAGTTCTTGTTTGCGGTCAACACCATCTCCCACGTCAAATCCGACGCGCTCTTCTCTTACGTCGCGCCTACCAACATACTGCAGTGGCTTCTGGTCCCTCTCAGGTATTTCGTTCCCTTCCGCCAATATGTCAAGATCAATCGTACCATTATCAAGATCACGCACTTACCCCTGCTGTTTTCGATCTTACTGTACGAAAAGACCATCATGCAGTCGACCGTCTACGACAGCATAGATCTTGTCGAGCGTCGCGGGCGCGTGAGAAGAACAACAAAGTTTCCGCGACTGACTCGAGCGCCTTCCATTGCCACTTTCCGACAGGACAGGGCTCTCGAAGAAGTGTTCAGACATCCTTTTGACAGTACCGTTAGAAGCGCTCATCCAAGTCGCGACCGGCGCAAGGCGAGTAACGTGGTTAGCACATGGATGAATACAATGGGCAACGACGTGGCAGACCCGCCGCAGGAGCAAGACAGGCAAATCGTCGACAGGCTTGAAGCCAAGGAAGCAACATCTCGTAGACCACGCCGGATCAGCCGAGTTCGCGACTTTTCTCGCCAAACATTGTCAGTTGTATCTGACCCAGAGGATTTCACGACCAACGGAAATTTCTTGTCTCCAGGAGAGACACATCCTGTGACGACCACACCTTCTGCGTTGGAGCAACCATCGCACAACACTGATGCGGATGGAGACGATGAGATGCCTACAAATGATGACGGTGAAGAAGAGGACACGACCACACTCGAGCCCCGGTCACCAAGCGATACAGAGCCGGAAAAACACAACACGGCCCCTGCCGTCGTTGAGCATCGTGACTATTTTACAACTAAGCAGAATCTTGGACACCCTACTCCTGAAGCAGGTCAACCTATGGCAGCCATCTCACAAGCGAAGCTCGAAATGCCAGGCTCAGGTGTTGATTCGCCTCGACGCTCACCCAAGAACCTGGTCCGTCATCATTCCCGCAACGTGTCGGCTGCAACCATGATATTTAAACCCACGACAGATTCCAGCACGGACCAAACTTCGTCAGTTGAGGGGAGTAAACCTCCGCAATTTAAGGCACATATTTCAGCACCGGGATCAGGGGCTCGCACACCAGTGTCTAAAGCCGGGTCCAGTGGTGCGGGCCATAGAACTCCAAAGCGAACAGCAGGCCCGACTCGTATGCGACCGATTCTTGCCACCAAGGACGAACAGGGTTTCCGATCGACGCCGAATTTGGCGGGGTTGGTGTCGCTCAAAAACCAACAAGCTCAAGTGCGGCGGAAACCATCACTCGAAATGGACCTTGTGTCGGACATTGGTGACAACCGAGCAATAGGCGGAGGCTACGTTGGAGCACTTCCCAGCTCATTTGCCGCTCACCTGGCAAAAGGAACAATCGAGTCACGCCATGAAAAAGAGCAGATACAACAGCAAGAGATGTTCACGAAGATTATGATGGCTCGCATGAATGCCCTTGAGGAGAGCTTCAGAGAGGTGATCCACGAGATGAGAGACCATTTGAGACATGACGATGTTAGAAGCAGGAGCCGCGGAGGGGGAGCCACAACGAGTGGGCGCAAGGGAAGGGCCCGGGAGAGGGAGGTTGAGCGACCACTCACGGCAAGTAATGATGCAGAGGCTGCTACTCCCCGGGCAAGCTCACTCACCAGGATTGGAGAGCTCACCCGAGCAGGGGAAACCACAACAGAAAGGGGGAGTGGGGGAAGCGAAGAACAAGAAACTAGAGAACAGCCTCCCGCCGCTTGAATATGGGGAGAGTGCCTGAAGCGTGTGGGTGGTTCTAGACAAGTAAGGTCCGGAGGGCGGTACATGGTTGGGATTTTGTATTGATACCCTTGAGGGCTTAGGCAATTGGAAAGGATCAGATGTGAATAGTGCACATGATTTTGAGCGTCGGTCGAGGCATGTTCCAATAAGTTTGGGCGTTGATATTGACAAGGCTGAAGTGGAGAGGCTGGCAGTTCTAGCGCAAAGGAATGACGCAACTGCCCAATGAGGCCAACTGCGCCTCGAACCATCAGGCAATTGCGTTCTTGTCCACCTTGATCCATCTATCGGCTAGCCCTCTTCTTATTTCTCTCCACCACTTCTTCTTGCCTTGAGCTCACGTACAGTTGAATAGGCTACGTATAAGGGAGACCCTAGCACTCTTGCGCCAGGATCTCTACCAACCCGTTACACTCCAGCTGTGCCTGAGCGCCCCATCATGGCGTCGAGTTCGGGGCAGTCAAACCAACTGCTCTAGTAAGTACCGCTCCGCATCCTTCAAGAGAAAGCATGCTCATGTTTGAATGATAGTGCATGCATCGCTCATGGCACCACTATTCTCACGGAGCATACATCCCCCGGCACCTCGTCGTCTTCGGCCTCGTCACTCGCCTCGGTCATTCTCCCCAAGATCTCCCATTCCACCCCTGCGAAACTCACCTACACTCACGACCGTCTGTTTGTTCACTATATAGCGGACTCACCTTCGTCTACCTCGAATGGCTCGGACGAGCAACTCTCCAGCCATGCAGCTCTCACCTACATGGTCGTTGCTCAGACGGAGATGGGCCGGCGTGTACCCTTTGCGTTCTTGCTGGAGCTCAAGAAGAAGTTTCTAGCACAGTACAAGCCTGAATCCACCGATTTCTCGTCTCTGCCCGCGTATGGCACCGCAGCCTTTAACTCTACCCTCAAGGCGATGATCCAGCAGTATAATACCGCCCCACCGAGTGACGCATTGACAAATGCACGCAAGGAGATTGACAGCGTCAGAGATATCATGACTGAGAACATTGAGCGGGTGCTGGAGAGGGGTGAGAGAATTGATCTGTTGGTAGACAAGACAGATCGGCTGGGAGGGAGTGCGCGGGACTTCCGAGTGCGCAGTAGAGGATTACGACGGCAGATGTGGTGGAAGAACGTGCGGGTAATGGTGCTGCTGGTGGTGGTTGTCATCTTCCTGATATATTTGTTCGTAGGGTTTGGCTGTGGATTGCCGGCCTGGAGCAAGTGTGTCGGGTGAAAGAAGGTGGTCCTCCTGCGCCGGTTTTGATCAAAGCAGACTGGTTGAAGGGTTCTTCTGGACGGTTTTCTTTCCGCGGTGGCTACAGCGTGTATTTCTATGCGAGTTTGGGGGAATTGCATTCGTGGCTATGGCCGCCATTGCACAAATCACTATGACATGTTTCTCGGGCGCCACATGGCCCATGTCCACACACCACCTCTTTCTTTGTGTATGATCTCCATATTGTTGCAAAGACGACTTGCCCTGTAACTAGAGGGGTGATCTGATGGGTGACAGGCACCTAGCGGAGGAAGGGTCGAGGACTTCGGTAGGCTTGACGGGACCAACATTGGGCGAGAAGACAGCCAACGGCCCTGGTTGGATCAGGATGCTTCCCCCGCCTCCGTTTGCCTCACAGCGCCCCAGCTTGTGCGGGCATCCACAACAAGAGAGAGCCAATGACCATGTGCACAGGCGGAGGCCAGACGGAGGCCAGACAGAGGATAGGCACCGAATAAGGGGAGGTGATGGGCTGGTGGGCTGAAGCGCCTGTGAGCTGCGGACTTGAGAAACGGCTCAGAGTCGCCAGGCAGACACCCACGAGACTCACCAGACCAACCTGATGTCCTTGGTTCTTGGTTCTGCATTCTCTTACCCCTCTACAGCCTCATCTTCGTTCTCACTTCCAGCCTCATTCTTCTTTCTTTGTCCTCGCTGTGTTATTGACGTCCTTCTGCTCCCTCCGAACTTCCATCTTGATCTATACAAGGCTCCCAGACGCTGTATGAAGACCTCTGTACCACCAGCACATCGCCTTTCCTGCCTTTCTGGCACTCACCTTCAACTAACTGTGTTAACACTTGGAAATCTTTCTGCAAGGCAACTAGGCGAAGTCGTTGATGGATGAGCACTATATCACGGCCTTGTGAACGACCTTGTAACCCCTTGCATTCTACAACGGCGCTTACATATCGTCGCATCCGCCCAGCAGCCAGCGCGCCACGACTGTATCTACAGGCATGCCGCTTTGACTCCAGAAACAATGGTCCTTCCTACATCCAGCGCAGTACAAACAAATGGGGGTCATGATGTTGCTGGGAATCCACCAGGAGCCTCTCACTCGTCCCCAATTCAACCTTCCTCCAACGATAACGCTGCTGCGGCGACCTTTGGCAAGCGGCCGCTATCACCTTACCAAATAATTGAGGATCAAGATCTTGCTCGAGCCGTTGAACTTTCACTTCAGAATCAGGCTCAAGTAAAGCAGGAACCAGATACCCAAGGGGGTTCATCTCACCGTCACTCGTCATCGTCGTCAGCATCATCATCATCATCATCTTGCGAGCCATCGGTTTCCCTGGTCTTGAGTCTGAACAATGAGTTCACCCCCCTCGTCGACAAGATGGGCGATACAGCTATCTATTTTGGCCCTCCCCCTCAAATGCCGGAGCAAAACGACAAAGACTATCACTATATCAAACAACATTTTGATCGCGTCCATGTGGTCAAAAGCTCAAATCTTAGGCTCATGGGTGACGAGTCCAGGTTTACCGACAGAGATCTTCTGAACTCGACAAAGTCATTTCGTGCCGAGAGAAAGCTAAGGAAGCTCGGGGTTTTGAGCAGCGTAGAGGCTGCACATGGAGGGAAGTTCAAGTACTACATTGACCTCCGCCCACCCAACGAAGACGACGAAGCTGTCATTCTCATCACCGATCTGACTTGTACGCGCGGTGTGCTCACTTGGCACCTGGCAATGAAGAAGTACGATCTGTCTCCTCTTGCCGTACTAGGTCACGACGAATTCGGCGTCCAGCCTCATGTTGATATGCTGGTAAACCCGGCGATTTCTTCGCAGAACACCGAAGATGCAGCCGCAAGCCCTTCCAAAACGGCGAAGCCACGTTCGAAGAGTGGCTCTTCGAACGAAAAGCCTGCGCCTCTAGCCTCAGCACCACAGATTTCCCCAGAATACTCTCCGCTTCGGCACTGGTCCGCCCTCGAACGAGTGCTCCAGGCCATTCAAGGGAACGACCCGAAGCTGGACTCTGCCCCTAAGCTCTGGACGTTCTTCGCCGTTGCTCGATACTTTGGCTGTGCTATTCACGAGCGTATCTCAGGGTGGATCATGACTTGGCTTCATGCGGGCAACAACAGCAACTTCATCCAAAACAACCCTGAAGTGGCATACCGTATCGCAATGGGCATCAAATCTGTGGAGCTCATCAGAGACTCCTTTTCCATCCTCGTCGGCGAGAGGGCACTTATTGAAGCCTGCGGTGAGTTCAACCCGGAGATTCTAACCCTTCGCCGTCAGAGCGTACATGGCCGAAAGCTAGAGCTTCTCGACGATGATGAGCGCAATCGAATCGACCACGCTGCTTCATCTTTCGTGAAGCGGATTCGCGAGGCCATCTGCAGTATGTGTCAAGACATGGACTTTCTTCACGAGAGTGCAGTCTATGCAATACTTGACAATGCTGTCGGACAAACACGGAGGGCAGTGGAGGCGCTGAAATCGACCAAGACGACTGTGAAGGAGTACGTCAGATCGAGAATCTACTATGTGCTGTGCCAGGATCAAGGATGTCTCCGAAATTTGGAGCCGGAGCCAAAATCAACCCTCCCTTTTCGATCAGCTTCTATTGAGGACTATGGCACGGTCTATAGGTCTCTCAACCAAAAAATGAGACATTTCACCAAGACCTTCTGGTTGGCGTTGCAGCATACACGATTTGACGAGGGCACTCACAGCACATCCCATGAAGGCACGATTGGCTGGGAAACCACCACTCCGTACCACGAAGCTCTTCATGGGCTCTACAGGAATGACCCCCTCAACGGAATTAGTCGAGTCCCGCGGGCCACTTTGGAGCGTAAGATTAACATCATCAATCAGATGTTTCATAGGGGAGAGGTCATCCATGGTAAGCGCTCCCCAAAGCGCCGCAAAACTTGCGATTCCGACGACTTTTCCCACCGTTTCGGGAATACAGAGAATCCGATATCCTCCTCCAGTGTACTTATGCCCATTACTCCTTCCTGGAGAGCTGCTCCACCCGAGCCAGCGCCGACAATACCTGCTCCTCGCCCTGAGCCGCCCGCTTTCGCACTGAGACCCAAGCCAACGAGTGAAGAAAGTCACTCACAACAGACAAATAACAACGGAGCCTGGAGCTTCCATGGGAAGCAAAATGAGATTCCTATGCGTCCAAAGCGAGCCGCACCAGACAACGCACGCATGAATGGTACTCCCGAACCTCGATGCGAACCAGATACCTTGGTCGAAACCCACATACCAGAAGAGTCGATGGCACCGCTGCAGAGCAATTTGACCCCGGCGATTCCACCACCAGCAGCAGCAGCAGAAGATGTCTCTGCCTCCTCAGCTTCAAACAAATTCTTCAACCCGTATACTGGCAAGTATGAAGGACAGGATATCCAAGAACAGATGTGGGACAATCAAGCTGCTCCTTACTCTCCTCGAAGCGGTAAACGGGTCAAACAATACTTCTCCAACAGCAATACCGACACCGAAGTGACTATGCCTTTACCCCCCAGCTACCGTTTTCCGATCAATCCAGCAGCATTGCTCAACGACGTCACCGCGGCAATCGAAAAAATTTGTTCAGGTAACCTCTACCCACCTCATCTGTTCCACCAGACCAGTCTATTGCCTACGGACCTTTACGACAATCTTCTCTGTCTCACCGCCAACGAATTCCGCTATCTACCACTCTGGGTTCCTGACGGCAACGATGACGAAACCGGAGGGGTGTTTGAGGAAGTGCACGTTCCGAATCTCGACCCTATACGGACCAGCATTGAGAGCTTTGGGCCGGGACGGATTAAACGAGGATTCGATCAAGCGGACACTGATGTGGGCAGTGATATCGACGAGATCACGAGTTCCCAGGCGATCAGTACCGTGGGCAAGGCCAGTAAGCTCGCCACGGACGGGACCCGCACGGTGAAGAGTGTATCCAGTGCCAGTACCGTCAACGTCAAACGAGAGACTGAATCTGCGGACCTAGAAGATCCGGTAGTCGTGGATCATGGTGTTGTCCACATGGGTCAAGCTCCGCCAGGAATGGACGATGAGGGTGACACGGACATGCTGAATATCGACGAGCTCGACGACGACAATGTTGGTTGCGATGATGATGATGATGATGATGATGATGACGACGACGACGATGTCGGCGGCGCATTCGAGGATGGAGACTCAGATATCAGCGATGGTTTCAACCACTGGGACGACAATCGGGCGGAAGAATCGCCAACGACCCAAATCAACATGGGCGATGAGTGTCGAAGCAACGACACCAACCCGGACTTCGAGGCAATGCCAACCGCCGCCGACACTGATGATGATGATGGGTACACGAGCAAGGACAGCGGGAAAGGAAAAGGCAAAGCCAAAGCCCAGAATTTCCCGCACGGATTCGACCTCCCAGATCTGCCAGATCTCCCGGTCCGCGACCCGACCGCCGCCGCCGCCGGGACGGAGGGAGTCCTCCACCTTCACTCCCACCACCAAGATCACCAGCGTCCGCATCCTCATCCGCATCCGCATTCTCACGGCACTCGTTCTGGTCCTGGTCCGCATCGCGATCACGCCTCGAGTTCCAGCTCGGTCGTCTTGATCGACATGGGCGACGACGACCACCACAACCACAACCACGACGAAGAGGGTGACGATGGTTTCGAATTGGTATGACATACATGATATGGGGCGGCCTCAAAATCATGGGTGTCCAACGCAACTGTGGAAACTTCCGCCTCGGATCTGCACTTGCACACACGGCAGGAAAATGGCAGGGAGGCGGGGACAATGGAGGTAATATTCTGTTCAACAAAAAGAAAAAGTAGGGTGGGACGGGCCTGTAGTTCGGGATATCCAAAAGGGAGTGTGTATCGGGAACGAGTTGCACAGCGTCGAGCCGGCAACAGCGAACAGTTCATGGGACGAGAGCTAATCGCACTTATAACGACTGATCATGACTGGAATTTTGCAAAAAGAGAAAAGGTTAAGAAAAAGCAAAAGAATGCTAAATGAGTTTCTAACAATTGCCGTGAACGGGAACGTGACTTTTGCTACTCAAGCTCGTTTTTGCACGCATTTCTGGTCAGGATCCTGCCTGCTGAGTTACCAAGCTAATAGTCCAGTGCACTCTATCTCTGGTGTCTCCCATCCCAAGCCAGGTTCACACTCCCAGTGTCCGCCCACGACCATTACTGCCGATCCCTCCAGGCCATCCTCGGCCCGTGCCCTGGACCCCTGCCTCCCTCGCAAAGATAGCAACACAATTTTTGGATGAATAAAGTAGGAGGTGTGGGTCGTGCAAGAGCGGAACAAAATGTTAGATGGCTATTCAGTACAGTCGTGTGGTGAAAAGAGAAAGCTTGGAAGTCGGTTGTTGCTGGGGATCGTGCGGGTGCGAGTTTCGGTCCTGGGATTCTGTCTTCCTTCACGATATCCAATCACGGGCTTTCACTGATACGGGTGTCAGTTCTGAATGTGCTCAGCAGATGAATTCGACGTCGCTCACTGAAATCTCTTCCATGCCCATGTCATCGCCAGTATTGGCTGCGGGAGCAGTGCCGTTGGTGGCAGCTTCAGTGGTCGCACCCACTGCGGAGGGGTTATTACCGCCCCAGTAATCTGTCATTTCGGCATCGAGTTCTTCAGCAGTCTTGGGTTTGGCTCGAGGGTTTCGTCCACGCTTCGGCTTTCCGGGTTTGCCGGCCGATCTCCCCTTGGTGCCATCCTTTGCGGTCACCTTCTTCGTCACTGTGGCCGACTTCGGTTGAGCCTTTGGGTTGGCGCTGGTCTTTGTCAGTGGTTCTGACTTTCCCGAGCGTTTTGGTGGATTTGCGTACGCAACACGTTCCGCAAGTGACTTGGCTGGAGCCGGCTCTGGAACACTGCTGGCGTCCATCACAACTTCAATCTAGTCGAGGTCAGGAGAAGCCCATGTACGGTGCGGATGGTGGTCGTGCTTGCCTTCATTGGTCGCTTGTCCACCAGCATTCCGTTGAGGTCTTTGGCAGCTTTGGCGGCAGAGTCGGGCTTCGAGAAGATGATGTCGGCAATACCGCGGCTCTGACCATTCTGATTGTACTGCAAAGAGACCTTCTTGACGTTGCCTACGGACTTGCCGAAGTATTCCTATTCGGCCGCGAGTGATCAGTAAACTGCTGGAGAGAAGTAGGAATAGCATTTCTTCCGCATCGTTCATCCCCAGGTAAGAATGCAGTAAGAGATGTTTCCACAGTAGAGGATAGTCCAGGTACATATCCTTGCGCTGGAGCACCAGCGAGTACAAAAGGGCCGAAAGCAGTAGCAGCAGCAGCAGTCCAGCAGTCGAATCGTGTGTCGTTGCCATCGTCCCCTGGATTTGTTCACCCGGATGGTCATACATTCTGAGGCCAACTGTGGAAAATGCTGAGCATGATCTTGATGGCTGGTCCAGTTTTCCATCGTGCGACAGGTCGGGGGCTGGAGGAGGGTTGGAATTTGTGGGTCGTAGATATTGCAGGGCGACAAGCTCCTCGATAGACTATCGACATGGCTGGATGCAGGTGCGTAGCATTCGACAGCTTGGTGCGAGGTCTTGACGCGTGGCGTCGAAGAGCACATGGTCGTCAAGGGGACCATGGACCAGACAGCAAAGGTGCCATGGTTAGGCGTGGTAGGTCGTGCTAGGCTGCGCTGCGCTGCTTTGCTTTGCTTTTGAAATGGCTTGTTGCAACCTCGCTGATGCCCCAGACAAACAAGGCAAGAGGGTCTCAAAAGCGTCTCAGCATCTTGAGAACTCCTCCGGGCGGATCTGCATCATTATTCCACTCGGTGGCTAGCCGGAGAGAACTTGCAAGACCATGGCGAACAGTACCTTCACCAAACTGCATCGCAGAAGATGCGAGCCGAAGATGGTGGGAATGTTGCCTGCCCCAGATAAAGCCAGCATTTCAGCATGGCGATACGCTCCTTGAGGATTGTCTCTCCCGTCTCGACATCTCCCTCAGTTTCTTTGTTGCATCCCACTTCTTCTTATCGGACACGGTCGCATAAAGAGCCAAAGAATAACAGGCGGTGGCAAGCGGCGATGGAATCCAAGGTCGAAAGCCTCTTTATCAACATACCTTGATCTGGGCTTCGTTGACGTCGAACGGCTACAGGAGAGGTTAGTGGCGCGCCAAAAGGTGTAAAGCAGGCAAGTTAGAACATACCAATCCACTGACAACGATCTTGCTCGAGCGGGATTGAGATGCGGCGCCGGCGGAAGGTTTGATGGTAGATTTTACTGGTTTGGTTGCTTTCTTCACACCACCGACTGGCGCAGTTGGACCAGTTGACTTTGGGACCTTGCGGCGGCGAGCCTCGCGCTTCGCCTTCTTCTGGCTATCAATGATGGAGTCGAGAGATTGATCTAGCCTGCCAGACATCTTGAACGGATGGAGAGAGGGAGGTCAAGGATAGATTTTGCAAAGGCGGAAGGAGTGGACGATGCGTAGTGTCGCAGGCGTCAAGAGAGAGCTGTCCAAGTCCGGTGCAGTTGCGGGACAGATGACCACTGATCGCGCCGTTCTGTCCTGGTGCGAGATTCGAACGTTTAATGAGAGATAGATTTATGGTAAGGAAATTGACGATGAAGAGGCGCGCGGCAAGAATTAAATATGCGCTTGGATGGAGGTGATATCGACTGATGATAGCAGCGGCGATGGTGAAGGAGAAGGCAGGGCAGAAGGAGGGTGAAGGGGAGTCACGCCAAAATGATGAATGCGGCAAGGTTAAGGCGAGGCGCAGGCAAGGCAACAGGCTGTCACAGGAGAAATTCGGACGCAGCCAAGCCAGCACTAAGCCCGTTTCGGCGCCACGGGACATCAGCGTCACGTGCTCCGGTCAAGGCGAACTACGGCCTGCGGCGCGGGTACCGAGTAGGGACAGGACCACTACTTGTAAGTATCCTCAACGATGGTCTTGACATACAGAATACTCTACCTGATCCCATAGAACGCCATTCATGTGTCATCATCTCAAAACATAGTAGTCACCCGTAGTATAAACTGGCGGTTTTTGCGGCAGACGCGCAGACGCGTCAAACCACCACGGCCGTCCTTGCTCGTTCCATACTCGCGGGTGTTTCAGCTCTTCAACGCCTCGAGTCTCCCGCGCATTTGCTCCAGCTCTGCTTCTCTGTCCTCTTCCGGCTCTTCTTCCTCTGCCTCCACTGGGAGCTGCGGGACTTGTTGTTCTGGTGTGCCCAACCTTCCCTTCAAGACCTCGCCCAGAACCTTGTCGACTTCATTCTCCGCTTCTTCGTCCTCGCCTTCCAGCAACTCATCGTTGGGTAGAGCATCACCAACCATTTCTTCAATGATGCCGGCCTTCATCAACTCCTGGCTCAGCTCTTGCATGGTTCCGGTCAGCTCTGGTAATCGGATTAATGTGTTGACATCTTTCATGATCCGAGTGCTGGCCTTCAGACTGCCTTCGATCTTGCGAACCGAAAATGCCTCGTTCACTTGCATTTGTACGCTTTGCAATTGTGCCTTGCTGGTGTGTAGTCTTGCCGACTGCTTCCGTACCTTAATCAGCTCTCTAGCGAATATTCGTGCTTCGTCGGCGCCTTGTTTCGCTTGGGATGGGTTTTTCTGTCCCCTCTTTGCGGCATTCAATATCAGGGTCCTCGTCTTCTGTTCCGTAATCTTCAGGTTGGTTATATCCCGGTCCAAGGCCCGGACGTTTTTACGGATGATGCCGTCGCATTTTCTCTTCTGAGGTAGAGTTAGCCTGCTGCAGTCCAGTTGGAAATCACGGACGAACTTGTTCCTGGGGATCCGGCTTGAAGAAGACTGCCTTGAACGACTGCATTATGGCGGTAGTTCCCGTAGCGGTAGTTGTTGTTTAGTAGCCTGGTTGTCTGTGCTCGAGTAGGAGGAGCTTCTCGTGGTCCACTACAGGGCCATGCTGGGGTCTGAGCCAGATGCCGCCGGCGGCAGGCTTGCGGTGAAACTCAAGAATGGGCGGCTGCGATGCGACTCGATCATGCGGGTAGGGCGATGATAAGCGACACGTCTACTTGCCGTCCAAAATAAGTTGTAGGGCTGATGAACGGAGATCAACTAAGGAGCAGCTGTAGCGAATACTTTGTCACCTGCTGATGCCGGTGGAGGAAGGTTCGTGGTGGGTAGCCCGGTCAGACACTGCGTACCTCGTATTTGGCGGCGAGGCAGCGAGATGAGTTAGGAAGAGCAAGTTGCTGTGCGAAGATGTCACGGATGCCTGGCAATGGGGGGGGGGGAAGGAAGTGGGGGAATAGCCTAAGAGTTCTCGGCCTGCTCGTAAGTGGTAGGCAGTCACTAGCTGGGCGGAAGCGGTACCTTAAGAGGGTCTTGCTTGTGAAAGTCATGCTGAGTGGGCGGCGGAACAGGCACTGCGCACCCACTGCGTGCTCAGCCCAGGAGCCCGGGGGTCTTTCGATGTTATTCGTTGCACTTCGAACAGCCTCGTCCCTTTCACCTTAGACTGATCGCCCACACACAAATAGTTGAACCTCTTGCAGCAGACCGAGTAAAAGCAGGCAAGCAAGCAGACTTTTACATCTTCCATTGTTCTCACAATCCGACCGTACCTTTACGTCTTAACAACGCTCCTCCTCCCGTTCTTCACCACTACTTTCTCATCCTCTTACGCCAGAAGCCCCTCCAACTCGTAAACCTCACCATGGCTAGCCAGGTTACTCCAGAAGGTAAACCCTCCCGTCGCCGCAATGAGTCCAACGTCGCCGAGACCTTTACCTACTCGGTGACAGACTCTCGCTTGATCTGAGCACATGACTGACTTGGATCGCACAGTCCTATGGGCGCAGCGCTCCTCCGCCACTGAGCCAGAAAAGAACTACATCTACCTGACAATCAGCGTGCCTGATGTTCCCCCCAAGTCTCTCAAACTCGACCTCAAACCCACCGGCCTCACCTTCACTGGCACATCAGAGACCAAGAAGACCACATACCATCTTGAGATGGAATTCTTCTCTGAGATCGACGTCGAGAACTCGAAGACGCATCACACTGCGGCCAACATCCAGATGATTCTCAGGAAGAAGGAACTCAAGGAGGAGTATTGGCCACGCCTCCTCAAGGACCCCGCAAAAGTACACTACCTTCGCACAGACTTTGACAAGGTATGCTCTGGATCCTCCGAGTCACTAACTTTCCGCATACTGATTTGCCTTCTTTTAGTGGGTCGATGAGGACGAACAAAACGAAGCTCCGGAGGACGACTACATGAACCAATTTGGCGGTGGTCTCGGAGAAGACGGCGGCTTTGGTGGCATTGACTTCTCCAAACTCGGTGGAGGCGCCGGCTTGGGCGCAGAAGGAGCAGGCGCCGAGGGCGGCGATGACAACGAAGGAGAAGAAGAAGATGATGATGACGACGACGAGATGCCTGACCTCGAAGATGATGAAGCCGAAGGTGATGCTAAAGGCAAGGGCAAGGGCAAGGAGGCTGCATGAGTGGCAGGGTCGACCTTCAGACGGAACTCTCTGCGCGGCGTCGACGCAAGAGGATCACAATGGAGTTCTGACCCAACGGTCCTTGCTCGTTAATGCCAGGTCCTCGAGCCAATGCTGCATACATCCAACTCTACGAAATTCCACCATCAGGTTCACCCTTTCCTTTCCACCCGACCCGTCAATATATGAGCGAGCGTTCCTGTGTTGTCACCACAGCCTTTAGATTATCCTGGCCATATGCGTTCCCAACATCTCGATACAAAGCCCGGAGCGCAGTTCTACTACTAGGCAACGGAAGCTGGGGGCCCCTACTGTTCTATTGGGGCGACAATAGCACAACACTTTCTTTTCCCAAATGCAATGGTGCGCAAGGACATAAAAGGAGGAACTCTTATGGGGGATGGGGTTTGGAAGAGACGACAACGGATGGAAAGGAGAGCTCCTCGGTCATCAATCAATCAAAGAATCATGCCACTTCTAGCTCGTCAGTACTATCCCAAGAAATGCCCCGATATCCCCTGTGCTGTCCCACGTAAGATGAACCATTGAAGTCGCCAGAATGTCTTAGGTTCGGAGTAGGTGATAAGAGGTACAGTTGGCCACGTACTCGATACCTTGCACAGATACACACATAGTCACACCGCATCTCCGTTCAGGCATCCTGAGCTTGCAAGGTGCAGAGACCCTCCAGCCACGGACATGGACAGTGCGGTGAAGGTATCCAATACCAAGGCGCCTTTCAATCATCAGCAGGCGGCAAGGCAGGTTGATGAGTCAGGCAGCGGCAAGTCACCTCGCCCAGTCCATGGTCAATGGCCCATCAGTCGACACCAGCCATTGATATGGCCATCACCGTCGCTGTCACCATCATTAGCCCTTTGGTGCTTACATAATGGTCCTGATACCAGAACGGATTTGGTACATGATTCTCCTCTCGACCGTCGGTCTGTCCCTCGTCCTCTTGCAGTAGAGCTTCTGACGAGGAGACTGAAGGCGGACGGAAAATTGTTACTCCGACATCGCGCAGGTATCGAGTACTTGGCTGTCTACTAGCTACTCTGCTTGTAGGTATCACAGCATTGGCAACTGTCAACACCCCACACGCTACGGCGCTCACACTTCCTGGACCTGATCAGGCTTCATATTCTTTTCTGGGCCTCTGACTGAAAAGTAAGCCTAAGAATACTCCTCGCAATTGATTACAGGTGCTAGAGAAACCGGCGATGATTGCAGGTACCAGCAAGGACTATGCCACGACACCGAGTCTACCACAAGCCTCATGTCGTCCACAGAAGGCAAGATTCATCCTGTATAATACTCACCAACGACGTTTATACAATTCCCTTCAGGCGGTGGCGAAACTGCACCAATGGCCCCATTCCGTTAGGACGAGGTGGGCGCATGAACACACCAGGGTGGCATCTGTTTGAAGAACGAGAAGCACAGTGATACCAAAAGGTCAAGCCGGGACGTGTCGAGCAGAGAAAAGAGCATCGGGGTATTATATGCAGAAGCAATGTCTGCCTTTCCGAACTGAATCAAAACAACTTGTCACCCTACTGCCTAAAGGGACATTCGAGCAAAGACAGCGCGAAAATCCATTGGCCTCTCTGGATGACGGGCTTGATTTAGACTTTCGATTTTACGTACAGTGGGCTTCGCTGGGCTTGGAGCTGGAACTGGAAGTTTGCGAGCCATCCACTGATCTACAGTGCTGGGCGAACTTCTTTCTTCCTTTCTTTGTACAAACATTTCCTGAGAGCTCCCAGTTTCTGTTTTTAATTTTGCGCGATAAAAGAAAAAGAACATGCCACAGGCTCGCATTGGCCGGGCTCTCCGTTGGAATTTGTTGGTGCCCTAATGCAAGAGAGGGGATCTCTGATCAGTCCATTTATCTACGCAACAACATGTCTAATTCCAACCCCGAGCTTGAGGAGAAGCCGCCTTCACCCTCGACAACGCCGGCAGCTCCGTTATCATCTTTCTCTTCTTCTCCCCCTGATCCTCGACCCGCGTCAGAAGAGGACAACGTAGTCGCGTCACGGTATCTGATCAAGCGGCCCAAGGCGCTGCAATGGTTTCACAACGGCACGCTCGAGCGAGAGTCCGAGGAGGAGCGACAGGCAGGGCGCTTCGAGCTGTTCCTCGACCTGCTGTACGTCGCGCTGGTGGCCAACTTCGCAGAAGACCTGGCCGAACATCCGTCTGGCGCCGGGCTGGTCAAGTACCTGCTGATCTTCGCGCCGGCGTGGCACATCTGGAGCGACCTGCGCGAGATCATGAACTCGTACTACAACGACGACCTGGTCCAGCGCGGAGTGATTCTGTGGGTCATGGCCTTGATGGTGCTGTACGGCAACAACGCCCGGCTCGTGGCCGAGGACATTGGCGCCATGAGGACCGTGGTGGGCGCGTTCATGACAGCCCGGCTCACGGTGGCGGGCGTCTACTTGATTTCGTCGTTCGCCAGCTTCCAGCACCGCACACAGGCCAGGGTCATGGCTGGGTTCATCTTCGTGGGACTTCTCATCTGGATCCCCCTGTACTTTGAGAGCGTGAGCCTACGCGCCAAGATCGCCGTCGCTGTTGTGGGCATCGTTTACCACGAGGTCACCTGGGTCATCACATTCGGCACCTGGATCAAGAGACACCTGAAACTCGAGTACAGCACCGCAGTGGATATCAACCATGAGATCGACCGACTCGCGGCCTTCTACATTATTGTTCTGGGCGAATATTTGTACAGCATCGTCGTGGGCGATCCTGCCGCGATCGGGCTGAACATGGGCTTGCTGAAGGCTGTGTGGACTCTGATCATCGCCTTCTGTCTTAATTGGCTCTACGTCAATGGGGATGGAAGCCTGAACAGTGTGCATCCGATCAGACGGTCCGTCACCACAGCCTTTACTTTTTTCACTCTGCACATGCCCCTTGCCGCGTCGCTGTTGGTGGGTGGCCACATCTGCGCGGTTAGCGCGGGACAGGAAGACCTCGACTCGGGCGAGCGCTGGTTGATGGGCGGCGGATTGGGCGTGGGCATGCTCTGCCTGTGGATCCTGGCGATGCTGTTCCACGTGCAGGACTCGTGCGAATTGATCATGCCGAAGACGCCCCGGGTCGGGATGAGGCTCGTCGTCGCCATCATCCTGGTCCTCTTGCCCCTGGTCGACGAAGAGCGTTTCGACGCGGTGCAGCTGCTGAGCACGGTCATGGGTCTGATCGTCTTCGTCACCGTCTGGGAGACAGTGGGTGGCTTGAGGAAAGATTCGAAAGTGTATGAGAAATGGGAGGCGGGGAACCCGCTGTCCGACTGAATTTTGGATGGCGCAACAACCCATCTTCGTCCCCGGCACCCTTTCCCCCACCTCGACGGGGCCTTCCCGATTGAAGTCCTCTTGATCAATGCGCAGAGCCATTCATTGATCTTGTCAGTGGAGAGCGCTGGGCAAACCCTCCCCCGCAAGAAAGAAAGCTGAATGCTCAGGGAGGCGACGCTGCCACCGAATATGAGATCATGGAACTTTTAGAATGCGGACCGCGGAGAAGACATACACTTGAACCCGACCTTGAAGGCTGCCTTCCAACACCATGTGATATCGACTTGCTGGAATTGATGTGTACTGTGGCTAACCTCACTGCTGCCCTGACACTTGCCGGTCTATATCATGTCCGTCGCGAGCGCTCAAATCTTCTTCTAATAACCAACTCTGGCCGACGTTCCCGGCGGTTTATCCGCCACGGCCGGCATGACTCCCTTCGCCTTCGCCCGGGTCCCTGATCATATTCACCAGCGAATCCAATATGTGTTCATCGAATCAGTAATCTCCATAATACGTGTCACCCCCCTTGCCGATCAGCCCGGAACGAAGGCTCTTCTCCCCATCAGCAAACCGGACGACCTAAGACGAGGCTAGCGGGAGAGGGGGACTCGCTTTCAAGGCCTCTGAAGCTCCTCCAGCAGTGGCGCATAGCGTTTGCTGCGTGCTGGGCCTGGTATCGGCATGCAACGAGCGCGAGAGGGGTGCTAGGTACCAGATAACCAACGAAAGAAGTAGCACTGGGCGTCGATACACCCTCACTCAGCGCGGTATAGAACGACTACGATTATGGACCGCATGGTCTAAGAGAACACTGAGGGCGTTTGACTTTTGAAGGCTTTCTTACGAAAGTACCTCACTAATAGTCAGGATTTTGTAGCTTCGGGCTGGATTCCCCTGGTATAGATAGGCATTGCCCTGGCGAGAAGAGAGGTGATTGTGTCCCCAACCAACACATTTCCTCGATCCGGATGATATGGTACAAAGTACTCTGTACAAGCACACATAAACTCGAACGGCACACGTACCGGAATGCCAGTTCAGCGTTCCTCCTTTTTGAGTATATTTCCTTCCTGTAGCAGACGAATTCAATCCCCCCTCCGTCTTCTCTCCCATGCACCCATCCCTTCCCCTGCTCTTCTCTCATCTCCCGACTCTACAGCTGCCATTCCCCTGTCGTAGTCCTCGCTGCCGCCCTGTCTCCTTTCTCTTTCCAACATCTCATCAAACTCGCGTTGCGCCTGTTCTCTAGCACGTCCATCTCTACCGAGCCCCGTCTCATTGGTGTATGAGATGCCTTGATTGCTCTCTGGGTCTCGTTCCGCCATCTGATTCGCACGAGCTTCTCGGGCTCGTTCGGTCTCGAGTCGCTGACGGCGGAACTCCATGTCAGAAGTTGCCGTAGACGAATCGGCCGATGGAGGAGCATTGCCTCTTCGAATGCGCTCCCAGGCACTTCCGCCTGGAGACCGCTTGTAAGCTGAGGGCGTCGCCATGTCCGGGTCGTTCCCGGTTGTTGGGGATGCGTCGTCGAAGAAAAAGGGGTCAGTGTCTGCCGAGGAGGTGGAGGACGTGGTCTCCCTTGATGGCTGGCGTGTTGGGTATTCTTGTTGTTGTTTTATTTCGCGGTCTCTTATTCTGGAATCATCCAAAATGCTGGTGTCGCTCGCTCCGCTTTGGTAAAAGCCATCACCATCATGGTTGCGGTCGACGGCGGAGCCGTCTGGGTAGGAGCCGCCTTCGGCGTCTTTGTAATATGACTGGGAGTCGGGTGGTGCATCTCGGCTGCCATCTTGACCTTGAGGCTGTTGGGGCCATTCTGCTGGTATGTTTGAAAGTGTCCGGTTCATGTCGCCGCGGCCCCTTTCTCGCATCGCTTGAATGAGCCCTTGAGTTCGTGGATCGGTAGCCATCCCTGTCGCCGCGCTGAAACTACCCAGAGCACCAACGACAGGCGTACCGACCAGGAAACACAGCTCCATCCAGATGACATACCTCGTTACCTGCCAGGCCGTTTGAGCCAGCTGACCAGTTATGAGAGGCATCTGCTGAAGGGGGAATTTGTTGTATCGCTCCAAAGGCTTTGCTGAGACGAAAGGAAACTTCATCTTGGCGCGGCCCCTGTGAGCCAGGTAGAATCCAAACGCAGAGGTAGCAAAGGTGGCTAGAGAACCATAGAGGAGTCTTCGCGAAGTCCAATACGCTAGAGCCTCCGCCTCTTGTTGGGTGACCGGTCTTTGCACCACGTTCTCGGAGCCACGTATGAGATCAATAGCTAAGACGCCAGCCCTTCGCGACCTTATAGATCCGCCGTATATCCACCATCTTGAAAGACCATGCAGAGGCATATTATCAAACGAGAGTCGGTAGAGGCGCGGTGAGTTGTTGAGCTCGTAGCTCAGAGACAGGGTATCCGGCTCGACAGAGACCTGGTATTTGGACCTTGCTTGCATGACTTCAAGCAGCTTGGATTTTGATTCTGGTTCTCCAGGCTTGTTGACAGGTTTCGCACCGGGGCCCATTGACGGAGGATACCTGGAGGGAGGAGGGCCTTCGTTCGCCATGACGAGCGTCTGCAACTTCAAGTCTGTAGCCCCAGATTATTGAGAGGAGAAGGATAATAAAAGCCTTATTAGGAAGAGCGATGAAAGATTTTACGCACAAGCAGCACAGGTGAGGTGGACAGCTGCGTTGTTTGGAGCTCGCCAGCTTTGGAAGTTGTGGATTGTCTCATGCGACTCTGTTGCATTTTCCACTGACGTCGGCGATTTCCCCCACAGTCACAAACATGCAGGTGGCCACCCACTACTACTGAAAACATCCGCAGCCCACTCATCCCATCCTCTCCTGCGATCCAGCCTGCAATTCTTGTCCCAGCCTACATCCCTCGACTTTCCTGTCATCCTTCTACTATTTTGACATCCTATTGAGACTGTTGTTGCCTCCTACCTCGCGTCACTGTCGACCTATCTCTGACCGTTTCAGCGAAGCGACGCCTTGGCCTTTAGACAACCCACCGTCCTGGACAAATTTGCCGTAGGCTCTGACCGCCCTTAGTTCCCATTCAATTTTGATCAATATGGCGCCCAAGGCCAAGGGCGGCGAGCAGCCGAAAAAGACAAAAGCCAGTGTCGAAGACAAGACCTTTGGCATGAAAAATAAAAAGGGTGGCACAGCGAAGAGACAAATTGCACAACTTCAGGCCCAGGCAAAGTCCAACAAATCCCCTGAAGAGAAGCGAAAAGAAGCCGAGAAAGAACAGAGAAAGAAGGAGAAGGAAGCAGCCGAGAAGGCCAAAGCTGAGGCCGCTGAACTCTTCAAGCCCGTCCAGGTCCAGAAAGTCCCCTTTGGCGTTGACCCCAAGACGGTGCTGTGTCAATTTTTTAAGCAGGGCCACTGCGACAAGGGGAAGAAATGCAAATTCAGCCACGATCTTGAAGTGGGAAAGAAAGTGGCCAAGAGGGACTTGTATCAAGATACCCGGGAACAGGACAAGGAGGAGAAAGAGAAAGACAATATGGAAGATTGGGATGAAGAGAAGCTACGAAAGGTGGTGCTCAGTAAACATGGAAATCCCCGTACCACCACGGACAAAGTTTGCAAATACTTCATCCAAGCAGTGGAAGATGGAAAATACGGCTGGTTTTGGACCTGTCCCAATGGAGGAGACAAGTGCATGTACAAGCACAGCTTGCCACCCGGGTATGAAGATTGCCATCTATTGCTTTATTGAGACCTTTCTAACATTTTGGACCAGGTTCGTACTGAAAACCAAGGAACAGAGGCGTGCTGAGAAGGCCTTGATGGACAAATCTCCGCTGAACACACTGACTCTTGAAGATTTCCTCGAGTCTGAACGACATAAACTGACTGGGACCCTGACGCCCGTGACACCAGAGTCATTCGCCAAATGGAAGAAAGAGCGCATGGACAAGAAGGCCGCCGAAGCAGAGGCCATGAAAGCGAAGGATGCAACGGGCAGGGCCATGTTTGAAAGTGGAAACTGGAAAGATTCAGAAGACGAAGACAGCGAAGATGAGGATGAGGATGAGGATGAAGACGACGAGGAGGGCGCATGGAACCTCGAAGCTATGCGCAAAGAAACCGAAAGGCTACGAATGCTGAGGGAAGAGGAGCGGTTAGCCAAAGCGAACGGTGAACCCGTGCCCGATCGGAACGACGACACCGAGAGCAACGCGGCAGAGAGTCAAGAAGGCGGCAACGACAATGATGAGGACGGCGGTAGCGGCAGCGGTAGCGGTGATGACAGCAGAGACGGTATCACCGAGACTAATGGGGAAAGTAGCGGGACAAAAGGCTGAACAGTGCTTCGGGCTCTGTCTCAAACCACGCCTGCTCTTCTTTAAGAGTTGGAACTGGAGCATTTCTTTGGGCGCCGGGCATAAAGTGACACAGCGCCTACGATACCTATCCAACAGGCGTTATGTGAAGGATGCTACCTAGTGCAGAAGCCCTTCCACATAGCATTTGGGCGTTAGAACTGCGTTCAGAGGCAGCTACCGAGCCTGTAGAAAGGCTCGTGGGTTGCAATAAATGGTATGCGATACACAAAGCTCATCAACACCAAGGAAGCTGCGCGGTGGATATGGTGATATCTACCTAGGTATCTAGGTAGAGAAAGATATCAGCTTCACTGCCTCTGATCCCCGCAAAATCGGCTTCCCTCTCCGCTTGTGGCGCCCCCGCCAACTGCCGCCGTCGCCCAATCGCTTCGCCCACAGAAGGCCCATCTATTGCTTAACAAGCAAAGAGCTTGAAGCTCAGTCCAGCTGATGTGCGGAGACAATGATGTATACCCGTACTTGACGTTGATCTTTTTGCGGATCATCTTATCTGTAACTTTTTTTGCAAGACTAGAATCACTGGTGCCTATACAGCAGCTGCCACCAGACCCAAGACCAAACCCTTAGCAACCTCTGTGCCCTCTCCTTCGTCCAGGTGAAGTTACAAGGGTGGGAACTCCGTTCGGCTCGTCTGGTCAATCGACACCTGGTGGCTCGGGAGCTGCCTCGAGAAACAATTGCCTGCTCGTCGTTCACAATGCCTCAGCAGCCGCCTACACCCAATTCCCAACCTCAAAGCTCCATCCCGGGATACCGTCCGGGCCCCTACCTCACGTAAGTACACGGGTTCGCAAGCCTTTTTACCACCTCACCTTCCCGTCTCGTCATTCCCTCCCCCTCCAAAGTAACGCATTCGTGGACCGAAAGTGGCTGATTCGTATGGGGACTGTGGAGGAAATACAGCCGCTCCAAGAAGTTCTTCCTCGCCGCCATCGTCTTCATCCCCGTGGCCTCTTACCTGTGGCTGCGACGCCTCGAGTCGCAGTCCCGCGAACGCACGAGACTCCTCGAGGAGGAGGGCCGACGGAACTGGATCCAGGCCGAGAAGGAAAAGCAGCGGTACCTGGCGAGCAGGAAGGATCGGGATCTGAGCGTCGCCGTGGGGAGGAGCGGCGGCGGAGTCTGAGTCGTGCTGCAGGCAGAAAGTTTGCAAAAGGGAAGAAAAAACAATGTTGATGTCTCGGAGAGAGTCATTCTCCTTCGTTAGAAGTGATGGTGTTTCCTCTCCCCCCAGAACATGAACATCAGCCGGAATCGAACGATGTCTAGAATCCGTGCGAAAACCCCCCGGGGACAATCTCAACAGTCGAGAGCGGATGTTGTTCACGCGGCGGCACCAGAAAAGAGGAGGCAGGGCTGAAAGAGCGACGTTAGCCAATCTGGCTACCAAGGTCGCAAGCTCTCCCAGACGAAGGACGGATTGACACGCTGCTCCTCACTGAGCAGGAAAACCCAATGACCAACGACAACAGGACCTCTCCGAGTGAGGTGATCCGCGGACGCAAAGGACAGCTCCCTCCGTCCGCCATACAAGTCGACAATCTGCTGTATCCCGAATCAACTCTCAATTCGGCTGCCCTCGGCGACTCAATGTCAGTCACGCAGGGTAGGCAATTCACCCACACCAAGCCTCGCGATATCCCACATGCAGGATGGTTTAGACCTGTCCAGAAACCGGTGCGACAGCAGCAGCCAACGGCCCTCGCAATGATTTTCAGTCGACTCGCCAGACCACCTCCAGGCCGACAAAGTGTGTCGCCCCAGGCCAGATAAGTGAGGCAATATGGATTTTTTTTCTTCCGTCGACCTAGAGCATTTTGCCGAGAGAGAGAGAGAGACCGCGCATTATCTTATGGAACCACAACAGGAAGCTCCAAGAGCATGTCGGCACACGTGCAATTATCTCCTTACGGTACAACAGGTTCGAAAAGACCAAGATCTTGAACAGGCAACCTATCTCAACGTCTCATCGCCCGTGGGCCCGAGTCACCGCCTACAACCACCAGATACAGGCCTGATGCAAGCAGACGGAGTCAAACGATCTGCCTAGGCAGTTCCCCCCCCCCACCTTTGGTCTTCTATACATGACATTTACGCTCTTTGTCCGGATCATCTCCTGGGATGAAACGGTGAAGGACGGGGCTCATGAGCTCCAGTCCCGTTCTCCTTCGTGGCCTCCCCTTGCAGATGTTGTGCGTTACAAGAACCAGTGGAAGCAAATACAGAAGACAAAACAGGTTTCAAGGTAGACTGAGACAGGGCTATATATGTGAATTACAGGCTGATAAAGACCATCTCATTGTCAGGATATCTGATCGAGATCGATGTCCTATGTCCCGCACCCGTCCAACCCGCCAGAATCTGCTGTTTGGAAGTCTGTTGGCTCGTTGCCACTGTGTCCTGTTTCCAATCCATCACTGTATTACCTGGTTTGCTAAGTTAGATACCCCAACTCCATTATAGAACCAACTCTCACTCTCACTCTCTCTCCCAAAATGGCAATCGCTCATAGCAAGGATCGTCAAGAATTGAATGCATCGCTGAAGAGCGGCACTTGCTTTTGGAGCCCGCGTGAGCCTCTGGTAACAATCTCCTTTCTCGCGCTTTTCAGAACATGATGAAACAGGCTGAAACACTGATCCCAAGACTTCTTCGTCCCCTCGTCCCTACCCGACTCTTTGCATCCTAGGCAGTTGCTCCTGATGGCTCGCCTCCCTCAACTGCATCGGCCACAATTCGTTCTTGCTCAAACATTGAACCCGATTCAAGACCCAACACTTCCCATCATAGCGTTCGGGATGCTCTCGTATGGTGCTGGCTGCACATTCTCACCGGCTCCAATCATCCTGGGACTCATGGATTGATTATCATCACCGCCTCTCCGGCCCCGGCTGGGAGACCTCGCTCTCCCTGTGAAGTTTCTCAGTTTGTTCAAGAGCTGGCCCCCCGAGCTGCCGCTTTGGTTATCATTCCCAGACCGTCCTCGCCTATGGCCTGTGCTTGAAGACATGGCCCCGGCAGACAGAGGCGCTGTGTTGCCAGCAATCGCCGCTACGTCGTGGAATGTAGTGTGAGTGGGGACGGCGGACATGGGGAGGGGTACGGCTGCGGCGTCCATGGGTTCAAACCCACGTGAATTAGAGAGGTTAGGACTGCCTCCAGTGTATGAGGACATTTTCTGCAGAAGCGGAGGAGGCGGGGGTGGAGGGGGTTCAGCGAGGTGTTGCAACTCTGGAAGAATAGGAGGGTTTTGTGGCGGTGAGGTTGCAAAGGCTGCGGAGATCGCTGTTTCAGTAGTCCCTATGGGAGGACTCGACATCATGACTGGGGGCACTTCGCGTGGAGATACGCGTGCAGTGCGATCGCGAGATGTGCCTCGACTCCGCGAGCTCGCGCGAGCTTCGGGTCCCTTGCTGCTTGATCTACTGCCCGCGATGCGTCGGTCGTAGGCGGGATGCTTGGGGATCTGGGAAAGGAATTCTAGCGAAGCAGGTGCACGTGCGGAACCTGGTCTGCTGATGTCTTCGCGGGTAGGGGGTCGATAAACGTCGCTACTTAAAAGCTCAGTCCCACTCGCGACAGGAAATACTTGGGCTTCTTGATCCTCGGGGATTGCGGCATCGACCTGCATCGCTCTGGGCGTCCCTGGCCTTTCTTTAGAAAGCCCAAGACCGGACAGTTCTCTTCCTAGGCCATTCTCTTGGAACGACGACGCCGTACTCGGTCCGTCGTGGGTGGACGACCTCGTGAGCAGGGGCGATACGTTGCTCGTCGAAGCCGACTTGCTGTGTGCAGAGAGCTCGCTTGGAAAGGGAGCATTGGGCACGGAAGGACGACGGGCCAGAGGCTGCTTTCGGGCCTGTGGCAGCTCTGCTTGCAACGCTCTCCTTTCCCCCTCCACTGCAAATTGAGGCTGACTGGCAGATCTTGGCACCACCTCCTGTGCTGCGAGTGTACTGTTGAACATGCTGTTGTCTTCAGGGTCATCAGGATGGGCGCTTCGGTCGTACACAGCGTCACTTGGGCGGCGATTTCGGCGGTTGTGCTCACTGCGGCTTGCCTTCCGGCTCAGGGTCGTCGCTTCTTCTGCTTGACGACTACGAGATCTGGCTCGTACTCTTCGTCGATCAGGTGATCTGTCTCTCCTTGCACTTGTGTCACGATGTGGCTGACGACTAGAACTTCGGTGCAGGCGATGTCGGTCTTTGGACACCAGCCTCAGAGCCGAATCTTGGTCGAACCGGCTTTGTCGGTCTTCTTCAGAAGGAACCATTGGTCGTGGTGATGATGGAGAACGGTGCCCTAGATTCTCTTTGCGAGAGGAGCTTCGGCCTCTGGGAGAAAAGATCGCAGGTTCTGGGCTTTGGTGCCGACTCGCGGCACGGCTGCCCGCCTTGCTCTTCGTGCCGGTGTGTCTAGAGTGCGATCTCTTGCGCGGTTTCCCGCCTTTTGCAGTAGATTGAGAGCCGCGGCGACTGAGTTTTGACATGCTGCCAGGGGTCTCTGCTCGATCGATCCCGGAAAAATTAGAACTATACATGGAGTCAAAGCTTTCAACACTGGTGCTGTACATGCGTAAATCCTCCGGTGACATCGGGACTGGGGAAGAAGGCGAGCGTTTAGCTGCAGGGATGGTCCGTCGCGGTTCTCTCTCACCACTGTCGTCCATATTGTTAGCTCTGCTCTTTTTCCGGTCCGATTGGTCATCTCTCGACTGCTTGCTGGTGCTGCTGTAACCACGAGCTCTAGAATGCTTCGTATAATATTGAGCCTGTTCGAGGCTACTAATATATTGATCGATACTTCGACCGGTAACAATGGGGCTCTTGGCGCTCCGATAGCTGAGGTCAGTAGTTGGCGGGCCTGTTAGGTCACCGGAGGTATCGAGTTGAGTGTTTGAGTATGAGCCCGTGGTGACCGGTCTGCTGATTGGGTCACCGTAGCTGGCAGAGGGCACAAATTCTTGATTCGAAACGAGAACAGTTTGGATTGAAAGTCCGTCAGGCTTTCGACTCTTCGACCCAGTTCTTGTCCGTGCAGTATCCAAATGCCGTTCATCGTGACCTATCCCAGTATTGAACTGGGTACCGGGCGCCGGAAATTTGATGGCGGTTTGTGGACCAACAGCTGTTTGGGGTGTTTCCTTCACTGGCGTGGCTAGTGGCTCATACCGTGCGGATGTCAGCAATGTCAAGGCTTGCTTCCCACGTTGCGGTTCGTCCACGACAGGGGCATGCTCCTCGGCATCAATCGTCTTGGAGGTCGTCAACTCGGCGGGTACAGACACAGATCTCTGCGGCAAACTTGAGAATTGCGGTGCCTCAACGTCGATTGGCGTTTCGCCAATGACCGTCAATCGACTTGGCTGGAAACCGCCCGGTGTCGCGGTCTTGGCCGAGAGAGCGCTGTTGATACTGCGAATGTTGTTCAAGCGGTAAGAACCCAGTCCACCAGGTGACAGGGCAGATCTATCAACCGCGGATTCTGCAATAGGTGTTACAGCAGGAGCAACAGTGGGTGTTCGGTCTTCGGGCTTGAGTCCCGGGAATTTGAAGTTGTTGCTCGGTTGGGATCCGAAGGAAGTGATGAGTTTCAAGGCCGACGTTTGAGGCGTGATCCTTGTTCCTTGGGCGGCGGCGGTCCTGAATGGCGTTGGTGGTTGATGGATCGCTGACAGAATATTCGGCGGAGGCATGGCTACCGGTGTTGGCGCATCAAGTGTCCGTCGTCTCTCCAAAGTCTTCTGGAAGATCGCAGGATACTCCATCGGTTCCAACGGCTGCAAGTGGGTCGCCTGTGGGCTCAAGGTTGGCTCTAGGATGGTTCTCGTGGCCAGTTGAGCATTCGGTGAAGTCCAGGGATCGGATGGTTCGACACCCGTGCAAGAGAAGCACCGGATAGCAAGCGATTGCTGCGAGTTCTCGACAACGTGTTCACCCCACCGGCGCACCAGGTATGACTGTCTCTGCCAGTCATCTGGTGTGACAAGGCAAGTCAGGAGGACCGCCTCCATGTACTGATTCCTTGACACATAGACTTCGATCGCATCGCTTCTATCGCCAAGTGCAAGCAGAAGAGTAGCTGCGGCGTGGCAATCACCTTTGGCGAGCAGTTTCTCAATAAAAACTTGGGTGATTTTCTTCGCCCCCACCTGGTTACTAATTGTACCCAAAGCCAGCAGCATCCAGTCTAGATGGGAGATGATTCCCGTGGAACCCATGATCTCGGCCAGGTAGTCGGGATCTTCGTCTAGCCACTTGGCGAGGAAAATGGCTGTCTGGCTGTCGCTGGGATGGCGGCTCAACTCATCGCGAATAAGGTCGTGGATATCTTCTTCCCACCCAAACACAACACTCAGCATCTGCCTCCGTAAATCGTCTGGAGTCATGTGGCTTTCATCGAGCGACCTAGGGGGTCGATACGGAACGTCGTGGAGTCGAGCCCTAGTGTAAGGGAAGAGTTCTGCGACCGGTGTCTCTTCAGGACTCATAATTACTTCTTGCCTCAAACGAGAACCTTTCCGGGCTGACCTTGCAGTTACAGGGGACTGAGGCTGATAAGTCTGGCTAAGCAATTGCGCGGGTTGTTGGTTCATTGTTGATTGGGTCTGAATGCCAGTATCGAACGATGTAGTTGTATAATCGGTTCTCCCGGCGGGAGAAATGATGTCGCTTGCGCCGTTCTTCAAACCACCTTTCTGTGAGCTGAGAGCCGATTGAGGGCTGGGAATATTGTTACGTTCATGCTTAGCAGCCTCGGAGGCACGCAATTCCCGTCGGGCTCGGACAAGAGGAGACGCCAGCTCCTCTTCACTTTCAGATGTTGTCCAGATTGGCACTCTTGCATCCTCTGGCGGGGTCGGCGGGACGGTCAGTGGCAAATGTCGTGCATTTGCAACCAAAAGGGCCCTCTCAACATCGTATTGTTGCACTGTATAGTCTGGTCCCAAAGTGAACAGGGTCCCCGTCGGTCCATGACATGCAATCGCTCTGACTCCGTCCACGGTCGGGATCGGCTCGTAAGTGACATGCTTAGTCCGGACGTCCCAAGCCCAGGTTTTGCCTTCGCTAAATTGAACGATCCGCCCATTCTTAGACCACGAAATCCAGTTTCGACCCGGAGTATAAGTGTCAGTGCGCTTTAAGACGCGAATAACTCGAGGCGCCTCGGATGTAGGTGGCTTGGATACGCTCCAGACTCTCAGATCCCCATCAGCGGTTTGGGTTGCAAGCATGTCCGACTTCTGTTTCGAGGATGAAGCGTGCCATGTCAAAGAAACGATTGGCGAGGGCGCCCGAGATGTTGTCAGAGTGTGAAGAATTGTGAACGAGGGTTGTAATGCCGCCAACAGTATGGAGCCATTCTTATATCTGGGGAAGATGAGCATACTTTCATTCTCCGACCCCAAAGTTACTTACCCGATAGCATAAGTTTTGCAATCCGAGGACGGGGCTACCGCCGTAATGGGGTCGAATATCGTCCGCGCCGAGATATGTTCACTTGTTGCAGGCTCGAACAATATCACTTCGCCCTTTGCGTTGCCTTGACGATTTCAGCAGGAGCGACGATCAGGCTGCGGGGGCAATTCAACTTACCAAAGGCGACATTCCCGTTTCTCATCCAATGCGCAACTGTCAAAGATTCATACGACACAAAACGAGAGAGCTGCTCGCCAGTGAACAAGTCCCAAACAATGGCCGTCCTTCCCACGTCGTAAGTGATAACCAGCCTTCCTGCCCCAGTTTCGCTAACATTATCGGCAGATATCAACTGAATATCCTTCGAGTGCTTTTCAAACCGACGCTCAATAGCCAGTGTATCATGGTGCAGACATATGACCGTCGAACCGTGGGCGAAGAGGAGGAGAGAGGCTGTCGATGCGCATGGTTCAAAGGAGGCGTCTTCCCCAGAGAACCTTGCCTTGGGGGCAGGTGGAAGTATTATCCCTTTCGATTTGCCCGAGATAGATCTCTGTCTGGACAGACCGGGTCCCGCAGACATGTTGAATCGAGTCCACAGCAGAGGGGAACTGCGACTGCGGGTATCAGCACCTTTATGAATGGCAACAAGTAGGATGATGAGCGTTCTTCTGGGTACCTTGTTCGCTATACGATCCCGGACTATGACATGGCCTCAACGAAGATTGACCTGGGTATTTCCAGAGTATCGGTTATGGGGATCCTGACTGGGCTTGCGGCCGTGAAACCAGGAGAGTGGCTAGCGGCAGGATATGTCCCCTTCTCTTTTTTCTCTTTTCCTGCTGACTTGGGGAAGCCTGAGGACGTGCGGTCCGCGGGCGCCAACGTAACCGCGGAGGGCACTCGTTCCTGCAGACGAGCTTATAGGGCACAAGACAGATCGGGAGATATCGTGGCTAGATCAGGAGAAGAATTAAGATTCGGGAAATATTGCCCAGCGGCCGTGTGTACCGGAGGCCGTTGAGCAGATAGTACGAGAGAGGTGGTTCCAAAGGAAATGAACTGCTGAAACAGAAATCTCTCCCCAAGTTGAGGGATCATACGCCAGAGGGATCGACAAGTTCCACACTTGAAGGGGAAGAAAGAGGCGCAGCAAAGAAGGTATAGGCAATTGGCAGCACCAGGAACCATTCGAGAAGATGGCGGTCATGGCTGTCGAGGTACCAACGACATGATGGAAACACAGGCGTGAAGCTTTACTGGCCGGCGGGCGCTTGATTGCGGCCCCGCAGCAAGCAGCATGTGAGCATGCATAAATTGGCCGGCGTGGTCGAATCATGGCAAATCCTGCTTCTAGCTCGCATGCAGGTTGATCTGGATGAAGAATGAGGGAGGATTTGAAGGAGGGTGGGATGAGAGGTGGATGGACAGGCACGAGATGCTCCTCGGGTCAGGCTTGGGCGCTTACAGCCGTGCGATTGGCTGCCACCTCGTCGCCGTCACACGCCCAACGTCGACCGACCCATGCTTCTCTTGCCAATCACAATATCCAGCACACTCAAGACTCGAGCGCACTGTTCCCTGTCTAACTTTCATCACTCTGCCCTTGCACTCCACCGCGATGCAGCGGGCGAGGGGCCCCCATCGACTCCAGTTGCCCTCAAGGCCAATTCGCACCGCCTAATCTCCTCACAAATTGCCTCAGCGGTTATACAGCTGTGTGCATTGGAAGGTCTTATATATCGCTACGTGGACTGTCTCTCGGTTGCTGACCGTGCTACAGCAAGTCCAGGTCGACATCGAACAAACCCCAAGCAAATAGCTGTTGAGCCCAGGAAGTGGTACAGCCAGACTTGTCCTGCCGGGACAAGTTGACCGATTTTCGATCCGTTGCACCTTTCACAGAATGACACGAACCTGACAGGAGACCGGCATAGGATTATTTTCCGTGAGCAAATGAAAGAGATATTTCTTCAAGGACATAGTGTGTGCTACATAGTTGGCCTGCGTTCGTGGACAACCCTCTACTCGGCTGTTCGACCCTGGACATGGCCCCTCGCAGGCTGCACGGGGATCTAACTTTAGGGCCCCCTCTGTTCTTCAGGATATCGATAGCTGCCCTAAGCTCCTACCGTCACAGAGACCTAGTCGCCCCAAGAGGAGTTCTTAACTTCCAACAAGGCCAGGCCGAGAAAAAAGGACTATGACCTGCAGTGGTGCCCGTGGCTCCCGCAACGAACGGGCGACGCAAGTGCCAACTGCCTTTGCGCTTGTCGATCGCTGCATCCCTGTACAGAGCAATATTTGCGGTTATAGTGGAGTGGTTAGAGTCGCAATGTGCAACAATTGATATGCAGAGAGCAAGGGCAGACATGACCAATGCGCCGGAAAATTGATGACGATCAAGCAACGCTCGCATGGAGACGCGCCTCAAGCCACGGGGCGAGCCAGAATCAAGGCGTGAGAGTCGACTGAGCAACGAGTGCGGAGGAACGTGGCGAGCAGGTGTCTCCACGCTGCCCTTTCTCTGGTGGCGCTGTGACCGTTTCGCATTGTTCACAGTGACAACCTACAAGTCAAGGCAGAGATGTTTCTATCGGCATTCTGCCATACTCCTCGTGCTGTCTCCGAGACGTCTGTCACCTTTCGTCACCCGTCCCGAGAGGACGATCAAAGCCTGGACTCGGCCCACCCCCAAAGTCAAGAGGCTGGATCGATAGGCGTGAGGTACGGGCTGGTGGGCCTCAAATGGAGGGCTTGCTGGTCATTGTCGTTAGGCTTCAGGCGGCCCAGCACGCTTCTGCATCTAAGCGCCCACGCTAAATGGTTGCCCTCCGAAGAGCCAATCGGCAGACGGCCGTATCTCAATCAGCCTTTCTGATTTTTCGACGTTTCCGGCCGAAAATCTGCAAGATTTCCACTGGCAGCTTCAGCCTCGGAAATGACGAGGCAGGCACTGCAGAAGAGGGCCCAGCCAAAGCTCATTTGTTGTGTGCTTCGATTGGTGTAATAGAGGATACTTGAGACACTGCTGCATGGGGTTTGCTCTCATTAATGCTCGATGGCGACTCTGTTGTGAACAAGTATTGATACAACTCAACAACAGCCTCAAGCAATGGCGATGGAAGTATCTAACTTGGATCTGATGCAGCAGCCTACAGCAAAGACCTTTCGCCCATTCAACAACTAAGTTTCGACGAAGGTAAGGCTTTGCTCAGAACCTGGCTGGTGAGCCTCAAATCGTTCCTGAAGGTTCCTGAAGATAGGTGGTACTCACACTGTGCAAGTGCTATCTGTACCCAGCCGGTCCTCCGTTTCTGCAAGGCACAACCACTTCTCACCCTGGTCGGGACGAAGCCAGATCTCCTGCTACCTCGAATGATACCAAGTCGGCTTGTGTCTCATTTACTCCGCTTACCCTGCAGCTGATGGATGCTACTTGCCCGGAAGGCTGCGTGCTATGACGCCGAGGCTTCCGTAGCCTCGCTCCCAGCCACCTGTATACATCAATAGGCAAGGATAGCGGAGGAAAAGTCCATTCCTTCTCCGATCCCAAGCCACGAGGGAGTGGAAATATGCGAGTTGTGTATGTGCGTCACCTCTAGGGAGATTGTGTCACAGCAGAAGATCAAGGATTCGGGTGGTTTGCAGCCCCAGAAGACGCCATAGAAGGGTGAGCGGTGTGAGCTTTGCGCGACACCGCTTTTAATCACGTCGATACCACCTGTTTTAGAGCACGGCTCCCAGGATGCGTTCGGTTAAGGACTCGAGGACCAGTTGCAAAAGAAACAAGGTGCCATTCGCGACAAAGCTCGTACGACCTATGTGCCTGGAAATGCGCATATTATCCTGCAAAGTACGAAAATGTCCGGGTCTTTGGCTTCCATGATCACGTTATTCCCTGCAAGAAAATCACAACGAGGCTGATGAGGCGCACTGATTCCTTCTTCGAGTTGAGCGTCACTTCGCTGCCGTGCTCTCGACCGAGCACCTTGCTCCGCCAATTCTGTAGAAGTCAAAGTCTCCCCATCGTTGCGACATTGGCTCGATGTAGCAGGATCACCTACCAGTACCAGCGGCGAGATTTGGACAGGTCTACTTTAGCGTTTGAAGCAGGGTTCTAAAACTGCTTGAATCCCATAGTTGGGGAGGCTTCGCAGTCATTTTCATCTCAATCCTCTCCTAGGAATTGCAACATCAGTCACTGATCCAAATGCAATATTGTGCTCTAGAGCAGGGACCGCTCTCATATTGGCCAGCGTCTCCATGGTGGATCGACATTGGGGAAAAGCAACCCTATCGATCGACGGCTCGTCTAGCATACAGATGCGCTCAGAAGTACCGAGTACTTCGATTGGGAGTGCCCATCCGCTCCATCAATAGATGGATGGTTCGGGCGATATTCTTCGCTTTGCAAACCTGTTCAGACGAACCACCCCTTCGCTAGGTGAGACCGAACCCGTATGTCTCATCCTCATCATCTTCCCTGACGTGTTCTGTGAACACCCGATACCTCCCAATGTCATATTACCGCGCCATTGCCGTGGGACTCCAGAGCTCGCCTATGACCCAGTCCTGCATATCGCAATACAACAGACGACCTCCCAGTTCATTTTAGGAATCGCTTTTGAGTTCCGCACAGCCGACGGTAATAGGTGTTTCGGTCGAAGGAGTGACTGTCACGTTGCATGCGCTTGCAGGCATCAACAGAGCGGGACGCTCAAGTGAATGGCAGAGCTGGCCGTCTCGGCTTCCGCTTACCCAAAGGTCGATAGGACATCACATCTCGAACGAAGATCCGGACCGAGCCAGCTTCCTCTGTCATTTCTTGTTCAAGGCGAATCGGCCTTCGAAAGTTCCTCTTTCTGCTGGAGTATAGACCTGAGGACGCCCTCCAAGCGTTCAATTTCCTTGATCATCTGCGCGGCCACAACGACAGAGTTGTCTCGTGCTTGCTGCAGGATTTTACACTCAAACTTGAGTTCGACGACCTGGTTTTGCAACCTTTTGATGTTGTCGTCAATCTCCGACTGACGTGACTGGCCTATGGAAGGTCTTCCTCGACTGTTCTATTACGATACACACATGAGGAGGGCTGTTCCCAGAAGAGGGTGACAGGGCGATCTTACAGAGTGAGTTCCCCGCCGTTTCTGGCCCCGTTGTTGGGGACTGGTACAACTGCCCATCTTCGCTGAGTCTCAGCTCTGATGAAGAAGTCCACGCGTCTGGGGGACTCTTCATAAATGTACCTCGTACTCCGTACTGCCTTCTGACCCTGCAGGCATGCGAAGCGGGGCAAATGCAGCTTTGCACAGCAGGCTCCCAATCATCAGGGACAAATCCCTAGCAGTTTTCCGCGAATCGAGCATTTGGTCAGTGATCGGTTCAAGTGATCCAATCGACAAGGCATGGGTAGCCACTTCAGACATCGCACCAACCTACATTGGTGGGACTCTCCCTGTGGGTGCCGTCAGATGGCTGCTTACGTAGCGCTTGACTCAGGACTATTTTGTGTTACCCAATCAGACATTTGGGGATACGCACCTTTTCTTTACTAGAGTCAGAGCTGCTGTCCATGTTATTGGGTTGCTCTTGCAGGACTCATGCCACCCTTCTCCTGGTCAGTGTGGCTGTTGGCGCTGTTCGCTCTGTTCCGTCTTCCCGTCGCTGAAAGCCACCTTTATAGAGCAATGCTGTGCGGCTCCGAGATTGCCTTGTCACCTTCCGGCTATTGGAACATGAGAGCTCATTTGGATTGAGTCAGTAGGGGAGTGAAGAAGAATATGTAATCACCAACAACTCGCTCCCCATCGCCGCTGGGAAGACTTATATCCTTGCCTCAGCAGTGTGTTTTGGCTATATATCTTGAGAATCGCACTAAAAGATCCAATGGTATGGCCTGGAGTCTCGAATTGGTTCTAGGCTCCGGTCAGTCTGAGGCACAGCTACGGAAAATGTGCGAGTTGACTCGAGGCATTGAAGCAATGGCGAATGATCTGCAAGTTTAGGAATGTCTGCGTCCGAACGGGCAAGCCAACAGATGTCGACTTGAGACGGCGAAACGCGGAGACCGCTGCCAGCTATCTGGCAGCGCTTGTGAGTTCTTCCGGCACGGGTACGACTCCAGTGGCCTTCTTGCTGCTGATTAATGCACCTCCGAAGGTGTCCTCTGGTACAACAAGAGGAGGTTGGAAGTTGGGTTGATGAGTAAGTCTTTATGATGTGACCATGAACTATTCCGGAACAGGCTGGAGACAATGTTCAGGGCTCTGTGATTGGCCTGCAGGACTGCGTTAATCTCGACTTGATCCGTTGCTCTCTCCCTGCCAAACGCTCACAAACATCCAGGAAAGAGATCGGTGCAATTTGATATGGCATTCTTGGTGAACCCAGCAGATTATGCCTTTGAGGCATTGGTGAGAGTGATGCAACATCGCAGGCTGTTCCATCTGTCGTCAAACCCAACTTACAGCTGCCTGCGCGTTTGCGAAGGGCAAACCCATGCGCTTCCGCGAGCAGCCGCTGGATTACTGGACAGCTTGTTTGATCTGAATACGAAGAAGAAGTCGGCGAAGGAGGCAGATGCTTTACTCATCATTGTCCGTGCGTGGCTTGTTGGGAAGAGGAGGAGCAATGGTCTCCCTACTGTCCCAGACGTTAGCTTCTGCAGTGGAATGCCCTCCCGGACTGTCCGCAATTCTTCAAATGATCCTGCAGGATTTGGAAACGGTATAGACTCTAACCGTCTTCGGTGTCTTCAGAAAAGAGCTGTTCTGCGTCTTTGCTTGCTGATGGCCTCGAACTTGACAGAAAGCCGGTGCCCACACAACTGCGTGTGTCTCACACACTACGGACTAGATCTGTGCGTCTACTAAAGACTTGAAATATTAGCAGGGATGACTGTGGTCGACACATACAACCGTCCCTAGTAAGGCTGCTACGACTCCGGAAGAGCGTCGATTCGATTGAGACTCTTGGATTAACGTTCGGGGAGTGCCTATGTACTCTGGAGAACCCGTGAAAGATGGCTTTCTTGTCTGCCTTCAAGCTGCTGCATGTTAATAACCATAGTTCTCCGAACGAAGTCGACAGCAACGTCTTATCACGGTCAAGAGTTTAGGAGCTGTGCTCGGTTCTCGGACCAGCCTAGACACCGAAAGCCGGGCAGACAGCTCTCGGGAGATGATGTGGTCGGATTCAGGCGCTTTGAAGATCAAGATCTTGGTAACTTACAGTTCCGTGCTTGGAAGCCTCTCTTTGAAGGTCAAGGGCACTGGCCGACGACCGGAAAGCAGGTCTCCGATCCATAGTGGTGTGTTATGTAACGAATGGAAGGGAGAATGCTGGCATGCGCCAGTCACTAGATCTCTTTAGACTTTGGTATCTGCGCTGCATGTCTTCTGCTCAGGAAAAGGCTATCCTACACGATGTGGCTGCGATATAGACAGTAAATACGCAGGAGATGGGCTCAGGGGCAAGGCTGCGGCTGTCACGATGTGGCTGAATGCTCCACAGTATAATTGGTGCAGAGCATTATGTCATCTAGTGAAGTCGCCTCAGTTGAGGCTTTGCCGAAGTTCTCGCAAGGTCTTTTCTTGCAAGCTGCGAAATTCCCCAAAGCTGTATCATTCCCGTTGATCCAGACACCATCCATCTCATTACGCCACTTTCTTAGAATCCATTTCTAGTTCCGTTTGCATTTTGGCCTTCTTACACTCTGCATTCTTATTTCTTGTCGCCATATTCGTCTTGTCAGGGTCCTACCTCTCCGCGTCCCCATCATGAAGACCTCGACGATCGTGTCAATATCTGTCGGGACAGTGGTCACCGGGCTGGTTGGTGCGTCGATCCATCGAGAAGAGAAGACTTACACCAAGACTTTTGGCGGCTGACATGCTTTCAGCATATGCCGTCTACTTTGATTACAGGCGGAGAAACGACCCCGAGTTTCGGAAAGCTCTCAAACGAGAATCGCGGAGGCAAGCCCGGATAGCCAAGGAAGAGGCCGAGTTCCAAGGGAAGCAGCAACAGGAAGAGATCAAACGGACAGTCCAGGAAGCCATCGAGGAGGGCTTCCCGACGGACATTGAAGAGAAGGAGGCATTCTTCATGCAACAAATCGCACAGGGGGAGGCTATGGCCGGTGACGGTCTGTGAAACTATTCCTCTTGCCTGCAACCATGTAGCTGACTCCGCTCCCAGGCTCTGATCCGGTCGGCGCTGCCCTTTGCTTCTACAAGGGTCTCAAGGTCTACCCCGAACCACAATCACTCATCGGTATCTACGATAACACCGTCCCCAAAGAGATCCTCGAGATCCTCGCCGTCATGGTTGCGCAAGATAAGAATCTGAAGGTTGGGTCTTTTGGCGCTGGTAGCGAAGGATCCGACAGTGGACCGGGCGTCGAATAAACCGTGGGCCCCTTGCAACGCGACGAAGAGCGACGAAAAAGTGTACCAACAAAAGATTTCTAGTCCCTTTTGGTGACCTGCGCCTGGATGGAGCCACTCTTATCAGATTTCCTCTGACGAATCTCGCCTCCCTGTATGAAAGAAAAGGCTGTATACCAGCGCGGGTTGGGGGAATGGGTTTGCTCCGACAAGCGTTCTAACATTGGACATAATTTCAATCATCGCGCCCCTTTGGCCGATCATCTCAATGAAAAAGATTTTCATGGCTTTACCCGCTGGTTTCTCAGGGACGCGCACAGAGAGAGTTTCGTGCTGTTTTGCCAGCCAGAGGTCCAAAAAGTGTGATTGCACTGCGCAGGCAGACATGATTGAGCAATGATTTCCCCGTTCGACTGGCGTTAGTGAAGGCTTTGGAGGGAGCCTTCACGGTTCCCTTCTGATGCACAGCAACTTGTCGACGACCATCTGAGCACTCCTTCTTTCTTACTCACACCAACACTGCATCAGCACGCCTCGAGCGCTTCCTGATTTCAGTGGTGTTTGTTGAAGTCACCTCCGACTCTTGGGACATCTGCTCAACCGCGGCGGACACAATCTCTACACTGGAAAGAGTAGCAAGCGTGCCCTGTTCATCGATGATTTCGTCTGCGTTCGCCTCTCATATCCCTTGTGAGAAGTATTTGTTTGGCGCCTTAGTCTGCTGCACATATGCAACACATGCTCCCAGATGCCCAGGTCGGTTAGGCTCGACACCTGAGAGATCGCGAATATCCGCCAATTGCTCAATCCGAGCATTTTGCGAGGTAATACTGCAAGCGGATTCCTCCGAGACGCTCGACAGGCCTTGGGACGACCGAGCCTCATGGCATGAATTCAAATGCGTTCGACTTCCCTTTGCAGTTCAAGCCTTGTCAGAAGGCGTAGATCCACCATCCATTCAACTTCTCATTTTACAAGGATGCAACAGTTTGCCAGCACTTTACCCATCAGTAAACCCCTCCCCTACCAGATCCGATCTTGAGACAAACCATCTAGTCCGGACATTGGAAAGCCAAAGACCAAGACATCATTGTTGGGAAAGATGGCAGTACTGGCTCCCCACCCTTTGGATCCTCTCACACCTCAGGAGATCTCTCAAGTATGGAAGCCCCTACATAGTGTGGCTTCAAACCACGAGTTGACCGTTTCAGACCGCGAAGCATGTCCGATCCGCTTTCCCAGATGGCGAAGCATATTTCCGGGTCATCACGCTCGCAGAACCGGCCAAGGCCGAAATGACGACTTTCTTGGAGCATGAGCACACCAAGGGCGCCGTAACATCAGAGCCGTCAACAAAGCCAGCTCGTCTCGCCACGGTGCAGGTGTTCCTGGGCCAACCGCGGGACAGCGCGCACTTTTACGAGCTCAAGGTCAACGTGGACACCGGCGAGGTCGTGGACAAGGAACAGCTCCTCGGTCGGCATCCACACGTCGATGCCAACGACATGCAAAAGACTGAGGCCGCGTGCCTTGGTGATAGCCGCGTGCAGGCCGCAATCAAGGAGATGCAACTTCCCGAAGGGGCCGTGGTCAAGATCGAGCCGTGGACGTACGCGACGGATGGGATGAACGACATGAGTCTGAAGATCACTATGGTATGTCCCTCGCGCGAGCGCTCCCCTTCCTTGACTTTGTTGGATGGTACGGGGGGATGTAAAAGGGGGGGACGCTGATGTGGAAAACGTGCCAATTCCCAGTGCTATTTCTACATGAAACTGGTCAGTCACCCGGATGCAAACCATTATGCGTACCCGCTGGATCTGTGTGTGGAAATGTCTGGGGACGCGCGGGTCTTGAAGATCTATCACCTCCCCAACGGCACGTCCAACGAGATCAGCATGACCGCCAAACCGTACGATCGCAGGAAGATCTTCGACTCGAGCATCGAGTATCACCCGGACTTGGTGCCCGAGCATCGAACATCCACCAAGCCATTCCACGTCTTGCAGCCGGAAGGCCCATCGTTTACTACCGAAGGCAACCTCGTACGCTGGGAAAAGTGGCATTTGCGCGTCGGCTTCAACTACCGGGAAGGACTCACCCTGCACGACGTCCGGTATGACGGTCACTCGTTGTTCTACCGCCTCTCGCTGTCAGAGATGTTTGTGCCCTACGGGGATCCGCGGATGCCGTATGCCCGCAAAGCGGCCTTTGATCTGGGCAACGACGGCGCAGGCTGCAATGCCAACAATCTGCAGCTGGGGTGCGACTGTCTGGGCCACATCAAATACTTCGACGGCTGGCACGCGACCAGTGCCGGAGATCCGATCAAGCTCCCCAACGCCGTGTGCTGTCACGAGATCGACGATGGGATTCTGTGGAAACACACCAACTTCCGCACGGGCAATGCCGTGGTCACTCGCTCGAGAGTCTTGGTGCTGCAGACCATCATCACCGTGAGTAACTACGAGTACATCTTTGCGTTCTACTTCGGGCAGGACGCGTCCTTGCACTATGAAGTGCGGGCGACGGGGATTGTGTCCACCGTCCCGACCAACGTCGGGGACAAAGTGCCATTTGGCACCACAGTTGCGCCAGGCGTGATGGCGCCATATCATCAGCACCTGTTCTGTCTGAGGATTGATCCGGCGGTCGGGGGGTGGAAGAATTCTCTCGTGGTCGAGGAGTCGCATGCGATGCCACTCGAGAGCCAGGATCCCACGATCCACAACCCGTTCGGCGTCGGATACACAACCAGAGCCGAGACAGTGAGGAAAGAATGTGGCTTGGATCTTGACCACACGGTCAACCGAGTCTTCAAGATCGTCAACGAGGGCGTCACGAACCCCATCACTGAAGGCCCCGTCGGGTACAAACTCGTCCCGTGCTACAGCCAGCTCGTCCTTGCACACCCATCCTCCTACCACGCAAAGAGATCCGAGTTCGGCGCGCATGCCGTCTGGGTGACGAGATATCATGACGGGGAGCTGTTCGCAGCGGGCGACCACACGATGCAGTCGCTCGGGGGAGAAGGCATTGCCAGCTGGATCGAGAAGCGTCGGCAGCAGGAGGTTTCGGCGGCGGACAATGCTGCCACTGACGTCAAAGATCAAGACATTGTCGTTTGGCACACCTTTGGATCAACGCACAATCCGCGGGTGGAGGATTGGCCGGTAATGCCATGTGAGAAGATGGTTGTTGGCCTGAAGCCGGTGAATTTCTTCACCCGGAATCCCGCCATGGATGTTGCACCGTCGACGCAGGAGAGAAATCGGAGTGTGTTGGTGGATGGTGCGACGACTGAGGTGGTGATGAACGGACATTGTCCATAGCATTCAGTCACACATGCATTTGCTTGATAGAGAACAGGGCCAAAGTGGTCTTTGACATACAAGTAGGTAGATGGACCATTCTGCCCGTGCGGCGTAGATGTCTTGGCTTTCGGCTGACCTTCTTGCCCTGTCTGTCCCGCACAAAGAAACACAACATCAAACAAATAAAATCCCATGGGTTTGAAAAAAATAGAAGAGCAAAAAAAGTCGGTCCCCCACGTCGAGCCTGGGACTTCGCATATCTTGCCAGTGTGTAATCTCACATCGCCAACTCCGGGTGGAAGAGCCTCTGCAGAATCGCTTCCCTCAAGTGTCACTTCCGATTGCTTAACGTTCCGTAGCATCGTGGTTTGCACACACGAGTACGATGAACGACCCGAAATTCCGAGCAAGGCACGACTGAACAAGTGGGAGTGTGAAGCGACGCCCACAGGCTCAAGGGAACCTCCTAACTTTTTGACCATGACAGCCAAGACACAATTTCGCGACAATAATATATATTCTACCCAAAGCTCATTGTCCACGTGACTGTGGGTCGATCGGCACAGTTGCCTCCATCCGGGCCTGTATCACCGATGTGCAGCTGTGGTGGCTTCTTCTCTTTCTCTTCCCCAGCAACACACTGACCCTCCCCATAATCGCCCCCGAACACCGAGCCCAGAAACCCAGAGAGGCAGTCACCACGGCGACAATCACCGCTACAGGATTAGTCAAATGCAATAAGCACAGGAAAACAAAAGCCAACCAAAGCTTCTGCCGCTGCTTCTTCCGAACAATGTCTACCTCTACCCCCCTGGCGGTCCTTGAGTAATCCAAGTTGGTACACACACAAAGATCGTCCATGCGCAGGCACTTGCCATTGGAGACGGGACTCTCGCCGAAAATTCTACGGAATACTCATACTTCTCGGTGGACATGGCGCACTGGAGGACACAGGTCCAGAACAGGGACTGATTTGTGATCCCGTCTTTTCTGGAAACTATTCCGCGGGCCGCGGGCTCTCCAGGTTGGGAAATCAAGAGCGATCCAGGACACACCCAGGACACCCAAGGAGAGGTCGAGTCGAGCGAGCGAGCGATGCGAGCGAGATGGGCAAGTATTCCGTACGAGGGACAGTTCAACCCTGGGACCCATGACTTGCGGCAGGATACAACGCCACATCAGCCCCGCGCCGACGAAAACAGCCCTCTCTTTTGCAGGGGCAGTCGTGCCCCTCCATCCCTCTACGGCATCCCCCAAGAGGAACTAGCGGGGAGGGGGAGGGGAGGACGCGAAGCAACCACAGTTTTCGTATCCCAGAATTGCATTTCTTTTTGTCGTGTCAATGTCAATGCTCACGCTCCTGCTCACAGACAAGGGTCGGTCGTTCTAGGAGATAGGTAATCATCGACAATCTACTGTATATACTTGGCGGAGCAATGTCTCTCCGTCCAACCCTGTTCTCGTACGGAAAGACCTCAGGGGCTTTTTCTCCATGTAGCCGACTTGCAGCCACACGCATCTCGTCCGTATACCCTTTCTCCGAAGCATAGCTAGGGAGCTTGGTCGATCCACCAGAGGCCTGGTCCCCCTTCTCAACCCCTAACTGGAAAAGGGCACGAGGACTCAATTATGCACATCAGATCGTTCCTTACTCCGACGTCTGGCTCGATCTAGACATTGTTGAGGCCGCCGGGCCTCGGAGCCGATGTGTTGATATCGAACAATCTTAGCAGTCTCGCTCTCCCAAGATAGCGAGGGGAGCTAGGCACCAGTAGCTATACGGAGCTATGTGGCCTCTCATTTCTTTTCGCTCAGTAGTGGTGGTACTACTCGGCTAGCCTCGGGGGCAAGGTAAGATCTGACCAGGAAAACGAGCAAAGCAAAGCCGCAAATGGATCTCACACCAGACGGGACCTTCGTCCGGTCATCCTTTGGACCAGGCCAAAGTTCAAGCTCCCCCAGAGACGGCTCACCGGGCACAGGTCCTTGTCTCGATCGGACGGAGGACGAGTACGAGTCGGCTCCTCCCTCAGGCCAGCTGCTACCTGAACAACAACAGTCGAATCGATACCCCTCTTTCGAAACATTGCCACAGCAGCTCGTGCCCCAGCCTAGTCTCCGCGACTGTCCAATCCCCTCACTCCATCTCACAGCGCATCGAACCCTCTTTGGCCCTTGAGACCTCCGTCTCTTACTGTTCTGATCTCCTTTGATCCACTAAGAGTCTCAGACCGTTGTCTGACCTGCCTCTCAACCCCGCAGTTGGACGCGACCTTCCAATCGCCCCCCAACCTGAGTGACGGAATTCCAGCGTCCACCTGCTGCATTCTGCCCGCTCGACCTCTGGGTCAGTGGATCAGCCCGACTCCATTCTCGTGTCTACTGGCTCGGTCCATAGGAAAGCGAAAGAAGAAGTTTTGGGCTGTGGATATCATTGCGTTGATGGAGAGTTGGCCCTTCCCCGCGCATGAAGTATTTGAAATAAAGCTCTCTCTGCCCTCGGTGCTCGTCTGCTCTCCTTCTTCTCTTCTTGTCTATTACAAAAGTCTGCGACTTTTCCAATTCTGTTGTGATACCCATCGAAGTTTTTTTTGTGTTCAAATCGAATTTCAAAAGATATCAACATTGTCACCATGTCTCTCACAGCAAAGATCGAGACCCCCAGCATCACGTACGAGCAACCGTTGGGCTTGTACATTGACGGCAAGTGGGTGAAGGGTGTCGAGGGCAAGACCTTTGAGACCATCAACCCCACCAACGAGAAGCCCATCATCGCCGTCCACGAGGCCGGTCCCGAGGGTAAGTTTTGTCAACCGCTTGCGATGTCCCGCAGCTTGCTGACTTGTTCTCCTCGTCAGATGTCGACATCGCCGTCAAGGCTGCCCGCAAGGCTTTCAATGGCGTCTGGGGCCAGACCCTCCCCAGTGTGCGAGGTCAGATGCTGACCAAGCTCGCCGACCTCTTCGACGAGTACTCGGATACCCTCGCGGCGATTGAGTCCTTGGACAACGGCAAGGCCCTGTCCATGGCCAAGGTCGATGTTCAGCTGTCTTCTGGCTGCTTGAGATACTACGGTGGTTGGGCAGACAAGATCCACGGCAAAACCATCGACACAGACCCAGAGACCTTCAACTACACAAGACACGAAGCCGTGGGCGTCTGCGGTCAGATCATCCCATGGAACTTCCCTCTGCTCATGTGGGCCTGGAAGATTGGTCCTGCCTTGGCCACCGGTAACACCGTTGTCTTGAAGACTGCTGAACAGACACCTCTGTCCGGTCTGTTTGCCGCCACTCTCTGCGAGAAGGCTGGCTTCCCCGCTGGTGTCGTCAACATCATCTCTGGCTTCGGCAAGACCGCCGGTGCTGCCATTGCCTCCCACATGGACATTGACAAGGTCGCCTTCACTGGCTCGACCGTCGTGGGCCGCACCATCCTGCAAGCCGCTGCCAAGTCCAACCTGAAGAAGGTCACCCTCGAGCTCGGTGGCAAGTCCCCCAACATTGTCTTCAACGACGCCAACATTGACGACGCCATCTCGTGGGTCAACTTTGGTATTTTCTTCAACCACGGCCAGTGCTGCTGTGCCGGCTCCCGGATCTACGTCCAATCTGGCATCTACGACAAGTTCATCCAGGCCTTCAAGGAGCGGACCGCCAAGAACGTCGTCGGCGACCCATTCAAGGCCGACACCTTCCAGGGCCCCCAGGTCAGCAAGCTCCAATTCGACCGCATCATGAACTACATCCAGTCCGGCAAGGAGGCTGGTGCCAAGGTCGAGACCGGTGGTGAGCGCCACGGCAACGAGGGCTACTTCATCCAACCGACTATCTTCTCCAACGTCAGCGAGGACATGAAGATCATGCAAGAAGAGATCTTCGGCCCCGTCTGCGCCATCAGCAAGTTCGAGACCGAGGACGAGGTGATCCGGCTGGGCAACGAGACCACCTACGGTCTCGCCGCGGCCGTGCACACGACCAACCTCAACACCGCCCTCCGCGTGGCCAACGCCCTCAAGGCCGGCACCGTCTGGGTCAACAACTACAACATGCTCAGCCACCAGGTGCCCTTCGGCGGCTTCAAGGAGTCTGGTATCGGCCGTGAGCTCGGCAAGTATGCCCTGTCCAACTACACCCAGGTCAAGTCCGTCAGGATCCGACTTGGCGGTGCCCTCTTTGGATAAACAGGGTCACAGCAACCTCCAAACCAAAAAAGAAAAAGAAAAATCTCAAAAAGAAAGGGAAGAGCAGTAGTCATGACGAAGAGAAACGAAACAGTTTTTGTCACGCAAAGTCAAAAGGCATGGATGGTGAGATGTGGATGTCGGAATCCTGTCGAAGAATGGTCCTCCTTTCCAGGTTCCTTCGTTCTAGCACGCACAGCTTGGGGCTAGTTTTACATCCTATGCACGGGGCTGGCGCTGCCGGGTTCAAAATCTTGCGGGTTCTGCTGGCTCGCCTAGTTATGTAGGCAGTCCTCTTGCTGCATGTAAAATGGATAATGAAGAGTTTATGAACATCTGATGCGCGAAACTTCTAGCACGACAGTTCTCTTGACGTACTTGCTTTGGGGCTTTTGCCTACTATTTGCCTTCGCTTTGCATTTCGTTGCGTTGCGTTGCGTTACCCTTACTCTTTCCCACCGTCGCTCTCGATATTTTGGATGTTATACTTGATACTAATGTGAATTGATGCAAAGTAAAATGGTTGTCCTTTGTGTAATTGTATTCGCCCCATCTCAAGATCTGCACAAGGTAATAGTATATAATCTGCTACTCTGCTCCTGTTTCTGGGTCTTGAATAAACTGTTGGTAGGTCCTGCGATCGAAAAGAGTCATGATCCCTGAAGCTATTATAATGGACAGCGGGATCCTTATGAGAAAATGCCAACACACTAATTGGCCCGTCATTAGTTCAACCCCGCTCTCCGTCTTCTCTTCTCACATACTTACAATATCGCTCCGCAGGTTTGCCGTCCCGGCGCATATATGAATGAGCGTATGTACTCGTAGTGACATAGGTAGTTACATACGTATGTATGGAGTACATCTGTCATATCTAGGTATGTACCACGTAGTCCAGCAATCTCTCTCCTCCTCCTCCTCCTCCTCCTGCATCTCGGGCGTAATTCCTCGTCTCCTCATTCTCGACCGAGAACAACCGCGCGTCACATGACGAGGCTCCCAGCAGCCCGCACCCAACACGGCGGGTGATTGGTCCGGCACACGTTGATCCCTTGCGCGGGCTCGGTTCGATTTTCTCTTTCCGCCGTATTTAATATCTTTGGAGGTGTGGAAAGGAATCGTGCGGGTACTGCGTGGACATATATATCTACGAATATCCAGTACGAGTACACGGTGCGGAGCAGGTATATGGTGTATATCGCTTCCCTCTCTTCTTCCTTCTCTTTTCGTTTCACTCGGTCTCTCAGCGCCGCTGTTTTCTCCGATCTTCAGCAACAGTGGTCCGGATTCCGCATATAATACTACACCGGCTTGCTCTGAGCTGAAAAGGGATCGAAAATACGCAGTGCTGGGGAGTGGTGGAGAAGGTTGGTTTCTTCCGACGAGGCCGGGATTAAGGAATCCCACCAAGGGCGACGATCGGATTTCTATCTATCCTTGCGCAAGAATAACAGGGAGAGAGCCGTTTACTCTTTTGGCCCCTTCTTGCTACGAACACAAGAGAAGACGCATGAGACGTTGGGCATCGCCGCTCCCACTTCTCGGCACTGGTATCTTGATGCTAGCGATTGCCATCGCTCTCTATCCTCCAGCTCTCCTGCGCGTCAACGCCGCGACGAATCTGCAAGCCGTGAAGGCAAGGATACCCGCGTGGATTGCCGGTGTGAGGCTGTATCAGACGGGATCTATCACCAGCATCAGCGTCGTGAACTCCTCGGCCCTCTCAACATCGACGACATCAAGGTCGGCGCCCAGAGAAGAGCCACGGACTCGTCAAACGAGAGCCGTCGCCTCCATCCCGAGCAGCATGGCTTCGTCAGACCCTCTCCCTGAAACTTGCATGCCGGAACAGAATGCCACACCTCAGACAGCTCCCTCACCAAGCAACAATGCCGACTCCGCCGCCGCCGAGCCCGAGCTGCCGAAACTCTCTGCCCAGGACTTCCGCGTGTATAACCGGCTGGCGGCCATGATGGATGCATATGTACGCTTGATCCCTTTTCCCCGTCTTTTGCACCTTGTTTGCTTTGATCCATCGCTCGTCCTCGATATCATCGAGAGATACTTCTGTGTCGCTCTGAGTGCTTCTCGGGAGAATCTCACTAATGCCTGGCTCATCACCAGCACAACCATTTCCGCTACACCTGGAACCTGTTGTACAAAGCCTGCACGTCCGGTTCTCGACCTGCCGGCATGTCCCTCCGCAGCTTCATTTCTCAAGGCCTCCACCTCTGCCACGCGTTGACAATCCACCACACAATCGAAGAACAGCACGTCTTTCCCGAACTCGCCGAACGCATGCCGGCCTTTGGGGAGCACGATCACTTAATCACCCAGCATGAACAGATCCACGTCGGCCTGGAGAAGTTGGAGCAGTATCTGGACACGTGCCGGAGTGGGGAGAAGGAGCTGCGGTTGCCAGAATTGAAGGAGATCATGGACTCCTTTGGCGGGGTGTTGTGGGCGCATTTGGATGACGAGGTGAGGATGTTGGGGGCGGAGAATATGCGCAAGTACTGGAGCAAGGATGAGATCATGTCGATGCAGTGGTGAAGCGATGCCGCTTTCTGCCGTTTGTGAAACGTTTTGAGCGATAGACGGGTGGTGTTGGCGCTGATAGAGCTGCTCTCAATTAGAGATATAAATATTGCCCCATCTCCGACGGCCATGAGTTTTAACAGTCATGTATTTGAGCAGCCGGAATGAAATTGGGCGAACTCAATCGGCACCCTTCCTCACTCTGTAGACGTCAACGGGTGCAGTGCCGGGGTTTGCCGAGCCTTCGTCCTTCAAACCTCATCCCTCTCCAGGAACCCTGGATCATTCTGGACCCGTCTCTCGAACTTGGTCCACCAATCCTGGAAGCTCTTCAAGGGCACGACCTCGATCCCGTTGGCCGTGTTGCCCGCGAAGCTGGCCAGGAAGTTGAAGGCGTTCCTGATGATGCGCTGAGCCAGAACCCGCGTGTCTGGCGGTCTCTTGACGAGGGCGGTGGCATTCGACACCGTCGGCGACTGTTGCTGGAGCTGGAGCATCTGCGCCTGGATGTTCTCCGCGGGCTCTACGGAGATGCCGAGATTGACCTGCCCGGCGGAAGGGTTGTTGGCGATCGCCTCGGGCAGATTCACGCGGAACAAGGCCGAGGGCTTCTCGTTGCCGATGGCGCCCAGAAACTTGAACCCTTGCTCCCCGGGCAGTTGCATGTAGACTCCGGCCGCCGTGCCAGGCGGGAGGAGGTTGTTGGGGTGGAGAAACACGCCGACGTTGTGGAAAGGTGGTGACGCCGGGAAGGAGACGGCAAACTGGTTCGGCGAGACGGTCGCCATCTCAGTGATGATGGGGCGGGTAGGGATGAAGACTCCGAACATTTTTGGGAGGTTGTAGCAAGGAGGGTGTTGGATGTTTCCAAGGTGTAGGAGAGGTAGCTTGGAAAATCGTACGAGGTCCAGGTGATAAAGGAGCAGTTTGCTCCGGCGAGACGCGGCCAGATGCTGCCAGACGCTGCCAAGACGAGGTATTAATTCGACGACTGGCTCACCCCTCTTTAGGACGGAGTGATGCCGCCCTATGCTCACACCCACTAAATAGTGTTACGGGTAGTGCCTCGGTAAGGGCGCTCTAGCGCCAACGTTACTTACCTTTAGTAGGGACTACTAGTAATAGTAACAATAAGTCTATCCTCTTGGCGCTAAGTATATCGAATGCTAATCTCGTCTCATTCCTGGGCCTCTTCTCACATTGGATCGCTTATAACTCGCATGCACGTATCGCTCTTCATAAAATATCGTAACTCCATACGGTCGTCTGTATGGACCTCGCCTGGAATCCGAAGATTCAAATATGAAGGGAGGGCGCATAGTCAGTCACTCGTATACCATCCCCTTCGCGTAAGATAGGTTGGGCTATTGACCAGTTTGTGAAAGGCACGCAAGGCAAAATGATGCGCCAGACCGCTCTTTTGAGGTCGGAGCTCAATACGCTTCGAGAGGAGAGGGCACTACTCAGCCGTCGTCGTCGTCGTCGTCCCAAGAAGACCCATCTCCGCGAAGGAGGAAGTATCACGCTTGCTGAGGGACAGGATCTACAGGCTCGGAATGGAGTGAATGTGCGGATAACGTAAGAAATGTAGTGATATAGTGGTCGAAGGCTACGGACAGAAACGGTGGTCGAGGGGAGGTGTCTCACTCGCATATCATGCCCATTACTCGACAAGGAAGTCATGAAACCCGCCATGCGTGAGTCCCAACAATTCGATCGCGATAAGCTGATTTCGTAATAAAGCCGTGGACCACCCTATCCCGCATAGCAAGTTTTTGCTCAAAATCCATACCCACACTCAAGCTCAAGTCGACGGATCTGCTAGCTTGATGGTGATATTGTCCTTGAAGTAAGCGTTCTCCCTTTCGTTCCGCTCTTCGGTGATTTCGACGTTGGGAGCGCCGGCGGGCCCGAACGTGCCGTCGAGCTCAATCTCGAAAAAAGTCGTCGAGGGCCATCTTCACCAAATCATCCGAGCCCAGGCCGTCCACCATGATGCGCAATCCGTTGGCCACCTTCCCCACCGACTTCAAGTACACCTAGTCCTTGCCGGTGGGTGCCACCGGTGGCTTCGTCGGGGCTGGGGTAGGGGGAACGGTGGCGCAGTGGTGCTGGCTGGAGGTTGCGGGCGATGGTGGCCTTTGGTGGTTGGGGTAGATCAGTTGAAGAGGTGGCGTTGCTGCCTCCATGTGTACCAGCTCCCGACCTATCTTGACCACCGGACAACAAATTGCCCAGCTTGTTCAACAATCCCGGTTTTGGATCTGAAGCCGTTGGCTCTTGGGTAGGATGCTCGACGATAACTGGCCCTCCTCCCGCAGTTGGCCCGCAGTTGGCCTAGTATGCACTGGCGCGGGGGCTGGCGTGACCGGCGCTGGTGGACTCGGTTTGCTCGTGTCAAACCACCCATTGTCCGAGAACAAAACAGCACCCTTGCCCACAGGCACCACGAGGATGATTTGTTTAAATCCGCACGGCTTGCACTGTTTGTTTGTTGGTCGCTCGGATCAAGCCCGAAGCACAGAAACTTGAGCGTCGAGGATATTAATGTCGACGACCTCGTCGCATATCCTCAAGGGACTCACAGACCCATCTTGAGGGCGAGGGCAACGTCGCGGACAACAGAATTGGACCAAGCAAAAAACAGCCAAAACCGGATACCAAGCTCCTGAAGCACACCGTGGTACTCAGGAGACGATGATTTTGACGGACAAAAAGGATCAACAGAAGATGTACCTGTCAGTAGCTTTGGGCACTATCGATGTCGACAGTCTACTTACACTACCGCGGTCAAGGACAATCTGAAATCCTCAACAGTTCTGAACCAGCTTTCGTCCGTAAAACCCATTGGTTCTTCCTTGGGGACACATATCAAGTAGAGTGTTGAAGAGGGCCGTTGCCATCCACTACATACCGCTGGTGTTTGTGTGTAGTTAGATTCAAGGTAGTGGGGGCGGAAAGCCTTGGCTCCCTGGAGGCGAATGGTCCGTCTTTCCGCCCCGGCTCACACTGGAGGATATCCTTACAGACGGCCATGATTGGCTTTCTTGATCTTTTTTTGCGTCACACGTGAGGGCGCCGGGGGCTCATCCTGTGATTGGGCCAGGGCTCAGGCTGCCAAGGCATGTAAAGACTGCAGGCCCGTTCGTATACTGCTCGAAGGCGCCTAGCAAGTACATACTGCGAGTCCTCCGTGCAGTCACAATCCAATAGAACCACGGAAATTCACGAAAGCAACGTCAGCCGACACACATTTCTGGGCTGGCTTCGGCTTGGCTGTTGTGCCGGAGTGGTAAGTCAGGGAGCTGTTGTCTTCGATGCCGAGCTCTCATCACGAATCCTGAGATGGCTGCCTGAGACAGCTGCAGTCGCCCGGACATATTTATACCTATTTAGGCGGTGTGTTTTCTCAGCTGCTGCAGCCAACAACCAATATATCGTATTTAGCTGTTCAGCTCATATGTCATGTGTGATGAGTGTTTTTCGAGAATGGCGGACCAGCTCTTTGTCTTGGTGATGCGGGCCTCAAGCGCAATACAAGACGAAAGGGAGACCCCCGAACCATCATCATCTCCTTCTTGGTTGACCCCCCTTTGGGCTTGTTAATATTCTTAGGTCACCCTCTCTTGTTCTTCTCACATCCGGCACCTAGGTTCTAAAGCGTCCATCGAGCCCTCGACTATGCGCTTCTCCATCACAGCAGCCCTCGCCTTCGCCCTCGTCGGGTCCGCCCTCTCCAGCCCGGGCGTCTCGCCGGCATCGGTGAGCGAGAATGCAGACCCTGGCTCTTCGTTCAACATCGACAAGGTCGTCACCACTGCAGAGATCCCCCCAAAACCGGATGTGGTGCTCCTGGTCGATGTCACAGGAAGCATGTCGCCAACCATCGACAATATCAAGACGAACCTAGAAGCAGTCATCACCGCCGTCATGAACGTGCAGCCGAGCGCCCAGTTCGCCGTGGCGAGCTTCGGCGATATTGCAGACCCTAAACCATTCACGGTCCTTCAGGCTTTGACAAACAGCGTTGCTGCCCTACAAGCCGCGGTCGGCTCCTTGACAGCTGGGGGTGGCGGGGACATCCCCGAGGACTGGATCAACGCGCTCTATGAGATCTCCACCGGTGCCATCGCCTTCCGCGCCGATAGTAGTCGGATCGTAGTTCTCATCAGTGACGCGCCCAGCCACGACCCTAGCGGCGGTCATACCCTGACAAACACCATCGGCGCCCTGGTGTCCCAAAGCATCCGCGTCATCGGCGTCAACGTCCAAGACCTTGATTCTACCGGCCAGGCCACCGCCGTAACCGCCGCGACCGGCGGCATCATCATTGGCACTACTGCCGACGCAGTTACCACCGCAATCATCAGCGGGCTGAAGAACCTCGATGTCCTCGTCCAACCAGAAGCAGTCTTCTGCGACGCGGGCTTAACCGTCCTGTTCAATCCCCCCCTCGCCCAAGTGAGTAGCGGCACCGTCGTCACCTTCCACGAGGTGGTGATGGTGGCCGCCGACGCCGCCCAGGATGCCACCCTTCACTGCAACATCCGCTTCCTGATGAACGGTACGCCGGGCGGCGCCACCTTCGTCCAAAGCATCGACGTGACGGTCAATCAGATGGGCTGCTTCGTCTGTGCTCCGGTACCTGGCCAGAACGAGTGCCATCCCACAACTTCCTGTGCGCCAACGCCGTTCGGAACAATGTGTCTCACGAGGCCTGGGTACAAGGCAGATGGCGTGGCTGACAACGACGTCAAGGTGCAGTGGCGGATGAAGTGGCCTGTACCTGGCCATGAACACCGTGTTGCCGTCAAACCGGGTACATCGGCAAATACACTGTGCGATCCACAGAATACGGGGCCGGATGTTTGTAAAGAAGTTGTGGTTGCTAATTGCTTGACGGCGGCATCGGAGCGTGCGCGTCACGATAGCGATCAGAAGGTGATGGGCGATGGAGAATTGTAAGAGCGATGGAGAGGCCCCTGTACAATCGGACAGGTGATATGACCTCCAGCTTGCGAGGCTAGTCTTTGCATTGGTATTTGATAATGTGAAACCAAATGGATCCAATGTAGAATACAATGAAATCAAGGACTCTGTTCGCTTACATTGGCATCACCGCCTCACCACTTCGTCAGGACAGACGGCACTCTCTCTCCTTTTCTCTTCTCTCTTTGGCTTAGTCTTCTTCTCGAGTGCATTTCATGGAGCTTTAGAGCATTCTCCATACCGCCTCCGGGCCGAACCGTCACAATAACGTGATTCGTGAGCCACGCTCCGCGGCAGCTCCTGGGGTAAAGCACAGTTATTTGTCCGTAGCTGAAGCGAATTGTACTGCGTAATTGCTTCAATGATCAGAACCTATCGCTGAAGGCTTAGTAATGGCTGGTCAAGTCAGTCAGAAGTATTTGTTTAATCAGCATCTTCGCTCCAGCCCCTGCCGCACCAGCAACACCTCTAATCACTGCGCTGGCCGGGGTTCCAAGTCCTGGCACTGCACTCCCGATGACCGCTCCGATGGCAGCCCCGTCCCGGCAGCTGCGGCCGCTCCAGTCTCCTTGCCTAGCTACTCCTCAAGCGGCTTCTCCAGAGCCTCTTGTGCGATCGTTCCTACCGCCGCCCCCGTAGCCGCCCCTCTCACCACCGCTGATGCTGCTGCGGCGCCGGCCACGACTCCGGTAGCGGCCATGTCCCCGACCCCAAGCCCAAATTGGACGCAGGGGGCCATATTCCAGACGCATGGGGCCATATTCCGGACCCTCCCTCTCGGTTATCCTCGACGCACTCCTCGAGCACATAGTCTATGAAACTCTCTACGGTCATTGGAAGCTGTGATGGGGATCTAACCACAAATGGGAAAGCGTGCCACTTGGGACTTAACTACTGAGTGTTAAACGATGCCCTTTTCTCTCTCGGTAAAAAAGTCAATCGTGTATCCAACTTACATTACTCGGGAGTAGTAGTTGAAGAATCAAAGTCTAGAGCTATCGACTCAGCATAACGGATACTATAAGTCATCCAAAAAAGCAGCGAAGGCAGTTGATCCAACTTGTTCATAAGACAACGCAACGACGACTTCAACTAAACTAGATATCCCGTTGCTCTACAGAATAAGAAGGCTACAGAGCGAACGAGTGTCTGCCGAGCTATTCTATCCGGCCATTGGTGGGTTGAGATATCACTTGCTGTGTCATCCTTCTCGACCACGTAAGGGACGACTGTGTGTCTGCCGCCGAATCGACAGTCATAGAGGCAGGGCAGCGGTGATCGAGACCATCTGTCAACACGCCAAGCTGAAAGATGGTGGCTGGCTGACCCTGTCAATGTCTTCCTCATGTTCCACAATTACTGTCTGTGCGATGGTCTGTGTAGATGATGCCTGGCAGTGGCTGGCTGAAATGCATGCGAACTCAAAAGGCTGAATCTCGGGTCAGCCGTCACTTGCAGCAGAATACGGGGAATTCGTAATTGGTTTGTTTTCAAGGCTGAACGTCTGCGTGACAGCCTCATCGGGCGGGGCCAAGTCGCTCCATGCTCGTATGGCGGCGGTCCAGATTCCGAGCTGATCGAGCCTGCACACGAGCATGTGAATGGGAACCAATCCCGCTGGTCTTCTCTTACATTCAGCTTGCCGAGCTACTTCGTGCGGTGTTTATGAGGCCGCCTGGGCTCAAAGCATTTGACACAGTGTGATGCAGGATATAAAGAAGCAACGAAACCTGTTTTCATGCTTTTCTCGTTCCTCATGACCTAGTTCGATCTCTCTCTGCCTCTCATCCCAGCTTGAGCACCGTCCGGACAATATGGATCCAGCATTCCAAGGCAACAACCTCAAGCCGGGTACAAAGGCCTATGATCGTGCGAACAACCTGTACGCCTCGTCAACGTATAAAGAGGAGCATGACATGAAACCGGGGGAGATCTTGCAGCCCACCAGTATCGAAGATATTCAGAATGTTATCAGGTATGCGAATGCAACCAAGAAGCCCATTGCCATCAGAACGGGAGGCCACCAATACAGCGGCGCATCTTCCACGGGCCCAGATGGTATCCAATTGGACCTGAAACCCACTTTCCGACGACCCAATCTGGATCTGAACCTGCTCTTCGAGGACAACAAGGCATATATTCGGTCGAGTGTCAGCTGGACCCTGGCCGAAATCTTCGACTTCTTACAAGACAACGGCGTCTTCATGCCAACCGGCCAATGCATCAACGTGTGCCTCGGAGGCCATGTCCAAACCGGCGGATATGGAATGCTGGCTCGATCTTTTGGACTCCTCGGAGACTATGTGCGCGAGCTTGAGATTGTCGACCACAACGCCGACGTGGTCAAAATCACCAGGGAAAGCAATCCCGACCTGTTTTTTGGGTTTCTCGGCGGCAGCCCTGGAAACATGGGAGTGTTGACGCACTTTACCGTCGAGGTCCAACAGGACCAGAACTTTCCCGGCTCCAAGGGCCTGTGGAAGGCTTTTCTGTTCTCACAAGCAAATCTGAAGCAGTTGCTCAGCCTCTTGGTGCAGAAGGCGGCAGATCCGAACTTCCCACGGGGCTACGATTTCACCGTCAATGTCGTCGACAAGGAAATCAATCTTGCCAGCCTATTTCCCGGCTCGACGTCTGAACTCAAGGATAAATTGCCCGACAACATCGACAACGGCCAGGACAAAATAGCCGACCTGTTCAAATTCAAGCTGCCCCTGATTGTGGTTTACGCTCAGTGGGTCGACTTGGGGGACGAGCCGTACTCACCCGATCTTTTCGACCAGATCAAGAACGCGAAGGGGGGCATCATCACCAAGGAGATCAACGGCCAGGCCATGTCGACAATCGCGTCGTCGTGGCTGTTTCGATCCGCTCGCGAATTCCCCTACCCTTACGTCAAGCGGACCCGAACCACCAATTGGGCTGATCTGTCCTCGAAGGGATGGGTGGATTGGTTTGCCGGACGTCTTACCGAAGCAATCAATACCAAAGGCCTATATGTTTCATCTCAACTGCAGGTGTATGGAGGGACAAAGTCCATGTTTCGAAACAACGCGGGGAACGGGACGGCGTATACCTTCCGGGATGCGACCCTCGGAGGAACATGGGACATTTTCTACGACCAGCAAAAGGAGGCGGCGGAGAAATGGCACGCCGAGACTGATAAAGGGTTGGCCCAGCACTTCAGCGATGTTGACCGGCGTGTTCTCTGGGGATCGTACGGCGATTGGAACATGAAGAATGTCTGGCAGAATTATTATGACGAGCAAACGTACAAGAAGCTGCAGCAGGTCAGAAAGGCCGCCGACCCTCAGGGCATCTTCACGCCCAACCCATTTTGCGTGGAGGTAGCGAAGTAGAGGTAGATGGTTCAATTGGATTTTGCCCATGGGAGACACGAGGGATCTCTGTTCGGCCATGTTGAGTGCATATCAATTTGAACGACGGATACTTTGTCACCTCTTTTCATAGCTTTCCATAGGTTGAGTCCCCAATTTGGATCCCGAGGCTAGATATAGTGTCGGCTCTGAATAACCACACAACTATACTATTAGCCCTCACGTCTTCTAAGACATTTGTCGAGATGTAGAACTTGTACGGTTCTTGGCATTACCCCGCCATCGCCAAATGCATCTAGGTAGGTATCCGATTTGCAGTGGGATGAACGGCATCGAGAAATATCGTCACTGTCCTGCAGTGATCATATCGTCGACGAATCTGTGCAAATGACGTCCCGCCGTCTCAGACACGAAGACTTTCATGTCGGATGGATATGTGCCCTCCCGCTCGAGCTGGCTGCCGCAGCAGATATGTTGGACGAAGAGTATCAAGCCTTACCCGCAGATTCCCGTGACTCCAATGTATACACCTTCGGCCGTATCGCCGAGCATAATGTCGTGCTTGCGTGTCTCCCAGCCGGCCGGATTGGCACCAACTCTGCCGCCGCGGTAGCCATCCAGATGATCTCCAAATTCCCGGCAATCCGGTTTGGGCTAATGGTAGGCATCGGAGGCGGGGTGCCCAGCGGCGACTCAGACGTGCGGCTGGGGGATGTGGTGGTCAGCCAACCGAATGCTGGGCGCAGTGGAGTGATTCAATATGATCCTCGAAAGATTATACCGGGAGGGTACCGGCAAACAGGCTTTCTCAACAGCCCGCCGAGAGTGCTACTGAGCGCACTTGCGAAGCTGCAAGCTCAATACCTCGGAGACAAAAGGAGTCATGCAGGTTTCCTGGTCCGGAATAGGCACAGACTAGATTTCGCGGACGATCCTAGTAATCCTGAACATGATCTCCTGTTCGAGGCAAACTACACCCATGTCGTCGAAGGGCATACATGTGACCAATGCAACAAGGAGAAACTGGTGCCACGGCTTTCACGAGAACCTCCGGGTTCTATGGTCCACTATGGCACGATAGCCTCTGGAAATCAAGTTATCAAAGACGGCGTCGCCAGAGACAAACTGAGCTCAGAACTTGGTGGTGTCCTCTGCTTTGAGATGGAAGCGGCAGGACTAATGAACGACTTTCCATGCCTTGTCATCCGAGGCAGCCTCGTGCGGCAGCGACGGCAGCAGCATTTGCCAAAGAGGTCCTGTCTGTCATACCCCCGCTTGGAAGTGTCGAACCCGCCGCCGATGTGTCCGGATTACGGATCGGAGATGAACACCCAAGAATTGCAGCAGAGCCCGTGAGCCAGTACCAGAATATTGCGTCAGAGTTCATCAGGGAGAATTTAAATACTTTCTACGACCAAGATCCCGCTTTTCGGGAGATCCTGGCCCAAACAACCGCTGCTCGAGCGGTGGGAGCAACCGAGGAACTGGGATTAAGCTCAGAATTCACTCCCAAACTTACCAAGCTTGCACTGTATGATTTTGTTCTTTTATGTGGTAGGTTCACGCATGTCTCATCCATCCAGCGAGCATCGGCACTCTTTAGAACAGCAGTTGACGGGTTTGTAGACGATAGCACGTCCATGAACATAGGAAGCCGAATAAGTGCCCTGCAAGAGACCGTCAAAAGTGTTGCAAAATTCGCGACCATTCTCGAACCGTCGGGGATGTCTGTTCGATTCATCAACTTCAAGGAGGATGGACAGTTCAATAATTTAACCGATGTAGACGACATCATGCAAAAGGTCCAAATGGTTGACTACAGCGGAAATACAAGACTCGGACAACGGCTCAGGATGAAAATCGTTGACCCGATGATTTTGGAGAAGGCAGACACAAACAGTCTCAAAAAGCCCGTGATTGTGGCCGTTGTTACTGACGGAGAGGTAAGGATGTCTCCTATATCGTGATTGCGGATAAGAACAGGCACGGAAAGCGCCTCATCAGCGGGGGATGTTGAATGAGTTCGAAGTTCGCCGGGCTCACTTTTATTGTAGCCTACCGTCGAACCACCTACGACATTAGGCGAGACCATGAAAACGTGTAAGAACTGGCCATCTGTCCGAAAACTCGGAGAAGCGGCCGTGGCATTTCTCCTTTGCAGAGTTGGTGACAGCGTCCAGGCCGAAGCATTTTTCCTGGGGCTGGAGAAGGATCAGAATTTGCGAGACGTAGTATACGTCTCTCCATATAGGATAGACGACGAACTTGCCATATTTCAGAGGTGTGGAGACGACGAGGGATACCGTGCTTGGGTAAGTCTAGAAGCCACTATTGGCTGTGTGCAATACACATTGCTAACTTCGTTTGCGACGGGTTACAGTTGATCGACCTGTTCTACACTGCCCTAGACAGTGTGACCAGGTAGCGTTGTGTTAGGAAGAGCCTTCGGTAGATAAGCACCGCACAACGACAAGGTATGTATAGGCTTCCCCGACGATTTTCGCTTTTCTACCCCGACAAAGGCTGCACGGAGGAACCGAAGGGGAGGTTTTGATGTCACGCCTGATCATGTGCAAGGACCTTGTACTCTGGGCGCGGAAGTCCACACGCTAGACCTCAATCTAGCCAGGAAGCCCGGGATCATTGTGTATTGTGCGACATAGGTATTCGGACGCCAGCGAATGGTGGGAGCAGGATTACCGCTTCATGGCCTCCCCATGATGCTCCCTGCGGTGCATTCCCATAGTCTCCTCCTTGGGCGTTGACATCGGTGTTTCGTTCCAATATCTTCTCAGCGACTGCTGGCACCCCTATTCGTGCCGCGTGATACAGAGGTTGAGCCAAACCCATTCCGTCTACCGGTCGACCTAAACCTGGAGTTCGTCTATCCATGAAAGCCAACTAAGTACGCCTGATGAGAAGGATTTAGAAGTTAAGCGGCGGCCCAAGCAGGCTAAGTAGCTTAACGCTAAGGCTGAGTCGAAGTTAAGCTAGGCTAGAATGTTCCCACGTAAAGCGGCAGGCCAAGTCCCCAAATAGGGTACCGAGGCCAGATATAGTGTCGGCGGTGAATACTATTGTCTATACGCCGAACTTGCGTGGGCGGGATGAGAAATCATGTGTATATCTTTTGTCATCGGCCAGGATACGTCCTGGGAGCAACCAGACACTCCTTTTCTACGAAGACGAGGCTCTCTCTCAGCTTGAGATTCAACAACCGAGAGAAGCGGCCTCAGTTGTTGGATTGGCAGGATCGTGAATAGGTCATGGATTGGTCTGTCTGCCTGTACCTGCCCTCAGGCCAGGTCTGATCGTCTATATACAAAATGCTAGGTGCCAGGAAGACCTCTCCTGAGTCCTGCCATGTCGCAAGACCTCCTGGCACTAGGCGCAATCAGGTAACGCCTGAAGCGCACGTAAAACGGCAACTGTCTCAGGCGCAACATCAGTCCTTCGCATTATCAGCAGATCAATTAGATCCAAGGTACGCCGGAACATGACTTCGTTAACTCTCCTCTCCACGTGTCTCGTAACCCGCCACGCCAATGCTCATCGTGTACGTGCACAGAGCAAAAAGGAATCGTCACTCGAGCTTTACCAATCAACCAACCAACCCACCAACCAACCAACTCCGTTCGATCCCACCCGCAGTTACGCACGACCATCGTCTCCATCCACTGCGTGCTGTGAAAGGAAAAGCGACGCCCCGACAGTTCACGCGAGACGGAGTCTTCTACCAGGCATACCTGAACCCTTCGATGCCTTCCAGGATGCGTTTCCCTTGGTCGGCGTCCTTGTTGAGTTTCCGAACCGCCAGCGACGTGCCTACGGCCACCACCATGGCGACAGCGACAACGGCCATGACGGTGGTCATGCCAGGCACGTATCCAGGGGCATCCTGTCCATGGTCGGTCAGTGAGGAACAAATTCCCAACGCACGTGAGATGGGTAACAGAAGGGGCACAATGTACCTGCTGGCGGTAAATGTAGGTGGCGGCGAGACCTCCGCTGGCGCCAAACATGATCTGCAGGCCGCCTGCCACCGCTCGCTTCCGGCCTTCTCGGCAGTTGTTGGCCTGCCATGCCAGGGCAGCTGGAACCATGCCGTTGACTCCGGCATAGCCCAAGAACACCCCAACATACCTGATCATGGTCACTCAGTCACCGTCTAGACCAACACGACGGCACTATTGGCCTTGGGATCGATGCGACGTACCTTGGAGCAGGCGCTTTCAGATAGCCCGTCATGGCTAGGCCGACCACACCCATGACACACTGAAGAACGTAAAAGGGGCCTCGCATCCTGAATTTGTCCGAGAGCTTGGAGATGGTCATGGACGTGATGACGGCGAAGATGGCAGGGGGCGTCGACAGGACCAGCGACAGGGTCTGGGAATAGCCCATGCTCTTCTTCAAGATGAGCGGGAGGAAGAACGAAAAGGCGTAGGAGCCGATCGTGGCGCTCATGTACATGTACGTACAGGCCCAGACTTTCCAGTCGCAGAGGGCCTGGCCCGCGGATCTCCAGGTCACCTTGTGTTCCTCGTGGGTGCCGCGTTCCGCCGCCAGGCGAGCGGTGACCATTTCCTTCTCCTCCTCGGTGAGGAACTTGTTTTTGGGCGAGTTGGGGAAGTCCACCAGTAGGAAATATGCAATGAGCCCGAGAAGGCTGGTGACCGATCCTTCGATCACGAACAGCCACCGCCAGCCCTTCCAGGTCGTGTGGTGTGCAATCTGGACGATGCCATAGGCGAGGAGGTTGGAAAAGGCCGCCAGGCCCATGGAAAACAGATAGTAGTATCCCAGTCGTATTTGCACCTCGTACCTGCGATACCAGGCCGACACGAGAAAGATGGAGCCGGGAGTGTTTCTGTGGGGGATTCAGCTTTCTTCCTGACTAGCCTCAATGGACAGAAGACATCAAACTTGCATACCCAGCTTCAAAGATGCCCAGGAGAACGCGTAGCACGGCGAAGCCTTGCCAGCTGTTGACACATCCCAGCACAATGGTGATGATGCCCCAGAGGAACGTAATGGTGCCGAGAAACCGCGCGGCGCCGATCTTGGGTAGCAGGATGTTGCTGGGAATATCAAAGGCGATGTAGCCGATGAAGAAGGTCGAGGTGACGATGGACGCTCGATACCCGACGGCGAGGTCCAGGTCCTCGTCCAAGCCCGAGACTCGGGCGGCCGAGATATTGGTGCGATCGATCAGAGACACCGTATGGAGAAGGACCACGATGGGAATCAGTCGGAGATCGATCTTGCGCAGGAGTCGCTTTTCCGCCTTGGGGTCGAGTTGGACTTCGGAGGGGAGCCGTGAGAGCTCGCTCTTCTCGTCAACGGCAGGGTCGAAGACGGTGGCAGCGAGGAGATCCTCGACATGGTGCATACTTTTCTCTGCCATGGTGACTGATTGCTGCTGCCGTGGTGGAAGGGCGGGCAGTTGTTCAAGGGTCGAGGCACGGAGGAAGAGCTCTTCGACTGGCGAGTTTCCACATCGCCCACAACGCACAGCCAGACGAGGGTGTTATTATAGCCCATGAGCATCGATGTACCGAGCTACAGACATGTCGTGCTTGCGATGAACCGCGCGGTCTGTCGAAGGTGTGCGTGACGGACATTCGGCCACGGGGTCTGGGGTAGACTTTGACTCCACGGGGTAGAGAGAGATTCCTGCGGGTCGAGAGTCGAGACATGGGGCATTTGGCTGCCCGTCTCAGCAATTTCTTGATGGCCAAAAACCTTCGTCGAGCGGCTCGGAGCAGCCGAGCTCAACTCTGTCGGCGATCGGCCTCGTCGGTTGTGCCTGAGATTTCCGTCGGCGTCGAGAACAAGTCACCCTTCTGCCTCACCGCCGAACGCCGATGAATCCAGCATCAATTGCAGGATCCTCATGCACAACTCTAGGTTCACGCAACCCGACACATATGGGGATGGAACGTCGTCCGACACAGCTGACAGTCAAACAAGATTTAATTACGACCCATGAGATTCCCTTCAGCCATGGACAGCGATGAGGCGACGGCATGGACGCTGCAAGAGGAGGAACAGAGAGCGATGGTCTGCTGCTCGACCAGAACCAATGCCCACAATATGGTCCTTCCTCGACAAACAAAACATGCCGGTCTCGGACTGCGACTCTATACACGAGCTCAAGCGATGAGACGAAGATAGAGGGCGGTCGCACGCGAAAAGGACGACGTCCGCACGGGAGGCTCCTCGCATCTTTGCTGCCAGGCCTCAGATGGATAACAAAGTACCGCCTCGAGTATCTATCTGGGGATCTCATGGGCGCCATGACCGTCGCAGCGATATACGCCCCCTTGTCCGTCTCGTTTGCACTAGCTGGCCACGCACACCCCACGAGCGGGATGGTGTCCTTCATTGTCTGCACGCTGATCTATGCCCTGCTTGGTCAATGTCCTCAGATGATCATCGGCCCCGAAGCTCCAGGCTCGCTGCTTGTGGGGATAGCTGTCAGGTTGGCCAACAAGGGTAACAACGACACCGACGCGGACCCTGCGTATGATGCTCAGCTCGTGGGAGCCATAACGGCCACCGCGGGTACAATTCTCCTCGTTGCCGGCTTGACCAGGCTGGGCTTTGTGAGCTGTATCCTCAACCGCCCCTTTGTGAGAGGCTTCATTCTGGCCCTGGGTGTTGGAGTCGTCGTCGAACAGACGATACCGGCACTGGGGTTGACTCCTCTGGTGCAAGCACATCATGATGCGTCCGCCTCTCGCACCAACATCAGCATTGCCAGCAAGTTCGTCTTCATTCTGGAGAATCTGCGCCATCTCCATCTGCTCTCGGCATTGGTCTCAATTTCGAGCTTTGCTCTGGTCATGACGGCCCGGTCAGTAGATCCACCTGGTCAGCAGGGATCACACTAATGTTAGACAAATCTAGGTCAGTCAAAACGTCGTTCAAAACACAGTATCCCAGGGTTGTGCTTTTCCCGGACCGCCTCCTGATTGTCTTCCTGGCCGCCTTCTTGACTTATATCTTCCAATGGCAAGATCAGGGGCTCGAAATCCTAGGATCCTTGCGGCCAGGAAAAGACACGCCGTCCGTGCCGATCGTCCAGTGGCCATTCCAGCGGCGACACATCGAGGCTCTCCAGGACACCTTGGGAACGTGTCTGACATTGGCCACGACCGGTCTTTTCGAATCCATCCTGACCATCCACACGCTGCGAAAGGCCGCTAAGGAAGATGCGAGAGGCGAGACGTTCACATCAACCACCAACCAGGAGCTCGTCGCATTGGGCACGGCCAACGCCGTTGCTGGCTGCTTCAACGCACTCCCGTCCTTTGGAGGCTATGGGCGAAGCAAGCTCAACGTTGCCGCAGGTGGCAGAACTCCCATGAGCAGCGTCTTGCTCAGTCTGATGATTGCCACCTGCCTGCTCGTGCTGCTTCCAGCGTTTCATTACGTCCCCAAATGCGTCCTCGCAGCCTTACTCACCGAAGTCGGGGTTTCCATGATCGAAGAGTGCCCTTCCGAGGTCGCGTTCTTTCTGCGAGTCAGGGGCTGGTCGGAATTGTCGCTGATGGCACTCGTCGTCGGAGCTTCAGTCTTCGTCTCTCTGACGGCGGGGTTGACGGTTGGTGTCCTCCTGTCGCTGTTGAGAGTAGTCCGGTCTGCGACCCAGGCAGGTGTTTCTCTGTATCCACCCGCTGCGTCCTGGTCATCCGAAGCAGCAACCGAGAACACCAACGTCATTGGAAAAGCCCGTGCACACTTCTCCTCTGACAATCTGACGGTAGTCACCATCACTGGCCCCTTGACCTTTACGAGCTCGGAAGATTTGGAGCGTCGAGTCAACAACACCCTGGCGCTGCAGTGGAGCAAGACGAGAAGGAGGGTTTGGGGCCGATCCTCCTCCATCGATCCACTCGCCGACCAGCAAGTGATATCTCAGAGCGAGACGGGCCATGTGATTCTCTTCAACTTTGGCCCATCCGCGACCATCGACAACTGTGTCACCCAGACCCTCCTCGACATTGTACAAGATTACAGCAGGCAAGGGATGGTGGTACGGTTCTTCTCGGCCTCCGACTCGAAGCACCACCGTCACATTTGCCAGAAGCTCACCTTGAGCGGGAACATAGACTTGTGTGGCGGACCTGAGTGTTTCTTCAAGAGTGAGCAAGAGGTTTCCACCGCGCTTGAGCAGATCGAGCAGCATAGCGATGTCTTCCACGATATGTTGGATGTGTAGTAGAATTACTAGAACATATAGAGCAGATTATCCGCCGGTTCAGTAATCTAGATCGACTTTGGTATATCACCCAGGCCCGTGCAATGGGTTCGTAGTGGTTATCCCATCGTCATGATGTCCCTGCTATGTACTATCACTTACGCCCTTTTATCAACTTCTAATCACCGCACTCCAAGGCCCAGGTACCTCTCTATGAGCCATTCTCTATCTATCTCACAAAGGCCGCTCTCTCAAGGTCAGGGTGGCCATCAACGCACAAGAGACAAAGAAGATGGAAAGTCCTAAGAAGTAAAGTTGCACGTTCAGTGTCCAGATTCTCGATCATCAAGCGGGTTCTGAAAGCAAGGCCACTCACCATCTGAATTCACCAAGCTGGTGATATAGGCTTCGGCCACGATCTTTTGGATGCCTTCTGGCAGTTTGTGGATGGATGCGACGCTCGACGTGACGCGTCGAATGATCTACAGCGTGGCGGTCAGCGAGTCCGGATATATACCACACAGGTAGATCGGCCTGCTGGGCACAGTCGAATACACAGAAAGAGAGGGACGCTTACCGTGACCTTGTCCTCCAACCCGGCGAGGTTCCTCTCGAGGGTGGAGATCAGCACGCGGTGCATCAGGGCAGTCGCGAAGCTGGCGCCGACCAGCGACCCGAAGCTCTGCGCGAGGAACCACGTCGTGCCGGCGATGGCGATCTCGGCGTGTTCCAGGCTGGCGGCGAGGTGGACGAAGGTGGTGGACTGGGTGGTGCCCATGCCGAAGCCGGCCAGGTAGACGTAGCACGACTCGGCCCAGTTGGTGGCGCCGTGCCAGCGCAGGCACATGAGGGTGAAGCACGTCAGGGAGCAGCAGATGCCGCACACGGTGAGGTACTTGTACCGCTTGGTCTTGCTGATCAGGTGGCCGCCGAGGAGGGTGCCCGTGGCGTTGCCAATCACCACGGGCACGATCCGACTGCCCGCTCGAGAGACGGACTCGCCCGCGGCGACTTGGAAGTATATCGGGATGCCGTAGAGAAGCTAAACGAGATATAAGACATGTCAGCCCGTCACTGCTTGCCTCCCTGCCTCCCGTCCACAAGGAATCGAAGCACATTGCGCAGGGTACGTACCCCAAACTGGCCTGCTGATTGACAGCTGACAATGAGGTATGGAGTGAAGACGTCGCGCTTCGAGATCAGCTGCAGCGGCAAGATCGGCTCTTTGGCGTAGCTTTTCTCGACGACAATGAATGTGGTTGCGAAGACGACGAAGGCGCAGACCAGCGGCACCAGGTAATGCCACGACATACCCTTGGTACCCTGGTCGAGAGATAGAAGGCAGGTCAACACCGTACCCATCAACGCAAAGGCTCCGAGAAAGTCGATGCGGGCGAGTTTAGACCCGGCTTTGCTCTCTTCTTCCCCCTCTGCTGAGTTCTCGGTGCTGTCAGGCTGATTGTGCTCGGGGAGCCGCCAGAGAACGAGGGCAAGACCGCACAGAGCCAGCGGACACTGCGCGACAAAGCACCTACAACAGGTCAGGTTAGCAAGAGGAGGCCATAAATGTTGGGAAATGCGAAGCCCTGCGACATACCATCTCCAGCCGATGCTGCCAGCCAACCACCCGCCCGTCGGACCTCCTATGGACCTCGCCATGGTGGCAGTGAAATTGATGTATGCTCGGTACTGCGCGACGTACCTGAGAGGGAGGAGATCTATCCCGGGTTAGAACTGTGGCGCGAGCACATACCAGCGGCATAGAGGCCATTGTGTAGGCAAAATTGACCAACATACCGGCAACCACAATCGAGGTCAATGCAACCATTCCAGACGCCCCAATGCCGCTGATGGCTCGACCCGCCAGAACCTGCCAGTAGGTCCTGCTGATGCCACTTGATGGTGTCAGCATGCTGTGGTATTGACAGAGCTGGGCTGGCGAGAGGCAACCACTGACATGATCATACATCCGATAGCGAAGCTCGTCCAACAGAATGCAAGGTTCCTCTTCCTGCCAAAAATGTCGCTGAGTTTGCCATACTAGTGGGATCTCCCGTTACTCTCTTTGCCCCGGAAATTCCATGCGTCGAGGGCACGAGGCCGGGTCGGTCAAACACGTACCAGAGGCTGCGACGAGCATTGCGCCAGCGTGTAGGTGGTCAACAGCCAGGCTGCTGATGATAACGCGTCGAATTCAGAAGCGATGTGCTGGTTCGTGGCGAGCACCACGGAGCTGTCGCCATTCGCGAGAAAGACGCCTTTTGCAGCCCAAGGTTAGCGGCTGCAAGACCTCGTCAGGGGAAAGAAATAACAGACCCATGAGCAGGATGGGGAACACCGTCCGAATGATGGCCTTGGGAAAGGGCTTTTCGGTCTTGCTTGCCTCGTCTTGGACATCCTCAGCAGCTTCGACCTCGGAATGCCGGATCAATGTCTTGTAGCTGTCGTGCGATTGTTGCTCGAGATGAGGGTGCTGTCGCAGGAGAGATGTAGTCTCATCCACTGACACCTCAAGGCCTTGCCGTTCCTCCTGGACAGCCATGGCAATTCTTTCTTTGGCACGCCCGCTTCCATGCTACTCGGTGCCTTGCTGTGCGGAACAGCCGTCTCATTTATTGGGGTCATTTCCTTCCCTTTTTTCCACGCTGCCAGAGTTGCAGCCGGATGATCGACGGATCCGAGGGACGGGCATTGTCCCAGGCTCGGTGTGCTTGTGCTTGTCATTCAGCAACCCCTCAAGCAGAGGCATCTTGATCCTTGCTGAAGCCGTCTTTCCGAAAGCTCTCCACTGCCGACAAGGGCACACCTCCTTCGAACTGAAACGAGCAAACGATTCGGAGTGTCGGGCGTCGGCTTCATATCGGCGTGACTCGAGGGACATTGAGTTCAGTCTAACGGTGAGAGCGCGGGATCAACATGGCGGATTTCCACTGTGGCACCGTCCGTCTTTCGCAACTCTCGAGAAACCGTGGCCAGCCCTCTTATGCGGGTGTGACTGTTGTCCAATGCTTGGTGTTCTCAGGGTACGAAGAGCTACAGCAGGAAAAGATCGATCTTCTCCGCCGGCACTACCGTATGGGCCTGTTGACATTCTCTGCCGACGGGGTGCGGACCTCGACCTTCCCCAGATCTCTACTATCCCAGCACTTGATCATGACCAAAATCAGAATGGATCTAGTGTATGAGGGGTTTCGTTTTGTTTTTCTCTGCTTGCAACTCTCGAAAGACTTCTAATCAATGACAATCTACCCAGCTGAGGTCTTGGGCAAAAAGCGAAGATCACAGATACCAACCCAACAGGCTTGACTGGTATTGAAGGAATCAAGTACAATCACTTCCAAAGACCCTTCGCAGTATCGAGCACACCTCAAGGGTGACGAGGGTGACGGCAGCACAGACTCTATCGACAACAAGTTAGCGAACAACGAGCACTCAAGCATCATGCTGCAGTATGTGCTTGTTACTTTGCTCCTTGTGGGCTTTGGCCTGGCAGGACAGAAACGGCCCAACATCTTGTTCATTCTCACTGACGACCAGGACCGCCACATGGAGGCAGCCGAGCACATGCCATATTTACAGGTTGGTGAAGAGACGCGCTGCGAGACCTTTGGCTGCACTCCCGCTGATCGAACGCGTTGCAGGACCTGATCGTGAACAAAGGCACGACATATGCTCAGCACTTCTGCACTGTTGCACTCTGCTGCCCATCACGGGCAACACTATGGACAGGGCGAGCGGCACACAATCACAACATCACCAACGTGGCCCCGCCACACGGGGGATACCCCAAGTTCGTGTCGCAGGGCTTCAACGACGACAACCTGTTCCTGTGGATGCAGCAGGCGGGCTACAACACCTACTACACGGGCAAGCTGTACAACTTCCACTCGGTCGACAACTACGACATGCCCTACGCCCGAGGCTTCAACGGCTCCGACTTCCTGCTCGACCCATACACCTACCAGTACCGGAACGCGAAGATGACCCACAACGGCGAGGAGCCCGTCAGCTACGCAGGCCAGTACTCGACCGACGTGGTGGCGAGCAAGGCCAAGGCGTTTCTTCACGAGGGCCTGCAACATCTCGCTGCGGCAGGCGATGACGGTGGGGATGATCAGCAACAACGGCCGTTCTTCCTGACCGTGGCACCCATCGCGCCTCATTCGAACTGGGTACTGGAGCCAGAGAAGGACCTCTCGTACCTGCTCGAGCCCATGGCTGCACCTCGCCACCAGCACATGTTCACCGACTACAAGATCCCCCGCACCAAGGCGTACAATGCAGCCATCGAGGGCAGCATCGGGTGGATTAGTTCCCTCCCAAGCTTGAACGACACCGTCCTGGCCTACAACGACCACTATCAGCGGCAGAGACTGCGGGCGCTGCAAGCCGTGGATGAGATGTTGGCCGAGCTGATTCAGCAGCTCGAGGACGCCGGAGAGCTGGACAACACGTACATCTTCTACACCACGGACAACGGGTACCACATCAGCCAGCACCGGATGAATCCTGGCAAGGAATGTGGATATGGTAAGCCAAGTGGCCATCCAGTGGATATTGCTCTCGAAAGTGACATTGTTGACCATTTCCTTTGCCTTTCCCAAAACAGATACCGACATTCACATCCCATTCTACTTGCGCGGCCCGGGCATCGATGCCGGAGGCGTGGTCGACGTGATCACCACCCACACCGACGTGAGCTCGACTCTGCTCCAGATCGCCGGGGCCAGTAAGCAGTTGGATGGCACAGCCATTCCGCTGGGACGGAGCCCAAGCGGACAGGACTGGGAGCTGGACGAAGATCCGCCACGACGTCATGAGCACGCGACTATTGAGTATTGGGGCTATGTAAGCAAAACCACCGCGAACCCCCCTGCCTGTTTGCCAATTGACTCGGTTCCGTTTGTACATGAACTACTGATCCACTGACTCTTCTCCCTTGTTCTGGTTGTGCAGGGCGTCCCCGAAGGCCTTTACGGCGGCCGCACGGACAACAAGCGCGAAGCCGGCAAGTGGCGCAACTACTATCTGAACAACACGTACAAGGGCCTCCGACTGGTGTCTCAAGACTACAGCCTGTACTACGCGGTGTGGTGCACCAACGAGACCGAGTTTTACGATCTAAAGGTACGTATTGCACCTTGTTCTCTCCCACAGTCACACACCACTTTCCCCAGCTAAACGCCACCGCGAAAACCACCAGACCGATGCCTATCAAGTCGTCAACATGGCCGCCGACATAGGCGCATACTCTTCCTACCAGATCGCGGGGCGGCCGCTGGCGCAGATCCTCCCGCGCCTCGACGCCCTGATGATGGTCCTCAAGACCTGCCGCGACAGCGTGTGCGTCCACCCCTGGAGGACGCTGCACCCGAACGGCCGCGTGGCCGACCTCGCCGATGCGCTTGACGCACGGTTCGACGCCTTCTACCGCGCTCAGCCCAAGATGGGCTTCGCCTCGTGTCCCGACGCGTACTACCTCGAGGCCGAGACCCAGGAGCCGGTCAAGCCTTGGGCCGACGACGCGCGGGGACCGAAGGAGGGCGTCGCAAGGCAGCCCGAGTTCGACTATGCGCTGCACTGGCAGCTGTTGACCTAGGCTTTCATTCTTGGGGAGAGGGCGTCTTGTATATGGTCTCGTGAGCCATCAAATATGGATAAGATGGGAGGCTGGTGGACAGACAAAACGCAAGGCCTGTGTTTCTTGAATCGCTCGCTCTTGTTCTTCTATTTCGTGGCCTGTCATCAATACAACGTACATACACTCTGGCCAACAATCCATCCTCGTAGTCGGCATAGTGGGTTATACAGTCTCGTCCAAACATGGCAATCACCAGGCCCTCCTTTTCGAAGCCCTGTGACCACAGCGTCCCACCGTTGAGGATTGAGGTCCAGCCAGCTTGAGGAAGTGTATCAGGGCCCCGTCCGGCCGAGGCAACACTGCCCGCTGTACCCAGCGCCTCGTAGACCTCCTCTGCCCAGAGCACATATCTGCATAAGTGGCCACTAACTACTCCTGCGCCCCCGTTCCAAGTGTGAACTATTCGTTATCCCACTGCCACACCGACTTCTGGCCTTTCAGCCCGAAAGGCGAGTATGCCACGGGAACCCGGCGCCACACACACACATTGACCAACACAGTCTGTCCCGATGGAGGGGACGAGAAAGTGACAAGCGCCGACGGGTTCCTCGGCCCCATCGACTGACATACCATGCCCATATAGCGCGCACTATACCGTGGAGAGGTGGATACAAGACCCCGGCGAGCGACGGTTATTCGCCGGTTGAAGAAAATAGGCGTTAGGACATGGGTGGCCGACGTCCGAAGCCGCGAGGAACATTGGAGATTTGTCGGCGCACCCAATAATTCGGTTTTCCTCGCCATCACGACGTTTTCCGCCATCTGTGCCCATGAATCGGGAGAAAGGCGTGATATTTGGAAATCTACCTTGGTACGTACGTGGAGGGTGGTCGAGATCCTTCTTCCCTCGCCCAGGGATCAGCATTTCTCCGCCGTCACGAATAGGCGAATCGGTCCCTCTGCGCGCCCCGGAGGAGGAACTCGTCCATGCTCTGCTGCAAGAACGGCTCGCCGCCGGCCAGGAAAGGGGCCGCGGGCCCGCCCGCGGCGTCCATGCCCGAGAAGTCCCACAGGTCCGGCAACACGAAGTTGTCCACGTCCTGGCCGTACCCGGGCACGCGGGAGTACGAGATGGGCGAGTAGTGGTGCGGAAAGGGGTGCGGGTGTTGGTGTTGGTGTTGGAGCGGAGGATGCTGAGCATCCGTGGACCGGCCACTGCTGGTGCTGGATTCCACTGTGGGCCGAGTTCGTCCAGCGCGATCGAAACCAAGGGTGTATTCAGGATAGGACTGCGAGGGGAACTCGAACTTGAGGCGCGTGAACGTGCCGCCCAGCTGGTGGAAGGCCGATCGGTTCTCCTCGCCGTTGTCGCCGTGGACGCTGGGGTTGCAGTTGGCGCAGCGACAGACGCTCGTGGCCGCCGGCTGGGAAAACTGGTCGACGTGCTCCATCGTGCTGTCGATGATGCTTTCCAGCACGTCGCGGTACTTTCTCAAGCTGGGGTTCGTCTCGGCCATGGCGGACAGCGTAGAGGAACAGGCGCGCAGGTCGTTCGAAGTGGCTGTGCTCCACAGGAAAGGTGCTTTGAAGAGGATGTAACTAGACACCACCGTCAGTCCGAATCACGCTATGCCCCCAGACATGCGGGTGCGGAAAGAAATCCCAAGGCTCTCTCTCACCAGATATTCATCCCGGCAATGAAAAACGAGTTGATCATCAGGAATGAGTAGGCTGACAAACTCCTCATGCGCATCCTTCGGAACAGCTGGCACATGTGGCCGGACGCTTGGAGGCAGATCTGCATCAGCTCATCGTGTGGCTGGAGCATCCGCAAGAAGGGCTCGATGACCTTCCGGACGCAGTCCTGGTAGTGCATCGTGACCCAATCCTGATCGCGTGCGGCGATCTTGGGTAAGGTGCTCTCAAACTGTCGAAGCAGGGCCAGCTGCGTGGGTACCTCCTTCTTCAAGTCGGCGATAGGCTTGTCGACGCGGTGAATGTCGACATATACTCGAGACATGATCCTTGTCAAGCCGAAAACCGCCGCAGACGCATGGACTTGCGAGCGGGCTGCAACCGGGCCTCCGCTTAAAGGGTGATCCGCCCGTTGAACACTGGCAATGCTGTCGGGGATGTAATAGTCGGATGCGGCTGGCTCCTCAGTGTCAATGTCGTAGTCGGCGAGACAAAAGGGCCGCCGTAGAGACCAGGCCACCCTTCTCTCCAACCCGTAGATGCTCCAGAATATGCGGCGCCTCGCGCTCGCCTTCTTGGGGTCGAGACCTCGGTACGAGTACTCGCGGTGCATGCCCGCGTCGATCGCGGTCCTCACGCCCAGGCCCACCAGATACCACATGCGAGAGTCCAAGGACATACGAAGTTTATAGTAGAGGATCAGGAGGATGGCTTCGATGTCGCGCACGGGGTCCTCGCCTTCCCAGGTGCGCTTGAAGTGCAGGGCCGTGGCAAAATATCGCTCCGGGAGCGTCGAGGTATATGGTCGTGTGATCCGCATGATCGCGGCGGCGATGGCGTAGATCATGTAGAGCCGGAAGCCACCGTGTCTGGACGGTGCATCGGCGAGGAGATCCGAGTGTCTTCTCGCGTGCATGTCGAGGATGTCGGCCAGATCTAGGTAGGGCGTCCGTCGATGCATGTTCTCCAAGTATGTCGTGAGAAGCTGCTCCCCGAGCCGGTCGTCAGGTGGTGGTGCCTTTTCGAGTCGATCATTCTCTGACTGCAAGGGACTGAGATGGCCCTGGGGAGTGGCCTCCTTGTCCCACACCTCGTTGTCGGGCGTGGGCTGCGCAGGATCATCGGCGTCGCCAGCACTGCAAAGCGACACATGGCGGCCATTTTCGTCGTTGGACGTCCTCCCGCCTTCCTCTGGAGCAGCATCACCGTCTTGAGGGCCGTCGGGGTAGTCAGCGCCAGCCCTGGTTGGCGAAGCAGTCGACTGCCGCCAGCGGTCGGCAGGAGCCTCTCGGTCAGCAAACACAATCTCCAGCTTCTCAACCAGCTCCTGTTTGGAAAGGCCAGCAAAGCGTCCCGAGGTCGGCGGGGTTTCCCTCACGCAGGCCGCATTGCCCGCCAGGCAGTTGCTGCAGGTCGGATAGCCGACACATCGTTGTTTGCGCCGATGGCACCGGTAGCAGGCTTTCAACTTGCTCTTGCGTTTTCGTATGGGCGTATCATCCATTCTTGCAGGGAGAGGTGTGACCATCGGGGAAAGCACAAATTGGAAGAGCTCACTGGGGCCGAAAGCGACTGTCAGAGGAGATGTGGACATGAATCATGAATGTCTGAAGGCCGTCATCGGCTTAATGTGCCGACTGAAGCGCAAACCTTGTGAATAGCTCAAGGGCTGGGCGGAGCGAAGGCTCGGGCCAACGTCCTCGGCTACCCGCGTTCATTGGCGTGGAGGAGATGGAGGAACTAAGTAGAGACTCTTGATATGCTTCCTTCCTTACTTCAGCCACCGCCAGCATCACATGTGCTTCCACGACGTCTTTTCGGTCCGTCGGGCACAGTCAGAGAGTCGGGGCCATAGTCGATGCCGTGATAGTCCCGGCCATGAACCTCAGGATAGCTTCATGCATTCCTATCGAATCAAAGACTCCTGGGCGCAGACAAACTCCTGCATGAGGCTGCCGGAGAGAATGTCAGCCCTTATTTCAATAGATGGCTCGGAATGGGCATCATCAATCTCCACAATGAAGAGCATTTCATCCCCTTCTCAGCCTGATTCTTGACAACCAAGATACCCGTCAATCGATACCCGTCAATCTATACGGTAGCAATAATGGCTTCACTCACGACAACCCAGACTGATGCCAATACCGCCACCATCACCGGTGATACCTTCGTTGCAAAAGCCTCTGAGGGCCTCGCTAATGCTGAAGCACCTCAAGATGGTTCTGCATCACACCAACCCTCGTCAACACACCAGCCTGGCGCTCAGCCCATGCCCATGCCCATGCCCATGCCGCCCAAGTTTGCAGACAAACACGAGGAACGCGAGTACCTCAAAGGGCGACTGGCTCTCGCCTTCCGACTCTTCGGCAAGTATGGCTTTGACGAAGGTGTGGCAGGACATATCACCCTCCGCGACCCTGTCAACCCTCACACCTTCTGGGTGAACCCCTTTGGCCGCGCCTTTAGCCAAATGCGCCGCCGCGATCTCATCCTCATTGACCATGAGGGCAAGGTCATTGACGGGGGCGAGAACCGCCTTCTTAACACGGCGGCCTATATGATCCACGCGGCTGTACACGAGGTGCGTCCTGACGTGCTCTGCGCAGCTCACAGCCATAGTCTTTATGGGCGTACATTTTGTGCGCTCGGGTTACCATTGGACATTACGACACAGGATAGCTGTGCGTTCTACAACGATCTCGCATTATACCAATCGTTCCGCGGCGTGGTGCTGGCCAAGGAGGAAGGCCAGAACATCGCCCAGGCGCTTGGAGCGAAGAAGGCGGCGTTGCTGCAAAACCACGGCCTGCTCACGGTAGGCCGTTCCATCGAAGAGGCCATTTACTGGTTCGTCAAACTCGAAAAATGTTGTCAGACGCAGTTGATGGCCGATGCCGCTGCTTTGGGGCGCGGTATTCAGACGATCAAGATTGACGACGAGGACGCCGCCTTTACTTACAAGACGATCGGGACTCCGCGGGCGGGATGGTTCAGTGCGCAGCCCATGTTTGACGTTATGGCGGAAGAGGTGGGCAACGCCTACTTAAATTGATGGCCAGAATACCAACCATAGACCAATCTTGAGACTCCTCAAAGTAATACCCCCAATGTATAGGCCAGCTCGAGCCAGGATAAGTGCCAGCATGGTCAGTGGGCATGCTTCCTCTGTAAACTGCTCTTTTACTTCTTGGTTTGGGGGCCGAGACGAAGATGTTGGGCTGGTGGGCAAACTTCCACCCGATCCTCCCTCTTCCTTAGAATCTTCATCATCATCACCATCCACACCACGATCACCACAGTCACCATATCTCCTTCAGCTTCTTTGGTGACCTCCTGTCTAAAACCCCGTCGCATTTGTTACACAGCTTGACGGTCGGGCATCGAATTCTCTCATGCTTGGCCACGCGTGCGGCATGATCCCCAAGCCGCACATACCAAGCACAGAATCGGACCTTCTCTCCGTTACATTCATTGGCAACCAGTCGATGCTGGCGTCGGCAACAGGGCCAAGCAAGCCATTCTCTTCACCGTGCCTGATCGAGGCCTAGTATACGATGCCAACTGCCGCCCGTGTTGGCTTGGCTCTGGGCTTCCCCAATCGCCTGATTGAGGCAGATAATCATACCACTGCCACGTCTCCTGATTGACTCGACTCACAGCTCGTCAATGTGCGACCACTGCAACGGTTCAATTGTGCTGCCTGAGGGCTTTTACAAGGCAGCCTGAATTCAAGACGAATGTTATACAAGCAAAGGACAGCATGACTGAACCAAATCTCCGGCTTATCGTTCCAGTGGGGGCTTGCCATTCTCTCTCTTGCTCGAAAAATGAACATAGATCAATGCCATAGCATCAAGATGGAACACGAGCTGAACGTCGACTAGCAACATCATGAGCGACGACGAGAAAATCGAGATTCCGGAGCCTGTCGAAGACGGCAATGAGACGCGGAAGACTCAGCTATCGGCATGGCAAGCCTACTGGCGTCTCCTAACTTATGCTAATACTGTTGACATCGCCTTGCGCATATGCGGTGCGGCGGCTGCAGCAGCAGCAGGCTCAGCATTGCCTTTGATGACAATCATTCTTGGAGACTTTGTCCAAGATTTCAACAACTGGGGAACAGGCGCGGTCCAGCCTGCTGCCTTTCGGCACAAGGTCAATCAAAACACTCTCTGGCTATTGTATCTCTTTGTCGGGAAATTTGTGGTACGCTTCCCCTTTCAGCAGAGACCTCTATATCTACTGTATGTTTACTGACAGCTGCGTTTTGAAGATGGGTTACTGTGGAACCGTCATGCATTCTATCTCTGCTTCTCGCATAACCCGAAGGATTCGTCTCCGGTACCTCCAGATCGTCTTGCATCAACCCATTTCTTACTTTGATCACCACACCGCTGGTTCCATAGCCTCGAGTTTGTCGACAGACACCAATCTGATCGAAGTCGGACTTGCTGAGAAGGTTGCCACCGCCTTTCAATCGATCTCAATGCTGGTCACTGCTTTTGTCATTGCGTTCATCAAATCCTGGAGGCTGACACTTGTGACTGCCACCATCGTCCCTTACATGATCCTGACAACTGGGCTGCTTTCCTTCCTAGATGCAAGGTTCGAAGCAAAAATGCGCAATATCTATCTGAAGGCATCCGGTATGGTCGAAGAGTGGTTCAGCAGTGTTCCCACGATCACCGCCCTTGGTGCGGCAGACAAGGTCACAGCACAATACCAGCAAATCATCGAGAAGAACAAGACGTTCGGCATCAAGAGAGGACCTATCGAGGCATCAATCTTTGGGAATATGTGGTTTGCGGTGTACAGCGGTTACGCCCTTGCATTGTACTACGGAGCGAGACTGCTCAACCGCAATGAGATAGAAAACGGTGGCGCACTTATTACGTTAGTCCCAAATCCCGAACATAGGTGATGCGGACGATAGCTGACATGAACATAGTGTGTTGTTGGCTATTGTCATCGGCAGCTCGTCGATGGGACTAGTTGCTCCTTCTCTACCTAACTTCATCAAGGCTGCAGCAGCGGCACAACAGGTTCTGAGGGTATTGAACGAGTCTTCCTCTAGGGACTCAGCTCCCGACCAGTCTCGCAAGATCATACCGGCGACAATTAACGGGCAATTGAGTTTGAGAAACGTCTCGTTCTCCTACCCGACAAGGCGAACCATTAGCGTTCTGAATGACCTGAGCATAGAAATTCCAGCCAACAAGTTGACTGCAATCGTCGGTCATAGTGGATGTGGTAAGAGTACCGTCGTGGGGCTCCTGGAGCGGTGGTATGATCCTAATCACGGGTCGATCTATCTGGACGGCACAAATATACGGGATCTCGACCGGGGCTGGCTGAGAGGACAGATGGGGCTGGTGCAGCAGGTACATATGGGGTTTCGCGATGAATTTATCCAGGCTAATATCTCATCATCCAGGAACCGATGCTATTCAACGATACCATTTATCAAAATGTCTTAAACGGACTAGGTAAACCCAAGACAGAGAGACTTGACGAAAGCGGCAGACGCCGGTTGGTCATCGAGGCTTGTACTACAGCAAACGCGCACGACTTCATACAAGCACTCCCTGAAGGGTATGACACCAGGGTCGGCGAGCATTCTGACCTCCTGAGCGGCGGCCAGAAGCAAAGGATTGCCATCGCCAGGAGTATCATTTCAAAACCAAAAATCCTTCTCCTGGACGAAGCCACCAGCAACTTAGATCGGGACTCCCAAAGAGTTGTACAACAAGCACTGGCAAGAGCTGCTCAGGGCCGAACTACGGTGATGATCGCGCACCAGTTGTCTACCATCGAGCACGCGGACAATATCATTGTCATGGAACATGGCCACGTTACAGAACAAGGTACGCATGCCGCTCTTGCGGCTGCCGATGGACCATATGCGCGTCTGCTCCGTGCAAAGAGCCTAATCAAGGGCAAAGACGGGCCTTCGAACGGGGCGACGCAGGTCAGCAACAAGCAGGTAGCGGCCACGACCCAGAAATCACTCTCCACGAAAGAGCCTCAAAAACAAGCAGAGACCGCAGACGGCGCCACGCTTCTGGAGGCAAGATCGATCAGTCGACGCTTTTCTCTGATTACATGCTTGCTCAAGATGCTCTCCGACCAAAAAAGCATCATCCCCATCTTCGTGGGCGGTCTAATAGGCGGTGTCGCTGCAGGCACTCTCATTCCTATTCAAGCCTTTCTTTTCTCGAGACTGGTGACTATCTTTCAATACCAGGGTTCGAAATTGCTCACCAAGGCCGACTTCTGGGCGCTTATGTTCTTCATCCTAGGATTGGCGCATTTGGGAATCTTTGCCGTCACCTGGTTTCTATTTGCTGTAGCGGCCTCGAGAAGCTCCCTGAAATATCGCGCCGAGTACCTGCGAGGGCTGCTCATTCAAGATATCACCTTCTTCGAGCAAGGAGGCAACTCATCCGGGGGTCTGACCGCCTTGCTGGGACTCGACGGCGACGAAATGGACTTGATGATCGGACTGAACATCGGTCTCCTTGTCCTTTTCCTCGTCGACTTGACCGCAAACACCATCTTGGCACTCGCTGTTTACTGGAAACTGGCGTTGGTGGGGGTCTTGTGTTGCGTGCCCCTGCTTCTGCTGGGAGGGTACTTGCGCATGAGGATCGACCGAGAATCAGAGGACCGAGCGTCGAAGTTTTTCGTCGAGAGTGCCCGCTTCAGCTCTGAGGCAGTTGGAGCGATTCGGACAGTCGCATCCCTGACGATGGAATCCAAGGTGATTGAGCGGTATGCGGGCAGATTGAAGACTGCCGCCGTGAGTTCCATGAGACGGACTTTGTTGTCCATGTTCTTCTTCTCCCTCGCAGACTCCTCCGACTTGCTAGGTAAGTGATAAAAACTCTGTACCATCGCTTGAAGCGCTCTGCTGACAACCAGAACGAAGCCATGTGTTTGGTGTTCTGGTATGGTGGCAGGCTTGTCTCTTACGGTGATCTGGGAGTTTCGGCGTACTTCTTGGTTTACGGCGCCGTCATTTTCGGAGGGCAGTCCGCTGGATACTGTATAGGATACACCGCGAGTGAGTGAACTGCAAAACTGGCCGGAAAGATCTCCTGCTGACATGAGCTGCTTTCCGCAGGCATCACGAAATCTCAAGCCGCGATGAACCGTGTCTTTTACATGAAGCAGAAAAAACCGGCCATCAACTTGCATCCAGGCGCCGACCCACGCACACTGCCTCCCACAGAAGCCGCCATTGAATTCAAGGACGTCTGTTTCCGCTACCCGGCTCGCCCGGACGTGGAAGTCCTCCATGATCTGAACCTCAAGATCCGACCTGGCGAGAAGGTGTGTATAACAGGACCCAGCGGCTGTGGCAAGTCCACCATCATTGCGCTCCTCGAACGCTTCTACGACGTCAAATCCGGCGAGATTCTCATCAAGGGGACCGACATCCGCTCGCTTGACGTCAACGCTTACCGCGCGACACTCGGTTTCGTGTCGCAGGAGACCACCCTCTATCAGGGCACCCTGCGTCACAATCTCCTCCTGGGCGTCGAGGACGATGCGGCCGTAACCGACCAGCAGCTCGAGGCAGTCTGCCGCACCGCCAACATCCACGACTTCATCATCTCCCTGCCGAGTGGCTACGACACGGACTGCGGGCCGCACGGCCAGGCCTTCAGCGGCGGCCAGAGGCAACGCATCGCAGTCGCCCGGGCGCTCCTCCGCGACCCCCAGGTCCTGCTCCTGGACGAAGCCACGAGCGCGCTGGATCTCGAGAATGCCGAGCTCGTGAGAAACGCATTGGACAAGGCCGCCGGGGCTGGGGCTGGGGCCGGGGCTGGGGCTGGGTCATCCGGCAACGAGAAGGCAGGAAATGGCCAGGGCAGCGGGGGACAAACCATGATCAACATCTCGCATCAGGTGGAGACGATGAAGTCGGCCGAGAAGATCGTCGTGGTGGACAAAGGGGCGGTGGTCGAGTCCGGGACGTTCGAGGAGCTGATGCGGAAGAAAGGATTTCTCTGGACCATGATGGTGGAAGGTGACTTGACGTAAAAATCACAACGATGCCGCCCCTATCTGCGAGGCATACTCACTCCTATCCCGCGTGAGCTGTGCGAGCGGATCATCCTTGTCTCACGGTACCTACATACGTACCCAAGTAAGTAGGTATGTAGGTATGCAGGTATGTAGTCGCTACAGGCTAAAGCCTTAGTACTGGAGCTAAAATGCTAATGTGCTGGACCTTAGCACGGATCCATCACGCTTAAGAAGCAGAAGGTGAGCCGAGGGTGAGGAAGGCGGTGGGCGGCTACTGTACTCCGTAGATACCTAACACATACGTACCTCCAACCTGATCTACTCCATCGCTTCTCCAATAGTTGTCTGTGTCTTTGTCGCACACAGATTGACTTAGACCTGCTTCCTTTGTGCATGTCGCACCCCATATAACTGCTCCCAGTACAGAACAGCGGGGGGTTGGCACAGTCTCACCGATCCTGTCATTCCTCACCGGTGTATCAGAAAAGGAAAGACAGTGCCACGTTGGAGTTTCTCCAATATCGTTGCACGAGATATAAGAGGTATAGAGACCTAGGGGTAGTCAGTGGGTGAGTGCGTCAGTTGTAGGGAGAAAGGAAGTGAGTGAGTGACCTGGAGGCGAGATTTTGAACATGGCGCTCCGGTCGAACTTGGACCTGGTCAATGAAAGCGACAAGTATGTTCCTCTCCTGTCCTCTACAGGGAAAATATGTATAAAAGACCGAATTTGACTAGTGGCGCATGCTGACTGAGTGGCCACAAACATAACAGCTTTCCTTACTACGCGGACGACCCGGACAAGTTCAAGGCTCTTGGGAATGGGTACTACCACTTCTACCTGGAAGGCTGCGGCGCGTGCCTGGGGTACATGACGGCTTCGGTCGTGGAGCGCATGCCCCTCACGCGACACTGGAGGCTGGACAAAGCCGATCGACGCCTGGTGTTCCAACCCCGCGACGACCAGGGCAACCCCGTCGTGGACCTCGACACGCGCAGCCACATCCTGGCGGGCTATCTTCAGGACGTGCGCGAGCGGCGCCTCTTCGGCGTCCTGGACGGCTGGCGGAGCGAGCAGTACCCCATCTACGGGCCCCAGCGGGAGCTTGTGCTGAGCATGGAACGGTCGGCGACCCCGCTCTTCGGCGTGGTCACCTACGGCGTGCACATGACCGGCTATGTCGAGACCGAGCAGGGGATCAAGATATGGGCGCCGCGGCGGGCGCTGACGAAGCCGACCTATCCCGGCATGATGGACAACACTGTCGCGGGAGGGCTGAGCACGGGGGAGAAGCCGTTTGATTGCCTGGTCAGAGAATGCGACGAGGAGGCCTCGTTGCCGGCCGACCTGGTGCGCGCGGCGGCCCAGGCGTGTGGGACGCTGACGTATTTCCACGTCCGCGACGCCCGAGCCGGGGGCGAGACCGGGCTCTGCCAGCCCGAGTGCCAATACATCTATGACCTGAAGATACCGCCGGACGTCATCCCCAAGCCGGGCGACGACGAAGCCATCGACTTCCAGCTTTTGACCGTCCAAGAGGTCCGGCAAGCCATGGCCGAGGGCAGATTCAAGCCGAACTGCGCCCATTTGCTCGTGGAATTCTTCGTCCGGCACGGATTCTTGACGCCCGAGAACGAACCCGACTATATTGAAATAGTCGCCAGAAGCCATAGAAAGTTGGAGTTCCCGACTCCCTGATCCCCCGTCCCCGGCGAGCCCAGTCCACCAACGCCTCGCTAAATAGACTTTTTTGGGGATTTTCCTGAGATATTCAAGGCAGGCGTCGTGCCAAAATGACACATGGGCCAGCTCATTTCTTCATCAACAGGTACACATAGTCGATTCTCAGTGCGTTGAGCAGTGCGTAGGGCCCGTCCATATAGAGTAGTAGGCCGCCGAAGGAGACATATAGCTTACTGCAGGAATGATTAGCCGCGAGCACCACACCTTATCCGCCTACGCAACTTACATGTTGTCGCCGCTGCCTTCCTCGAACCTGTAGATTTTCCCGTGGCAGACATAGTCGAATTCGTCAGCCAGCGTCTGTTCTCCCCTCCCGATTTCCCTCCACCCTTTCCCGTCATCCTTGCTGCCGTCGAGATTCAGCGACAGGGCCAGCGCGACCGTCATGCGGTCGTCGACATTGAGAGGGTACAGTTCGGTGTTGACGTCGAGGGTCAGAAGGACTTCCTGCTCGCCCTCGCTGTAGGCCTTGATGCGCGAGACTCTGTCATATTTGGTGTCGTTGAGGTCGGTGATCTTGAAGCTGTTCTCGAAGAGGATGTTCTCCGACATCTTGACGGTGAAGGGGACTTTGTTGAGGAGTCGAGAAAGTGCTTGGGGTCTGCGGCGCAACAGGACGAAATTTGAAGAGAGGTTCGCGGCCTGCTCTGCAAGAAATTAAATCTCTGCGTTTCGAGAAATATTGATACGGTGGAGCAGTACGGTGGCCTTTGCGGCAATTTAGCGCAATATCAAATTTCTTCCTGGCAGGCAGAACATGCGACCGGCCAACTCTTTTGGCAATTTGACTAGCACGTCCTTGCCTCGATGTCCTTCCGTAAGCGCAATGTAGGCCTCTCAGGCTCTACAAGGCCCGGAGGCTCTGCGCAACCCAGCAGCAAAGACCGAGCTCAGCTGCCTGGAGTGCGGGCTTCCCCAGTGGACGGCCGACCGACGACTTCTACTGGCACCGCGAGCCTCGACGCCCTCCTGGCGGGACACTCCGGTCTCGCCCTCGGCAGTACCATCCTGATTGAAGAAAGCGGGACGACAGATTACGCGGGCGCTCTTCTCAGGTTCTATGCCGCAGAGGGCCTTCTCCAAGGTCACCATGTCCACGTCGTTGCGCTACCGGAACAGTGGGGTCGCGAATTGCCAGGCGTCGTTGGTGAAAGCGAGAAGAGAGAGACACCCGCTGAAACGGAGAAGATGAAGATCGCGTGGAGATACGAGAGCCTGGGACAATTCGGTGCAGGCGCACCTGCAAGAGGTGGGCATATTCGTCCTTGTAGCGTAGCTAGAACCAATGCTATTCTTTTTGACATTATGCTTCATGGTTTCCACCTCTGCATTGGCACTGACGTTTCTTTCTTCCCTCAACAGAACGTCCTCAGTCAACTGCAGGCCAGACAGGTCCAGATGGAGTATCAGCCCAGCGACCACCTGCTGCGTTCTGCCATACCTTCGACCTGACGAAGCGACTCGTTCACCCGGCCTCGTCCAAAATGGATTTCATCCAGCTAGACATGAATCCAACGCGTTCACCCTTTGTACCTATTCTCGAACGGCTGAATGCTTCTGTCGTGAACTCCGCACCGGACACAGTTCACCGCATTGTCATCCCATCGCTGCTCTCACCGGCCCTTTATCCGCCCTGGTCGAGTCAACCGCAGAATATCCTCCAGTTCCTGCATAGTCTTCGTGCACTGTTCGCGGCCCATCCGGGTCGGCTGACGGCAATTATGTCGCTACCACTGTCACTCTACCCCAGGTCATCTGGACTGGTTCGGTGGATCGAGCTACTGAACGACGGCGTCCTCGAACTGTCTCCGTTTCCGCATTCGGCCGAGGGAGACGCAGCGCCTTCTCGTGGTCCCGCTGGTGCAGCTGAAGAGCCTCCCCAGGGCTTGTTGCAAGTACATCGTCTCCCGATGCTTCATGATCGTGGCAGCGGGGTTGGCACGCCTGAGACCGACTGGACCTTCACATTGAGCCGGAGGAAATTCACGATCAAGCCCTTCAATCTGCCACCCGTCGAGGGCGACACAGGTGCTCAACAGGCTGCGGGGCCCGAGCAAAAGGGAAAGAAGGCTGACATGGAGTTCTAAATATTGTCATAGACAGGATTCATACGTCATCGTCGTCAGGATACGGTCCTTGTGCATTGAGCATGGTCTCCAGCTCAATATGCTCTGAGGATGAAGGACCTGGATTGGTCATGGTTCGAAAATAGGTACGGTCATAGGAGCCATGGCGCGAGTTGATGGTGAAACCGGACACCCGCGCCCGAAATCGTTCGCCCAAGCACGACGAGAGAGCAAGAAATGCTGTTCCATCACACTTCAGCACGGATCGTAAGCAGACTTCAGTCAGCACGTACCTATGAAGAAGAGCAAAGGGACAAATAGGAGCAACGACAACAGTGCGAGAATGCCCATTATCGAAGTCTTGCTCCTCGAACGAAGATTCAGACCGCGATGGCACCTTTCACGACAAGCAGAGAGGCGAGAAGAATAAGTAAAGGAGGCGAGTGATGGTGACACGACTCGTCATCAGGAGGTTGGTTGGCACTACTAAATACTTGGGTCTGACAGGTGCATGGCGGTGGCAGGCCGCCACTCAACTCAGTCAGACAATCGAAATAAATTTTCGTGAGAGCCCACCGTCTTTCACCTTGTTTTCCAACTCTTCTCCTTCTCTCACGCAAACACATCTGTCTTCTTCCCTTCACACAACTCTATCAAATCATGTAGTCTATCTCGTTCTGCTTGAAGGCTGGTCTTCAAGCCTTCCATTCGTTACTTTCTCACGATCTGCAAGGCTACAAGCCATCTGGCAGCTAGTGGTCTCGACTGCTGTCGTCTCCGCCTAAACGGAATCTGTGGCATCAATTTTTCAGGTCAATCTGTGCGTGAGTGTTACCCCTTCTTACCACCATCCCAAGTCCTTGCATGATTAGACCACTTTTATAATCTGTCAATCCACTGAGAAGCCTCTCCGGAGGCCATGTGATTGAAGCGAAAAAAAATCGTTGTTGAAATATGACCGCTTGCTTTTCTACTTCAGATGAATTTGCACAAAACTTCTGTCGACTACCCGGCTGACAATCGATATGTCCTTAGTTGCAGATATAATTCACGATGGATTCTCCAGCAGATCTGGGATTCGACTTGAAGCCCGATCTCCCAGTGCCGATATCTTTAGTTGGTGGCCGATATCTACTCTTCGACATCAAAATCGCGACCTACCTCCGCCGGGAGCATCATATCTGTGGCGTCGCAATCGGCACTTTACCTCTGAGTCCGTCTCAAAACTTATTTCTTGGTGTGCCTATCGAGATCATGCCGGAAGAAGCTCAGCTACTTGTTGAACGAGGGGTCGGCGTTATCGTTGACGACGCTCGAGCTCACGATCAAGCCGTTCAGTCAAAAGATCTAGCTCGACGGGCTGATTATCTGGCCAAAATAGACAAGCAGGCTAAGCAAGTCAAGCATGCCAAGGACCAAGAGAAGGAGGAGTCCCGGAGGCGAGCTTTAAGCAAAAATGCAAAGCCTTCGCCCTCATCATCTGGTCCCATGCAAGCCGGACGTAATGCAGAGCAGGGCGAACATGACGACAGTGAGAGAGCGCTAGATGCTGAAGAAGCCGCCACGAAAAGTCAGGTGCTTTTTCAAGACGACTCTCCGGTCAAAGTTTTGCCTTCTACTGCCACGTCGAACACCTATGTTGTCACCCCGGCCACATCTCGGCGGCTCCTTCCAACACCTCCGGCAATGCTAGGGTCGACAGTAGAGAATCTTCCGTCGTCTTACCCTCTTTACAGGCATCTCCACGACAAAGGCTGCTTCATGACCCCTGGTCTTCGATTCGGGTGCCAATACACTGTTTACCCTGGCGACCCTCTCCGATTCCATTCCCACTTCCTCGCTGTGGGCGCCGAGTGGGATGAAGAGATGGATCTCATGGATATTGTAGGCGGTGGTAGACTGGGAACTGGGGTGAAGAAGGGCTTCTTGCTGGGCGGAGCCAGTCCGTCGGGAGATGTAAGGACGTTTAGCGTTGAGTGGGCAGCGATGTAACACGGCCTGGGGCAAAACGCCTGTTGACTTCAGACACATCATATCGCGGGCCTGTGGTCTGTAAGTGATAGATATTAGTCGTTGGGGCCAATTTTGGTTCTTCATAAGTAGTCCATGGCCTTCCACTTGAACTTCCGGTTTGCCCTCTCGGCTGGCCGAAACTCGAACTGGTTCCCATGCAGTTCGAATACCAGTAGTCTCGTCCCCTTGGGTTTTCCGTTGGGTTTGTCGTCCTCTTGGTGAGAGTCACCTTTCCGAGTGTCGTTCTCACCCTCTGGCAGGGGGATGGCGTAGCGAAAGACCGCGTTCCTCTTTGGCAGCGTCTTGACCTCGTCCTTTGCCGTAACAACCACAAATGTGAACTTGGTGTCTCTCACCACGATCCCCTTGAGCCCAACTTTGCCGGCGTCCGAACAAGCGACCACCTCGAGTTCGGCGCCATGGAAGTCCGCGCTCGCCAGGAGAGAGCCGTGACTTTGCGCCGTCACCATCCTTCCCAGGCTGCTTTGCACAGTCTGCCCGTCCTTGACGTAGCCGAGGACCTCCAGCATGTACCCCTTCCACAACTCATGCAGGCCCTTGTAGATCTCGTACTTGACCTCCTCCTTCTTCAGCTTGAACACTCCCAGCTCCCTCTTCTCCTTGGCACTCAGCGGCTTCGGTTTGCGCTTGCGCAGGTAGTATTCCTTTTTGCGCAGGCGGATGCGGCGACGCAGGGCGCGCTTGTCCCGGTCTGCAGACGACGTGGGCTGCAGCAGGAGGGGCTTGTTCTTGACTTTCTCGGTGAAGATCCGCGAGGCTGTGTCGGGGGAGTGCGCGCGAGAGAGTAGCGTGTGCGCGAGGTGGGAGCTGGTGCCCGGTGGCACGGCGGAGCGTGGTGACGAGGTCATGATTGCTGAGAGGGAGAGGGAAGCGTCTTTGGCGACTCAACCGCCCAATAGGCAGAACTTGGAAATTCTAGAAACGAGGCATGAGCAGCATCGACGTGACCCAGCGCGACAGCTCGCACAGAGTGGCCGTCGGGATCGTCGTAAATTTTCTCCGAGTCGTGAGCCACGTGGCAGAGTACATACCGTTCGCGGGTCTCAATCTGGCGTGTCTGGCCAACCACGAGCCAACCCCATGTGCTGCGCGCTCACCAACTTAGCAAGGCACACATGATCCAGTCAAGACAGAGTACGAGGAACCGAAGATGATGATCTTTCTGAAACGAGCTCAATGTCCGCCTTGGTTCGAGACCCGCTCTGCGCTGCTTGAGACAGTGATGGAGCTTACCTAGCGCCACCAGCCGCCTCACTAAGGCCGGTGTAGATCTCTCGTCTGAGGATCAGCGTCTCTCAGCCCAGGTAGCTGGTGATCTACCTACTCCCTGAGAGATATTCGTTTCATCCTCTCATGTGGTTGTTGTTCTGTCAGCACAGCATCTGGACCTGGCGCTCTTTCACCATGAAGCTGAGTGGTTTTTATCCTGGCAACATCAGCAGCCGTGGGGCATGCCGCAAGAACCCGCTAGAAAGACACTGCCCGAGCATCAGCCTTATGGATTTTGTTCTTCAAGTGGTGCACCGCACGGAGTAGGGTCAGGGAACTGGAGCGCCTTCCTGAACCATGCAGCACCAATGGTCCCGCCGCAGTGGCAGTTATCCAGTGACGAACCAAAGGGCATCTCCATCGCACCATATTATGGTCCACTTGCAGCGAACGAGGCTGGATATCCTGCAGCGCTGATCACTGCCCAGGCAGAAACAAGACGTCTTAGCAAGTCCGTGAATATGACAAGCACATGATGAGACACCGAAGACGATACGAGTGCTGTGAGGCCAACTACCGAATTCAATCTCGGGCTCACCTATGCTGGAGCCTGGTGTTTCCTTTTCCTCATGCACCAGAGGGAAATGCACAAGATGCACCTGTCGCCGATCTGGCTGCTCTTCTGGATACTTAGCGTGATGATATGAAGCAACAAGCAGCTGATAACTCCAGGGGCACAAACAAAGAAAATACTGCTGACCGCCGCCGCTCCGACAGTGGTAACGCTGGCCACCCGGGCGCAGTGAAAGAGTATCAGTTTCCAGCGAGAGACCAATCAACTATCAATGGATGCTGCAGCCATTTTGCCGCTCTCATTTTAACTAGGCCAATACAGCTCGAAAGCGACACAATTCTTTGCGAAGAGTCGCAGACGGCTACTAACGCAGCAGACGTCCTTGTCCGGGAGGTCCGTTGATGAACAACAGCGCCTTTGCATATAAAATGTCACCACTCCGCCTGTCTCATACTAATACCTTGGTTTTAGCTCTCTACTTTCCAAGCACCCCATCCGGGTCAACGCTCTCTTTGCCTCGGATACTCAATTCCTTAAGCCCCTGAGTACTCACTCGCAAGTTCATTCGATACCTCTCCACTCTCGGCCTCTATGATGGCTTCAAACTCCGCCGCCCCGAAGTATGGATATATTGCCATGCTAGCTGAGAACGGCAAGCCCCCTGCCTTCGCTCCTTTGATACACGATTAACGTCTGCACCAGGGAACTTCGGCGAGATGTTCTGGAATGACAAAAAAAAAAAAGAAGAATGACGGTAGCGACCAGTCTGGCTGGTCTATGGACAACAACCCTGCAAGCGTAGTCGACCACGCAGACACACCAGAAACGGGAGAGCATGGGACTCCAGGAACGCCATTGGTGCAGGTTGAGAGGAAGGGCCAGGACGCTAAGGCGCCCAGTCCAGCCATTTCAAAGGGAAAAAATACAAATACATAAGGTGGACCAAGCAGAAGTCGAGGGTGCAGACAACTGCCACATGGCCGATCAAATTTCGCAGTAGGGGGCATGTAAACATGCTCTGGAAGCCCCAAATATCTCACTTGTGGTAGCCTAAGCCTGCCTGGATCCTCGCCGGGGTTGGTCCAGGAACCGTCTATAATTGAGGCAATAGCGTTCAGACCCAAAGCATGATCAGCCGCTCGGAGTCTGGCGAGAGAAAGGGACAAGAAGCAACAATGACCACTCGGTTCTTTTTCGGCTCGCTCGCTGATTCTTGCCATCTCCAAATAGACCCGCGGTAACCGACACTCAATAACCGACGCTGGGCGGATGAGCGAAGGGGAGAGGGGGTGACACGAGGCCTCGTGGACTTGAATAACTCGGCTAAATTCACCGTTGGCAAGCAGGTTATGATAGTGGGAGGGATACAATAGGTGTGGCCGTCAGGCTACCCAGGTATACAGAGCAAGGTAGACTGGCACTGGTTGCCGAAATGCTACCGAATACGGAGTGCGTTGCTAAGAGATGCAATTCATTACACTGTACCCCTGCTAGGTACTTGGGTATGACCAGGCTGAGCTCTCAAGGCACCACTGGCCGCGACAAATATGTCACTCAACCAAGCACCCGATAGGATTCCGAGTAAATGCGTCTGACACTAACCTATCCCTCGCCTCCTACACACAGGCTGCAATACTGTAGTTCTACCTGGGCGCCTAGGCCGTGTGGTGGAAGAAGCAGCAGTAGAGTTGGCACTGGGTGAGGCTCATGTCGGTCTCGAGGAGAAGGTGCTGACTCTTGACGGGGAGGAGGCAGATCTCGAAATTTGCCCCTATTTACAGTAGGTGTTTCCGTCTGAGCCTGACGTTGCGACGGGGCGCGACGACCAGACTAAAGTTCTCCCTCATGACTACTTGTAAGGTTTTCCCAGGGATTCGAACATCGCTTGTCCGCTTGCCCGCTCACCCGCTCCGTGCTTATTGGTGAGGCGCCTGGATTAGGAAATCTGGCACCACTCTGAAAGTGGGGGCATCAGTCGAACACAAAGCCGGGGTCTGAGTGGGCCCTCACGCTTAAGCTTCGACAATATCTATCCATCTTCCTTCTTGATATCAACATCCCATGAGCCAATGTCGATGCATGTTCTCCTCCCTCAGGAGGCGGTGGCCTCGAGCTAGCCAGCTTGACCCGGGTTGTAACCCTGGAATGGGCGCCTTCCACTACCAGTGCCGCGTGGCATCCTCGAATGCTTCTAATCGTCAGCTCTACGCAGCGCCCTGGATGGAGCAGAACAAGGGTAAGCCTCCGATGTGTGATCATGCGGAATGGCGTGGTGTGAGCGTTTAGTTGGGAGACAAGGTGCTCGAGAGGTCGATGCATCTGACTACTCCACCTCGACCGCACCCTCCTTGCCTTGTATATAGCTACATATATGAGCCTACTTGCCTCTCGAAATCCACCATCTTATCTTCAATCAAGTCAGTAAGGAAAGCTGCAAGGCATATTTTGCATCCGACAGCAAGACACTAAAGCTCAACACACCCTCGACCTCACAATATCCTCATGGCGTCAACTGCTTCGAGACCAATCCAGGGATATATCTCCATGATATCTGAGAACGGTGAGTCCCAGATTGTCAACAACTGTTCCATCGCTAAATCTTCTACCAGGAAACTTCGGTTCCTTCTTCTGGGAATTGAAGGCTGGAGAGCGGAAGATGCAGGACCAGGAGACTTGGTCTCTGCACAACAACGCCGGGAGTGACCTCGAAACACGAGACCGTGAAGAGCCCAGAGGCGAGGCCACGGTGACAGACAAGGACAAGCCAGCCGGGCAACCCAAGGCAGGAGAAAGAGTTCCGTGATGGACTCTCGCTGAGTGCTAGCATGTCCACATGTTTGTTCCAATGCATTTTCGCCGGATCCTTGTTTCGGCAGGAAAAGCGGTGTTTCTCAAAACGGGTATTTGATATCCGTATTCTTGTTCCAACGCTGGACTGGACAGGGCTGATGCCTACTCTCGTCGAGGGTGGCACTCATTGGTCATTGCGTCGCTTGCCTTGACCCAAGGGATAGATGTTTGGCTGTGTGGGTTGGAGGCCTTGCAAGCCGCGGGTCCGGGGGTTGATGAGGACACACCAATAGGACAACTCGGGGACTTCTAGCAGCCTCGTGATGAATCTGGAAAGTGGTAAAGGTGGACAGGCGGTGAGCGATATCTCTGGACCAATGGCTGAACCGGGGATATTTATTTCCTGAGCCTTTTTTTTTGCCACGTACACAACCAGCCAGTCACCGTGTCCCGACCTGCAAGGTCTTTGTAACGTAGGTGTATTCGAATGCTTGCAAAGTTGTGTTGCATTGAATCACCCGCACTTTCCCTCGCCACCCCCCGCCCCCTGGTCCCCGGGGGGCGCGCTCGCCTGGTCTGAATATACAGCCAAGGCTCCAGCCTCCCCGGGATGAAAGACGACCGTCAGAACCCGCTTCCCAGAACCGAAAAACCAGGGCCGGGAGGATTCTGTATCAACAAGAATCCACTTTGGGAACCCCACAGTTCGATCGCATCTGCGCTCCAAAGGCCCAGAACGTCCGTATCAAAGATCTGGAGATTTAAAAGACGCCTAGGCGGTGCGGACGACCTCTATAAGTTGCCTGTGTCGACTCTGAAAAGGTAAAGACAGCGCCTGGTCAAAGCCGGTACCCATCATGTTAGCGGATCAACGGATGAATCCGCCAAATACCCGAACTTTACTTTCGCTACATCAAGAGGTGCGTACCCGGCAGCACGCAACACACCGACCCGGAAAGCGGCAAATACGTTCTAGGGGGATGCGTGGAAGTAAGCAAGTAAAGCTACCAGCAAGTAAAGCTGTCAGCAAGTAAAGCTATCAGCAAGTAAAGCTACCAGCAAGTAAAGCTACCAAGAAGTACACACGAATTGTTAGCAATACCTCTACCGCCTCCTCTTCAGCAGCAGCATCGTTTCCAAGCTGCTGCAATAATGATGGCAGAGCATTTGGCCACAGTGGTCTCCGTCAACACTACAAGAAAAGGCTGCGCACATGCTTAGCGCCGACCTAGCTCAGTAGGTCAAGTATGTGGGTAGCTAGCAGGGGTAGAGCGAGGCCACATAGGGAATGTGATGGCGATCAATGGACCGCGAAACTTTGACAACTACTCCACCTCCTGCACTGTACCTGGATATCTAGCAAAACGGCCCAACCCTCAACACGTGTTCCGGACATGGGTCCCGTAGGGCGCCACCAGAGCAGGCCTCCAAAACACCGCGAAAGAACCCAGTCTCTGGAAAAGTCTCTGGAGATCATTTTTCATGTTGTTTGGGCATATCCGAGAGGCGCAGTCATTCCTTGGACATCTTCTCCAAAGGGGCTGTTGCGCATTCTTTTCCTGCTTTCTGCGTTTATTGTCGGACGTCCCATGCTACGACTACTTAGGTACTCGTGCGCTCATTTTTAAAACATGGCTTCATGCACATCACTTGTTCTGAAGCCCAGTACACGCGAGCACAGAAAGGACTGTCTACGAGCTAATCAGCCACCACTAGATCCATCCAGGCCGCCGATCGATCAATCATCCCATGTCACGCATCTACCCATGCAATGCGTCTAATACTCATGATGGAACGCACTCTCCTCCACCCCAGCCTTGCCTTCTCTCTCTCCGCCCTGTCACGCCTTGATCTCCTCCGCGATGCCAGTGGCTTCCTTGCCCGTCGCGGCCGCGGCCTCCTCGTCCGTCTCCGACGTGCTCTGGGGCATGCCCTCGATCACGATGGTGTGGTCGTGCTCCTCCCGGATGTGCTTGGGGATCGTCACCTCCTCCTCGGTGAAGTACTTGGTCTCGTCGATGTGGAAGAGCGCGAGGTAGCCCATCGCGATGACACCAGCAGTGTAGAACGCGAAGAGCGCGCCGGACTCCTTCAGGAACGGCACGCCCATGCTGTCGACGCCAAAGTCGATGGCTTCTCCCGCGGCCATGAATCCGCGGAAGACACCCTGAATTTTAGGAAAACGCGGTGTTAGTCGGCGTCTCTTGATATGATGAATGGGGGAGGAAACTCACAGCATTGTTGGCGGCGACTCGCGGGTTGTTCGTGAAGCAGCCCAAAAAGTACAGGATCATGTACTGGAACAGCGAGCACGACACCCAGTTCAGCATGAACAGCACAAAGATGGCCCCGAAGTCCGGATCGTTCCAGTCCAGAGGAGGCGAGGGAGGGTTGTTCCTGTCGTAGTTGCGGGTCCGGACCATCTCCCAGATGTAGGCGCCCATCACCGGGATGCCGGTGATGGCGAGACCAATCTGGGCTCTTGTTCGGCGGCGGACTGAAAGAATTCGAACAAAGATTAGCCACCCGGCTAGAAAGAAAAGCCATAATGGAGAAAAGTTTCTCTTCTTGACACACGAGGCTGAATTGAGGGGTTTCCACTTACGCTTTTCGTTGTCGAGGAGCAACGTCAAAGCCCATCCGCAGATGATTTGCAGCGTCACCGAGCAAAATCCCAGCAGACTGCGAGCTCGGAGGCTGTTGCGGAACGCGTTCGCGCTCCCGCCGTAGACGAGGAAGCATTCGCTGACCGCAAAGGCCGGGATCTTACATTTGAGTCAGTCCCCCATCATAGGGGTATCCTTGGAAACCGGGATATTTAACATACCATCACGATCATTCTCCAATCCTTGAAAGCTTCGAGATTGCCCTTGAGCTCTTGCCAGAAAGGACGGGCTTTGACCACGGCGATGTTCGTCCCGTCCTCTCTCACCACCTTCTCCGGCGGCCGCAACAGAAACGCTAACGCGCAACCAACAAAATCCATGACGATGAACACAATGTAGACCGCTGCAGGGACGCCGGCGCTAGTGGCCTGGTGTTCTATGTGTGAGTATCCCCGACATTGAAAGCGATGGGGCAAAACAGTACCTTGTCATGATTGATGATCAGAGGAATCAATCCGCCGATGGCAGCACCCGTGGCCTGAAGATTGATAGACGTTGCCACGAACTTTCCGCGTTCGTTTTCCTCCGAGTACGACATGGACAGGTACCCAGAAGTCACGTAGATGAGACCGGCAGAGATCTGGAACAACGCTTAGCAAATCCACAGCCCACCGGCACCCTTGGTTCAGTCTTCTTACACCAATCTGTGAATATTTTGTTAGCGATTATCGGTCATGGCAACGCTTGTGACAAGAATGGTGTCCCAAGACAAGCCCGCCTTTGCAAGGAGATGGAAACTTACGCAGACGGCTGCGATGATGGGGAAAGTCTCTTTGCCATGCTGGTCAAAGTACCACAAGCTTCCGACGTAGAGGATGTATCCGATGACACCGAACTGTTCGAGTGGTCGGTTAGAATATTTGCCCCCCCATCAACTTCCTGAAACAATCTGGGCCAGCGTACGAAAGCAGTCAAGGCAGGGCCAATTGTATTCAACACAGTCCCTCCAAACCAGGCTGAGACAGCATAGACGGCGCAAAGAGTGGCATTGGCAGTCTGGACGACCTGGAACGAGTTCGGTTTCCCACCTCCCGCACCCAAGAGGTTGAGGGCAGCATACAGTCCTCCAGTGAGACCGATGAGGATGCCTCCAATGAAGTTTTGCCTGCCCGACACGTCAGAAGCAAGGCTCAGGGTGTATCATGCTAAGGGGGATTCTCACCAGTATGGGCTATTGAGCCTAAGCTTCGGGATACCCAGACCGTAGGCCATGGTCCCTGTGTAATTGCCGTGGAAATCTGCAGCTGGTCAAAGGGCTCGGGACAGAGCTGAGTTTTGCAGGAATAAAAGACCAAGAGACCGCGAGGATCTCGCAGCAAAAGGGCTGCTTTATGTACGAGTCGCCTTGCATGATTCACGCTGATCACCTACCCAGGAACTTGGGCCCTCGAAGTTCGAGGCGAACCCGGTAGACCAGCGCCAGATACCCTAGTGTCCCTGCATAGAGCGAATCATGGACTCGGTCTAGCAGGGAAACACAGAGCCTGACACGGAGCAGATCGAGACCAGACGGAAGAGTCAAGGGTGGCGTATAGACGCACAAGCCGTGATCCGGGAGGCAACTGTCCAAGGTTTCCCCCTGTAATGACTTTCAGGTGTATACCTATTGTATCGAATCGACCAGGGAACGGAGCCTCTCTTGCCACAAGCGGCCATCTCGCCAAGGTGTTTTATTCGGGAAATCGGAAAGGCCATTCTTATCTCTCCTTCCTGATCGGTTTTCTGCGAATTGCGGACGATAATCAACGGATTCCGGTAATGGCAAACCCTGCATATGGAGAGGCACGCGGTGAAAGGATCTTCAACCGCAGCCGCATGTCAGTCCAGGCTCCACTCGTCGGGGAGGCATGCCTGTTTGCTAGAAAACCCTAGGTCTGTAGCTTAGAGAGGCCGAATCAGTTCAATTTGGCCGGCCCTATTAGGAGAATGGTGTTGTTAATCCTCGGGACGGAGCCCAGGCAGAGACTGTAGAGCACGTTGTACCTTGGTTGTTCAAATTGACGTGCGAGCATCCATCTCGTATCTGCATCTCCCTGGCTTCAAATCTGCTGTCGTTGCGCTAGGTCGGAGAACCGCGGCTCGAAATGCCCTCGCTTGCTCCTTTGAGATAACGGGAGGCTTGCATCTCTTGTGATGGGCGCGACTGAGTTTCGTTGTTGAGATTGTCCCGCCCGGGGAGTGGCCGGCTGGCGCGCTCGACGCCTATATCGACACGCCCAAGCCACTACGATAAGGGCTCATGATCGCGGGAAGTAGGGGAAAGCATCTGGAGACTTTGTGAAGCATAATCGTGGCTTATTTTATAGGGGCACACGAAGATTGAAGTCATGATAAAGAACAGAATGATGGATACTTCGTATACCAACAAGGAATGCCAAGATGGGGCCTCGACCGCACGTGGCGTTCGCAGCAACTGTCCGGGGCTGATTTCCCGGCGCCAGAAAGGCAGAGTTGTCCAAGGTTCCGGTTGCAAAGAAAGAATCTTATGAACAAGTACATTGGTAGTGAAAAGTAGCCGTTATGCAATGTTTCACATGTCTACGCCTCCGAACACCGTGGCGCCCGACAGCTCGCCATCCTTGAATTGCCTTGCCATTTCCTCGAGCGGCACCCATTGCACGCCCTCGTGGCTGTTGATGTACTCGATCATCTCTTCCTGCATCAGGATCACCTGCGCTTTGCCGGTCACTTGCGGGTGGCAGGTGATGGGGAAGATGAACGAGTCATATTCCCGATAGTAGAAGTCAAACTGCCGCTTCCACAACTTCAGCACGACGTCCGGGTCGACAAAACCCTGCCCGACAATCTGTCCCACGTTAAGGGGCGGCCAGTCATCCAGGTGCCAGTTGGCGGGGATTTCAATGATCTTGGAAGGCTGGAGCGCCGTCATGGGCTTCATCCAGTGGGCAGCCTTCATCTTGAGGTTGATTTCCGTGACACTGTTCCTGTGAGGGAGCCAATATGGTTGACAGTCGTGATGCATGAAGGAGTGGTCGTAGACGATCCCGGCCTCTTCGAGGATCTCGACCGTCTTCGCCGACGGTGTCCAAGCTGGAGCTGTCCAGCCTCGAGGCTTCTTACCCGTAAACTTCGTGATGACATCGATGCACTTGGTCAAAATGTCGCGCTCTTGCTCCTCGGAGAGATCCGAAACAAACTCATGGGTGTAGCCATGCATACCGCTTATAATCTGTCAGGTCATTCATTCCAGGTGAAGGAGCGAAAAGAGGTGTCTTGATTTCTTACATCTCATGACCGGCGTCGCGCACCTTGGCCAGTTGGGTTGGAAACGACTCGAGCGTATGGCACGGAGTAAAGAAGGTCGCCTTGATGTTGTACTTGTCGAAAAGCTTCAGGACCCGATCGAGGCCAACCGTGGCACCAAACACGCCGCGAGACATGTTGGTCCTGTCCGTGCAACACCCACCCTCTCGGGGCATCATCCAAGCACTCACGGCATCTACGTCGATACCGTAGCCACAAAGCACTTTCTTACCCATGGTTGAACGTTGTTGTTTCCAGCCTTGACGATAGGAACTGGTCTTTCGATGAAGGTCAGCGAGGAGGCTGGAGAGTATCTGGTCCAGATGCTTTAAATCGCCCGAGCAGGAGTAGACTCGTCGAACAGATATTAGTGTAGTCAAAAGCCCAACCGGGACGGACGAGCTATTTCTCTCCTTCCCAATCCGTCATCGTAGAAGCGCCTATCGACCTTCCGAGGGAAATGCATTCTGTCGGTTACGTGGTTAGTAGGGAAAGGCCCCTAAACTCTAATAAGACGGAATCCCTAGATACACCGGCTCAGATGATCGGGTTGGGCAGGCTTATCGAAGAACATGAACACTCTAACATTCTCGTTATCCGGTATCATCGACATGTGGAACAGAGTGGAAGGGATCGGGGGAAGTTCCCAATTAACCTCGGGACCAATATTGAAGTGCTCTATGCAGAACTCTTCGGTCGCCAAGGGGAGCTTTGTATTAGTTAGGAAGAGGGCGACGGATACCAAACTCCGGGAGAGTCGGTCGCTTATAGCCCACTCTCTTCCCGGTGCAAGGCAGTGAGCTAACTAGCTGCCCAGGGCGTTTCACTTGCCGGGGATATGTAAACACGCTCGTTCTCCGGCATCTCCCCAAGGAGCCCCAAGGCAATTCGGAGTCCGGGAGTATCGACCTTGAGCTAGGGCATCTGTAACACACCCGGGAATCTTTCCGATGCGCATCACTGCCTTGGAAACATAATTTACCAAGGAATCTTGAAAACCGTTGTGACATTCTATCCTCGCAAATGCACATTTGATTGTGCCATTTCTTCGGGCTTACAACAGCATAGTTCAACGGACGGAACAAGTGTTACAACAAACAACGTCTTCGACCTGATCGGAACCTGCGAAGTTAGAAACCACTTCCGTCAAACGACAGACACATTTTGCCCTTTACAACACCCTCGGACAGCCTATCAACGAATAGTCCGAGGATGATTTGAGGCACTGAGCAGGAAGGTCTCATTGTGTATTGTAATAGGGGGTCCGGCGATTGTTGGTACTTTGATGGTTCAAACCTCTCGGCCAGATGTATGGCAATGCTTGTCAGGACAGCGCTAACCCAGCCATCATCATCGGCCACTTCATCTGGTCCTGCCACACGGGCGACACCGTATCGTGGATTGCCTGGATCTCGCGCCTGGGGGTCTTCCCCACCCACCAAATCGACGGGAAGCGCGCCATCAGCGCAAAATAGTGCGCCAGAATCACGAGCGCACATGGGCGCTCCTCTTCCACCAACTCGATAAACGGCCGAGGGACGAAAATGGCAAAGGAGATGATCTTGCGAGCGACGATGTAGACAGGCTCGTCCTCGTCGACGGACTGGTACAGGTAGCCATTGTAGCTGAGCAACTTCTCTAACACCTCGAGCCTCGCTGGGTCGTAACCTGGATCTGGGTGCTGGCTTTTCTCATGCTCCAGCACTCTCGAGAAGGGTTGGATTTTTTCCTTGGCAAAGAGGACTTTGACATCGAACACTGGCGGAGCATTGATCAAGAGCATCATTTTCGAAGACGGGTCTTGTTTGAAAATGTCCTTCGCCAATTTCAGCACGGTTCCTGCCCCAGTCCCCAGGCGCTGGTATTCCATCGGTGGTGAGTAAGGTTCCAGTGGGCGCCTCCAGAGTCTGGCGACAGAGGTGATGAGGAGTAACATGGAGGCGAAACAGACCGCGTAGGCGTTCTCACTGCTCAGATTCGACACGACCTGGTGTTGCTCGCCCAGGGCGAGGCCTCGGTAGACCTCGGCCGCGGCGTTGAGTTCTGCATCTTCTGGTTGGGCGTGGAGCAGGTGGGATGCCGCACAGGAAAACATCATGTAGAGTAGATTGTCGTATTTCAAAGACAGGCGAGGGGCTTTGCAGACCAGGCTGTTACCAGGTTGGAGTTTGCAAGGTCTGGAAATGGCTTGATCAGATGCTCCGAGTAATGGTTCAGAAGTTGCAATTCGAGCAGTCGCCGCGACCTGGATTCAGGGATGTCCAAGATGTTATTGACGGCGTTGAGATTGGTAGGACTAAAGAACGAGGTTCGGCTGAGTTCATCGGTCAATTGGACAGAGGGGTCGACGTCGCCAAAATGATCTGTTTCTTCTGGTGGACTCGGTAACCGGCAAGTCTTTGGTATTTGTTGGACATTGACGCTCTACGCGAATGCGCAAGCCACTCCTCGACTTTCGCAATTCAGGCATGTTGGTCGCCTTTCGTCGCACTATGCTCGGTGTCAGCTGAATGGAACGACACATTCGGTGATCACTTTTCAATCCACGAGCGTCTTTTACCGGTTGCGTATATCCTACCTTGACTCGACGTGTCCGACAAGTTTGACATCCATTCCGAGATTTTCGGTGAAAGACTTTCGTTATGCGGCGAGGGGCTTGTAATTCGTTGTCCACGTCAAGATCCATAGTCGCTGTCCTAGCACGAGGGTGGATCTAAGACTGTAACACTCATGGGCCTTTTGCAAAATGGTTGTGTTGCACGTCTCTTTCCAAATGGATCTATCTAGGAGTGGTTGGATGAGAGATAAAGGCTGACATAGTACTATTGATCGCCTGGACGACGACAATGGTTAGCTACGGATAATTTGCCGGTTCTCCAGGGTCCCAAACCCTGAAAATCCTGGAGAAGGAGGCCTGAAATGCTGTATACTAGGCCAAACACCTATCCAAAGGTCGATTGGAACGGAACATGTCAAGCTGCATCTTGGCAGAAGTTGTTAATCTCACACCAGGATACGAGCAGGTGCCCATACACGTGCTCTTCGGCAATGCTAATTATAAGTCGTTGCTAGCACATCTACCTTCGACTTAGGCTGTCCAGCCCTTAAGTTTATGGTCGCGGGCTGCAAGCGCCGCCCCTTTTGACGCCGCTATGTACACCCATTGCTCCCTTCCTCCTTCTCGACTTCTATCAACTCTCTTCCACCTCCGTCGCATCCTACTTGAATCCCCGTCCCGACCGCTTAAGAACTCCTATCCTCAATTGTATATTTACTCTCCCCCGGCCCCTTCAAAATATACCTCGCTTCATCTATTACGCCCCGATCACCCTTCTGAAGCTAGGATTCTGCATCTTGGCTTGGTATTATATAATACAGATGACGGCACTGGGAATGGAGATTCCAGGGCCATAAGGGCCTAATAGCCTCTTAATTTTGACACGTAGCTAGCTACATGGTTTGGGCGGGGATTGGGGATTGAATCCGCGATATATCTCTCTCAAGGTAAGCCGCGTGAGCGATCAGATACCATGTCCAATAACTGATGACCACCCCCTGGACCTACAAAGCCCGTCGTAGCAAGTAGGCTGTGGACCAACATCAGCAAGTTCGGACTCGCCCAGCAGAGGACAAATCAGCTCGCCTATTTATGCCAACCGACTCACAAGCCCGAGATTCTCCATGTACTCGATAGTGTCGGCATCATCGACAACTGCCGCAGAAAGTCTTTTGGATTCTTCATTTGCTACCCAAGCAACGCAAACACCCTGAAGCCGCCTATCCGCCTCTCGGATCTATTGGCTCGACGTCACCATGGTGCTCGCTTGCCAACCCTCGAAGAACGCTTTCAGCTAGCTCAACATCTCTCCGCAGCGCTTTGCTCGTTCATGCTCGTCAATTGGTTGGTTCCACAAGAGCTTCACCTCCTCGAGCGTGGTTTTCGTGGAGATTAAAACAACAGGGCGGTTAACGATCGACGCACCCTACGTTGGAGGCTTCGATATAGCACGTCTGCATCGTCTCGACGAACCAACGCTAAATTAGAACCTCGACCAGCAAAGCTTGTACTTGCACCCCAGTCTCAGAGTTCCGGAGAGCTCGTCACGCCCTTCATACCATCGCAAGTACGAGATATGTAGCCTCGGAGTGTTGTTGGCAGAGATGGGGTTCTGGAATACCGTTCAAACCATATGCGGCAGAGACTCTCGACTATGGAGCCCAACTAAGTTCAAAGACGAGTTGATTCGGAAGTGTGAGATAGGCCTTGGATGCTGGATGGGCTGTAGATATCGGGATATCACTGTTCTATGTCTAAAAGTGTCGACCCAGGAGTCCGTCCTCAGCGAGTCGGTCACCGTTTTCTACCATGCCATTGTGTACGAGCTATTACAATGTTCAAGCTTCGATTGATCAAAGATCGATTCCCTCGCCGTAGATACAAGCTATTTGGCATCGAGGTATCATCAAACAGCTAAGTTATAACGTTACTGCAAGAGCACAGTGCACACAGTACATATGCCGACGCTGTGGACATCCGAGTGCAGTACGCGAACTCTCACACATCAACACTTGCAAGGCTTCACCTGGTGAAGGGACAACCCGGCATCCAGCAAGTCGAGAGTACTGCCTATATCGGCTCCTTCAAGGTATGCGAAGGAGGGTAAATCTTTTGACTTGATTTCATCTCGATTTCAAACCTGGAAAACTGCTTTCTATTCAGGCGTAGTCGAGCGCTACGCGGTACCCACGAAGCCGGCAAGCCAGAAAGGTCAGGCGAAAGACAGCCTCGCCGACAAGGCTGCCAAGAACCCAGGGGCCGCATAACTTCCAGAAAGGGAAGGGACTGCACCGATGTTGAGAGATTCGCGGATACGGCGAGTCTGTAACAGACTCCACAGGCTTATGCTAATGCAACAACATTCCACCATCCATACGGTAATTGCTTCCTGACACCATGACCGCATCATCGCTTGCCAAGAACAAATACAACTTTGCTACCTCCAGCGGTTCCACAGCTCTGCCTGTTATAGGGTCAGCGGGATCACCATACAGGACCGTCGTTGATGCTTACCAGCTGGAGTAGCTTTAAGCCGCTCCTCAAGGTTATCCCAAGCATGAATTAGAGGTGTGGCCACGAAACCAGGAGAGACTGCATTCACTCTGATTCGGTCTTTTGCGTATTCCTGGGCCGCAGTCACGGCTAAGGCGCGGACAGCAAATTTCGACATGCTGTAAGCACACAACTCGGGATATGCTGCTTCGCTGGCAAGGCTTGCTGTTATGATGATACTGCCGCCATTTCCCAGACTCTGCATCTTTGTGGCAGCATATTTGACTCCGAGAAACGCTGTAGTACTGTCAACTTATCTTGTCCGCAATCGAGACACAAGGGAGATCATGAACAGCGATGTGGCTCACTTACGTCCACGAGCATTGACCCGCATGTGCTGGTCGTATTCCTCCAAAGTCAACTTGGAGATTGGCGTTATCTTTCCGATTCCTGCATTCAGCACCGCAACGTCGAGTCCCCCAAGCTCCTGCGTACATTTCTCCACAAAAGCAATCACCGCACTCTCGTCCGCTGCATCGGCATAATGGAACCTATATGTACTTGGATCGAAGCTTTGCGACGACAGAAGAGAGCTCGCCGTCTCGATATTGCTTTCTGAGAAGTCCACTCCAAAAACCTTTGCGCCTTCGGACAGGAAAGTCTGGGTGACGGCCAGGCCGATGCCGCTGGCAGCCCCGGTCACCAGAGCAATCTTGCCCGCCAATCGATTTCCGTTTGCGACCATGACGAATAAAGTTGATGAGTACCGTTAAGCAGAGCATTAAAGGATATCTGGAGGGTTTACAAGTCGTCTCAAAAGGCCTTGAAGTTGCCAGTCGCCTTCGGTCCCTCGAGGCCGAGGTTCCGACACGACTTGCAGACACCGCTCACCGTCAGCGGGACATCGCCGCAGGGGGTTTCAAGGGCGCGAACGAATAGATTTCTGATCTTGTCAAAGGTTTTGGTGCCGATGGAGCCGAGACGCCAACCAGGTCTCGAACCTGGATCATCAAAGTGCTATGGCCGGAGATCGGTCGGTGGATAGCTCTCTCCTAACAGGATCTCCATCAACAGCAGCTAGAACCGCAACCATTGTAGCGAGCGATTCTACGCAAGGCGGCCTCGGAACTCGAGCTTGAAAGCTATATCTCTGCAATTTCTGGTATAGTTCGTTACTCGTCAAAGGTCACACAGCCTCACGGCTCTCTTTCCGCCTACGAGCTTGCTCGGCCTGGACCAGTCGTTCGTATCCACGACTTCGCCCGCCTTTCCCAACCCCATACCCCAGCTCGTTTAATATGAATACGTGTGTTTAGTTCCGCGGCAGACTGGTTCTCATTGATTGACTGACAGCACAGCAAAATCTTTCCTGCTCAATTCCTATAAGAGAACATCTCCCGCTAAAGCCCAAGGGCAAAGCCACCCTCTTCCTCTCTGCCCTATACTTGCATCACTTTGGGATCTGTCCATCTCTTCGAACAAGATCATACCCCCACAAAATGGAACGAAGGCTTTCGATATCCAGTGAGGCGGCTGCCCACCGTGAGATTGAAGAAACCTTGCACACTACACTCTACCCTGGCACGGAAGTCATGACTGACAGTAAGCCGATTCGTCCACAGAACACAGGTCAGAATGCCGCGCTGATTGCCCTTTTCTAGTTGGTGGACTCCACTTCAAGCACGCTGGAAAGAACGTACTCGTGCCGCAACCGTCCGATGATCCTTCTGATCCGCTCAATTGGAGCTTCGTATGGAAAATGGCTACCATGACCGGCATGATAATCACCACGTTTTCGTGGACCGTTGGCCCACTGGCCATCTCATCCCAAGTGCCATATTATATGGCGGAGTGGAACAGGTCACTCTCCGATGTCGTTCAGTTTGTGAGTTGAATACCTGCTTTGGTGAAGCAGGTGGGACGCTGACTTCCCCCGATCAGGTCGGCGTGAGCATCCTCGTGTTAGGATTTTCCAACATTATCTGGGTCCCGATCGGCCGTGCTTTCGGGCGGAGACCTATGGCCCTCCTCGCAAATCTCCTCAATGTGGCTTCGATGATTTGGCGGGCAGAAGCAAGGTCATACGGCTCATTCCTGGGTGCGTGCGTTCTCACCGGCATTGCTTGTGGACCATCCGAGACACTACCGGGAATGGTGAGGTTCTCAATGTCGAAAGAAAGGCGAGCAAGACCCTGACCGAGTTTCCAGTTGGTCGCGGACGTGATGTTCCTCCATCAACGCGGGCTTTACATGAGCCTATATCTGTGGGTCGCGTGGTCTGGCACGTTGGTGAGAAGATATCTCTTTGATTGGCAGGAGAGGGATACTAATAGTCATACACATAGCTTGGTCCTGTCCTTGCTGGGGTTATGTCGGACAAGTACGGTTGGAGAAGCTTCTGGTGGCTATGCGTGGCCATTGCTGTTTTTGCCACGGTATTTCAGGTCTTTCTCATGCCAGAAACGCGGTGGGGAGACCGCCACGTCGCAATTGTGCACGACCCGGTTGCTGAAGCCTCAGAAACCAATATCGGGGGGGACAAGAACGAAGCTAGATTTGAAGAGAATGTTCAGCAACCTCCCGAATCATCCGGCGCCAACGAGATCGTCGTCAAGCTCACAGGTAAGCCGAGCATGGCCCAATTCTCCCTCTGGGGAAAACTCGACAGGTCGAGCACCAAGGGCATTATTCCGGCCCTCATCATGCCGTTTCGACTGTTTACATACCCGATTGTGTTGTGGTCGAGCTTCGCCTTTGCCTGGGCTGCATCTATGCTTGTGATCATCAATGTCACGCAGTCACAGGCCTTTGCAGGACCGCCGTGGAACATGTCGGCGAGCGACGTCGGATACACAAACTTCGGAGCCCTCGTCGGAGTTGCGCTGTCTCTGGTCATTGCAGGGCCCCTGAGTGACTGGGTCTCCGCTTTCCTAACGCGACGAAACAAGGGCATCCGAGAGCCAGAGATGAGACTGGTGGCCTTGCTTCCCTTTGTAGTGAGCTGCTTGCTCGGCGGTGTGTTGGTCGCTGTCGGCTACCAACACCAATGGAGCTGGGAAGCCATCGTTATCGGCGGTTATGGCCTCCTCGGATTCGTCTTGCCCTCACTATCTGCCATCTCGTTGACCTATTCGGTGAGTCATCTCAAACTAGCCCATCTACAGCTCCTGTTAACGGTTTTTTCTCCTCCTCAACAGATCGATTCCTATAAACCGGTGGCTGGAGAGATTCTTGTCGGAGCCACAATGGTCAAAAATTTGTGGGCATATGGGATGACGAAATACTTCAACAACTGGATCGTCGAGGTTGGGTACATCAAGCCTATCATGTTCAATACCTCGCTTGCCATCTTCTTTTTCCTCCTGGCCGTCCCACTCTTCTTCATTGGCAAGAAGTTCAGAGGCTGGACTAGGAACAGCGCGGCCCATCGCGAAATCTGATATGGAGGGCGAGCACCGGGTTTATGCACAATGAAGAGTAGCGAAGAGGACTAAAGTGCTGAAAGTGCCATAAATAGGAACAGTGAAACACGACATGGGTGCAAATGTTATCACTTGAGCTTCTTTCTCTATGAGTACCAACATCCAGCTCCAGCGTTGTTGAAAGGAGTAAGTGATCATGTAGGAAGCGTCCTAGTTCCTCTTCTTCGGTGTTGACGTACATGACAGAGGTCATAAAGCTCTAGACCACACAAGAATGGATGCAACGAAGACGCCGTTAAGTCCAGCAAAGTGCAGTCTGTTTACAGATAATCTATGTTTCACGCCTATGATTCAAGTGCTCTGATAGCAACCATACCGTCTCTGAGCTGGCGTGCTTGTGTTAGGAGACCCCTAAATGGGCTTATCCTTGCCTACTATAGTGCCTCGTATTCGCTACTAGATAGCGAGATATTCCATATTTTTGCCGAAAGGCAAGGGATTGGGGCAATACTCCTGACAGCTTGCCACCGCAAATAGTAGGATTACTGGGTCCAACATGACCAAAGCTGAACATGAGGGTTCGGTCTCCAGACGACATATCCACTTTCAGTTGAAAGCAATTCCGCCATCCACGACCAAGCTCTTGAGGAGAAATCGTGTCAGCTAAAATGTAGCAGGGTGGTGGGTGCCGAATCAACCTACCTGTCCGGTGACCCAGTCCGAGTCAGGCCCGGCTAGGAAGCTCACCGCGTTGGCCACGTCCTCTGGCACGGAGACTCTCCCTAGCGTAGTCATCGACAATGCGAACGCGTCGATATACTTCTGGTCGTCCTTCTTCGGCGCGTTCATGTCTTGCAACTTGTCTTCCATGACCTGCAGACCGCGTGAGCATGGCACCTCCCAAGATCGCACAGAAGGACCAATCGATCACGCACCGACCACATCGGCGTCCCGACAATTCCTGGGGCATAGCAATTGACCTATACTCCTTGGTCAGTTGAAAGGCCTCGGCGTTCTCCAGAGAAATGTTCTCACGTTGATAGTTTTCTCGTGGTCCTTGGAGAGGGCACCTAACTCGACGGCAAAAGTCTATAAAGATTCTGCGTCAGAAAAAGAGTTGGTAGATGTATTCCGGCCCGCGAGGATTGTTACCTGCGTCAGACCTCTGACGGCCCACTTCGAAGCAGTGTACGCCGAGACCAGCGCCATGCCCTTGAACGCCGCGATACTCGACGCCGCCATGATTTTACCGCCTTTGCGCTGGTCCACCATCTTCTTCCCGGCGACCACGAAGCAGTTGAAGACTCCGGCAATGTTGACGTTGAGGATGCGCTGGACATGCTCCTCGGTCAGCTCGAAAATGCCGTCTGCGTGCGCGAGGCCGGCGTTGGCGACCATGACCTGCAAGTGTCCCAGCTTTTCGGTTGCCTTGTCGACGAGGTCCTGGACCTCGGCCCGTTTCGTCACGTCGGCGGCGATGCCGATCGCCTTGCCCCCGGACGCCTCGATCTCTTTCACCACTGCGTCGATCTGGGCCTGTTTGCTGGCGATGTCGTTGATCACCACGGCGAACCCGTCGCGGGAAAGGCGGCTGGCGATAGCACGGCCGAGCCCCTGGGAAGACCCTGTCACGACTGCCACGCCTTTAGTCATTTTCGAGTTTCTCCAAAGACTTGTTGATACGGCGATGACGTCTCCGAGACTGAGGCTTCCTAGCGAAGGCACTGGATGGGTATAAATACGAGCGTGTCGTCGGAAAAAAACTCGATCAGCCTAGCCGTCAGATTCAGGGCCAGGCACAATAAGTCTGGCTCAAACCCCTTGACCAGACTCGCGTTTAGTGTGAAGCATTTCTTCAAGAGCCACGACGTGCGGAGGCTCATATTTGCAATTGCCGTCCACGAGAGCCGTTGGTCAAGAGCTTCAGGCCAAGCCAGGGGAAGGGAATCTCGCAACGCTGCACCGAGATTCCGAGCCTTGTCCCAACGCACTAGTGCCAAATAGGCGGATTTACCCCGCATATAGTGTGGGTCGCGTGGGTTAAGTGGAGTCTGAGACCCGCTAGGCCCGCCAGGCGTACAGTACGTGAGCAGATTCGTTCCTAAGAGCTGCAAAGGTGCGGCCTGTTGCTACACGATCACTTGTACGACTTGCGGAAAGCCGTCCGTGTAAATGACAACAAGTTGTAGAGCGGTACTCCTCCGTCTGAATATGCCAACCCCCTTGGCTCCACTTCTCGAACCTCTTCGGCAGCCCAGGCTCCATACCACGGACCTGGTCCGCAGAGCCTGGAAGTCTGCAATCTCTCTTAGCACTAGCCAAGAAAGGGCCTAACGACAGCACTGAAAGGTCGCATGTCCGCGAGTCGGTGTATTTCGGAAATGCGGCGGCTTGGGCACCGGAGCACGACGATGAGGGCCGTCATCGCAAATGCCTGAGCCCTCATAATAAGAGAGTCCTTCAGAGCGTGTAGGCCTATTCTTTCGTGATCAAACAAGACTGACCTACTTTGTTCGCAATTCTCTTGCTCAGCAATATGGCGTCGGGATATTACGATGCCGTAGTCATTGGGGCCGGTATGGGCGGCATCTACCAAGCCCACCGCCTCCTCAACCTGGGACTCACAGTGAGAGTATTTGATCGGGCCGGTGGCCCAGGGGGAACATGGTACTGGAACCGCTATCCCGGGGCGATGAGTGACACACATTCCCTGCTATACCGGTATTCCTGGGACAAGGAAGACCTGCAGACCTATCCCTGGTCAGACAACTATCTCGACTCCGGGGACATTCTGACCTACCTGAACCACGTCGTCGACCGTCACGACTTGCGGAAATACATGCAATTTCACACCGAGGTCCGGTCCATGAGGTGGAACGACGACATCTACACGTGGACCATCGAAACGAGCGCCGGTGTTTTCACCGCCCGGTACGTGGTCACAGCGGTCGGGCTCCTCAGCGAGCCCAACTGGCCGAGCATCGCCGGACTGGAACGCTTCAAAGGAGAGCTGTACCACACCGCCCGGTGGCCCGAGAGCTACGACTTTAGCGACAAAAGAGTCGGGGTGATCGGAAACGGCTCGACGGGGGTCCAGCTGATCACGACGATCGCGCCGACGGTCGGCTCGTTGATCTGCTTCCAGCGACACCCCCAGTACAGCGTGCCCGCCGGCCGGAAAGCCGTGTCGAAGGAGGAACGGGATCTCATCAACCAGACGTACGACGACATCTGGGCGCGGGCGTGCCAGACCGTCAGCGGCGGCGGGATTGACGAGGCCAAGATCAAGACCACCGACGTGTCGAGCGAGGAGAGGGGGCGGATCTACCAGGAGCTGTGGGACCAGGGCAGCGGGATCCGGTTCCTGATGGGCTCGTTCACCGACATCACGACGGACGAGGGCGCCAACAAGACGGCGTGCGACTTCATCAAGGCCAAGATCGCGCAGACGGTGCAGGACCCCGAGAAGCGCAGGAAACTGACGCCCAAGGAGCTGTACGCGCGCCGGCCCATCTGCGACACCGGGTACTACGAACAATTCAACCGAGAGAACGTCGACGTCGTCGACATCAAGGAGAACCCGATCGCCGAGGTGACCGGCACGGGCATCAAGCTGGCCGACGGCACGTGCCATGCCCTCGACGTCCTGATCTGCGCGACCGGCTTCAACGCCTTCGACGGCGCGTACCGGCGCATCCGCATCGAGGGCCGCGGCGGCCTCACGCTCAACGACCACTGGAAGGACGGCCCGCGCACCAACATGGGCGTCGCGGCCGCCGGCTTCCCGAACCTGTTCATGATCCTCGGGCCCAAGTCGCCGCTGGCCAACGTGCCACCCATGATCGAGGCGCACGTCGACTTCATCACGGCGGCCGTCACGCGGGTCGAGGAGCGGTGCCAGCTCGCCCGGACGGCCATGGAGTCGACCGCGCAGGGCGAGGAGGAGTGGGGCGCCCTGTGCGACGCCATCAGCGACAAGATGCTCTTCCGCAAAATCGACTCGTACTTCTACGGCGCCAACGTCGAGGGCAAGTTGCGCTCGACGCTGATCTTCTTTGGCGGCCTGGCCATGTTCTCACAGAAGCTGCAGGACTGCGTGGACCACGGGTATCCTTCTTTCAACTTTCTTTAGATAGTCGCCGCAATGAGAGTAATACGTATGAATTTGACATAATTCCTTGCAGAACTGCACTTGCTCGGTTCCTCGGACAAGTGTAGTTGGTGCTAGAGTATCTAAAAACGCGCAGATCTCCAAATACGAAGACCCCTCGCTGATGCATGTGACCCACTGGTCGGTCAGAGTACGTTCCAGACGCTCCTCGAGAAATTGTGTGCCGCTTGAAACGTCGGAAGCGCGCCCACAACCTGTGATGGCGTTTGTTCGAACCCTGTCGGCTCGATGGCTTGAAAGAGGTCGGAAAGCTCCGAGCTGAGTAACGTGGCATCCACGGCATGGTCTCCAGCGAATAGGCCGGGATCACCGTAGGGAATGGAGCTTGGAAAGCCGTTCATCGCACACACATTGAGTGCCTCCTCTGTGAGATGCGTGTTGTTGGTATGCTCGAGGTATCTGTCGGCGCTGTTGTTCAACTGAGGTTGAGCGACTTGCACCTGTCTCGACTGGTCTTGCTGAGTGTCCATATAAGGAAGAATGCCCGTCTCAGGGCCAATGATCTTGAGATGCTTGATGATCTTCCACAACTTCCTAGCCACACTTGACTTTGCCGACACTCCTCCAATCAGGTCAAGAGCCACGTGAAACTCTTCGCGACAGTACTCATGGAACTGGGCCTGCGCGCGATAAGCGGCAAGTAAGATCACGGTCAGCGCGGAATAGAGGAAGTAGTTGAAACAGACCGGGTGGGAGCTGTAGATGTCAGAAGTGTTGCGCAGCTGGTCCAGCAGGGTAATGGTGTCTTTGGCCAAATCAACAGCAGTTTTGGCGCTTTGCGGATCCGCCTTGATGGAGGCCGTGGTGAAGAGCGCTCCTCTATGGATCAACATGCGGAGCTGGTTCCTCCGTAGATAGTGCAGAACTCTTAGTCGGTTGCGAGCAGGAGACAGGGTCTTGAGAGCAAGTTCCTGGCCAGGCTCGATCCGAAGTTCGGAGTCAAGCGAACTATACCATTGCTGCACCTGGTATGTGAGGAAAGCCATATCTTCTTTGGTTCCGAATTGGCGAAGGTGACTCGCTCCCGACGAGGCTTTCAGTATCTGCGATCCGATCCTCGAATAGGCTATCATGCTCGTGAATAGATACGGATGTGGATCATGCTGGAGTCACGGTTAGAACACAGAAGCTCCAAGACGAGGCAACCCACCGGTTCTGGAAGACTTGGGTCAATATCAGCCTCTTGGAGCGCAAACGGAAGTCCTGTGCCGAGGCTCCAGCGTTTATCCAGACAATAGATGCACCAAAACAGTCGGTTTGCACGTTCCCGCTCCCTTGTGCTCTGGAAGGTGCTGAATGGGGGGTCGTGAAGATGCAAGCCTAGCTCCAAGGCAATTCTCGCGGCGAGGCCGATAGTTCTCCAGGCAAGGACTTCCTCTTCCCGATAAAACTGGTAAAGGCTCTTGTGCTTTCTCAGTGGCGATTCCTTGATGTGGAAGAGGCTAGGGACATACCATGAGGGTCAGAATCTCCGCGAAAGGTATGTCGACGGAAACTCCAGACGGGCGGTGGTCAATCTCGGCTTCCAGCTCGTCCACCAATGCAGAGGCCAGGTCAGTTGTACCACCGCCTTCAATCACCAAACCGATTGCAAGCACGATTTCCAGAGTATGGAGTGATCCTTTCGAGGATTGGTCAACCTGGAAGGTGCGCCAGGTGGCAGGTTCCCGCGACGCATTGGCACTGGCGTAGAAATTGGCAGCGAAGTACCGGAGATGGCCAATGTCAATGAGGGGATACACGGATCCGCATTCATCCTCGTAGACATCGATCAAACGCAAGGCCTCTGCCTGTGAGATCGCCAGGAGAGGGTGGCATGTGACGGCAAGTCCACCCAGAGCAGATGATGCTTGTTTGGTGGGCACACTTGTGTGACCAACGGACAAATCGTCCGTCACATCGACAGTGCCGTGTGAGCAAGCCGAATCGTCTGAACCACGTAGCTTCCGCACGTCCCTCGGCAACTGACCTACTAGAAACTGTGACGCCGGTGCCGGCGAGGGTAGAGTTCGATTCGAGCGAGGCGAGCATATCGAAGCCGATCCCAAAAGGGGCCGGGGTTTGTCCCCTTGCTCGGAAAACCCGTCTCGCGCCACCAGGATGCTGACCTGTTCTGAAAGCCATCCGAGCTTCTCATTGATCATTTCGATGTCCCTGTGCCATGTCAGGGACATGCTCTGCTGCCAGAAATATATCGACTTACGACGAACGCTCGGTTGGGACAGAGACGTTCTTCGTGGGATAGAGGCACTGGACCTCGTAGCGATCACAATGAAGGCAGGGAGTTTCTCCGTTGCACTTGACTTTCCTGCGTTTACACTCTTTGCTAGAATTCAGTTCGTTACCATGATAGAAGCAGTATCGACGACCGGACAGATGCGACATACCATGCCCTTGCAGCATACCTAGGCCGCTTAAAGCGCTCTTTGCGGCTAGAGTCGCTCGACATCTCTGTTGCCCGAGGAGTCGGCGGCGTGTTCGGGGGTAATTGTTCGCTTCGTTTTTTTAGTATTGATGGCTACTATCAAGTTATCCGGAGTGTCTGTTCGTTGGAAAGATGTTTGAGAAGATACAAGTTACCGAACAAAGATTTAGGCAGGTGGTCTGGACATGCCTGGGGAGATAGCTTCCCACATTCCCCAGCAATGGTGTGGGGTATCTGGAGAAATCGACGCTAGGCATGTTACCAGGAGGCGAGGAGGCAAATTCTCAAAATTCCGCGAATTCCGTGCAAGGGACAACAGGGGAATGACTACGGACACCCAATGTTCGGCTATCAATTTCGGATATGCTGTCCTCGGCCTTGGTATCAGCTGGCTGCGGCCGGAACATAGTGTTTATCCGATGCCTCTGTAAGTCGTATAGTATTCAGAAAATACAACTTATATTTGCCAACCTCCCACCTCGCCGACACGAAGACTTAACATGAAGGATCAAACTGACGCTCACTTTCTGCTGAAATTGTCACCGTCGAAAATTATGGCTTGGCTTTCATCTATCGTGTATTGTTATTGCATCCCCGGTGTACCACGGACCAGCAGTCAAACGTGACTTGGGAGTCTCGCAATCCATTACTTTTGGACGAGAATCTCTCCATTCAGCATCGCCAGGCTAGCATCGTCTCTTTTCGCCCACTCCTCCCAAGCCGCGGCCATTTGTTCAAAATCATCTTCAGAACCCAGGCCGAACTTGAGGGCTTTCGCGCGCATAGAACCTCCTCTGAGCTGATCGCACAGGCCCTGGGCTAGAAGAACAACACAGCCATTAGAGGCCCATAATCGGCAGGCCAGGAGAAAGCAGAGGTGGAATCATGAAATGTACTTACAGCAGATTTTCCTCCTGCTCGGTGTATCGTATGACGATGGACTATAGCTGAGCGTGATCTGGCTCGGTTCGGCGCCGGCCTTGAGTGCCCAAGAAACCAGCTGTCGGCCTGCAGTTGGCGTGCCCCCGCCGGCGCTCATCAGGCCTGCCATGAGCTTGTGGAACTTGGACAGGTAGGGGAGGTCGGGCCAGACGCATTCGGTCTCGTAGTCGCCCTCGCGGGCCGCGACGATGCCGCCTCGCTTGGTGACTCGGAGCATTTCACGCAGCGCGTCCCACGGGGTGCCAATGTGGATCAGCACCTGATGGCAGCAGGTGACGTCGAACGTCTCGTCGGCAAAGGGCAGTTTGTACACGCTGCCCTGCTGAAAGTCGATGTTTTCGACGCCGGCCATCTCAGCGACGGCTCGCGCCCGTGGCAAGATGTCTGGGTTGAGGTCGACGCCGGTAACGTGGCCGTCGGGGATGAGCTGTGCGAAACTCACAGAGATGGTGCCTGAGCCGGCGCCTACGTCCAGGAGCGTCAGATGGGGGTTGGCTTCCTTCATGGACTGCACCTTGGGCAGCAAATAGGCAGCGCTATTCTCGGCAGTCCGCACTTCGTGAAGGGTGGATTGAGCGGGCGGACGACCTGGCTTCTCGCTGGGAGCCTGGCCTTGCTCCATTGCTGTTGCTGAAGAGCGGGTTCAAACAAGGGTGGACACCTAAGTTGACTCGGCGATTTTCTCATAACTTGGAGTTTGCAACTGCTCGCATATGAAGTCTCATAGCGCCTATTTCTGCGTGTCCAGCGAGATAAGTATCCCAGTGGGTGGCCTTAGAAGGACTCGGACTATCCGCCCTTCGTCCAATTGGTAGTTGATTTCTTGGCATATTCGGCATACCTACCTAAACAGTTTAACCATTGCGTTGTGTATAGCTAAGCTTAGTTAAAAGCACCCTTATTAGCAACACAGTCTAGTTAAAGAGGCCCCTAGAATAGGTGCCTGTATCAACCACACCTGGCCAAGTCAGCCTTCAGTATCTACTTCGATCCGATGACGGCGAGGAACGAGAACCATAGGACTCCGAGGTAGAGCTCGAGAAGCTGTAGCTTGCGGAACCCGATTCGCGACGCTTTCTTCGCATCGGACGCCTTCGGCCAGAGCGTCTCCAACATTTGAACACGCAAAGCCAGGGCAGGAACGTGGTAACGGCTCTCCACCACCAAGTCCGCCCATCTAACGCGGGATCAACTGGCCCATGCATGGCTTCTGTGTTCCGACGCTCCGGTTTCACATCCGGGAACAGAAACATCATGAGCAGTTTGAAGGGCAAACCTAACAACCCCACTTTCCAGAGGACCCTAAGAAGGGTACAGCCGCCGATGACAAGCGGGATGAATTGACCAGCAGTGGCGATGAATGTCTGGACACGATCGCCCGTGACGTGATTGATCTTGAGAGTCATCTCTATCGACGCGATGGCAAAGACAAGCCACACACCCGTCAAACCGGCGATTGACATCCTAGTCCATTTTGGCCTGTGATGGTTCCGGTTAGCAGAGAAAATCACTGATAAGGATGAACATGTGAAAGGAAGAGGGCAGAAACTCACAGATTCAGAGGCCAAGGCTCCGCCTTTGCGATCTTTTCTCGCAGCTTCCAGCTGAAGGGCTCACGGCAGTCCTTCCAGTTGCTGTCACTCATGTCCCGCAGGAGCTTCAGAAGAGCAAGACTGGCGGCAAGGAACATGGTGAAATAAAAGGCACCACAGATGCAAGAAAAGGCCAGGAACAGATTTCGGATGCCGGCGCCCGCGATGGGGACCTCGACGAGAATCCACAACTTCAGCCCGCCGCATTGTTCCCTCGTGTTGCACTGGGGCAGCTTGTCAGTCATGCCGACACTCCAGAACCAAATGCCATACGCGCATATCGCGTTCACGAGGATCAGGCGGAAATGTGTGCCCCAGCCGCCGAAGTGCTTGCGGTTTGCGGGCTTCGTCCTGTATCCCCACAGGGTCATGACGCTGAGCAGGTAACCGAACGACAGGAGCAGGAGGATCAGCGCGTCGATGACTCGGATGTTACCCGACGTGGAGTACGTGGCGACGACGACGGCGATGGCGAACAAAAAGCTGGCGTTGGTGTCAAGCGATTGACAGATCTCTCGTGCGTCGAGCAGGAAGCTGTTGCTGACCCAAGAGGCGAACCACGATGCATAGATGCCGATTCTGACCCCTAGTCCATAGAAATCTCCGTCACCAACAATGCTGCACTGATCAGCAGGACCAGTCGCGTTGTTGCATCTTGAAATTATGTCAGACTGGATACTGACTCCGAGAGATGGGGTTGGGAGGACGAAGAGCGTCAACAGGCACAGCAGACACACACCAGGGACCGCCATCTCGGCATTGCCAGGAGCTGAACAGCTCCATGAGGGAGGCTCGAAGACCACTTGCTTTTTGATGCTGGGGTTCGTATTCTGGAAACCTCCGAGGGGGAGCGTGCGGCTGAATCACGCGGCTCTAGTTGACGAATCAGTAGAGACAACAGTGAATAAGGTTACGAGCGCAAGCGAAGAACGGCTTTGCCAATACGAAGGTCAGCAGCCTCATGAGCATCCCGCGTTTGAGAAGAAGCTAGATGCTCTGCAGTCTTCTTGTGATATATGGATATATACCCAACTGGCCAAGTGGCTACAGAGACCACCCGCACCAAGGCCTCACAATCGACTATACATATATACGGAGTACAACTCACCTGATCCTCGTACAGCAACCATTATTAACTATGCTCGCCCGTGCCGTCTGGTTTTCCGAGCACTGAGCCTTATTCTTTGCCCCGAGAAACGCCTGTTGAATCCCAGGTTTGCGCCCCTCAAGAGCCAGCGGGTTCTGTTCCAAGTCCCATACTCTCTGGCCCGTCTCGATCGTGTCTATGTCGTCCGGCCATCAAAATCCCAAACTCTGAATCCAACTCTTCAATGCGCAGCTGCGAATTTGAGACATTCCAGCAAAGCTCTCTGCTACGTCCTCAATAGATGCAATCAGACCGTCAACGCCCATGATTTATGCTGCGACGCAACGAATTATAGTACTTGCTGTCGGGTTCTGTAGTGCCCCGACACTCTGCAGAAGGAGTCTTGAACAAGGTCAAATGGCCGCAATACCGGAAAACCCATACATCTGCGTGTTGTTATGCATGACATGGCCAGGAGCGGGAGGGACGTAGTTTCCTTGATACGGCGGATTCTGGGCCGAAAAATCGGCATTTTGGTACAATGGGTTGACGATGCCGCTGGGGTATTTTGCACGCGGAGGCGTTGCGTTTGGTGTATTTGAAGCAGCTGAAGGCCTCGAAGGTGCATAATACGTAGACGCTGAACTCATGGTGTCGTAGTCTTGAACAACACTAGTCCAACCCCATTTCTCCCTGAGTTCATCGTGGATCGAGTCGACGCGCCAACCCGTTTCCTTTTTGATTCGGTCGAAAATCTGCAGCACCTCTTCCTGTTCCCGTCTGACAGTGAGGTTTTCGCCAGCCACTGCCAGACAGCGAATGGAGGCTGAAGCCACTCCACGGTCCTTGACATGGGCCACAATCCCGCAGATCTGCCTCGAATGGTGGATCCTCATGTCCTGCATCTCCTCTGCTTTCTGAGGGTGCATGCTGGCCAAAGGGTGAACCGAACCCAGCAGCGCCATGGCAGTATGATAGAACAGCCTCGCGACGATGGTAGCCCTCTTGATGAACCACAGTTCAGGGAACGCACTTTTCGATGCCGTCATCTGAGGCGGAACATATGCGAGAGGATGCATTGTGGGCGGAACGCACTCATGCCAACGGTCACAGAAAAACTTGAGGCCTAGCCACTGTTTGTTTCGCTGGTGCAAGCGCACCTGTTCGGCATGGACACTGCTGTCGTTGTATCGTCGCTGAGCCTCTGATCTGAAATTGGTAATCTTTGATAGTATCCACAACATCCTGTGTGCCCAGTCTTCTTCGTGTCCGGGAACAAGCTGAGGGGTCATGGCGATGTCAATACCCCAGGTGTCGGGGTCCCAAGCAACGGCCCAATTGAAATGCAGGCAGCTAAACAACTCTAGTCCGACATTCAGCCAGAAACAGGCCGCCCCAATGCCCGTTGAGGTGGCATCCCATCGACACTCCTTGATGAGGGCCCGGGCGCCGGCGATGTGGTTCATCCGTTGCAGAGCTTTCTCAGACATGACTTCGTAGACGTTGAGGATGGTGGCTGTGGTGGCGCACAATACGCTATCTCGGTCAGGATTCTGTAGCGCTTTCAGTAGAAGTTGCGTTGCACTGTTGTAGTAGTTCAAGGCATGCTCTTCTGGGTAGATCGGGTTGACCAAGGTGAGGTGTCGAACACCGCAGGCCAGCAAGGCATATTTCAGCATGGGTTCCTTGAGTGCTTGGAAGGGTATCAGACGAGAGAAATGCTTCTCCGCGTCCATCGAGTCCATCCACAAGCCCACCTCTTCCACATATACCTGCATGTACAGAACCTCGTTCCGGTCTTCTAGGCGAGGGGAGCCTTGTTCTTGTTCGACAGGGGTAAGCATAGCGTGCTGGTGGTAAGATTGTCTCAATGCTTGGGCTGCTTCTGGATAAGCTCCCATGGCATTCGTGGTGTCGTCATAAGCTTGTGTAGTGGGGTTGGCATACATAGCTTGTGCTGACTCGGCATAGGAGTGAGGGTAGGGCTGTTGAGCTGGAAGCTGTTGATGAGCTATGGTTGGAGCTGCTATCTGAGCATAGTCGTAAGTCACTCCCGACACGTCCAACTTCTGCCGCTTGGGCTCTGGTTCAAGAGGATGGTACCTCTCCCGACCGCCTTGATACTCGGAAGCAATGTCGCGCGAGTCATCTTGGAAAGAGACTTTCCAATCGCGGGTCCGCGGGATCAAGTACGGGGGCTGTTGGCAATGGACGTCGATGAAGTTCAGGCGGACGCCGCGCTTGCATTTTCGGTTAGATTTGAGGCAATTCTGACAGTTTGGTACGGCTTCGTCGCACTTGAGGTGGCGTTCGCGACAGGTCAAACATCCGGTCCTCACCCGTTTCTGTTTCGCCGACTGGACGGGGTCCGACTTGGGTTGTGGAGGAGCCTCGAGCTCCGTCATGGAGCGGGGGCTGTTTTGGAGGGTCTGAGAGGAGGGCGTCGATTTCGTCGACGAGTCTGGGGTCATGGAATACTGGTGTTGAGCCGTCACATCTGCGGTCGCGTATGGCGGAGTCAGTAGCGTGTAAGCGGAAGGAAAGGTTTTTCCGGGGACCTGCCCTGGAGACAGTTGCGTTGTCTGCAATGACAGGGGATGGTAGTTCGCCCTGAGAAAGGAGATGCCGGTGAGAGACCGTATATCTGCAGCTTCCAACGCGCCGGAAGCCACAGAGGGCAGATGGGAGGAACAGTAGTTATTCGCCAGCTTGAACCGTTTGCCCAGCGGTCATTGCCCGGTGTCGGTGTCGGTGTCGGTATCGGTGTCGACCCTTGCTGCCAACGTGGGGTATCGAGGTCCGGGGCGCGAGATCTTATGGCGGGTGTTGAGTTGTATTGCGATGATGTGTTTGTGTCTTGTGTTGTGCGAGATGGTCTGTGGACTGGAGTGAAGTGATCTGGGTGGTCGGCAAAATCAGTATGTGAAACGTCAACAACATGGGAAACTTGAGACTCGCGGAGCATGAGATTTGCCGGACCATGGACGTCGCTTGCACCTGTACGGGTTCTCTGGAGGCGGCGCAGATTGTATACAAGCACCCTCTTCTCCCTCCAGAAGCAGCCTTCTTGTCCTTGCTCTTTTGCGACCAATGACGCCATGCAGGGGCCATCCAGCACGCGTCGCTCATCTCTCACTTTCGCCTCACTCTGGATCAACGAGATGGAACATACCTGGAGCAGCCAACAACTGGTCTAGAGGAAAATGGAAGGGTAGGACAGGTCAAAGAAAGCACCTTTGGGCAACTGGGATATGTTCCGTTGCTTCTATAGGAAGAGTGGCAGCAGTCGTGATAGTAGTGGTGGTGGGAGTGGTGGTGGTGATAGTGGGGGGAGCGGACATGGGGGCAATTAAAGAAAGAAGAGGCGCAGGTCCAGACGTTTGATGGACGCAGGTGCGAGTCGAACGAGACGCGAGACGTTTGCTGAAGGAATGAATGGAAATGCTGCTTGGTGCTGCCGTGGCCGTTGGTGGTGATGGTGATGGCGCTGGTGGTGCAGATGCTGGTGCTGGTGCCGGTGCTGGTGCTGCTGGCGCTGGGGGGTCATTTCGCTAGCCTGATTCCGGGAGTTTGGCACGCTGACAATTTAGGTTGTGGCTCTACATATTCTTCCTTTTTGCTTTTTTTTCTCGCCTGTTTTTCTGGTGTCGTTTCGCAAAAAGAGAACGCAGAAACCTTCGCAGACGCCCATGCAGATGCAGCAAATAATTGCTGGGATGCTGGATCAGCTTAACTGAGACTCCGCCCTCGAAGATACGGAGAAGGCGATGCGGCCTGCCGACGTGATTGGGCGGGAGCTGCGGCTTCAGCAGGGATCAGCCATGGGCCATAGCACCCTGGGCCCTGTCGCTCGTTAGCTTAGGCTAGCCCTGTTGCCCTCCGAGCAGTCGACCAGGGGGGGAGGGCTGGGCACGCTGGGCTAGGTGTGGCTTCCAGGCTAGTGGCCGAGTGGGTTAGCTGGGTTAAGCTGCGCTCACCAGGCTAAGGCGTCGAGGCTGCCGGGGGAGGCCGACAGCATCGAGTTGGGAAGTGGAGACGTCTTGGGACGCCCGCGGAGCCTAGAGCCCACCCAGGCACCTACAGGCTACGACTCGTCGAGGGCTCCCCCAGAGGAGCCTACTGCCCCTCAGTCATTTTTTCAGGTCGCCAGGGCTCCTCGTTTCAGGCGTCATGGGCGGCCACTGCCCTGGAGATCTTTCCACCACAGGGGCTGATGCAGCTCTACTCAATGCCCAGCTGCCCCAGCCTGGAGTCCATTGACAGCTGAACAGGCACCGTGTCAGCAATTGTTGGCCTCAGAGTTTGACAATGATCAGGGCAGATCGGGGTTTCTGGGTGATCGCCATGGGTGATTTGTGTTTCTGTTGGTTTCTGGCTTGGCTGCCAGCTAGGGGGTGAAGGGAAGTGATTGACAAACCTGACGGCGAACGACTGACCACCACCACCGCCTCCTCCTCCGACTGGTATAGCAAGCCATGGCTTGCCCCATTCATCGTCAATTAAACAACAATATCATCATCATCCATCCTCCTCATCCTCACCCTCGTCAACGACATCATCCCATCGTGAACCTCCGCCTCCACCTCCACCTCCTCCACTTCCTCCTACTCGTTACCGCTCACCGAGATCTCGCCCTCACTCAAAGATGCGCTCCTCGTTCCATCCGTTGAATCCGGCCGACTGTTCTCGACCACGGCGTCGCCTGACGTCGTGTGAAGCTCCTTTGGGAGGAATGCGTGGTACCTCCTTTGGGGGTTGCCCTCATCTGTCGAGGCCCAACTCGGCGAATACACCCCTGCCTCTCGGGCTTCATTCGCTTCCTTTGCTGTTTTCATCCCACAACCCCGGCCACCGTCTCCGAGGTCAAGAGTCAATCAGCCTATTGTTTCTCGCATCGCTTCCGCTCGCTGCAGCTTCCTCACTCCCCCGAGATCGGTTTGTTGCTTGCTGCCAATCTGCAGGCGCTTCCCTGGCTTCCAGCTTGTTCCTTCGAACTCTCGACATAAACCGTTATCCAGATTAGTCCTCGTGTCTCGCTACAACCCATTGTTAGGTGCTGCCCCCTCCAAGAAACTCTAACCCTCAGCACCTCCTCGGCGGCCCGGGGATGTTGTCCCCTTGCCCTGTTATCCCACTGGCCCTCCCCCACCCTCCCTCCCCCCTCCCACCTGAACAACCCCTGTGTGCCCCTCCTTGGGCCTTTTGCTGACCAAATACGAATCCCCCAAGGGCCTGGAGTCTCGATTCATGTGCTGTGGCTTTATAGTTGCCTATTTCGGTCCCTCGTCTGCATATATCTTCCTCTCTGGGCGACCTCTCCGGCTGACCCTACCCTCGGGGTGCCCGAACAAGCACCCCCTTGGCACCGCTGCATCCCTCACGCGTTTCGCCCGGACTGCCTCAGCCGAAAGTGAACTTCGCTTCGAGATGATTGCTGGCCCGATCGAGACTAATTGTGGCTGGTGAGGCTTGCTTCCACGTGGCAATAGTGCACCCATAGTCGGTTCTCATGCGAGTGATGTGGCTCAGTCTCCCGCTGGCTGAAGTGAGACGCTGAGCCTGACTCTCTGGCCCCCTTCGCCACTTCTGAAACCTTGCGACGCACGCCGCACGAAATAACTAGTCTGACGCCCAAAAATATAAGGTACGTGGCCCATTCCGTCAGCCTTAAAACCATACGGTTTAGGGGTAGTATAGAATTTCCAGTAGCTACAGGCGAACATGTTCTTGTCAGACTCTACCCTTGTTTCTTTCCTTCAGGCGAACCTTTTGCTCGCGTGAGTCTCGCCATGTCGGATGGAATACGGGCCAGTTTCAGCACAACCCCCTCGTGCAGCAGCTCAAACTCTGTCGCTTCCAGGCGACTCAGTCCTTGCAGGTGGCATGTTCTGCCGGTCCCCGTCCCCCTTCGCTTCTAGAACGAATCGCCTCATGCATGCCAACAACCCCCGACAAGGTTCCTGCACGACTTCCCACCCGTCTTCGTAGCGTGATCGTGGCCAGAAAAACGTGGCAGCCTCAACCAGACCGCCGGGTCCCATCGCATCAACATCCCAGGAACGTTTGATTTCTCCCACGCGGCCTGTAGGAGCCCAGAGACCAGGGGCCTGACCGTCCCGGGTGATTGTTTTTTGTGGACTCCAGGCTTTTGCGACGCCCTTTACGTGAAGCCAGGTGATTACCCAGTGGGTTCTGGCGAACTTGTTGATACCGCATGCTGGCATGCTTTGCTCTAGCCTGCCAATATCACCCGTAGGGTAGATGCGCTGAAAAAAGGGTCTTGGGACCGCGCCGCCGCTCGGCGCGCAACTTGATACCTAAATCGCCTTTGCAGCTGAAAACCCATGTTCCGAGCGAACACGGGTCACTCCGTAGTATATCCGAAATCCGCAGCGACTTCGCCCGAAGTTCTGCTCGTAAAGCATTCGCTGCTCATTGGACGCCGAAAAGCTCGAGCAATCCAACCAACCTCACCCGCTCACCCTCGTATCCCTAGTCGAAATGACACGGACCTGACCTCACCCGTCGGTCCCACATCGCGACACTTTTATTTTCTACAAATATATATTTGATCCTCCAATTTTTCAACCAAATATCCCACAGATATGCACGCCTGCTTGGCTAAGTGGTACAGCGTCTCACTCGTAGATTTTGGATCTAGCCAATGAGAAGATCGATGGTTCGATTCCATCAGTAGGCATAGAAGTATTTTTGATATTTTTTTGGATGTGTTTGTGATGTTTTTGTGGTGAGAAATGTGATTTTGATGGTGGTGGTGGTGGTGTTGGGAGAAATTTTGGATTTCCTTTTTGGGTATGAGACTGAGACTGACCAATGGCAAAATTAAAAAGTGGGCGTGTCTGACTAAGCCAAAATTATCCACTAAATTAAAATAAGTTAAGGGTGGGTACTTTCTGAAATGCAACCACTCAGAAGTATGGAGAGATAATTGCAACCAGTGGATATTCATTCATCACAAGAGGTATCGCAGCACTCGGGACAGTGGCTCATTCTTTTCGCAATTGTACAGACTCATCTGCGGGCAAGGGTGGCCACTTTGCCCGTTGCTGAGGCCCCATCTGAAGAATGGGAGATGGCGGGCATTCACATGTCAGACTGCACACATTTTGCGAATTCCCTTGGCGAGCCGCAGTCTGACAAAGGGCACATAGTGTTCACCTATACAGTGACGAGCAAAAATCCAAAAAATCAGCAAGTGTGCCGAGGGTGGACGACAATTGAACGCCGCAATAACATTTTGCCTTTTAAACCACAACCAGGCCTTTAAATAGTTATTTATAGATATTGTAGTATAGTCCTTTGAATTCTCTATCGATTGATACCAGTCTCGTGGCGTAATTCGTACTCCTCGTGGAGATCTCAATGCCCATATATTTGACCTTTTCGCTATATATCGAGAGATTCCCGGCCACCTATCGACGACTACTACTAGATATAGAACTATCAAATCTACTAGGAAATAGCGTAGGATAGGTAGTAGAGGCCCTAGGTGGCCGGGAATCTCTCGATATATAGCGAAAAGGTCAAATATATGGGCATTGAGATCTCCACGAGGAGTACGAATTACGCCACGAGACTGGTATCAATCGATAGAGAATTCAAAGGACTATACTACAATATCTATAAATAACTATTTAAAGGCCTGGTTGTGGTTTAAAAGGCAAAATGTTATTGCGGCGTTCAATTGTCGTCCACCCTCGGCACACTTGCTGATTTTTTGGATTTTTGCTCGTCACTGTATCCAGATCGCTCGGTGAATGCTCAATGACAACTCAGTAGCCGCTGTGCTGGATACTGCAAAGGGATAGATACAGTCCTCCAGCGCTCCGTCTTCAAAGAATATAACTTCCATTGGCACCGTCGGCGGCCTTCGACTGAACAGCCAACAACCTCCCAGGGTGTTGCCAAGGAGCATATTCTAGTCAGACCATGCAAATTTACCTCTCATCATCAAGCTGTTCTTCACCCACATTGCACCTTCCTCCTAGTGATTCGATGCAGCGGCCTTCCTCCTCTGAAACGCGGCACCTATGTTGATATGAACCTGAACCTCGCATCGGCCCAAACATGCCAACCTAAACGATACCACGCGAGGCACCATGGAAGCTGGCCCTGCAGTCCCAGCCTACATCCTGCGAGGGCATGAAGTGGCCATTCACGCCCTTCACTTCTACGCCAGCAACGCGCTACTTGCCTCCGGAGACAGCGACGGGTGGATGGTCATATGGAGTCTCTCGTCCAAACGACCCGTGGCTGTGTGGAAGGCTCATGAGGCGGGAATTCTGCAAATCAAGCATTGGACAGCGAATAGACTTGTCAGGTAAGCGGGCATATCAAACGCCGCACTCGATGATCTCCGTTATATAAAACACCTACTGAGACGAGAGGTGCGGCATCACAAAGCCACGGAAGAGATCATAAACTCCGCGTCTGGCAACTTCGACCGGAAGATCTCGCAGGTCTACGCACGAAATTGCCTGCTGACTCGGATGGCTCAGCAGCAGCAGCAGCAGCATCATCATCACCATCATCAGAGCATCCGCAACCATGGCTACTTCATTCCATGTCAGTCAACGCCCTCAATTTCTGCGCCTTCTCCATGTGCGATCAGGATCCCCGACAACCTGGATGCGAGGACGCCGTCCCTCAGCTCATTGCCTCGCCCAACGGCCTCGACTCGGGAGGTATGGACATCTTCCAGCTTCCATCGGAGAGACGGGTGTCGCAGATCCGATCGGACAAGAACAACTCGATGGGAATGGTAATGGCTGTGTGCCTCTTCCACCAGACGACCGACACAGCATCACCACTCGTCCTCGTCTCGGGCTACGAGGACGGACGAATCACGATCCACGTACACCCAGGGGATCTGACCAGCCCAGGATCGGCTGGGTGGCAGAAAGTCGCCAGCTGCAAAGCCCACGCGCAACCCATCCTGTCGCTCGCCATCCTCCCTTCCACGACGCACTTCTTCACGTCCAGCGCCGACTCCGTGGTCTCCAAATTCCGCGTGCCTTCCCTCGCCGATGTCCAAGGAAAGGACCTGGAAAGCGAAAAGGCCATCAATACGAAACACTCGGGCCAGCAGGGCCTCAGCGTGCGCTCCGACGGCAAGATCTTCGCCACTGCGGGCTGGGACGGGCGCGTGCGCGTGTACTCGTGCAAGACGGTCAAGGAATTGGCGGTGCTGAAGTGGCACAAAGTAGGATGCTATTCCACGGCGTTCGCGACCATCGATCCTATTGAAACTCCCAATGTTGGTGGCACGGATGATGTTCTTTCTTCTTCATCTGCTACTAATGCTGCCGGAGAGGGCGCAGTATTATCGAGCATTACTGCCACAAAAGCCCTCACAAAACCTATGAATGCAGTCGACATGATAAAGCAACAACGGGAAGAAAAGGCTCGACGGACACATTGGCTAGCCGCTGGCGGCAAAGACGGCAAAATTTCATTGTGGGATATCTACTGACAGCACTTTTTCCGGCCACGCACATTCCCGCTGTTCGAATATGCTCACGCTGCGCTTCATTGCTTCGGTACTTAGATTTTTGCTCCTTCCAAATCGCCAGCCTGTTCCTCTGGCTTGGGCTCTTCCGATTTTCCCTGAGCGACCTTCCGAATGCTCAGTTGCGGCACCTTGCGAAACTTCCCAGGGTTCGCAGCATGCTGTCTGAGGTGCTTTCGCTCTTTCCGATTTATGCGGGGTTCTAGAATCACGTTGTCGATGAGTCTGACGCTGCGCTGATTCAGTTCCTCTTGTGTTTTGGGCTTGTCGACGGGCGAGACGATCATCGCGGCGCTGACGACGGCGCCGATGCGTGGATTGACTTTTTTGTCGTCCATAATGGTTCCCATTGTATCCGGATCGCTCATTGCAATATAGTCGATCTCGATGCGACCGCTCGAACCCTCTCGGCCATCGCTTCGAACTCTTGTGGCATCCTCCTCAAAGACGTTGAATGCGGCTCGGCGCAGACGCCTCACGTCCAACACTCCGGCGTTGTAAAGATCACGCGTCGCAAAAAGCGCCCTGGATAACACCGTAGCATCCTCCCTTCGCCGGTTACCGAGATAGACATTCCGACTGCTCATGGCCAATCCATCCGGTTCTCTTTCCGTTGGCACGACGCGGACTTCGGTGGGAATATGGAAATCCTTTACCATACGCTTGATGAGTATTGATTGTTGGATATCTTTCTGACCAAAATAGACGCGGTCAGCTTGGACGATGTTGAACAGTTTTGTGCAGACTGTCGCCACGCCACGGAAAAATATCGGGCGCGATGCTCCCTCGAGTTGAGACCCAAGGGGTGTGATGGTGACAAAGGAGCCAGGGCCGGCGATGTCTGAAGTGGGTGGGAGTGTAGGATACATGGTCTTGACAGTGGGCGCAAAGACACCCCGTATCGCTCCAGGTCTTTGCGATTGGCCTACAGTCATGATGTGTTCCTGTTGGAGCTTTTTCAACTTTTCCATGTCTTCGTTCCAGGTGACCGGGTAGGAATCGAGATCCTCATGGGCGGCAAACTGGGTGGGGTTGACGAAAATAGAAATGAAGACGTCGGTATTCTCTTGAAGAGCGTGGCGTACGAGGGAGAGGTGACCTTCGTGTAGAGCCCCCATAGTTGGGACGAAGCCCACAGTGCGTCCTTGAAGGAGGAGCTTCCTGCGCACAGCGCGTAGTTGGTTGACGTGTCGGAAGACAGGAAAGGGAGAGGAAGGCGGACTGGAAGTGGAGTTCCATCGAGCTCTGTGTGAGAATTGCAGAGTCGCCAAGGGAGAGATTCGTCGCTGCCATGGTTTGTTCGTCGCCGTCCAAGGTCGGAACCCGGCCAACCTCAATGCGAGTCTATCCATAGCTGCCAGCTCGAGCGGGGGAGGAGTGGGTGAGAGGTAGATGAAACGAAGTTGGAGTCCTAGGTCGCAAAAACAACAACCTCATTTTGGCACTCTTGGGCTCACCGTCACTTGAGGGTGAGTCAAGGTGCTCATGATACAAAGTGCAGCGTAGAAGTGAAGCGTCGAAGTGAATCGAGGTCCGGAGTCGCTTGACCGACGCCGAAACGAGGCTAAACGAGGCCAGCCAATCGGAGAAGGCCTTTCTCCGCCTTCTGTCGGCCACAGAAAAAAAGTTCGAGATCTGCGGGTTTGCATTCTCTAGACAAACACCGATGACAATGGCCGACGATGGCATGTTCCTGAACTTCTCCGTCGACGAGAGCCTTGCCTCTGCCGGTGCCAGCAACACCCAGAAGTTCAAAGGCGGGTCGTGGAGGGACCGTCTGAGGGCGAAGAGGTCGACTCAGAGAGGGCAAAGAGGCGGGGACCAGAAGAGAAGACATGATGCAAACACAGTCCCTATATCGCAGGGCCGCTTTGAGGGCCGAACGAAGCCCCACACACACGGAGATCAGTCTGATGAATTTCCAGACGCTCGGCCGGTCAAGAGGAGGCGTGAAAATGGCCATGTGACAGATTCGGCACAAGTTCAACAGCCCGCGCAGAGACGAGGTAATGAGCAGAGACCTACAGCTGGCCCTCGCGAAGTCATCTCTTCACTCTTCACCTACAACCCCAAGCCATCGACCGCTGTGGAAGAACCCAAGGAGGACAAGGGAGAAGAGAAGCCAACGGCGCCGTCTAACGCCCCTCTGATCGATGGCATCGACACCTTTACATCCCTCGGCCTTTCCCCTACCATAGCTACGCACCTCTTGACCAAGATGAACCTCAAAAACCCCACAGCGATCCAGAAGGCGGCGGTCTCGCAAATGTTGAAGGACGACAGCGACGCATTCATACAGTCGGAGACCGGCTCCGGCAAGACTCTCGCATATCTACTCCCTCTTGTGCAGCGAATCATGACCATGTCGGAACAAGTCGCAGAGAAACATCAAAATTACACACAAGATCCGTTGATGTTACATCGCGACTCTGGTCTATTCGCCATAATCCTCGCCCCGACCCGCGAGCTTTGCAAGCAGATCTCTGTCGTTCTCGAACGCTTGCTTGGTTGCGCGCACTATATCGTGGCCGGCCACGTAATAGGCGGTGAAAAGAAGAAGTCGGAGAAAGCCCGCATGCGAAAGGGTCTTAATGTTTTGGTGGCGACGCCTGGTCGATTGGTTGATCATCTGGAGAATACAAAGGCGCTGGACGTGAGTAACGTTCGCTGGCTTGTTCTCGATGAAGGGGATCGATTGATGGATCTGGGATTTGAAGAGGACATAACGAAGATCGTGAAGACTTTGGATCAGAAGAAGAGGCCGAGGGGGAGCAGTAAATGGCCGGGTCTGCCTGAAAAGCGAACTACAGTGCTGTGTTCGGCGACGTTGAAGATGAACGTACAGAAGCTGGGAGAAATTAGTCTGAAAGATGCCGTTCTGATCAAAGGTGACCCCGGAGACGACGATGCGCTAGGACAGCGAAAGGAGGCTGGCGACGCTTTGGCGAGTGACAACGGCACGAGGGATTCCACCTTTCTCGCTCCAGCCCAGCTGAAGCAGTCCTATATCGTTGCAGCAGCAAAATTGAGGTTCGTCACACTCACAGCGCTCCTGAAGCGGACTTTCGCACGAAAGGGGTCAGTCATGAAGGCCATTGTCTTCGTCTCCTGCGCGGATTCCGTCGAATTCCATTTCAAAGCATTCACGACGGCATTTGAAGGCGAAGATTCTTCAGAGAACAAGGAGCCAGGACGTGACAATGCTGAGACGGACTCTGAAACCGAAGACCTTGGAGCTGGCAAACCCTCGCCAACATCATCCCGCGACCCATCCGTTACCGACTCAATCTTACCCTCTCCAATCCTCTCGTCCTCCCACAACCAGGTCACACTGTACAAACTACATGGATCTCTGCCTCAAATCACCCGCACTAACATTGTCAAAGCCTTTGCCGCCACGACTGCACCATCTCTGCTGGTCGCCACGGACGTGGCCTCCCGTGGCCTTGACCTGCCCAACCTCGATCTTGTGATTGAATATGATCCGGCATTCAGCGCCGAAGACCATCTGCATCGGATCGGACGTACCGCTCGTCTGGGACGGGATGGCAGGGCAATCATTTTCCTCCTCCCAGGTAAGGAAGAAGGCTACGTCTCAGTGCTGAAAAGCTCATACAAGACGGGACCCGATACCGTGGCGAACGTCTCCTCCATGTCCGCCGACGAAGTGCTCAAAAGGGGATTTGCACCGCTCAGCGGCGTCATTCCGACCAAGAATAAGAACCACAAGAACGAGAAGGGTGCAGATTGGCAATCTCGCGCGACGGACCGTCAACTCTCGCTCGAGCGCTTCATCTTGTCCTCCCCCCAAAACAAAGACCTGGCGAAAAGGGCCTTCCAAAGCCACGTTAGGGCTTACGCGACGCACATCGCCAGCGAGAGAAAGTGGTTCGATATCAAGGAGCTGCACCTAGGTCACCTTTGTAAGAGCTTCGGCTTGAGAGAGACGCCTAGCGGGATGGGGGTCGGCAGAAACAACAAGAAGGCCGGGTCGAAGAGGGGGCGGAGCGCGAGTGACGGAGGCGGTATGCGTCATGGTGACGGCGACGGGGAGAGGAACGGCGAAAGGCCAAGGACACGAGATGCCGATGCTGCTATAGACAACACCGGTGATGCTGATGAGGCGGCACGGAAAATGAGGGAGAAGATTCGAATGAACAGGAAGATGATGATGGGAGGGACTGCGGATGAGTTTAATATCGCTTGAATGTGTCAAAAAGTTGTTGATTTGGTCAAATATCTCGTTCCCGTTTCCGCTCCATATGCCCCGGGTTCTGTTATGCCCGATTTCTTTCCTCAACTGCCCCTTCTCGTTCACTACGTATTTGCCTTTGTTATGGAACAGTCTCGACTTCCAGATAGAAGTATGGATCGTTCGTCAATGCATCTGTTGGGACATAACAGCGCACAAGAAGCCAACCGGCCGGCAGCTGTCGGCATACAAACCCGATGTCCAGAGCCGCAATGGACCTACGGATTCAGGAGAAGTCGCCGCGACCAGGCAGACTGGGGAGCTAGGTGTGAAAAGTGAACACCTGTGTGTCAGTTACCTTTCCTTTATTCCTTGGTTCGATCGCCCACCTCGCATCTGTCGAGAGGATTAGGATCAATCCTGATCTGCGCCGTAGATAGTTATGCTCCAGCAGCCAGATGGCTTGAGGCGAGGTTTGCCGGACAAGGTCACGAGCGATAATGCAATGGATTGTAGCGATAAGGAGTTAAAGCTCACTCTGTTGTAAGCCGGCCAAGGGGGCAAGCCATCGCCTCAAGGGCCGAATAAGGTCGGGCTTTGACGTCGATAAGAGGGATGGATGAGTTTGTGGGATTTAAAGCCCGTGCCTTCACAGGGCTCGAGACTGAGTCTGACGCCGTAAGTACTCCGTTTGAACAGAACAGTGTGTAGAAGAGCAGTATCATGCACAACATTGGAAGTGGGATTGATCGGCTGGGTTATCAAGGGCAAGGGAGTAGCTGAGAGAATAATGGTTGTTGGGTAGGGCTGTCAATGAGCCACCTCGGCAGAAGATGCATCAAGGACACAGATGCCCACCTCACCATGCCGTACTCGTAGGCGACAGAAGAAAGGTGCAGTAGTCACAGGGAGTGGTGACATGATGATGAGGCTGGAGATGGTGCGGGGCAAGGCTGATGCGATAAGGCTGCAGGTACCAAGGCGGTGACAGGAGGCAGAATTCGCCGCAACTCATCTATTTGTTTTGCTCTGCTCTCGCCTGACAAAATCCACGGTCGCACCGACGCAAACGTTATAGGACTGCATTTATCGAGTAGTAACTTCAAGATGTCGAGTAGGTACCTCACCGCGCCCTTGTTGATGTCTTGCTTATATCGTTACAGGTCAATTCCCCATCTCCGACCCCCCAGCCGACGCAATTTCAGCCCTTCGATTTTCACCCCATGCAGACTCTCAGCGCTTCGCGGTTGCCTCGTGGGACAAGCACGCCTACGTGTACGAAGTGACCGATGGCAAAACATGTACCCAGATTGCCAAATTCGAGCACCGCGCGCCCGTCCTTGATGTATGTTTTGGCAACAGTGACAATGAAATCTACACGGCATGTTTGGATTGGGATGTGAGGAGGTGCGAATAGAATTAGACCTGACATTTGGAACATCAGGGTTGACCATACTTTGCAGAATCGATGTGCCCTCCGGGACGCAGACTGTCTTGAGCACTCACGACAATGGAGTCCGATCGGTCGTCTACAGCAAGGAGTATTCACTGGTGGTGTCCGCTGCATGGGACTCAACGGTCCACATCCATCCCGGTGGAGATGCAGGGTGGTCAACCGCCACCATCAATCTGCCGTCGAAGCCATTCTCCCTGGCCGTGTCACCCTCAAAGTTGGTGGTCGCCATGGCCAACCGTGCAGTCCACATATACGAGCTGAAGACACTAGCGAGCGAATGCAGAAGTTCCGCGAATTCATTACAGAACAGACTCGACATCGAGCCGTGGCAGAGAAGGGAGAGCAGTTTGAAATTTATGACGAGGGCAGTGGACTGTATGCCCAATGACGAAGGTTATGCCTCCTCAAGTATCGAAGGCCGCGTTGCAGTGGAGTGGTTTGATCCGTCAAACGATTCGCAGGCTCGTAAGTACGCATTCAAATGTCATCGGCAGCCAATCGATGATGTGGATGTTGTCTACCCAGTCAATGCCATTGCGTTTCATCCTATCCATGGCACGTTTGCGACGGGCGGCGGGGATGGAGTGGTGGCTATTTGGGATGCAGTTGCGAAACGAAGGATTCGGATCTATCCAAAGCTCGCCTCGAGTGTCGCTGCTCTCTCTTTCAGTTCGAATGGGAAATATTTGGCCACCGCAATCAGCCCGGGATTTGAAGACGGCAAGGACGAAGTTACGGAAGGGTCTGTCGGGATTTTCATTCGCGAGCTCGGCGAGAATGAGGTCAAGAGAAAGGCAAAATGAGTTTGATGCAGGCCAAGTACACCTGGGACGACATTCATGATATGCCTCCGTTACCGACCAAGTCTATTAAGTTGCGGCACCCACAACGATGGGGTCAGAGCTATGCACAGGGACTAACGGTGGGTATTTGGCAATGATGGAGTCCCGCTTATGTCGAGCTGCTCGCACCGACACAGTGCCGTCGGCCATGCCGAAATAGCAAGCAACCGGTCTCTGGCCGCCAATTACACCAGCTGCCTCGGCCTCGGGACCGGTAGGACCACAGAAAAGGCCCACGGCAAGCACACCGTTGATGTCCTTGATAGCTCGAGCGAGCTGTTCCACCTCCCAGTATCCATTTTCACCATCGCCCGGTCTTTCTGGTGTGAGGTCTTCGGCGATCAGGAGTGGATTAGGGAAAGGAGCGTCGACGATGAAGAAGTCTTGGTCCGTCTTGACAGGGCCCGCTTTCGCGAGATGGCCTTCTCTGATCATCGGACCTACGCCTGCTGCATTGCGACTACCGAGCATTCGAAGCCTCTTCATGACCTGCCGGGCGGCTTTTGGTTCGACCTCTATGGGAATCGTAGGCCATTTAGTGACTAGACGGCGCTGGAGCTTGCGGTAGTCTACTGCTGGTTAACAAGGCTGCCCTCCACAGGGGCGAGGGGACCACCATACCGGCGACACAAACAAACTGTTTTGACCTCATAGCCACCAGCTTCTCCTGGTACAAACACGCACCTCCACCCTTGATGCAGTTCAGCTCCTCGTCCACCTCATCTGCTCCGTCGAAATTGATGTCAATCATGACATCGTCCGGCAGAGCATCGAACTCAATTGGCACCAAACCCGCGTTTATGATAAGTTGTTTGGACTGGTATCCTGTTGGCACAAAGCCGACCCTTGAGACGTCCACGCCGCAGGTTTTGATCGCTTCCACCACGTAGACGATGGTTGTTCCGGAGCCGATGCCCACGAAGCGCGGGTTCGGGGGGAAGTGGTTCTTCACAGCTTCGAGAGCGGCCGCCTTTTTGGCAGCTTCGATCTCGGCCATGTTTCCTTTCGCGAGGATGCGAGTTCGGTGGAAGTAATTTTTCTGGGAGATACGAATGGTTGTAGGGTAATGGAGCCGGGCAACACAAGGAGGTCTATCGCGCAGTATAAGGGGAAAGGCTCTAGCTTGTCTATCTGCGAGAAATCAGCTGAATAAATACAAGATGCAAGATACGACGGTTAGGGAGGGGCTCGGAGTCACTCACAGATTGCGATCATAAAAAATCAGGGTGTCCTTGAAGAGCATAAATCGCAAATGTCTAGCTGGATTACGTACGCAACAACTGATGACTTATCTCGACAGAGACATTGCCGCCGTCGCCGCAATTGGAGTAGAAACCGAAATCCTGAATGATCAAAGATGTTGGAGTGAAGCTTCGCCCAGTGAAGAAGCAGGTTGAGGGACAACACCGTGGGGACCTGGTATGGTGGGGGAAGATCTCATAGCAAGGCGCTCAACCACGCATGAGCCACACTAACTAACTACCTACTAGTACACTAGCCACACCACCTAGAGCAGTTCCGGTGACGTCGATCGGATGAGTTTCCCCGAAGATTGGCCAGGATTTCCCCTCGGGCGCAGGCAGTTCGTGCCTGTTCTCGCGCAGGTACGGGCATCTTTGATCGCTGACATCTGTGACGAACCGCAGCCAACCTTTCGGGGATGTCGAGCTCTGCTGTCACAGCCAACCCACCGCAAGCATGACGGAGATCGCACCGCGCGAGGTCACTCCGCCTCCCCTCCAAGCCCCCACGGCCAAAGAACGGAAATACGACCGTCAATTGAGATTATGGGCTGCCGCAGGGCAACGCGCCTTGGAAGAATCCCACGTCCTCTTGATTGTGGGAGACGATGACTTTGGTTCCAATAGCAGTGTTGCTGGTGCTGAAGCTCTAAAGAACCTCATCCTACCGAGTGTCGGCAGCTTCACAATTGCAGACTCCGCAACCGTCACCGAAAAAGATCTGGGAATCAACTTCTTCCTCGAGTCGGACAGTCTTCACAAATCAAGAGCGGACGAGATGAGACGGTTGCTGCAAGAGTTGAATCCCGATGTGACCGGCCACGCTATTTCAGCTCCCTTGACAGAATGGCTCCCTGTGCAAGACTCCCTCAAGCCGTACAATCTGATCCTCCTCTGCGCTCCAGTGTCCCGGGAACCGCTCGAGAGGATATGTGGGTATGCTTTGGCAAATTGGATACCAGCCATCTACGTCCAATCAGTCGGATTCTTTGCCTCCTTTTCAATTCAATTGCCTGGTGAATTTCCCATCGTGGATACTCACCCCGATCCCGAAAGCACCCAAGACCTCCGTCTTCTTGCGCCCTGGCCTGAACTCGATGCCGAAATCGATGCTCTGGGGGACCTCTCATCGCTATCAGATCACGACCACGGCCATATCCCATACATCCTCATTCTCTTACACTATCTTAGACGGTGGAAGCTCGATCACAATGACAAGTACCCTTCGTCCTTCAAAGAAAAGACCGAGTTTCGGGACCTTGTCAAATCGGGCGCGAGAACAAACAATCCCGAAGGCGGCGAAGAGAACTTTGACGAAGCCTGTGCTGCGGTTCTCAAGAGTATCGCTCCCCCACCACTGGGCAGTGGTTGTAAGGAGATGATGTCTATGCCTTCGTGCACCAACCTGACCACGGACTCCGCCAACTTCTGGGTAGTCGCAAATGCCATCAAAAAATTCTACGACACCCACGGCGTTCTACCGCTACCTGGAACTCTACCAGACATGAAAGCCACCAGCGCAGATTATGTCAAGCTTCAAACCATCTACAAGACCAAAGCACGAGCTGACGTGGCCGAAGTGACAAAGCTTGTTCGACAAATTGAAACGTCCCTTTCAAGGACGGCTTCGCAAGTACCGGACTCGGAGATTGAATCCTTTTGCAAAAACGCCTCTCATGTACGCGTCTTGACCAACCAAAACAAAGACACTCTACCTTCACTCCGACTAATGCTACCGGATCCCAAAATCTCCTCTCGTCTTGGATCCATCATCGAAAATGATTGGGAATCCCTGTTCCCTGTGTTCATCGCACTCAACAGTAAAAGCTTCTCGTCAGACACTCCGCCCAACGTGGCTTCACTATCATCCGACCCCGAAACCCAAGACAACATCACCAATGCAATCACGGAAGTCGAGCGTGCGGGGGGCGGTGAGCTGCATAACATTTCCAGTATATTGGGAGGCATGGTCGCGCAGGAGGCGATCAAACTGCTTACGAGGCAGTATGTGCCTGTAGATGGGACTTGTGTATTTGATGGCATAAAGAGCAAGTCTGGAGTCTTCAAGATTTGAAACTCATATACAGAAGGCACCGAGGCTTGAATCAAGTATGCAAGCCCCTTTTCGATGGTAAAGAATCAACGAGTTGGGGGTGATGAATAACGAGACATGCGATAATAGAGGTCATGAAGGATGCGGCCCAGAGAATTGGCCACAAAAAGCACGATAGATCGAACGACCGGTATGGGACTGATCAATCGACCCGGGGATCAACGCACGGAATCCTCTGAAATTCTCGCAAGCCCTCCGAGAAGTGGAATGGTGGACTGACATCTAAGGCTACAACATGCAGCACCTCGAGATAGCCTCCTGAATGTAGGTAGCTCAATGAAAGCTCAACGTGTGGAACAACGACCATGACAGCTGCTATCTATCATATGCCCTACCGCAGAAGAGAAATAGACGACACTGGAGACTGGGTTCTGGAGCCCGTTCACACCCAGTTATTTACTTCCCCTCTGACCCCGAGAAGAGACAGCGACTGAAAGGGGGTGTGAAAGTCGATGAATGCTAGCATGTAAAGGAATACCATTATTACCCATCCCCGCTATGCCATGCCAATGCCATCCCAAAAAAAGGGCGCTATCTATATACAAAAAGTGTGAAGATACATACATCAACATTAACGTGCACATGTACGAGGTACGCTGTAGCACAAAACCAACGGCTGTACAAAATAATGGGGGTCTTGAGAAAATTGGCCCTCGCCTCGCATCGCAGGAAGGATGTAACATAGCTCCTTCTCCCCCTTCAGCGCACATGCGGCCGCCATCGTACCGTGACCGGAAGAAACAAGATGGGATGCATGCGTGCGAAACACTGCAAGGCTTGAACGCGTCATGACAAGCGTGTCGGGTGAAGGTTCGTGTTCATGTTCAGGTTCGGCGGGGAAATCGACGCGAAAGAAAAGGACCAGGAGACAGACAGACACACACACGCTGAACGCCGGACGGGGCCTGAGGCCCAGATCATATCGCGTCTCTCCACTCATCCGTGAGCTCCTCTTCCCGGACCATCCTCCTCAGATCCCTCAGCACGGCCTCGGTGCCCTTCTCCACCACAGTGATCCTTGGAACGCGGAATCGGTTTCCACTGACTTCCAAGACCCGGAGTCGCCCCTCGACCTTTTCCTTGGACCCAGGGAGATTGCCCAACAGGCCCAGCTTGGGCGGCAGACTCTCGATCTCATTGTTCCTGATGTCAAGGACTTCTAACCCCCGGACTCCCTCGACATCGACGGAACTGAACCAGTTGTCTGTCGCCAGTAACGAGTTCACGTTCGGCCACCAGGCGCGAACCCACGGCACGTGGCCTGCCAGACGATGGCATGAGATGTTCACCTCCGTGAGGCACGGAGCTTTCAGGTAGGTGGTGAGCGCGTCGAGAGATGTCAGCCCTGTGGAGACGATATAGAATGATTTCAGGTTCGGGAGGAAGAGCTCGCTGGTCAGGTACTCTGTGGGATGGAGTTGAGGGTTGTGAGAGAGGTCGAGAGATTGGAGGGTGTATTTGAGGGAAGGGTGTGAAAGAAGGTCGACTGGAAAGGAAGTAAGCTCGTTATTGGAGAGCTTGAGGGTGTGGATCGGCGAAGATAGGTCGATTTCGGCAACGGAGAGTGTAGCAAGAGAATGGGAGGAAAGGTCGAGGATTCCGTTGGTAGGGGCGTAGTGGTACTCTCCCGCCGAGTTCAAGTCGATATGGTTGTCGTTCAACTCTGGGGTAGGCTTCTCTGATTGTTCTACTTCAAGTTTCTTCTCGAGTTCCGTCTTGAGCTCAGAAGTGCTCATCGTAAGGTACTTCTTCTCGCGAAGTGGATTTCCGACGATGTTGAAACTCGACAGGTTGACCATCGTCGCGATCTCGGGGGAAACGAGCCGGATGTTGTTGTTTCCAAAGTCTGCTGTCTTCAGATTCTCTAGCTGCGTAAAACCCAAGGGAATCTCTTCCAGTTGGTTTTCTGACACGTCCAAGGTATAAAGCTGGCTGCAATTCGTTAAGGATAGTAGGCCGGTCACCTTGTTGCCATTTAGAGTAAGAGAACGGAGGTTGGGGAGGTCTGGGGCACTGTCGCTGTCGAAAAGCTTCTCCAGCCCATTGAACGAGGCGTCCAAGATACGCAGCTCAGGGAGAGCCAGCGCACCTGGTAATAGGATACCTGAAATGCAATTTCTTGAGATGTTGAGCTCGGCCAGAGTTGAGGTGGGTAGACTCTCCCAGGAGAGTGTTGAGAACTTGTTGCCGGTAATGTTCAAGACCTTCAAGTTCTGGAGCAGGGTTAGACCTTCTGCTCCAAAGCTCTGGATTTTGTTGCCTCGCAAGTCCAAAACTTGAAGGTCTCCTAGCTTGCAGTCGCCTAATTCCAGTGTGCCTTCGATGAGATTGTCCGCGACAACAAGCTCCTTTAGATGAGGAATTTGGCCGATAACCTCAAAAGCATTGTTGCTAATTTTGTTGCCGCTCAAGTTCAAGGTTTGAAGTCTCTCTAACCTTCGCAATCCCATTGGTATTTGCCGCAATCGGTTTCTGCGCAGGTCGATGGTCTCGAGGCCGCCAAATTGACATCTCTTCTCGTCGTCGTCAGCTAGTTCCGATTCTGCAAAATCGGGAAACATGTCGTCCTCCAATTCGTTTAGCTCATTGTCTGCTGCGTTGAGTTTTATTAAGTCCACCATCTCAGCCCAGTTTGTCATGCTGTTCTCTGATTCATACATTTTCATCACTTCTGAAGGCATCTGCTTCAATTTCATTGCTGCAATATTCAGATGACCAGACGTTACGGCTTGTTGTATACGTTTCCGCAAGAGGCCTTTGTTATCGCCGCCCAGAGACGCAGCTTCGTCGATAAGATCCGTGGGCCAGCCGGGGGCTCCAGCTGGTGGTGCACTTGCCGTCCCAGCGCTCTCCCGAGCCTTTCTCTTCGCAGCCTTGGCCTTTGCAATTGTCTCTCGTAAAGCTGCTGAGGACTTTGGCGAATTCGTTGTCTGTGCCTCTTTCGCTGCAGCAACAGTGGTATCCGGCTGAACGGGGCCATCCTTCCTTGCCCTTGTTGGCGATTTCGAGGGAGGGGTTGATGGTGCGAGTGAGTTCTCGCCTCGTGACCGGGGTTTGAGAAGTGCCGGCGGCGACTCAACATTGGAAACCGCGAGTTTGCCACTGGATCGGGGCGTAGGAGAAGGGACTCTGAAAAGGGATGACAGAGACTGCTTTGAAGCTGGTGTGGGCGACGTTGCCCTCCTGTCCCCATAGGTAGGCCTGTATTTCATGGTTTGAGCTGACAGCTTTGGTGGAACTCCAGGAGACTCCTTATAAGACACATCGAAAGCTGAACTAGACGATCTCCTGGAATCCCGAAGTGGCTTCGCGATTCGTGAGCGCTGACCCTTGACAAATGCTTTTGGGGGAGTGTAGATTTCGCCAGGCGAGACAACCGGGGGAAGAGCCATCATGTCCTTGGTCGGAGAGATCCTCCCAGGCGGTCGAAAGGGTCTTTTAGTTGGTGAATCTGGACGAGGTGCCGTTGATGAAGGAGTTGGGGAAATCTGTTGAGTTCGATGCTTTGTGCCGGCCTTTGAAGCAGTCGGGTTCTCGTTCCCAGTCTCGAACACCGGGAGATCTGGGCTGGAGCCAGGCGGAGTCGTGTCCAAGGTCGTGATTTGCACATCGCGAAGAGCATCTCTCACCGGGGACTCGCTCCTTGGGTTTACAGGTTTATCCAACCAGCCATATCGCGAGCGGATCGACTGGTTGACGTTTTCCCCAAGGGGACGCGGTATATGTGAAGTCTTCCGCAATTCGTCGTGGTGTATGTTCGGTACAGGCGATGAACGAGCAGACATTTTCAAGTTGTCACTCGAGGCCACTGCACGTGGCATTGGGAGTTTGGACAGGCGTGGAATGGTACCACGGACGGGGATATGGGACCCCTGCTCATGGTGGTGGTGGTCCATGCTTTCTCAAAGACGAGATGTTGGAGAGCCGAGTTTTGCTTGGGACATGGACTCGGGCGGGAATCTCATCTGGCCCTGGTTCTGACAATTGCTGGGTATGCTGGACATGGAACTCAGAAGCTCGGAGTGCCAGCTCGAGGGTGCTGAGCCCTGTAGAAAAGGTCTTTGGGATGTTGACATTGGCTCAGGGGTGTAGAAAAAAGTCGGGCTTGTTGGTTGTCCTCCACGACCGCGCTAGGCCAAGCCACGGTGACGCCAATTTGACGCGTCGGGCGCATCGATTTAGAGTCCGAGCCGTGCTTAGTTAAGAAAAGGCGCGCCGTGGGCTGCGTCGGGGTGCCTCGCAAGCCTCCAGGTGACACCCCGGCGCCCGTGATGCCTAAACGGTAGGGGTTTAGCCTTGACGGGCTCCGCTCCACCCTCCCTGTTACGCGCACTGTTCCATCCTCCAGCACCGCCAGCTCCTCCGGCTCCAAACTCCACCGTCACCACCACCACCACTTCAACCTCAACCTCTTCCCAGCCTCCCCTCTACCTCTGTCCCTGGCTGTCCCTCTCCCCCTTCCCCTGCCCTCACCATCCCACTCTCCTCTGTCAAATACAATCCTGCATCCTGTGCATCGTCCTGTCCTTACCCAAATTTCCAGCTTGAGTTCCAGTCTCTCTCTCTGGATCCAGACCTTCTTTTGTCCATATCTCACCCGACAATCCGACAGTGAGCGCACTGTTGCGACGAGCATTCTCGCTCAACTCTACTGCACCGCCGTCGCTACCATTACGCCTTGCGGTTGACGGCTTTTTTGAACGGCGGCGATTGCGTGAAGCCATCGACTGCGTACTTTGCACTGCTGCAATCTATTGGCAACAGATTTTGGCTATCCATCCGAGGTCGACAGCGCCATGGCCAATTCTCAGTCCCCCGCGGATGAGTCGACAGTCCCTGCCACTCCTCCTTACGCTCGCACTCGCTCTGCGGACAGCATGGGTAAATCCTCCTATGCGTCTCCTCCACCAATGTCAGCCTCTATGACACCTCCTCCGTCCACGCAGCCTCCTCGGTTTCAGTCTCCCGTCAATCGCATAAGCGCCGCTCCCATCGACGCCTTACTTGCTTCACCTCCGCCAACTGCTATCAGATCAAATGTCCTTGGCGCCTTGCCCACCCCAGATGCGATCGCGAAAGCGGAGATCGATGAACTGCGAACCATGGCCACTGACTTGGTCGCAGCAGTCCGAGAAGCAAGAACCTCGGCCGCTCACTTCAAATTGCAACACAGTCTTCTGGCCATGGAGGCGGACCAAGCTGCGCAACGAGCTGAGGTCGAACAACAGATGAGTCGTCGGGAAATTGAGGTCCTTCAAACCGCCGAATACAGGCAGCGCGCATCGATGCTTTCACGAAACTCAGTCCCCCCACCGCAACCCCAGATTGAGGCATTGACCAAAACATGCCGGGCTTTGGAGGAGGAACGTGATGAGGTGGAGAAACGACTTGCGCGAGCGAAGAAGCTTGTCGAGTTGCAGAATGATAGGAACGAATTGCTCGAAGAGGAGAATGCTCTCCTCAAGAGGCGAATTCGCGAGAACAGAGAGCACTTCACGAGATTTAAAAGTATGTCGCCATCGTACACCACGCCTCGCGACACCTTCACGACACCTCATCGGAAGCCCGTGCCTCGCTTCCCAGAGTCTGCACCTGCACCGAACCATTCGAACATTGCTGCCCTTCTTGCGGCCGGTGAAGTTCTTAGTGGAGAGAGTCTCAGTGTCCCTTCGACGCCAACCAGAACTCATACCTCCAAGTTCAAGCATGGCCATACTCGTGGAGCTCATTCACTGTCTTCGCTGCAGACTACGCCTGTACAAGTTAGGCCTGCCACCCGCGACGGCTACCCAGCGTCTATGGTGCCCTTTTCTGCACCTACTTCCCAATTGGTAATTGAGTCAGCCGAAAGAGAACGCCATGACCGAGACAGCACCATTTCCGTATCCGATGCCGAAGAGGGCAACAACGATGACAGCATTCCAGAGTCTCAGGCCAGTTCACTGGCGAGCGACATGCTGCGTCGAAACCCAGGCTCTCAAGAGAGCTTGAGGCTGTCTCAAGGCGCAGAGCGCTCAAGCAATTTACTTCAAAGCAAGATATTTGGCCCCGTCAAGAAACCTCAGATCAGAAAGCGAGGCGCGAGTTTTGGAGAGTCTGACATCAAGGCGAAGAAAGCAAAGCTTTCTCAAGGAGTTGGCCTTGGTATTGGGTCTTGGAGTCAAGGCTAATGGGGATATGGCAGATGATGGGAATGAATGATGATTGGAGATGTGCTTGTAATGATACCCTCTCGAATCCGGCGTTGGTGTTGAGATTGGAGGCTTGGAAATGAAGTGTTACAGTAGGATGTCTCTACCCTGGTAGCTCATGCTCAGTCTTATCAATGGAGAATATGCTCAGACTTCAAATTCTTTGTATCAACCTCGATAATGCCGTCTGAGCTCACTCGAACTTGGTAAATGATTCCCAGCCTCCAATCGAAGTGAACCTGAATGATGCGCGAGGCTAGCACTGAACGAGGCTGAAGCTAGTCCCAAAATGGAAATAGCATAGTCACATGACTACACAAATCTTGGCCCAAATGTTCTCTGCCAAGCCTCGAAATTGCAGCCCTCGCACTCCACCAAAAGTTCGACCTCACTTTCTGCGGTCTCGGGAAAAGCCAACGAACTTCCCTCTTTTCCCATATCCTCAATCGTCGGTTTCTTTTTCGTCATTCCCTCGCAACAATGGCGATCAAGCACAACCAGCAGCTCCCCAACAACCACTTCCACAAGGACTGGCAGCGCCGCGTCCGCGTGCACTTTGACCAGGCCGGCCGCAAGTCTCGACGCCGCGCCGCCCGTCTGGCCAAAGCCGCTGCCGTTGCCCCCAGACCCGTCGACAAACTCAGACCCGTCGTGAGGTGTCCTACGATCAAGTACAACCGCCGCGCCAGGGCCGGTCGGGGTTTCACCCTGATGGAGTTGAAGGTATGGTTTTCTTTCCGTCATTTCTGTCTTTCAAAAAGCCAATTGGGTCTGGTCATGGAGAAGGGAGATGGGTGTGAAAGAACGAGGGATACGAGAAAGAGAAGGACGGGGTGAAATATATTCCACGTGCCCAAATTGGCCGAATGTCGGTCTCTTGAGAAATCCCACGACAACAATCTTGGAATCATCAATCGCCTACACTATATGAAAAGCTTTTATAGCAAGAATCTCACTAACACATCATCTCTCTCCAACAAACAGGAAGCCGGCATCCCCCGCAAACTCGCGCCCACGATCGGCATCGCCGTCGACGCCCGCCGCCTGGACACCAACCAAGAGACGCTGACGCTCAACGTGTCGCGGCTCAAGGCGTACAAGGCGCGCCTGATCCTGTTCCCGCGCAAGTCCGGCCAGCACAAGAAGCTGGACTCGTCCGAGGGTGACGTGAAGATGGCGACCGAGTCGGCGGAGAAGAAGGACGGCAAGCTCGTCACGTCGCTGCGAGCCCTCATGGCCGTCGACGCCGGCGTCGGCCTCAAGCACGGGTTCCAGGAGGTCAAGAAGGGAGACATGCCCGAGGGCGAGGAGGCCGCATACCGGAAGCTGAGGCAGGCGCGCAGCGAGGCCCGCTTCGTCGGCGTGCGCGAGAAGAGGGCCAAGGCCAAGGAGGAGGCCGAGGAGGCCAAGAAGAAATAAACCACCCTAAAAACCCCAACCACAAACATGTCCCGCCCACTACTCCTCCTCCCCCGGCCAAATGTCAACACGCCCACAACGGACGACAGTTGCCGGACTCGAGGAATCAAGTTTCTCCAAGGGAACGCTGGTGTGGTTTTCGATATGAGCTTACGGTTAGAGAAAGGGCAGAGAGAGAGAGTGAGTGGAGGAGAACATGGAGCTGGGAAGGAAGCAAGCAAGCAAGCATGATATCCATCCACGAGGCTCTGGCATGAGACGAACGGGTTGTGTGCAGGTGTGTTGAATGTGCAAAAACGGAGCAGTGCAAAAGCAGATCATGCATGTCATGTCCTTCCCCCCCTTTTTTTTTCCGCGCGAGGGAAGGATTCGGAAGCAGTCGTTGTCGTCGTGTGCCACACCACGGCGAGGTTTTTCCTACTTCCTTTCCACCACCTTTGCATGGCTTGCAAGATCCGAGGATGGGATGGAGGGCTGCGCATCAGGGCATGGCATAGAAAAATGAAACAATGAAAAAAACATTCAGAGATGGCAGCAAATGCAATGAAACCCACCTAATCATGAGGCCCTGGCTCCTAGCCATGCGCAGTTCCACTTCCACTTCAAATCGTCCCACCAACGTGCTTCGAATTAATCCTTCAGGACCAAAAATAAGAAAAGTAACGTATCATCAATGAAATCGATGTCTACATGGGGTCCAATGGACCTTGCAAAGTTCTTTGATGGGTATCATCACAGTTTCGACTCGTCGCTCATTACTGACAACTAGCTCGAAGCGGCAGCAGACTCATGAGCCATGTCCTTCTGATATGCACAACCAAGCCACCACGTTATCCTAATGGTCCTGTTCACTGATAGAGGGGTATCTTGTAACATTCGTCAACTCATGTATTCGTGATTCGGCACATCTGGCATCAGCTGTCACCCCTTTTGCTTGTCCTTTGAGGTGCCGCCGAATTTGAATTCATCACTGTCTCCGTGGATCAACATCCAAATGTTCTCAAATGCTCCCTTGACGCCCAAGCTCGGGATCAAGCTGCCAAAAATCGTCCTCAACCCAGGTTCTGCTTTCGGCGGAATTCCACTGACAGAAACCTGGATCTGAGACAAAGGCCCACCTGCCCAGTCGATATCAATAGCCCATGAGAGTATGACTTTCTTTCTGAATTTCTTGCCGCCTGCGGTAACATTCGTTTCTGCGTCGACTGCCGCATTTTGGGTCATATCCAGGTATCGTGCTAGCTCAATTGCTCGGTCCTGAGTCAGCTCGTGGTCATTGTCATCCTCGTGCTGCTGTCCCTGGTTGGACGAAGGCGTGTTGTATTTGTTGTCCAGCCACTGGAATACTTTGGCACGTTCGACCGCAGCAGTGAACCATCGCCCTATTCCCCATATCAGTCCACTGACATCAAGTCGATGCAGAGGATGCTCCAAACGATCATTGACCCATTTGAAAATCTCGGCTCTCGTGGTCTTCGTACGGCGGGCTCTGCTCATTACCTCCTTCAGCTCGACATGTTCGATTTGGACATTTTCGGCGTCAACTACCACTTCGAATGCGCAAGAAAAGGCATCCGGATACCATGGAGGCGGAGCTTCAAGTTTTAGGGAGTGGATCATCTTCGTTCGCTCCCTGATTACCTTCGTCTCCGTCCGAGCAGTCAGTTGGAGGTTGCCAGGTGCAAACAACGTTAAGTGAGAGGACATTTCGCCGCCGCCATCGATGTAATCAAAGCTTCGGAGAGATCTATCCTCGAAGAGTGATTGCTGTAGCATAGAAACAATTTCCTGGCTCAAATCATTGTCATCATCAATGGCTGCCTGCAGTTGCTCGTTCTCCTTCTGTAATTGTTCCAACCTTCTTTTCAACGATTCCAGAGTCGGTACCTGTTCTTCGCTCTGTTCGGGCACTGCCTCACTGTGTTCTTGCCCCTCATCCAGCTCACTTTCTGGTGCTTCTTGAGCGTCGTCTTGCATGCTCTCGTTGTCATCATTGGAGGCCTCGACAGCTGGAGGCGCTCTGGGTTTCAGAGGACTGCTCGTGATGGGCCCGCGTGACCCGTCTCTCCATCTGCCTGATCTGCTGCTCATCTTCGAACTCCTGGGGCTACTGCTTGATGCCAGACCACGCGGTCGTTCAGGTGCGGGGCTGAGACCCAGCTCAACAGGCGTGGGAGGCAACTCAGGCTCACCACTTGCACCTCGCGAAACAGCTCTCGCATCCGTCTCTTTTCTTGGGACCAGCTTGGGCAGGATGGCTGGCGTAGCAGGTCCCTCGCCGGACTCGGTTCTTTCCCTGGCTGTGTGTTGTGCAGGCTGACGCTCCTTCAGCGCCGGGCGCTCGTCGTCACTAGCCTGGCCAGCTTTTGAAGGCGTGGACTCTTTTTGCAACGCCGTGGATTCCTGGCTCGACTGGTTTTCGTTCGCCTGGGCAGCGGATACGTCGACTGGACTATCGAGATCTCGGCGGCGGGCAACCTGGGATACCGTCCTGGGCACTTCGGGAATGTGATCGTGTCTCCCCAGAATTTCGTCTCTCAGGACCTTTCCCCTGGGTTCGGTGACTGAGCGACGGGTCGACCGAGTGATGAGATGGGGATGGGAGCGTGCTAAGGAACTTTTTGTGGGAGAGCGGTAGGATGCCCTGGTGGGAGTCGTCGGCTGTCCGTTAGCGACACCGGTACCATTGCTCGTTTGCGACAGGCTCGGATCGATCTTGCGTCTCTTCGGTGGGGAGTGCAGCATTGTGGGCGGTGGTTGCCGACGTGGACGATGCTGCCCGCTCCAGGCTCTTGCTCGCTCTTTGGGGGATAACGAAGGCGCGTCCCTGAACGCGACGAGCGTAGCAAATCGTAACTTGCCCATTTTGGAAGAGCATGGCGCTGCCCTAAGTCCTGTAAGCGAGGCGTGTCCAATTAAAAGGTCCAATCCTTAAAAGCAGCACTGCTGAGCTTCCAATTTCGGACTTAGTCTAACCCGATTCTGCTTCTATATAACTATCGCTACTCTTTGCTCAACAATTCACAGTCTCTTTTGAGCTGCAGATCCGAGCAAGTCAAGGCTCTAAAATTGCAATTAGAATGCATTCTTATGTTAAATATGGCGGTATATACGACGCTGTCGGTAAAATAATGCAGCGAATGTCGAAATATTCTGTGCAGAATGTAGGCATTATCACTAATTATGTTCATACATCATGTTCATCCCTGACGCCTGACCACTCTCCTTTTCCAAACACCATCGCCGGGAGCCGTCCGGCTGAGTGAGCCAACCAGCCCAATACAGTCCACCCCGCATTTTGACCTTGTCGTCTCTTTCTTTAGAAGTCATGGTCTCATATCCTTGCATTTCCTCCCGAAGATGATTGTCCTCATTGCAGAGCATGAGCCACACAGTAAGGGGTCTTGTAGGTTCGCGTGGCATCATCATTTTCTCGTTCAAGGCCCTCCAGCGGAAGATCGCGAACACCGTAAGAACCATCAAGGCCAGGATAGCCCAACTGGCATATATGCTGACAAGAAAATCGAGCCAAATCTGAGCAGAGTTAAATGGAACGCCGCCGATGGCGATGATCAAAACATCAGATAGAATGGCCACAAAGGCCACAAAAGCGTGGAAGAAGTTTCCTCTCCAAAGCGCCTGGAAGATGCTTGTTAGAGGCGTCGAGTTCTGTGAGACTAGGATCGTTGAGTCTGGCTTCGCTGACCCGCGAAATAGTCGTCGATAAGGTGTTAAAAGTCGAACTTCTCGTTCTAGCTGTTTCCAGCGGATATCGAGGAGACTGGCAGCAACTGTGAGGACAAACTGTCTTGTTGGGTTGCGGTTGAAATAGTTGTTGAAGGGATCATCCTGTCCATCCATATAGTACCCTACGAGGACGCCGAGAAGTGCAAGAATGGAAAGAAGGAACAGAGTATCGATGAGGAAACGGTTCGAAAGTGTGCTTCGTGAGTTGTGCATATTGCCCCCGCCAGTATGTGAATGCGCCAGAGCAGAATACTTCGGCTGTTTGGTGTAGTTGACTGCGGGCTTTGCCGCTTGTGCAGGTGCTCTGACAACTCCATACCTCATATAACCCGTCGTTGTCTGATGTCGCCGCAACATGTATCTGTAAGGATCGAGGAGTTGTTTTGCAGATGAGCGGCTTGATCTTTGGTCAATTCGTCGCAGGTCCTCCATAAGCTCTTCATTGTTGAGAAGTGAAGCCATCGTGGCGACGGAAGATGGATTAGAAAATACCCCACTCCGCCGGCGACTAGACAGGATGATCACCAACAGAATGATGACAGCAATGAGAGAAAGGATGGCTTGAAGAGCTCTGGCGTAGTCGATTTTGAGGTACCACATGGGATTGCACCGTTCCATTATAAGGTCGGGGCTTCTGCACCACGCGATCGCTCTCACAGTCGTACACTGGGTTGCGATTGATGGGAGAGCGCTCAAGCAAAGATAGACGAGACCCACCAGGGTGACGACAGGGTGGCTAAGGAACATGTTACTTAATCCCTCAATCGACAAACTGGTGGCCATATAGTCCGCCAAAAGTGAATCTGCAGCGGATGCACCCTTTTCCCTGGAGAGAAGGTAAAATGGCTCCATCATTTTCGTAGAAGCGAATACGGTGGCCCAAACGAGTTTGAGAATAACTGCTATCAGGACAGGTAGGTATATGGCGCGAAAGTACTGGAGGTCGCTTACAGCCAAGCCAAGTTCGACTTCGTCTGCCCTCTGGTGATCTGGCGGGGTGGTCGGGATAGATGTACTTTCAGCAAGGACTGTCGGAGTGATGGTGCTGCTGTAGGACGTCAACGTTGCGATGATGGTTGACACACTGCCAGTTGAGTCGTAGGATATCTCAGTCGTTACTACAACGGCGTAGGTCTCTGTTGCAACGGTTGTCAAAGGCCTTCCTAATGCATCCTCCGTGGTGTAAGTGATCAAAGCAGTAAATTGTGAACTGCTTAATTTGGCTGACGGTGTTGAAATGGATGCCGTATATCCTTCTCCGTAAGTCATCCTTGATGGGCTCGACTCAGCTTCGGACGTAGAAGCAGGTGAACTTGGAGTATAAATAGAGGTAGAAATGCCGCTGGTGAGAGCTTCTCCTAGAACCGTCGTCCCTCTGGAATGTGTTTGTCCATTAGAGGAACTGGTCAAGGCTATAGATGTTGTAGTACGCGCACGTGAGGTCGCGCTGCTCGAAGGCACTGTGTAGGGGTTGGTTGGCTTTGTCGAGGTAGATTGTTGTACGTATGCCGTGGTGGTCTCGGTGTGGGCATTATAGGGAGTGGTGCTAGTTTTCCCTTTACCGGTGGATGTGGACTGCACAACATATGCAGTGGTGCTGCTGGTCACTTGTAGAATATATGGAGTAGTGCTACTCGTTATCACGGGCGTGGCAGAAGTCCCAGGCTCGGTCGCAGATGGCACAATGTAGGGAGCAGTGCCGCTCGTTGTCATAGTGGTGGTGGACATGATGGTTGTCGAAGAACTCCTCGAGGTGGTTACAGTTGTCGCAATATATGCACCGGTGCTGCTGGTCGTCGTCATTGACATAGTTTCTCCATCAGTTGTCACCGACTGACTGGTGATCTGGGTGATGTATCCATCAGATGCCAACGACGAAGTGGTGATCTGGGTGATGTATCCATCAGATGTCGACGACGGAGTGGTGATCGGGTCGATGTATGCTGTCGTCGAAGTCGAAGCTGGAGGCAAGGTGGAAGAGCCTGTTGTGGAGGTTATGTCCGACCCTGCTGTCGTAGCCGGGTCAATGGATTCAGGGGTCGAAGTGCTATCAGTCGGCGATGGTGTGCTGTCGGCGGCCGCAGTGGTGGGAGACTCTGTCTGAGACACATATTCGATCGAGTCGACGGTTGATGCTTCAATTAGTGTTGTACTTGTTGCTGATGTCGTAGCCGTGTCTGCCGTAGAGCTTGAAACACCAGGGTCCTGCCTCTTCAGCCTGCTGTGATTCTGTTGTTGATTCTTCTCTTCCAGCGTCAGGCCCGAGCGAAGACCGTACTCGAGTACGGCAATACAAGCCAGCATAACCAGCAAGATCAGGGTCAGGGCAGGCCATCTGGTCGAGAACGGTGCATAGTATTTGGGCGGCCTCGCCTGTCTTTTTGGCGGAGGACCTTTCTTCCATCAGCCTTGTTCAGTAAGTTGGATGGGCAGACTTACTCCACGCAGCCTCTGACACCACCGCGTACTTCCCATGGCTCTCTTCATGCTCGAACATCGTGGCTAGTGTGGGTAGAGGTATTGACTGTGCATGATCCTTGCCTTGGACGATGACTTAGACATCTTAACAATGTTTGCCATTCTGGCAGCGCCTGGACCGTATTACGGCCGGACTTGTGCCTGTCAGGGTCTATCGGACTTCTCTTGAGGACTTGACGGGGAAACTTGTGCCGTCGCGCATTCACGGCTGAGAAGTTGCATGAAAGTCAACTAGCGAACACGAGGCTCTAGTTACTAACGTGGCCAGCTTGGGCAAGAGCAGAAGACCAAAGGCCCAAAGTCTCGAACCCCGGCTAGTCGAGGCAAGCGATGTTCTGGATTGTGATTCGCAGATTGTAAGCATGCTTCTTGAACCTAGAGTCGAATCAAGACTTTTCTCCGTGAACAAGGCATCTTCCCAGCACGGGCTTGTCCTGTACAAGCTCAGTCAAGAACCTCCATCACGAGAGGGGATTCTGCCTTACCTAGAATAGCTTGAATCGTTCCAATGGGGGCGGATAGTATATTCCGCATGTACGAAGAGAATCTATTGTAGCCCTTTACCCGCTGGTGATGGTTGGTGTACTCCGCCATCTGTGGGCAGGGCTGTGCTGGAGTGTTGCCGCCGACTCTACCACGACAGTCACCATCACGTAGCCATAAACGCCGCCATCTGGTTCATGACGTGCAAGCAGGACGGATATGACACCGACACGTTATCAAGTTCGGCCGTTAGAACTCTTGGAATGCCGGACAATCGGACCCGTGTTGTTCGTGTATGCACGTAGTTCATCCCCTTTATCATCACGGTGAATTCGTATTCTTAGCTTGTTCTCAGGTATGGATTGGCGATTGCCAGCCACTTGCATCCTTCGTTCCAGAACTGCTGGCAACCTTGCGCTTGTCGATGCCTGAATGGAAGATATGCCTCTGCCAAGTGCAAAACCTTCTCCCAATGCTCTTGACCGGTCGTTATTGGACTTCCACGAAGCTGCTCGATGTACCACAAGCGAAGCGATGTGTCGCGGCTGATGAAACCGCCGACCACAGTTGCCCAGAGCATGGTATTAGGAGACGTCTGCCAATAATCCCTCTTATCGCACTCGTCAATTAACAACATCAGTCTTTCTGAACCATTCCGGTGGAAGGCGCCAGTGACTGGCAAGGGTTCGAGGCATTCGACTAGAAAAACTATGACAGCGACCCGACATAGGTTGAACAGGAGATCCTCGCCACTTGGCAGCGACAGTGTTTGGTGCTGCAAAATGCGCCACGCCGCGACTAATTGCCCAAAATCTATACTAGAACCAGGATTTTTCAGAACAGTGTCGTACGCGTCGAGTAGGGCATCAACGTCCTCAATTATCGTCAGAAGCCGTCGACCAAGGTGCCTGTTCCGCAAGAAGCGAAAGCCCTGGCAGGAGTTGCTCTTGTCCGGCTTGCGGCACTGGCGGAGAGCCTGGAGCACGGGACTCGGAGGGAAGAAAAGAGGAAAAGCAGGGGCCCTCAGAACGGAAATCGAATCAACAATATCAATCCTAACCAGTAAGCAAGTACTCAGCACATGGGAGAATATCACGCACGTCATGACGATGCCGGCTAGAGAGTCGATGCCGAGTTTGTGCAATCCACCCCTTTGTTTCACCAAGGACAATAACGCCTGAAAATGAGTCGGTTCCCATGTTTTGCTTCCGTAATACTCGTAATCTCTCATCTGCTGCGAGCCTACCAGGGTCCGGCCTTGCATGTCGTTGGGAGGGCCGTGGATGGTTAGTATGGCGATAGCCAGAAGCATCGCATCGCTACATTGACTGTCAGGCTGGAGCATCGCCTCTCGAAGTTGTCTTAATGTCTCATGATAGAAATTGATGCGATGGAATTTTGCAGACGAGTCCCGCGAGCCGAAGAAATAGCGATAAGAAGACCCCGCGTAGGTGATTGCCGGCACCAGATAGGGCGATTCAAGGGCATATTTCACCGTGACGGATCGCCATCTGTCGATGTCTTGTTTCCGGCTGGACAATGCGAAGGACGGCCATTGATCGATGATGGCTGCAAATCAGATCAAGATTGCAGAGGCAGCAGACCACAAACATACCGGATTGAAACATCGTCTGCGCATGCGCAGAGAGATTGGTCACAAAGAAGACATCAAAGGGGTCGAATCGGCTGCCGCTAGGATCTGATCGAAGCGCTGGAGGTGATGGAAGGGTAGAGTTGTTGGCAGGGACAGGAAGAGCTTGCGAGCGTGGCAGTCTCTTCCTCTGTCCCCGTTGATGTGCTACACTCGCGGCATGCTGATGTTGACGGCGCACTTGGTCCTTCTTCCTCCACTCTGAGGGCTTGCCCGCGCTATGGATAAAGGATGTCGTTTGATGATTTGCGTTGGGTGCCATCCGTAAGAATCCATACGAGGAACAGACAAGAGGTGTTTGCAACAGAGTGCATCTGCTGCTATCTTCGGGTTCGCATTGCAGAAGCTACAGGACGCCAGCAGGTAGCTAGGTAGGCGGCGCAGAATCAAGCCCGATATTCCTGTGGCTTGAAGCCTCCATTGCAGTGGTGCCAAGGTCGTGAGGTGCGCCCAGTTTGTAGTGAAACCGGTCGTTTCTTTGCGAGTTTCTTTCGAACCCGCCCTTTGCCAAGGAAATCTGTGAGCTGAAATGCGGTCACAATTGGGCTGTGATTGGCTCATGGGGCTCCCGGGCGGGGCATTAGAGCCTCCGAGTCTGGCGGAACGGAAGAAGCAAGAGGGGGAAATACGGCCTTAGCACGGGCTTGTCGACCGATTTGGTTGGTCTTCGCTAGTTCTTTCCCCGGAAAGCTTGGAGTGGGGCGCCTATAGGGCTGCCAAGAAAGTCAATTTGGCTGGCCGCTTCGAGCCGCTCACCCTTTGGCCCGTTCAGAGTGGTCACGCATGCCAAAGCTTGCAATGTTTAAGCCTCATGCAACAGAAGGAACATTGCATGGGCTTTTAAATCGCCCATGGTCAAATTCTGAGGGCTACGAAACACCTTGGCTCGATGTTTCTCGTGTCATTAGTGCATTGTGAAAGCCTCGCACCAATTTACAACTACCATAGAGCTGCATCTCTATTCAAACGCAACCGGATCTCCAACTCCGTCATTTTACTCCGCCGGGATAGAGGGATCTGGGGACCTCTGGATAGGTCGTAAAGGACAGCGTCGTATAATTGGCAGATGAATTGTCCAAGTCGAGCGAGCGCGATAACTCTCCAAGTCGGCACTGGTTGAAGGGGAGGGTAAAAGCGGCGGCAGGACTATTCCAGGAAGAGCCGGCTGCGGGCGCCCACCAATGACGACGCGTCCGATTCTTCATTTTGGGGATCTTCCACCTTGAATGCCATGACGGATGGTCACGTTCTTGCTGATTGTCCCTTCACTACGTCATTATGGCGAACGGTACGTTGCAACTCGGCAGGACTTCAATTGGCAAAGCAGAGATGGAAGTTCTTCACCGAGGCCCTCCTTCCGCAAGTTATCCCTCTGTCTTCGCTGGACATTCCACGTTTCACGTCGTCCTTACGAACACGTTCAGACTGACTCCCAGGTCGGTTCGAGATTTCTTTGCACGGCCCCATACATTGGTGACAGAGCCCGATTCCCTTCAGACATGTCGTACCTCACTCGGACATCAGCTCCTCTGCGGACTGCTGGGACAGCTTTCTCCTTCCGGTCAATTGCAGCCATTCACACCTCGTCTGCCCGTCTGGCACTGAGTGAAGACCATGCTCGTATGTTGCAAGCACCAACCCACCCACCGCATATGCTCTTCCCACCCATCCTCGTCCAAATATACTCCCTGGATCGAGTTGGGGAGTCAAACACGACGTCCTTTGGTCCTTGCATCCATGAAACCTGCACTTGCTAACCAAGAAATTCCCCATTCAACAGACACCGAAGACCGAGCCGCCGACATTGAGCGCCACAAATCTGACAGTGTCGAGAAGGCCAAGACCGGTCGAGGAGAATGGAAGCCCGAGCTAGCCTCTCAAAGCGAACAAGCCACCCGTGGTGACAAACATAACCTGACGATGGAGCAGATGCAAAAGATGGCCAAGGAGAAGGGCCAGCAGGAGGGGAAAGAAAAGTAAAGAGGTGGATGACGACGATAATGGTCCATCGTAGGCGGTGCTGAGGTCTACGAATCCGAGTTCGACGCTTTACAGGGAGGAAGAAAAAAGATTGTCAGTCGGTCGTCCCAGGAGGGAGCAAACTCAGGCATCACATAGCAAGAATGAATCTCGGAGGGGAACAGCAGTCCAGACCATCAAAATCCAACAGACGAGCGCACTGGCGTCCATAATTTGTACATACCGGCTTTTAGTACCGTCGAGGACTGAAAAGTGTCTCGATCCTCTTTGACACCGAATCTCGAATCTCGAGCCTCTTCTGTTGCATACGTGCATTTCAAATGGTGCGGCGGCCCTTGAGTATCTTTCGTACAAGTGTAAAAGCAAAAGACTCCGTCATTATACAGTATCCCATTATCTAGCTGTATGTATCCTGCGCTGGGCCAGGAGAAAAGATGACTCCCAATATAGTCCCTTCATTAATCGTCGTCAGAGCATGTACCTAAATCCCGAATTCTCGCCTCCAACCTTCCTGGCCCCGCCGATCAAAGTCTCTTGGGCGTCTTCGTCACCTTCTCTTCGTCCCCCTCCGCGTCCGCCCTCGTCGCCGTCTTCGTCCTCTTTACTCACCATTTCATACTCCCCGCCTAGCCTAGGCTCCTTTTCCCCGAACCCATTCCTCCTGTTCTCGCGCTGCAGGACCAGTCTCAACACCCCAGCCAGGCCGGCGACGCCGACGGCCATGAACCCGGCGCACACGGCCATGCCTGGAACGTACAACGGGCCCTGGCTGCGGGGGAACAAGTGCACTCCGATCAGCGGGCCGCATTGGCCGATGACATTGAGGATGGTCAGGCCGGTGCCCTTGCTCGTCGCCGTGGCTTGGTTGTTGAGCGTCCACGTGATGATGAGCGTGACCGAGGAGAAGAGGCCCATCGCCGCTCCGTAGACGCCGACGTAGCGGATCGTGATGCTCCCAGCCTCTCCCAGAGACTCGTGTAGGTATCCCGCGATGGCGATCCCGGCATACGATATGGCGCTGAGCAGAGCAACACCCACGAGGAACAAGGATCTCGAGTCCGGGACTTTGTCGCTGTATCGGGCCACCATGAGCACGAAGAAGAAGGCGAACAGATACGGTGGAGCTGCCAAGGCCTGGGAGGCTAGAGGGGAGAAGGACATGCTGTTTATAATGGTGGGGAGGAAGACGGGGAGGGAGCTGAAGGAGACGTTCACGCTGAGGAACATGAGGGCTGTCAGGTACGATTTCGGGTCGAGGATCGTGGTGAGGATTTCTTTGACGTTGAGCCGTTGGGTCAACGATGCTGCACTCGAGGCATGCATGGACTCGCTAGAATGAGAACCATGGTTTTCTTCAGTTCGCAGTCTCATAACCGCAACTTTCCTCTCCCGTGCCGTCAGATACCGCGCCTTCGACGGCGAGTCCGGGATCCAATACCACGCGGCGACGGCCGTGATGATGGACGGGAACCCTTCAACCAAAAACAATGCTCTCCAGGGTGCAATGGGTCCATTCTGGCTCAGCTTGACAATCACCCATGCCAGGGAGCCGGCGAAGCTCGTCGCCAGTGGTGCAGCGGAGATTTGCAGGCCAACCCTATAGGCCAATTCGGAGCGCTTGTAGAAGTATGTCATGTAGAAAGGGACACCCGGTCCGAAAGCGGCTTCTGTGATGCCCAGAATGCCACGGAGGAGAAGCAGTTGGCCGAACGATGCGGTTAGGCTTTGTAGACTCGCAACAAGGCCCCACGACAGAACACACAGAGGTATGTATATATGGGCGGGGAGGATTCGGTACAGCAAAATCATCCACTCAAAGCCAATGTAGGTGATGTAAAAAGCCGTGAGTAGCCAATCGTACTGTGCAGAAGACAGAGAGAGGTCCTTTTCCAACCCCGCGATGCGAGCGTTGCCAATGTTGGAGCGGTCGAGGAAGCTCAGCATGTAGAGAAAGCCCAGGAAGACGACCAGTTTGCGGTCCAGCTTGCGCACCAGAGCGGCTTCTTCCTCGTCTGTGTAGTCTTTGGAGTGTGTTGCGGACCTCTGCAAGCGTCGTTTGACATATCCTTCGTCATCCTCGGCGGCATGGCTGTCACTCTCTGAGAATTCATCGTCTGTCCCTGCATGTTCGGGCTGTAGAAGTGCGTGGTGCAGTTTTCGCAGCTCGACGCCCTCTGACTCGAGTTCGCGGGAAGTACGGGTCTGTGCCATGGCTGTGTCGTCGCGGACGAATTCTGGGGCGGGAATGGTAGAAGCCGGGGTATGTCTTGAGCTCGAGGGGCGCTCGTTGGGTTTGGACGTCGACGAGGACATGGCTGCGCACGCACTGGCCCCAGCGCTGCTATTGCATAGGCTCGGTTGTGTGCTTGGGAGGCTCCATCGGGTACGAACAAGCTGAGGCAGGTCGAATCAGGCTTCCTGGACTAGAACATGTCGGCCTCTTGGTCAATGGGATGGGCTGCTGTTGACTTGTCTTACAGCAGCGACCTCGGAGTTGTAACAGCTCGCACTGTGGCACGGTGGCAGGGGATTGGTGAGGGCTGGTGGGCTGCGGGCATGTGGGGGAATCGCCGGCCATCTGCCGACTCCCCGGGGCAGCAAAGGGAAGGTCTTCCGGGGAGGAAGGCTGCGAGCCAGCCTTGCGAGGCTCTGCCCATGCGTGAAGTAGTAGGTGGCTGCAAGTACTCGGTACTCCGCGAAGATAGATAACTATGCTTGTGTTGAGTCCTGTTTCTGAGCCGCATGCGCACCACGCCGTGTCATTCGCTCATTCTGGATCTGCCTTGCCCAATATCGGACGCCGAGACCCGAAACGCGGCCTAATACCCGGTTGCAGCAAACAGAAACATGCAATCAGGTTGGCTAGAAATCCTCTCTCCTGTTTCTTGGGAGCCATTCTGGCCAGTCTTGAGCTACTACTAAGTACGAGTAGGAGTATGTTGGCCAACTGCAGGCCTGGCAGCTGGATGCCACCACTGACCACTGACCAGAATATCCCAAGAGTGGAACTCGAACTCAGCTGAATCTCGGAGCAAAATTTCCGCCGGGCTGGTTTCTCCACCATTCGAGATGATCTGGCAGACTTGCAGCGAGATGAACAGGGGAAATACCCAATCCCCATCACACCGTTATTCTCGACCAGAATAGCCATCTGACCACAGACACAAGCCGTGAGAATCGGGAGCTGTCAGTTGGATGTCTTTCCTGCCCTTCTCCTTCTCCTGCTCCTGGGTTTCAGCTCCTGTTCCAGCACCGGCTGCGCAGTCCGTTCCAAGACAAGCCTCCCACTGACCCAACCCAGGCGAATGTCACCCTCGCGCCTACAAGTGACTCTCGTAGCTAGCCAAGTCGGTTATCGAGCGTTGAACCTGTGCTAGCATGCTAACACTGGGGTCCAATATGCCATCATGGCCACCCACTGGACTGCTCCATCACCATCCAGGGGGACGCCCGTGTGTCGCGCAGCCAATTTCCCGAACCGATGAAACACGGGGGTGAAGCGGAGGCTGAGCAAAGTCGACCGCCTCGACCACTACGACATGAGCCAACTGACTCCTGTCCTTGCTTTTATTCAGCTTTGCTCCGCCTCGCTCACTCGCGACTGAAAGGTTTTCTCCTTCACTGCACTCGTTTGGTAGTTTCTTCTGCACACCACCTCCAGCTGGCCTGTTGTTTGGGATTTTATCATTCCTCGTCGCTCACTTGACTCGAAATACTATTTCGGTGCTCACCCACAGTCGCTCTTTTACGACATTTGGTAGGATCTCGCGACGAACGCCCGAGATACAATATCCAGCATCTCTTGTGAAGCAAACAAGTGTCGAACCGAACCACACCAAATATGCCTTCTCTCGCCGCTTCTTTCCTCGCTGCCGGTCTGGCGACTTTGGCCCAGGCATACACCGCGCCTGGTGCACAGACCTGGGGTCCATTGCTCACCCCAGATACGTCACATGTATGTCCTCTGATCAGTCCTCCAAGACGTGGTTATGGAAAGGGGAAAATGAACCTGACAAGGAACAATGCAGGCTGTTACTCAAGGCAAAGACTTCACCGTGACCTGGGATCCTGAAGACCACCCGACCGACGGCGTCACAGTCAGTCTCGTGCTCTGCCACGGACCCAGCACCAACTGTGTGCCCTCGGACTCGGCCATTGCATCAGGGATCCCCGCCGCGCAGAAGTCCTTCGACTGGCAAGTCCCATGCGACTTGGCCCCGGGCACTGAAAACACCGATACTGGATATGGAATGCTGATCATTGTCGACGGCACTGGCGAGTTCCAATGTAAGAAGCAGAAAAAAGCCGCCTCTTCCCCGCGAAGATCCCATTCTTTCACGAGACATCCAGTGGTTCTGACGTTGCTCTGCAAACAAAAACAGATTCGACTCAATTCTCCTGCCTCGAGAACAAGAGCTGCTCCAGCTCTGGCTCCAGCTCCAGCTCGAGCACACCCTCTCTCGGTATTTCCATCTCGGCCTCCGTCTCCGTCAGCGGCACTGTGACCGTCACCAGCGGCGGCGCCACCTCCATCATCCTGGGCCCCCCGGCGTACCAGACCGGCTCCAACACGTGGGGCGCGTCGGGCAACTCGACGTGGGCCACCACCGCGACGGCTACTGGCAGCAGCTGGGCCAGCGCCACCGTCACCTCGGTGGTGGGCACCTACAGCAGCGGCCTCTACAGCACCCTCCCCGGCACCACGGTCATCGGCAGCACCCTGGCCACCGCGACCGTCGAGACGACGGGCGCTGGGCAGAGCTCGGGAGCCGCCTCCGCACCAGCCGCCAGCGCGTCCACCTTCGCCGGTGGCGCTGGGCAGGTCGGCTACAGCGCCGCGGGCCTGGTGATTGCCGGCGCCGTTGCTGTGCTCGCGTTGTAAGCGCGCCCGCGAGAGAGAGAGAGAGAGAGAGAGAGAGAGAGAGAGAGAGAGAGAGAGAGAGAGAGAGAGAGGTGTGGTCTGTTCGGTTGCTTTTGGACAGAGGTTGTGGAAATGGGTGTAATTCGGCGTGGCATGAAATGGCATTTAATCAATGGGTAGTAATCGTGCAAACGCCCCCCCTGCCAACTCCTCCGAAGATTCAAGAGATCATGTGTATACAGAAAGATGGCCTTGTCAAATAAAATCGAGAACTTTCATGAGTGTTTTAGAATCAAGCTCGCCCCATTCAATGTATCGCATTCCGAACAAACAAGTGGTTGCCTACGTTGAATGGGCACGCAGGTCTTTCGGCAAACCTCATACATCAATATCTTACAACAGCGAAGATCACCATGCCGGATACCAAATGTCACATTCTCGAGATCGAGAGCCACGAGGATGTCAAACAGACATGTTGTATTCGCTCGTTAGACCAGCTATTGAGGCACATATTCATTTCCATGATTACCGTCCTGCTAACCAAATTCTGTTGTTCTTTCCAGGCACGTTTCCCCAATATTCCGTAAGTGGTCATAGTTGTTGGAATCATTTTCGTCAAGCATTTTGCAATATCATCTCTCAATTCCTCCATCGACCGTCGATCTCATTAATCCCCTTTCCTGCTTCACTCGCGGTACGCAGGAGGCGGATCCCGCATATTCATATCATCATCCCTATACCGGCTGGAGAAGGAGCTCGACTTTCCTCTGCCGCCAGGCTTTTCATTGCCGTACGGGCGGTACCTGCCCGGAGTCTCCGCATCGAGTTCTGCGTACCCTTGTGGCGGTGGTGGTGTAGGGTTGTGTGCCGGCGTGACATTGATTTGAGGTTGCGAGTAGCTGTGGTGAATGCCAATGTCTCCTCCATTAGGTTGCTGGTATTGCGGCCGTTGCTGCGTGGGCATCGAGTTCTCGCGCACCCGGTCGTATTCCTTACGACCGCCTTCGTAGTATTCTCTTGCTTCTCCGGGCTTCTTCTGGTCGCGAGGCATCTCCGGCGGATACATATCATGCTGAACTTTGCCCGTTTTCATGTCGATGTGTACCCCTGGTGGCGGGTACATGGTCGCGGGACGCTGGAGGGGTGGAGGGACGAAGTTGTTGTTTGCATTGTTCGAAGGAGGGGGGCTGCCTTGCCACGGAGGCTGAGGCTGAGAAGGTCGCTGGTGTTGCGATGGGGGTCCCTGCGGCCATGTCCCATAACTCTGTGGGGGACCTTGTTGAGGCGGCGGTCCCTGTTGCGGTTGTGGGTGCCACATGGGCGCAGCTGCGACTGCCACCGGCATCATCGGCGGTCGATTCTGCGGAGGTGGTGCGCTGTATGGTCGCGGCGGGCCGCCAGGCTGCTGAGGCGGACGGAGCTGCTGTTGCTGGGGTGGGCGAGATGGACGGTTCGGGCTCGGGTCATCATAGTGATGAGGGCGGTGATGGTCATCACGAGAGTGGCGTCGACGTCTTCTTCGTTTCTCCCGATCTCTCTCTTGTTCCTCTTTGCTGTCGTTGTGCATCTCCTTGAGCAGATACCCAGCTGCGACCAGCTCGAGGCCGCCTAAGATGACCATGGTGCCGCTATATGCTTTCTGGGTGGTTTCGTTCTTGGGGAGGGCCGCGCGACTATGAGAAGGTCAAAGAGATCAGACAGCGAAGGCGGTTACTGGGAAGAAGTGTAAGTAGCAGCGGAAACAGTGTGTAGGAAGTTAGAGAGACTAGATGAAATACGCCTTGCTCAGCGGGCTGGCTGGGGTGGCTGTGTTCTGGACTTATTCGCCGTCGCCTTCTCTTCAGCTGCGGCTGACTTGGGCTAGTGACCAATTATTCTAACTAATCACGTGAGGACTTTGTGGAGCCATCTCCCTGCCTCCCTTTATATATTGAGGCAACTTCCGAAACTTTTCTTCTTGTGTACCTCCATCCGGCAGTATTCTGTCCTTGTAGATGACGACGGACCGGGAACTTGGCAGTTTAATCGTCCCAAGTGTAAAGTCAGAATGTCCGCTCCGTGCATGACGATCAGAATCATCTACACCCTGAACCTCGCCATTGCATGAAAGCTAGATCCCCTTCCCTAGACTCGATACAACCGGCGAAGATCTTGACACGGCCTTCCTGTAGGTTTCCGCTCTTGGGTCGGAGTGAGGATTTCTGGTGGAGGCTACGGATAGTGATCGATCAGACTGATCAGTAAGTGTTTCCAGCCATGTCAAAGAGGCCAACAAGTCTAGTTTGTGCCATCGGATATATCGATCAGAGCCGTCTTGAGAGGCACATCAGGTAGAATAAATGCTGCTTCTGCTGTAGTTTCGTGTTGGATCAGCCGCCTGATATATTGGGACCGCTCGACCATGACTCCAAACGAAGGTATTGTCTCTGGCCGGAATTATTCAACCCAGTGGACTGTACACATCGGGGTGCGACCACGACAATTGTCTTTTGCTTCTCATGTACTCCGTAGAGGTTTCTGTTCGTACAGAGACAACCAACTGCCAAGCAACTTGTTCCCAGTGAGATGAGAAAGTGGAGACTGATAGAAAGGTCTTGGCAGCTTCAGTCACGTGGATGTTTGACTGACCTTCAGACACCGATCTGTCTTGCGTTCCACCAACACTGTCTACCATCACTTGTTTCTTTCTGGTCCTGAACGATTATGCTTTGAACACTGTGAATGAGGACGGTCTGTCCTGTCGATCATCCACACCCACCTCCCGAGCTCTCTCAAGACTAGTCAACATGGTAAGCCATCAGGCTTCTCCCTTGCTGCCCAGACTGCTAATCCTCCATCAAGGCTGCTGCTACAGCCCATCCCTTCGAGCGACAGGCCGCCAATATCCAGATATCGAAATCGTATGTCCCCTCTATCGATCATACCGTCGCTCCATAGGATGTATTTTTGACAAAATGGGAATCTCTCTGAAACCACCTGAAGAGACTGCAAATATTTTGCTTTCTGAAAAATTGCCGAGTTATGAGATATTACACTCATGTGCGCTGGAATGATATCGGCTGACCAAAGTCTTTTTGCAGTGATGTCAACAACTTAATTATGGACTACCTGATCACTGAAGGCTACCCGTCAGCAGCGGAAAAGTTTGCAGCGGAAGCCAACATCCAGCCCAAAACCGATTTCAGTTGTATTCAAGAGAGGGTTCAGATTCGGGACTCGATACACCGCGGAGATCTGCAGGCAGCTATCGAGCTCATAAACGAGCTCAACCCAGAAGTGAGTCTTGTCCCGACCCTGCTGCTTTCTTTTTTCATGATTAGATTTGTTTTCATGCACCACTCATAGCCTTCGGGCAGAGATGAGAGCAAAAACACCTTCAGTCCTCAGTATGATTTATTAGACAAAAATCCACGACTCTCACCCAAGATTGCGTCCATCTCCATGCTGACCTCTTCCAAATAGCTCTTGGATAACGATAAAAGGCTTCACTTTTCCCTTCTCCGACTTCAACTAGTCGAATTAATCCGTCAAAGTTTCACGTCCTCAGATCCCAGCTTGGTGGGCAAAGCTATAGAATTTGCGCAAAACAACCTTGCACCCTACGCTCCCTTGGACGCACAATTTAAAACGGACCTCGAAAGGGCTATGGCCCTTCTGATCGTTCCCAAGGAATCATGGACTCAGGCAGCTGCATCGGGATCCTCTGGCCCAGCGACTTCACAAAGTCAAAACGACTTCGGCGCCCTGGCAGAGCTGGTAGATCCTTCATTGAGACGGAAGGTAGCAAAGGACGTTAATGAAGCAATCCTGCAGTCGCAAGATCAAAGAAGAGAAGCAAATATCAGATATCTCGTAAGAGCTCGCGCATGGGCGGAACAGCTGGCCCGCGAGAAGAAAATCAACCTGCCAGAAAACCTTACACTGGGTCTCGATGATGAAGGGCCTTCCGGCCGTAGCCAGAATGGCCACAACGGGGACACTGAAATGACAGAAAACGGATCGGAAGACAACCCTGCAGGTGGCGATGCTGATCTGGCCCGATACACGAACATACCCTCTTGAACATCACACCCGACAGTATAGCGAGATCTATACAGATGGCTCCAACCGTTTCAAGAAGAGATCTGTCTCAGCTACACGGCATGAGAAATGATGACATCGAGAGCTTCGTTCAACGCAAACCATGAAGGTCGTGCCCTCGAGCCAGGAATCCAAAGCGCCGCCGGCTCAATGACCGATATTGTATGTCTCCCGCTCCGCAGAATACCCCCAGCGCCATGCTAATTTACAATCCCAAGGTCGGCTCCGCTACCAATTCCAGGTCCGACTGCTAGCGGTAAAGACGGGCGGTTTCCAGTTGAGTCTGCTGGGATCGATCCTCCTGCTCCCTTTCACTTTCTCTTTCTCCCGCCGCTTTTCCTGCCACTCGAGCAGCTCATCTCGCACAACAATGATCCACGCACCCTTGTGGTATCGTAGTAGCTTCAGCACTTCGAGTTGCTCATGGACGTCCTTCTCAGTCATGGCTGTTTGACTCGCTATCTCGGCAATACTCGTGGAATATTGCGACGAGGGACCCGAGAAGCCTAGCGATGAATGTGGATGCAGTTGTTCCGAGGTTGGCGTGTGGGAGGCTGACCCCGGAGGAGGCAGCCGCGCAGGATCAGAAAGAAGCTCAATCAGCACTTCTTTCCAATACTGCCTGTAGCCCAGCAGCCCAAGATCCGAAAGAGGCTTCTCAGGAGACCCCAGCTTTCCCTCGCGTTTGCTCAGCTCATATGAGAAAGCAATAAGCAACCTCCCCAACCCTTGTCGCTGATATTGCGGCAAGGTGAGAATGCAAGCGACGTTATACCCTTCCGCCGACTCTTTTTCCTTGCTGAAATATCCGACAAGATGACATCCATACTCGTCCCGAGTGACCATGCAGTAAAACAAGAAGGGGTCGACATCATAGTACAATGTCTTATGATCGAGGAAAAGTTTTGACAGAAGACAAAGATTTCTGCACCACGTGCGCTGCCGCCGGCCATCGACCTCGAAGAAACTCACAAAATCGTCGCGGTAGATCTCGTTTCCCGGCGGATGGCGTAATTCGCATTTCGTGCGGTGTCTCTCGAATGCCTTCTTGGAGGAAAAGTAGGACAGACAAAACTCATCGATATAGACCATGTCGACGTCGCCGAACTCCTGAGGATAGGGAGAGAAGTACCACGGCTCGACGATGTGTTTGCCCATTTGAATCTTGTTCAAGTTGCGCACGAGATGCAATTGCGCATGATTCTGGACCATGGAGCCACCCGTGCGAAGCTTCTCGATCTCCTCCTCTGGCTCCATGATGGGAGCAACCTTCTCCTCTGTCTTGGTCACGTCGGGCATTTCCACATCGACGCCGCCTGCTGTACTGTCTTCATTCCCGATCGTCGGTAAGGGCGTACCTTCCTTGGTGATGACGAGGGAGGCGTCTCCGTCGGGCGCAAGTCCTTCATCGCGGTTCTCCTTTCCACCTGCTTTGGAGGGCACGGGACGTTTTCGGTCATTGCCTGCCTTGGAGCTGAGGAGGTCAGGTGTCGCAGAACTGGCGCGAGAATCTGTCCTTTGGCGACCAGCTTTCGTGGTGATGGATTTGGATATGGCGGCTTTGGACGGTGGCCCTTTTGTGGTCACGGTGGTCTTCTTCTTTTCGGGCTTCTCAGGAACAGGCCACTCAACCTCCTGGGAGAGGTCGATGCGCTCGGCCGTGACCCATTCTGTGATCTGTTAGAAGGTTTCTTTTGGGAAGTTGTGCCCTCGGCGATGCCTACCATCCAGACGCTTGTTGAACTCGACATAGTGTACGCTGTCGTTAGGTTAGTATTGGGCCCTAATGTTTGTTTCAGACTCGGGTCAAACATACTAGAAAGTCAGAGCACCATTTCTCTGTTTGATAGACAAGATCTCTGCCTTTCTAGGTTCTCCATTCTGCCCACAGTCAGTGACATGTTCGGTCTCCCCAAGATACCAAAGTCACGTGGACATCCAGCGAAAGTCGACGAAAAAACTCACCTTTTCAACGAAGGCCTTCACGCCAATTCTGTAAAATGTATTTCAGTATAAGTTCCACATCCGGAGGTGGACAACTTCATCAGATCTGGCACTTTTTTGGACTTACTGCAACTGGGTGAGCGTGGCGAAGCCCTTCTCTACCGGCTCAGGTGTACTGTTAGAGTCCTGGCTGCCATCTCCGCCTGCCATAGTGATCGGGTAGATGATGCGACAATTTCTATCGAAGGAAATGTCGTTCGACGATGATTTGGTGGAGTGAGGATGAGGAATGTGTTGTCGTGACTTGGTCGTGGTGGTTGTAGGTGAAGTTGGGGATGAGTTTGGAGGAGTTTGGAGGTGAGACTTGGCCTGAATGGGCGGGCAGGGTCTTTGGGTTGCAGCCTGTGGAGGCGCCCGTCGCCGCCTGGAGAGGCACCTGGCGCCTAACTGGGCACAGGCGCCCGAGACGCTGCCTACCACCTAGGTAGGTACTTCGGTTACACGAGTATAGGTACCTACGCCTTGGGCAACAACTTGGGGCCTGATGCTCTATCATTCACAAGGGGCATGCCATTCTCGCATTTGACAACGCTCATCCTATTTCATACAGTCATACTAAGAACTCATTGATCCTTAGACCATTCCCTTATTCAATCTTCATCCATGGACTCCCAACCATCTTGGGCCTCCTCTCCAACCTCCTCTCCCTCGTCATCTTCGCTCTCGTGGTCACTCAGACTGGCGCCAACTAATCTCTCTTTACCATCCGTCTCTGGCAACTGGACTCTGCCAGCGAACACTTTTCTCACGCTCGGATTGGTGCTGATGTCCCATACCTGCAGCCGCCCCTTACTTCCCGCCACTGATAGCCTGAAGGCAACCTCCGGATCTGGGGCAAACTGCGTCGAGAATATCCGCCCGACCTCAAGATTTCTCGAAATGACCATAGCGGGTTTGTTGTGCTCGATGTTCCATATCTTGACCCTCCTGTCCTCCGAGCCAGTAACCAGAAGGCCCGGCACCGAGGGACTGATATCGAATGCGCTTACGGGCCCGTCGTGGGCCTGTAGTGTCCATACAGGCTTGCTCGGCTTGTCGTGAGACACGGGGACGGTCCGGGCATCGAAGTAATGGACAGTGCCAGCCTCCGTGGTCACAAAGAAGAAATTAGGATCATGGATGTCCCATCTCACTTTCTCAACATCTGCCTCGACGACCCATTTCGGTGCCGCTGCGTCAGGGGCCCGCATATCCGTAGCAATGACGGTGCGATCGTAGCTTCCACTCAAGAGGACGGTTGACTCGGTCGGATGCCAATCCAAGGCGCAAACTTTGCCGCTGTGCATGGTGTATGATTTTGCGCACTTGCCGGTCTTTAAGTCCCACAGCTTCACGGTCTTGTCTGCCGACGCTGAAGCAAGGAGATTTCGATGATGTCGGTTTGCAGCCAAAGCTAGAACCGCATCGGCGTGGTATTCATCGTTCGCCTTTGCCTTCTTTTTCTTCTTTTTCGATTTCTTCTTGCCTTTTGAGCTCTCTCCGTCCTGCTCTGGCTCGTCTGGGTGCTCTTGTGGCTCTTGACCAAGTATGGCGTTGGGATACATACTATCGACAACATCCAAGTCCCAAATCTCGATCTCTGGATTCATAGTTCCAATTGCCACAAAGTTCCCGTCTGACCTCGACTCGGCGTCTTTACCGACAGGGACATTGATCCATTCAACACACAAAGGAACAGCAGGGAGCATGATGTCATGGTGAACATAGAGGTTGTCAGCTTCATCTTCATACACGAAGACTTCTAGCTGCGCAACCTCGTCTTCCACTTTCGCCGCCAGTATTAAGTTGTCCGAAGGCAGTATCTGCAGCTCTTCTCTTTCGTCTTCGGACTCTTCTTCTCCTTGAGGTAACACAATATATGGATCCTCCTCATGAGGTGCATGATAAGCTAATGAGCCAACATTGCCAAACATGGCGAATTTCTGGCCTTCTTCGTCCACGGGGTCTTTGTCATAGTCGTCAAGGTTGTATTCTTTTAGGTCATCAGTATTTGTCGCAGGCTGTTTCGCTGTGTCTGCGGCTTCTCCTGTGGGTACTCCGGCATCTGAGTCGTCATCATCTGATAAACCTCCCGCCTTGGAGTTTTGTGCGTCTAGAAGATCCTGCTGCGCATCTTCCAGTTGGAGGCGTGCTAGTTTCGAGATGCGGCTCAGTTCTGCTTCGTCGACTTGGTATTTGGTGGGAAACTGAGCGGCAACCCCCCTTCTCACCCATGTGGTAGCCAGAGTCATCGACATTCTGCAGCTGTTGGCAGGGTCTAAACCGACATGCACCGGTTCGTAGATTGTGTCCTCCAATATTTTTGGGCCGCATGCAGGAAAAGAGCGGCAGAATCCGCGAACTTTTGGGCGGTGAAGTTAGTTTCTTCCTGCAAGGCTGGGCTGGGCTGGGATGGATCTGCAAGGCTACTTTCTGCAGCTTGGCGAGAAACTAATAGCCTCGTACCCTCATCTGATCTCTTTGGCATTTGGCTCCTCTAGCAGCAATTTGATCAGACTCACTCTTGTCGTCGCAAGGCAGATGTGGGCGTGGCTTGAACCGCATGATCAATATTGGAGACGAGTCTCTACCAAAATGCATTCACATCTACACACAAAAGATAATATCGGTACGTGATATTGAAGCTGGACTGAGTCGCATGATCCTTCATTGAGCTGGGGCGATTTCTCTCACAGCCGTCCCCATTGCTAGACTTTCTTCCATCGGACCATGCATGCTGCGACTCCGATGTAGCCAACCCGTGAAAGTAATTCTGACCGTTCACAGGGTGCGAAGAGATCATGAACGCCTTGGACGAGTGCCACGCCCGCGGCTTCCTCTACAAGGCCATAGGTGGCTGCAACGACATTAAGCGAGAGGTGAACAAATGTTTGTCAGGGGAACGGACGAAAAAGAGCAGGAAAAACCGAGAGACTGCCCTCGAGCGGCGGGCCAGGATCGAAGGTGTGTGGGCAAAGTTCGACGAGGGCGACTACTCGGCCCTGGAACAATTCACGAAATCGAAATAAATCAACTTGGATACTGGCCCTTTTCGGCTATGGTTGGCGATTTTGAAGGGGCATGCCACGGCGTTCGTCTTTTGAGACTCCAAAAATTGGTTCCTCTGATATTACACGCATTCGCATGGACAGGAGGATATTTCTCTCAACTCTTTGCACCATATTCCAGCTCACTCTGCTTAACTGCAACATATATTATCAAGATCCTTTATCCGATCAACGTTTACGGAGACTTGTTTATTCATCGGCGTCGCCGTCGAGGATGCTCACTGGGCAAATGATGGCTCCCTACTTCGCCAAACCACTCTATCTCTCAGGCAACTGCCTCTGGAGCCAATGCAAGTGGCGGGGTGATTCTGGGACTCTATTCCACTCCAACCTTACTTTCTACGAGGAAATCCGCATCTCACTAGAGTCGAGTATTTGCTCAGATGACATCTCTCCGGAAGGACCCTCGCACTGGTTCAATACCGCCTACGAGAAATACTACGTGAGGGACTATGGTTGATGTGGTATGCTTTCTGGATTGCGAGCCTCAGCCGGTCTTCGCACGCATTTCTGGGTCGAGATAAGTCAGAAAATCTTAGTATATATCCCCGCTCAGTCGGACTACTGTAGCCTTGGACGATGTATCTCATCGAGGGTGTAGTAGCCGCGAGTGATGGCGAAAGGGTACCTCTTCTCGCTCACGTGACACATAATAGTACGATGTGGCTGTGGTGAGACGTTGGACTCCACACTGCGCTCTCCGCGCAACGGCTTGACGTTTACTCCGTACACCGCACTCAGCGAGGTACCTACAGCTGCTCTAGACTGTTTGACCTTCTGGCACATTGGCAACTCTTTGTATATTCGATTCAGTAGTTCTTATCCAAACGTGACTTGTCTTAACTAGCAATTTACACGTTCTTTGTCCCTCCCGCCGAAAGCAGTCCCAATCGAGTGCCTCTCCGATAGGTGGCTTCGAGACACATGTCTCAGGCTTACCATCCCGCAAATGTGGCATTATGACCAGCGGAGAAGATAACAAGGAGGAAAATACCCTTGAAAATTCATCTGTGGAACAATCCTCGAACCAGAAGACACCTCCTTCGACAGCCTCTGTTGAACCCGAGCTCGATGACTTCGGACTACCCAAACGACCGGTGAGGGCAACCCGACCAACAGAGTTGGACGACAGTGACGATGACCACGAGACGTTTCATGATGCCGAAGCGTCTACGGATAAAGAAGGGGCAAGTGAGGGGGACGCCAAAGAGACTCCTTGCGAGCTACAGCAGACGGCAGAGCAGAAGGCAGAGAAGCATCCAGAATTGGTTGACAAAAGCAACAAACAATCGTCTCCGGATGACGCACCCTCAAAATCAGACAGAGGATTGAGCAACCCGGGGATGAAGGAAAACGAGAAGGATCCAGTCATTGGCGAAGTACCAAGTCTCGAGGCGAAGGCAGCAGATAAAATTCCACCTCTAGACACAGCATTGAAGCCGGATACGAAACAGGATGAGCAAACAAATGATAGCGCAACCTCTCCGACAGCATCTCGAATTTCTGGCACAGTTATACCAAAGCGTAATCAACGATCCAGTCCCGCCACGGCCTCTGAATGGTCTCACCAAAGACAAATTGCGACCGCGAACAAATCGGACGAGGAAGAAGAGGAGGAGGAATGGCAGCCGATGCCGGCCATTGACGAATTTGATATCTTTGACGATAATGGACGTCTGGTGGCGAAAGGTCACAGGGAAACCGAAGACGATGCAAATCCCTATGCCGGCATTGGAGGCGCTGGGAAGGGTTATACGAGAGTGCAGCTCGACGAAGATGCACAATCAGCTACAAGCCTAGACGAAGATACAAACTATCTGTTTCGGAACGGCCAGAAGATGGAAGACATGGAAAACAAGGATGACCAGGATGATGAGCAGCGGGATGCTCTCAGTCAGCTGCAAGCGACCAAAGATCTCCTCACGGAAGGCCAGCGAATAGCCTACGTCGGAGTGGTCCGTTTGACAATCCACAAAATGTTTTCAGCGTTGGGTGACCTGGAGAAAACAAAGGGTGTGCGGAAAGAATTGATGAGATCTCTAGAGAATATGGATATGTGGGGACAGAAGATGATGGTTCGGCTCTATGCTCACATGGACATCAACCAGGCCGAACAGATAATGATTGAACAACTCGCTGAGCATGGGGTGCAGCCGTCTGACCTCGTTAGTCCCCTCATGCTGAATGCGAAAGTGAGGAATCCACTGGCGGACGAGGCTGCGACCGAGACTTCGAAGCCAGACGTCTCACGAAACCGAGATTCAACAACTTCTGTACACTCCTCGAAAGTGGATGATGTCCCTTTGAAAGAGGTCAAGGAGAGCGAAGAAGTCCCTGAAGTCCATGGACCGGAAGACATGCCTCATACCAAGGAGATTGAGCTCGATTTGCGGTGGACTGTCTTGTGTGACTTATTCCTGGTCCTGATATCTGATGGTCAATACGACGCTCGATCGAGACGACTACTTGAACGAGTTGGCTCGACAATGGAGATTAGCTGGACTCAGATATGTCGATTCGAGAAGAGGGTCATTGACGCCCTAGAAATGCAAGAAGAAGAAGCCAAGGAGAATTGGAACGAATCCGAACACATGGAGAAACGGCGTAAACGCGCCCTTAAGAAGAAATACATGGTCATGGGCCTCGCGACTGTTGGCGGGGGTCTTGTGATTGGTCTGTCAGCAGGATTACTTGCACCCTTCATTGGCGCGGGTCTGGCAGCTGGTTTCACGACCATTGGTGTCACCGGTACAGCAGGGTTTCTGGGAGGGGTGGGTGGAGCAGCTCTGATCACTTCCGCTGCCACAGCAGCTGGTGGGACGATTGCTGTTCGAGCTGCAGATCGTCGGACTGGCAGTGTGAAGACGTTTGAATATCGACCGCTGCACAACAATAAAAGGCTGAACCTTATCTTGACGATATCTGGCTGGATGACTGGCAAGGTGGATGATGTCCGCTTGCCGTACAGCACCGTTGATCCTATCATGGGCGACATTTACTCCTTGCTTTGGGAGCCAGAGATGCTTCAATCAATGGGTGACACTATCAACATCCTTGCCACGGAAGCTTTGACCCAGACTGTTCAGCAAGTTCTTGGAAGTACGATACTAATCACTCTGATGGCATCAATACAGCTGCCAATTGTGCTTTCCAAGTTGGCTTATCTTATTGACAATCCGTGGAGTGTGTCCCTCGACCGAGCTACAGCTGCAGGTCTTATCTTGGCCGACTCGTTGATTGACAGGCACCTGGGGCAAAGACCAATCACTCTGCTAGGCTTCTCCCTAGGCTCAAGGGTCATCTTTTCGTGCTTGAAAGAGCTGTCGAATCGTGGAGCATACGGCTTGGTCCAGAATGTTTACATGTTCGGCTCGCCTGTGGTTGTCAGCAAGGATGACTACTTACGGGCTCGTTCAGTCGTTTCCGGAAGGTTTTTGAATGGATATGCCTCCAACGACTGGATTCTCGGATATTTGTTTCGGATGACGTCCGGTGGCATCATGCGAGTTGCTGGGCTTGCGCCGGTGGAAGGCATTCCAGGCGTGGAGAATATTAACGTTAGCACATGGGTTAAGGGCCACATGGCTTATCGTGCCGCTATGCCACGGCTGTTGCGAGAAGTTGGGTGGGAAGTCGAAAGCGACGAGTTCACTGAGATCGAAGATCCGGACCCTGAAAATCACGCGCAACGACAGCGAGAACTAATCCTGGAAATCGACGAGGCCAGGAAGAAAGCCGAAGAGAAACCGGACAAGAAACGTTTCGGCATTTTCAAACGAGGCAAACTGGCTGAGAAGAAGGGTTGGGAGAGATATAACTCGAACGACCCCAACCACAAGCGAAACGCCAGTAACACTCTAGAGCCCGGTGGTAACGGCGATGCCAACGTCCTGTTTGACGTTGATGCAATTCGGAGAGAATTGGCGGGCGAAATGATCGAAGTCAGAGAGTTGGACAGCACCCTCCCTCCAATGCAAATCATGTCAGTCAAGGATGGGGAAAAGCACGTTGAATATTTACGCCTTCCGCCTGGGATGAAGCCCGAGGAACTTGCAAGGCTGAATCTCCCGCCACGTCCTGACGAGGTTGATGTTTCTTTCGCACCTCTACAGCAGCCTACCCCCGTTCGGCCTGCAAGGTCATCATCTTTGAAGCCCGCCTCTATAGCAAGCCCCCAACGGTCTCCTCGTGTCAGTCCTCAAAGATCTCCTCAGCCATCTCCGGACCCGGACAGGCGGTCATCCTACACCTATTCAGAGCCGAGAGAGCTGGCTAGCACATTACCAGTTCTCACCGCTACGCCGTCTGCATCTCCTAGACCGGAAAGTTACAAAGCACCTATGGAACCCGTCCGACCGGAACTCAAACCACATGCAACAGACCCCTCCGTACCAAGCTGGGGCCGGCCATCGACAGCCTATGATGATTCAGTTGCTCCGCCGGCGCCGAGGCTGGACTTGGAACGCAACGCCTGGGCTGATGACGACGATGAGTTTGGACATAATCGTGGCGAGATCAGTATGACCTTTGAATGAAGATCCAATGGACTCGACCACCTCACAGTCAAGGAACGACCTTGTTGCATAGCGTGGCGCAGGGGAAGGAGGGTTACCGAATGGTTTGGCTCACATATCTCAAGGTATAGGATCCCGAAAAACGGGGTAACAGTACGCATTTTATTGATGCAGCACCTGCTTTGCTTTGGCAGGCTACTCACATCTGAATCCCCCCGTTTCTTACATTGAACATGTTCGACGCATTTCTGCCACGCTCCACAATTGCACCTGTCCGGAACGAAATGTCAGTTCGTGGTTTCCGGTCGCTCGCATCAGCGGCTTTCTTTTAGGAGATTTGGCCGTTGGATTGCATGTGCACTGGGCGGCAGTTTCCATGCTCGTCCAACCCAGGGCAAATGCAACCCGTTTCTTTGTTCCTTTTGCTTGAACTGAAACACATCGAAGGACCGCATCGCTTTGACACGCTTTGGAGGCATTGTTATTTGTCGAGTCTTTATCTCCAGCTGAGACATTGCCAATTGGTCCAGCATTTTCCCCTTTTGAAAGCAGCAGAAACAATGAATGAGCTTCGATGCGGTTTCTGTGCCCGGTGCGATCTTCTCCACGAACAGCCTCAACTGCCTCGCTGCTTTGACCCTGCAAAAAGCTACAAATGCACGTCTTCCAAGCTCGGGGCGTGTTGTTCTCTCCAACGAACATACTCTATCACCTGCGTGTTCATGCTGGTTTCGCAAAATTCCCATCTCAATCATCCCTCAAACGGAAATACAGCATGGCTGCTCAATCTTTTTGGACGTACCTCTGGGCCGTTTTACTGCACAAGAACTCCCTCTTTCTGTTCTTGCTCGTGTTTCGGTACCTGAGGTTTGTCGTCCACCTGGTAAGTTTCTTCCTCTATCGCCCCACTCCCACTGCACGGTTTCCATCGCTGACGGAAAGAGACTGCACAGTAGTCATTCCCACTTGCGATCCGGAGGACCCAGCCTTCTCTCGATGTGTCGAGTCAGTCGTGAGGGCTTCCCCTGCAGCCATCCACATCGTGGCCGTGGGCAAGGAGCAAGAGAAACAGGTATTGTCGACCATATCCCCATGCATAAGTCGCTTTCCCAGCATCTGCTTCCGAGTCTCGTCGAGCGTCCAGGCACACAAACGCCATCAAATCACAGCTGCCCTGCCGGCAGTCAGCACGTCGATCACGGTTCTATGCGACGACCATGTGATTTGGCCCTCCGCAAACATCCTGCGGGCAGCAGTCGCGCCGTTCGAGGCCGACGAACGGGTCGGCGGCGTGGGCACCAACAAGCGCGTGATCCGCCATGCGGACAAGGGCCCGTGGGCGGGCTTCTGGAACGTGATGGGCGCCTTGTACCTGGAGCGACACAACTTTGAGCACACGAGCTCCAACGCGGTCGACGGCGGCGTCGCCGTCATTAGCGGCCGGACCTGTCTCTACCGCACGTGTATCCTCCAAGACCCGGCGCTGCTGGCCGGGTACCTGGACGAGCGATTCCTGTGGGGTCTCTGCGGCCCGTTGAACGCCGACGACGACAACTTCCTGACCCGGGCGCTGGTCCGGCGCGGCTTCAAGATCAAGTTCCAAAACACGCCCGAGGCCATGATCCTCTGCGACGTCGGCGAGTACCCCAAGTTCCTGCAGCAGTGTCTTCGCTGGGCGCGCACCACGTTCCGGAGCAACACGTGCTCGCTGGTCACGGACCGCGCGGTGTACCAGGCCCAGCCGTGGGCCGTCTACTCGCTCCAGATCAGCCTGATGGTCAACTTCGCGCTGTTCTACGACGCCGCGCTGGTGTGGACGCTGACCCGGACGGACTTGTACACCGCGACCACCGTGAAGGCGCTGGTCCTGTGGATCCTGGTCTCGAAGCTGCCGAAGCTGCTGCCCTATTTTCTTCGGCACCCGGCCGATCTGGTCTATCTTCCCGGCTACTACGTGTTTGCGTACTGCCACTCGCTGATCAAACTGTGGGCCCTGCTGACCTTCTGGGACACTCGGTGGTCTGGACGAAATTTGGACGGCATCAACCTCACTGCTGCTGCGGCGGGTGCGGATTCGGGAGGCGAGGGCGAAGGCGAGGGGAGGGGTGGAAGGAAAGATCCCGGACCAGACGCATCGCCGGCCATGAGAGCTGAAGACTTCTCCCTCCACAACACTGTCGGTCCCCCGGCCAGCCAGTACCGCGTCAAGACCCCCTGGGGCTCTGTGCAATCACGGAACCTACACCAACTCCCGGCCAACATCCTCCAGACGCAGCTCAGCAGCAGCACCAAGCGGAGCCTCGCCCGGACGACCCGTCAACATTGGCATGGGAACCACATGGAGGCCGGCGTCATCCTCCCCGACGCTTTCGACGCCGGGCCTGGCCTTGAAACGGTGACGCCACCCCAAAATAGCTCGGTTCCTCCCCCTCCACGAATAATCTCGAGCTCGAGCAGGAAGGCCGATGACACGTACTCGCGCTCCTGGAGCCGACGGGGCGAGTGCGGAAAACTCCACGAGGGGTATCACCTGCGCCGAGGCTGCGTGCTGGGACCATGAGCCTTTTGAGGGGGGGGGAAGCCAAGGTGGTCTGGGTTTCAGTCGGGTAGGGGATTTTATTTTCATGGAGGTTCTGTGTGGTCATCATATCTTTGATGGGATAATGGGGCAGTGTGAGAGAGGGGGCGGGACATGTATCCAAACGGAGAGTGAGTTGGTGTGGAAGAGAGTAAATGAGGCCAAGGTCGAGAAGAAGTGGGAAGAACTAATCTCCCTGACTCTGGAGAAAAGCCTCGTAGCAAGATCATTCTCTGGCCAGCAATACACGGATTCACCTGAGCCTAGCCAGTGCCACCCACAGCCAAGTGTTGACAATCCCATATCTTTGACTCTGGCCTTCCCTTTCCAAGACTCTCGGAGTAATCCAAGAGATTCCGTCCGTAAAAGCCGCTTGTTGAGAATGTTCCATTGTCTTCACATTACTTGTATACAACGGGATACTAGACCCCTCTCTTTCAACCGCCATCGACGCCCGAAACTCCGCCTGTATGGTGAACAATGGTCCGGAAAATCGATTTGGACATTGCACGCTCCTTCCCCAGGAACCCATAGAACTCGAGATTGTTTTCCGTTATTACATAGCCTTCGTGTCTTCGAATGCCCGTGGTCGTAGAGATCCAAGAACTCAAGTCGTCACCGTGTCGAGATCGCCGCCATCCATTTCTGTTCGTCTTTGCTGTAGAAACTGTCAGCTCCAGAACCTCCACAGAGCAAGAAAAATAAAGAGAGTGGGAAAATGCCACCAGTAAACATACCGATCAAAATGTAACAACATGCTCAGCACTGGGATCAACTGCCTCTGGTGCCCTTTGTCCTTCTGCTCGAGAAACTGCAACAGAACGTTCTTCAGGTAGACATAGTCAACGGTTCCTTGACTCAGGCCGGCCGGTGCTCCTGCCATGGTATTAGGAGTCTCGCTGCGACTGGTCGTCGTGGAAAGAACTCGTTCTTTCGGCGCCGGAGACCTCGCATTGGTGGAATCGATAGACGTCCTAGAACTCGGCGCATTTGAATCTACTCGACCCAGGTTAGGTCTGCCCGGTATCCTTGAATTGGTTTGAGCCGCCTTCAATTCCTCCGTCAGATTCTTGTTCGCTTTTGTCAGTTTCTCGACCCTCTCTTTGGCTTCGTCACCTATCCTCCGCAATTCGGCCTTCTGCGCATCAAGTTCCCTCACCTGCCGTTCGCTGTCGTCCAATGCCTCCCTCAACGATGTCATGGCGGCTTTCACCTCTTCGACCTCGCTTGCCGCCCTTGTTGCACTTTGCTCCAGCTCTGCTCTCCTCCTCTTCCACTCTTTCAGCCTGGTCTCTAGCTCTTCCTTTTCATCTTCCAAGACTTTGAGTGATCGTTGTGCGTCGCGGGCTTTACTCCTCGCCTCTTCGACCTCGCGCATCATGCGTCGCTGATTGACACTCGCCTCATCTTCCACCCTATCTCTCTCCTCAATGGCCGCGTCCATGCGTTCCTTCATCTCTCGGATCCGGGATTCCGTGCCCGCCGAGGATTGATCCAGCAGCATGCGCATGGTTTGCCCCTCGCGCGTACGTTCTGAGAGCATTCTCTGTGTTTCGTTGAGCTCCTCTTCCAGGCTCTCGGCGCGTGTTGTGGCTTCGCGGGCTTGCATATTGAGTTCATGAGTCTGGTCACGGAGAGACTGGACGAGGGCTTGTGACGAGCTGTGGAGGGCTGTTTTAAGGGAAATTTCGTCTTTCAATTCGGAAATTTGACGAGCCTGGAGCGATACTTGCTCCTCAAGGTCGGACAATTTCGCTCTGAGTGTCGTCGATTCTTCTTTTGCTTTGTGAAGGTCTTTGGTGAGTTGGTCTGACTGGGCGGTAGCCTTTTCATGTCGGCTTTCCGCCGTTTGGAGATCAGACTGCGCTCTGTCAAGATCCTTTTCTATCCTGGTTCTTGCACTAATCTCTTGCTCAATCTTCTGTTGTAGTTCTTTGATCTCATTGTCTTTGTCGCCCAGTCGCTTGCTAAGTCCCTTGAGCTCGGCTTTGATGTCTTCGTGTCGGGCTTCGAGCCTGTTAAACTCGCCAGTCTTGTTCCTGAGGTCTTCCTTTGCAGTTTTGAGTTCTGCGACCTCGTTGCGGAGATTTCTCAGCTCAGGTTGCGATTTAGCGAGCAGCTCCTTGAGATCAGTGATGTCCTTGAATCGGCCGGCGGCGAGTTGCTCAGAGGCAGAAAGATCGTTCTCCAGGTTGGAACATCGAAGTTTGAGATCGTCGTATTGCTGAAGTATTTCCATGTGTGCCTTCTCCCGGTCAGCGCCACCTGCGACGGCTGCTCGAGCTTCCAGTAACTCCTTTTCAAGTTTGTCCACAGCATCTTGAAGATTATTCTTCTGTGTCTGGGCATCCTTCAATGCATCACGAGCCTCGACGTGTTCTTCACCTTGATGTAGGAGGTCGTCTCGCAATGTCTCAATCTCTTCTTGTAGCTCTTCCTGGTCCTTCAATTGTTTGGAAAGCCTCTGAATGGCATCTTCCTTGGATGCTACTTCTGCCTTGAGCTCCGAGATATCTTGTTCCAGCTTGGAAACATCGGCTCCAGAATGTTTGTCATTTACGCCAGCCTCGACATCATCCACTTCAGCCAAGTTTTCAGACACCTTAACTGGGGTCACAGTTTCTGCTGCATCATCTGTACTGGCCTGCGGCTGGCCTTTGCCCTTCTTCTTTTTCTTGTTCTTCTTCTTGGACGCGCCTGTGCCTGCTTCCGACGGTGCTGGAGAAGCCGTCGCTGTCTCTGCAACGGCCTTGTTTGAGGAGGCCCTTTGCAAGCCGAAGTTTTCAGACAGGTACTGCACAACATCGTCGCGCGTCTGTAAGGTGTCAAGCTTGGCTTTGTTCCCGTCATCGAGGAAACCGAAAATTTTGGTGGAGGGTCGGTGCAGATACTCCTCTCTTGTAGCTTCGATCTCGGCTTTCAACTCAGCAACCGTTGTCTCAGCTTTGTCCAGTTGACTTCGCAGAGTACCCATGATACCTTGCATCGTCGCAAGCTTCTTTTCGCTCGATTTCTCATCTTGGCTCTTTGCTGCTTCTTGCCTCTCCGCAGATTTGTACATGGCCAGAGTATCTTCAAGATCCTTCACAATAGAGTCTTTTTGTGATAATTTTTCATTGAGCAACTCCGCATCCTTAGTTCTGCAGACGATTTGTTCTTCAAGTTTGGCATTTGTCGCCTCAAGCTCTCTGATCTGGCTCTCTAGCGATTGCGATTGGGAGACTGCCTCAAGCTTTTGCGCCTTCAGGTCGTCGATCTCCTTCTGAAGCCCGTCACTCCGCGTCGTGTTTGAGGCAGCAGTGGTCTCCAGCTCGGAGATACGGCTCTGCAGCTCATTCTTAGTCTCATCAAATTTGTCCTTTGCCTCACGAAGATTGTGTAGCTCCCGAGTCGCCGTTTCTAGGCTCTCCACCATGCTTTCGGTCGACTCGCGAGCGACCTTGAGATCTCCTTGTAGGCTAGTGAGCTGTTTTTTCAGGTCTTCCACCTCTGCTTGACTCTCATGTAACTCAATCTCCATCTTCGACTGTTCGGATTCGAATGAAAAGAACTCCTCTGATGTTTCCTTGGGCGGAGACATTGCTTTGTGTCGTGGAGAGAATAAAGAGAAGCTCGCAATTCGGGAAGTGGTGCTTGTAGGAGACTTGGCCGTCTGTTCCGAGTCCGCGGCTTCCTTTAAGGAGGAGCTGTCAGCAGCTGTCGTGATGTGCGGACTACCGATCGAAAAGTTCTTCTCGGGCTCAGACGCCTTCTGTTGAGACAAAGTCTCGACCTTGCTCTTCAGGGTTGTAATTTCCTCTCGCAGCCCGGCCGTTTCTTCCTCCGCAGCCTGGAACTTCTTCTTGTAGTCGTCCCTGTCAGATGTGACTCGTTTCAACTCATCGACGACCATGTCACTCTTGAGATTTATTTGATTCAAATACTCGACTAAAGCGCCAGGGTCGTTGATGCTCGTCAAGGGGGTGTTCTCGCGCAGTGACGCTTCGAAGGACTCGACGGCTTGTATCCGTGCATGGGCCGTTCTGTAGGCTTTCAATAGTTCTGTATACTTCGATTCCATCCGATCCAGCCTGCGCAGTTTCACCCGGACGTCAGTAGGGAGGTCTTGAGGACGTAAGGAGGTAGTGGCAGTGCCATTGGCATCTGACACTTTGTTGTCAGCGAACTCCGCGAGACTTTGTGTGTCCAATGCATCTTCGGAGGCTGGTATGTCTTTCTCCTTGACTTGTTCCTTCTCTTTCCCCGTGCCTTCGGGCCTAGGAGTGGCTGCCCTGCTTGGGACCGCGCTTTCATCGTCTCCGATCGCGAATTCCGGTTCGAACTCGGAGGGATCAGGGCCTCTGTCGGTCGAGGCATCTGACTGCTGTTCTCTTAGCCTAGAGCCAGCCCTCTGGCGGCTTCCATTCTGAGCTTGTGGACGCCGTTTCGGCGGAGTCCTCGCCGCTTGAGCGCTGTTAGCAGCCTGACGTTGTCGCGCTTGCTCTTCCGCAATATGGCTGTCTATGACGCCCTTGAGGCGCTGTGTGTGCGATCAGACTGACGGGTTCTAGCCCCACGGTTGGCGGACGTACCTGAAACATCTCCAGCTTTGCGGTATTGACAAGAACTAGGCACAAGTCAAACGGAAACTGATTTCGTCGACAGCAAACAGTCAATGCGGCGAGAGCCTCGAAATATCACGAACTCCGCAATCTGGGTCGCCGTTGGCCGGTCGGCCAGGGTCGAAGTGGAGAGAGATTTGGAGATGACAACTAAGTCCAAACGATGCAGGAATTTCTTCTCTTATTTTATCCCACGCTGAAGGGCCTCAATTTCTCCTCGTCGTCGTCGCTACATCAGGCATTCATTTGGGCCTAAGAATGTCTCGATGGCGTACCTGAAAGTGTCTGACCTTTGTATCGTGCCAGTGTCATGTCATCACTACCGCCTGTTTACTTCGGGAGGAACATGCTTCATTCCCCCGTCCTTCTCATGGATCTTTCTATCCCATATAACCCTTTCTCCCATGCCATAGTTTGAGTACATCCAAGATTCTAGCGTCTCAACACGCGTCCTCCGACGCGAATTGGTCAGGCCTGAACGAGCAGTAGCTCTCGGCCGAACGCATGATTTCCAACTTCTACAGATCCCGCCATGACCACAGCTCTCCCAATATTGCTGTAACTGATCCTGCTTCGTCTATGAGGTTTCGGTGTCGTGTCAACATGGCGAAGAATGATCAATATACACAGTCCGCAATTAAGCCGGAGCGCTTCCTTGAACCGTGTGTCGAGAGGTACGCGGTGGGTAGGATGTGCTTGACTTGGATGGCCTGACAGAAGATATTGATGATTTGGTCTCTTCATAGAGACTGGGCCAGCCTTGATAGATTTGCCAAATGCCATTCCCTTGGTCGTCGCCGTAAACCAAATTCACTTGAGAACGACATTGGCTCCTCTTGCCGCCAGATATTGATCTGGAGCGCCCTGTGGCAAACTCCTCACCACTGCAAAGATCTCCTGGTCGTAGTATCTCAATTTTGTTTTGGGATCTGTATATTTGGACGGCAAGCCGGTTATGTCACAGTAGTGCTTGTGATTTGCAGGATGTAAACTCGGGGCGCTCTCAATGTTGGTGTAGGTGACAGCTGGCCCTCCCATCCCACTAGCCCCTAGAAATGCATTATTTGACGCTCTCTCCCTCTGTAAATTCCTTTCCAAGACCAACGTACTCAAGCTCTGCGTCGCCTGGGCCATGTTGAGGGGTTTTGAGGCCGCCGCGGAAGAAGGGGGGTAGGCAGGCGTGGATGTGCCATCGGAGTTTGCGCCCGTGGCGGGCAGAGGGGTTGATGCGCCGGAGTTGTTCTGGGTTGCGAGCACAGATGCCTCCTTTCGTTGCGATTCGGAGATAATTTGTTTTGTGTTTTTGTTCCGTCGCGTGCTGGGTTTCCAGTGGGAGTTGCGGAAGGGCTTGGGGGTGTAATAGATGTCCATCTGATCAAGCAGTTGTTGGTGGGAATCATCTTGAGGCTGCGGCGTGGAGGGAGGCATTTTCGCTTGCGGGCCCTGCGAAGCTGGTTGATCAAGTGAATGGTTCGCCGTCACCTGCCTACTGCTAGGTATTCAGTGTGCAGGGTGCACGTTCGAGGTTTGCTGTGGAAGACAAAGAAGATTGTACTCGTGGGTAGATGGAGGATCTACGAGTTTTGGGGTTCCGCGGACGGGGAACAGGGATCGCGTTCCGCAGACGAGGCCGCGAATTTACGAGTCGATCTACCACTTTTAAACGGCCTTCGTCTTATTCTGCTTTTGATTCCATCACAGGTATGAACGACGCGCCAAGGTGAAGAGAAGCTACGAGGGATCGCCCATCACCAACTTGGTTCGCCCTCGACTATATAGCTATGGACAGAAGATCCACATGAACCTCCTATCGCGTCCACAGCGTCCGCCACAAACCGATGCCCACAACCACAACCACCGCGCCTGCCCCAGTCCATGCAAGCATGCCTCGTTGGATCTGTGTCCTGATGATTCGATCCGTTGCTTCCGCATCGTTGACGCGCGGAAACGGCACGTTCGGCACGTCGCAGTCGAGGATCTTGCACAATGGCCCCCATCCTTGCTTGATGTCGTAAAACCATAGGCGTTCAGGCGGGACAACCCTTTTCACGTACTCCATGTGCTCCCCATACTGCCCGGGATGCGGGTGATTGTGCCCGGACTGATAGAACAGCTCTCCAAACCGGCCGTATCTCAGCGCGTCCGAAAAGGCCTTCCAATATCTCATCGTCGGCAACAGCGCGAGCAGAAAAGCGAGCACTCTCTCATTCCGTTCTGCCTCAGTATCCGTCTTAGCCGCGACTGGTTCCATGCTCTTCCACCAGCTCTCTGGGTCCCGTGTCGTGCAGATGACTTTGGCGTCGGGAAACAACTCTACTAATTCTTCGGTGAAGAGGACGGGTGGCATATCTGTGACTGCTGTGTACCCTGACAACAAGCCCTTGAGTCCTTGGAGAACCACATTTCTGTCCGACTCGTCTTCGATGGGTGTATGCTTGCACAGATGAATCCACGCGCGTATGTGGTCCTCTCCCGCGCCCACCAGTTGGCTTCCGCCATGGTATACCGGTCCACCGAGGAGGATTTCCAACGCCTGGCTAAAAGATGCTGTTCCAGTGCGGGACCTGTTCTGTGGTCAGGATTCAAAAGCTTTATCAGGAAAAAAGACAACGTCCGGGAAGTCCCAGCAGCGCTGAACGAAGGTTTTCGAGGCGACTTACATCCCGCAGCCAATTACCTGGAGCCTCACATTGGGGTCAGGCTTAGAGGCCTTCTGACCCATATCATAACAGATGGGCGAGTTGTTTTGCAAATCCGATGCGCTCTGACGCGAGAGGTCAAGTTGGATCGCCTTCAAAGGGTCGTCGATTGAGCCTCGAGAAGACCACCTGGACAATATCTACAGAAAGGCCACATTTTGTAAGACGGGCACCCAGCCCTTTGCCAACAGTGCGCATCTCCAAATGTACGAAACCACGCCTTGAACCTGTACTAGAATGGCCTTTCTCCGTGCTCGATGTCCTCTTTGGGGTTACACGATCAAGCCACTATTGGTAGGTAAAAACGACCATTAGATCCCCACCGTGCCGATCATGATCCTGGTCGGAGCACAACTGCACCTCGTAGACAATATTTGGGTGGGGCAGAAAATGGTGCCGTACCGATGCGGCCATGATGTGCATATATGGCCATCCGGCCACACAGATATACATGTCGTCCTTGTCACGAGTCTGAGGGCTGGACTTGATAGAATTGCAAAGGCCCCGGCCAATATTTGCTGTGGTTGGGCTGAAGACCAAGGAATCATGGGGATATTTCACAGAACGGAACTTGATCCCCACCTATTCAAACTCGGTTGTATGCATGCGTGTTCTCTCTGACTACCTATGCCTTAACTCGTTTGAACTCTTATGGCTTCTGCAACAGCATCTGCGAGCGTCTCCATCACGTTCTCCGCCTCGATCAAATCATTGTCCCGCTTGTCGTACAGGGTGCCGCCCTCGGCCCAAATCCTCTTCAAGGTGAAGATGGTCGCATACGGCTTCCCAGCATCCCAAGCTTCCTTTTCAAGCTTCTTCAAAGTGTCGAGGCTCGTACAGGACACCTTCCAGGGCTGTCCGCCGGTCTGCTTTTCAAATTCCTTGAGGATCTCCGAGTCGGTGGCGGTAAAAGAGTTGACTCGAAGTGCCTTGTTCCGACTAGCGTCCGGATGGAGGGCAGCGAGAACCACAAGCTTGCCAACGCTAGACAAGCGTGTCATTGAAAGCGCTCTGGAAATGGGAGAGGGAGCGGGCACTTACTCTTTCATGGTGGTAAAGCTGACCTTGAGATTCCCATCGCCGAGCAATACAGCTTCTTTGTTCTTGACGTCGAACGTCCCGGCTTCCTTGACCACGGGGTTTGCACCGAAGTAGAGGCCGGGTTCGCCATCCGCATAAGGGCCCGTGACCACATAGGTATAGTCCAGGCGGTCACAAGTCTGGAGCGCCGCTCGAACCAGCAACTTCTTCTGGTGTGGTTTCTCGTGGGCTGACGCCGGCCCGTGCGCGATATCAGTCCCGTATTCGGACGGAAAGAACCTGTGGACCGAAGGACTGTCGTTGGCGAGGCGCGCCAGCTCGATCTGGTGTTCAATCACGTTTCTGCCAACGCAAGAAATGACGGTGTCAATGTCTGTGGTAGGGACGCCGTGTTAGACTGTTTGACGAACACTCTTATCGAGAATATTACCTTGATACGCCTTGACCACGTCGTCTGATTTGGTTATATCGCCTACGATGATATCTACCCCTTCCTTTTCCAGGCCTTGTAACTCGCTTGCCTTGGACTCGGAGGTGCCCTGTGACGTGAACACGGCGATCCTCTCAAATTTGGACTTGTTGCGAACAATTTCACGGGTAATGCGACTCCCAATAAGCCCGGTTGCTCCAAAGATCAGGAGCTTTTTGCATGCTGGAGACGCTGCTGAGGACATTGTTGCAAGGTAGAACGTGCTCTGATGATAGCTGCTCCGAGATGACGTCGCTGCGCGTGTACACTTGCCGGAATCGGATCTCTGTCGTCAGTCAAACCTCGACGATTGTTTGTAACCCGGTTGGAATGAAGGGTGTATGCTTCGGGTCCTCGACAGTCGAGTTTAAATAAGTCTTGCGACAACGACGTTCACACTAATCCGCCGCATCAGATTGCTCGAGGAGATCGAGCAAAGTCCGAACATCCCCAATTTGGACACAGTTTGGAGGTCTGTTATAGGATCTCGTGAGAATTGGAGAGCGGGGAGAGCTGCGTAAAGTCTTTGCCCGGCATTAATCAGCAGGGGCCTCAGCCTGATCAGGTGGCAATGCGGCAAAATAGAGAAAAGGGTTGATGCCATGCAACCGAGGGTATATGTATGCGCCTCCTTTGCAATATCCAACGTGGATTGCAATTCCCACTGGGATTCTCCATGTAGACATGGCTGCATGAGTGAGGAAGTGGAGCGAGAGAGCTGAGCGGGAAGGATTATCTCAGAGGCAAGGTGAGTGATGCGACAGATATTAATTTCCAACAGGATAACGAGAGCAGATCTAATCGAGACTGCGCAGATGGTGTAATATAATCCATCTTTGTCGGACTCTGCGCCATTTTATTCTCGATATCAACATCAGTTGGTCGGAACTCGCGCTACGATCGGTCTGAGGTGAGCTATTCCATCCGTCTATTGATCAAGTACTCGCGTTCAAGCTATCATAACACATTCGGTCGACAATCTTTCAATACAAGTCTGCTCGCCTAGTATTGAATCATCTATGCCGAAGTCAATAAAGGCGCAGAAAGTTGTTGTTTACGTGATTGAGCAACGAGGTCGTGGGACGAAGGCATCTTAGACAGAGTCGTTGTCATTATCGTTGTGCTTAGATTGATCCCGCAAGTCGTCTGCATCACGGAGAACAATTGCGAAGCTCCAGACTCTGACGAGATCGATAGGCAGTGATTTGGCTGGGAAGTCTTACTCTTGTCCAATGGCTTTGAACTGCTTTGGTGCGTCCACAAACGTTCGCCGTACTCTGTAGACCATCTGCTAAATCAATGACGGCAAGAAAATCGCCTAACCCGGACCCAAAGCTCATCACCAGGTATTTTGTTTTCTCCAAGGTCTCGAGAAGGAGCCACAGAGCAGTTCTGGAGCATGTGATCGAGATCATCGGAAAGCGACTCATTGCCTCGAATACTTCTAGAAGCTGAACTGCACCCCGCAGCGGGGTGGCCAATAGGGGGACCGCAGATGTGAAGCAGACGGGCAGAATGCAAAGAACGAGAATGAGCCTCAGTGAACTTGGCCAATCGCTGCCCCCCCGGCTACTACCTGGGATTACTTTTGAACAGCACTCTGGAGACACAACACACGAGATTGATCGCTTCGGAGAGCAGCTCCGCGGTGATTATCTTTTCAGCGCATAACTATCGACGCATAGACAGTTCAAGTGTCTCCTGCCATAGCCTTGTTCCTTGGCCCAGCCAATTAGAGCGGACGGTACAAATGTCCCGTCATATACCTCAGCCTCGTAAATAAACACTTCCGGCTTCGTGCCCGTAGCACAATATAAGTACAATCAAGATTATATATAGCCATAATGCACTGAATACCCTGTTGCCCTGTTGCCCTATTGTTCTATTGCTCTGCCCAATCATGACCAATCTTCCTTGACCCTTGGCCTTCGTTCCTTTGTCGTCTTCTTGTCGTGCCTTGGTTCTGGCTTTGTGTAACAGGAACGTCAATTTCAAACAAGAGATCGGAGGTGCAGCAAGAGTGATTACCTCTGGGCATAGAAGCGACCTGCCACCTTCGTGATCCACTTCAAGACAAGCCCAGTAGCATCTGCACGGCAAAATATATCCCTATACCGGTTACAACAGTCTCGCGGAGGTGGTTTGTGTATCTACGAATCATAGCTCAAATGCAATAAATTAGGCACCAACGCCCCTCATTTCCAATTCGACGAAGCTCGAGCATCTGCGAAGGTAATCACATGGCTCGGCTGTCTAAAACTGCCCACTCGTATGTCTTTCAAATCAAGCGTGGTTTGTGCAGAGCGATTCGAGTATAAAGCAGGCGGCTTTCGCCTGATAACCGTCAGCCCAAAGTTTTCTTTTGAGCTATTCACCCCTCCCTTCTAGTCTTCTCTGCTATTGTTTTGTTGTCTATTTAACATTACTTCATAGCTCTGCGTTGTGCATTCCCAATATTAGTGCAAGGTCAGCAAATAGGATGCTTCAACTATGCCATGCAGCAAAGTATATATTGTAACCTACGTAAGTATCAACAGGCATATGTTGCTCCCGCCGTCCCCGATTTCAATGACAAGCCTCGCAGACCAATGCGATTTCTTTGCTGCGCCTTCTCGACGGGCCGGGCCCAGGCGATGTATCAATGTTGTATACGCTGTAAATACGGAGGTCTCCCGGAAATGCAATACTCGTGTGTCTCCAGTCTGTTGGAAGTAGACTATTTTGCTAATTCATCTCCTAGACAAATGTGCATTTCTGTACTGCACTGCTGACCCGGAGGTTGGTAAATGGTGCGGTGACCGTAAGTATCCGTACTCCGCTTATATGATAGTACTAATGAGATATCGGTAGACGCCTGTCTTGCCCATGGCTGTAGAGAACTTCGTGTGGCAGAGGACCTTGGGTATTGTCAATTCCGTAAGGAAGCGTCTCATAGAGGCTATTACCTCGATATGAACCCGCCAAAATAAGACTGACATTTCCATAGATGAATGCATTCAGGTGGGCTGTGGCAGCAGGAAACAAGCCGGCTCGGTATGGTGTGCAGCACATCCGTAATACCCAAGGCAACAAACGGTACGAACCCGGTATGACCTCACCAGCCTTCGTGCACGGCGTTATGTTTGGTGAGAAATGGCCAAAGGTGGAGGACGATGCCGACCCTCCCGAGTACCTCGAGAAGATTGTCCTCGTTTGAAAAGGTCAAATGCCGATCAAGGAGAATAGGTGACAATAGAAGGAGCGTATCAGGGAAGAGCGATCAAGGAGGTTGGCACAGGATGAAGGGAAGAAAGATCAACGCTCGCACCCAGGGATTAACATGCGAGGCTGTTCCGCTGTTTACAGCTGTCACGTACGCTTGCTAGAAATCAAGACAGAGGCTGCTGGAGTAGGGTCTATGCAGCTCTGTCGTGCTTGTGGCATTTTTGGCCATTGGCTCGATCGACGGAGGAGGTGTGGTCTCAACAAAAGGATATGATGAGTGTACTTGTAATGTAGATTGTCGACAATTGTGCCCGCTTAGGCGCTGCTTTTGAAAACAGTCGCGGCCTTATTGGATGAGCCATGGAGCTTGACCACCACCGCCACTAGTGCGTGAGTAACTCAGCCCCGCACTGCCAGCGAACACAGGGCGGCACCACCCACCTCCCGATTGGGGTTGAGCTGCGCGCGGACACGAAAGTCACACCTCAGCGCGGCGTAGGCGCTCGTTCATTACTCTTGGATATTGTGGCTGTCAGTTCTCTGCCGCAACATCGGTCACAAGATCAATAAGATGGTGCGCCCCTGACAATCTTTGCTACGAACACATGCTAACATCATACCTCAGGAGAGCCCGCACGAGCAGCAGCAGAGCCTGCTACTCTCCCGGATCATAACGAACATCGTATACCATTCCCTATCTTATTCCAAGGATCGAGATTGACGGCCATGACCAGGAGAAGTTGAACGAAGCAGTGATGATGATGAACAGGAATCTGCAGGTACGCGCCCTAGAGAACAGACATGGAGACTTGACGTTGAGAATGGATCATAGGATGTCAATGTTCAGAACATGAATGTCGAATTGGTTGCGCAAATGTTCAAGAATTATCAGTCAAATGTTCTATTCCATCTTGAAGGTTAGAGAAATCGAGGCAAGATGAAGATTTGGTTGAAGTGACACTCTTCTAGCAACGGACAACCTGAAGGATCCATTATGAAAACACCGATCGTTGAATATGACATCTCAAAAAGTGATATGGGGTCGACAACATCACAACCCGATGTGTCGCAAGTGCCTACTCGGCGTGATTACAGAGAAGATACATTGGAAAGTCCGAACAGTGTTATTAAAAAGACGCCCAATGGAATACCCCGCCATTCCTGCCGGAACGCAGCTAGAGTGCCTCGATGCTAAGATGGAGAACCGGCTTCCTTCGAGGATCGATGCAAGTCGACGATGGCACTAGCAGATGCGGGACGAGCACCAAGCACGATGACTTGTTTGGCGGACTCAGCTCCTTGCGGCTGGCAACAGATCGATTGCAATTGATCACTTATGGCCAGAAAGCGCGTCAGACTCCGAGCATCTGTATTAGGGTCTGCGTATTTGAAGTTTTCTATGCCACCAGAAGCCGTCCTTTCGCAATCCGTAAAAGATGATTCATATGGAATAGTCGCATCTAGTCATTTAGCACCTCAAGTGTTAGTTTGCTGCATCAAATGTCCCTCCGCCAAACGCGGGCTCTGTAGCATTTCTCCGCAGCGTGACGCGCTCTCCAACATAAATTTAATCCTTGTTCAGCCGTCCTCCCTTGACCGCGCACACGGTCAGTTTTCAGAAACTGACAACAAATTGCCATCAAGCGGACATTGCGAAGGAACCAGGTACCAAATTCGGACCTCACTCAAACAAGGATGCAGTATTGGGATCTCTAGGATGAACACGACAAAATGACAATCACATCGATTAACCGGCTCGTAACAGAGCGTCGCTTTCCTACACCTCCCCCAGACAGCCAGCCGCAGTCGAATCCACGAGTCTATCCCGCTCCAGACTTTCCTTTTAGAGGATGGCAGCCTCCGAAAGAAGATGGTTATCGACAAAGCGCAGCCACTCCATCTGAGAGCGCAATAGTCATTGACAATGGTAAGGCAAAGACACCTAATCCCGAGTGCTGCGGGAATGGTCAGCTAAGATGAATTGTTACAGGAGCTAGCACCATCAAGGCCGGATTCTCTTTTGACAAGAGCCCTCGGTTCCTCGTACCCCCGATCATGGCGAAATTCAAAGATCGAAAGTTCAACAAGTACTGCGCCTTTGTCGGCTACGATGCTTACGCCGATGCCACGACTCGTGGCCAAATAAGGACGGCTTTCGAGCAAAATACCAGCATTCCGACGAATTGGGATATCTTAGAAGGGGTATACGACTACATTTTTCTCAAATTGGGGGTGGACGGAGAAGGTACTGTGGGTAGACCGCTGGTCATCACGGAGCCTGTCGCAAACCTGGGCCACAGCAGAAGAATGATGAACGAAATGCTGTTTGAATGCTACAATGCGCCGAGTGTCACGTACGGAATCGACAGTCTGTTCTCCTACCGCCAAAACAAGGGCGAATCTGGGCTCGTCGTGTCTTCATCTCATACATCGACCCACATCATTCCAGTGTTGAATCGGAAGCCCCAGATGCAAATGTGCACGAGGTTGAATTGGGGAGGCTCCCAGGCTCAAGAGTACCTGTTGAAGCTCATCCGCCTGAAGTATCCGACCTTTCCTGGGAAGCTGAGCTTGGAGCAGATGGAGTCATACATCAAGCAATATTGTTATCTCTCCACTGATTTCCCGACCGAGCTGTCCACCTATCTAGATTGGACTGGTCTGGAAGAGAAGCGAGATATTATAATCCAGTACCCCTTCACAGAACAGGTTGTGGTCGAGAAATCGGCCGAAGAGCTCGCCAGAATAGCGGAGCGCAAAAAGGAATCCGGTCGACGGCTCCAGGAGCAAGCCGCGAAGATGCGGCTGGAGAAGCTCATTAAAAAAGAGCAAGAATTGGAATACTATCAGAAACTGCACAACTCTTACGTGAACGCACCGACCAAAAAGGAACAGCGCCGAATCTTGGATGACCAAGAGCTCAAAGACGAAGCTGCATTGGAGAGGATCATTCGTGACCTGGATAAATCAATCAAGAAATCCAGAAACAAGGAGCTGGGAGCTCCCGAAGAAGAAGAAAACTTGGAAGAGCAGCTAAATAGATTCCCTCTTCTCGATGTCCCGGATGATCAGCTGGATGAGGACGGCATCAAGGAGAAGCGGCATCAGAGACTTATGAGATCGGGCGTCGAAGCAAGAATAAGGGCCAAAGCGGAAAAAGAGCGCGAGAGAGCGCGTGTGGCAGAAGAGGAAAGAAAAGACCGCGAAATGCGTGAAAATCACTTTAATGAATGGCTTGCGGCTCGTCGACAACAACGCCATGCACTGCTGGCGAAAATCAAAGAGCAGGCAAGGCAAAAGGCAGATTCCAGCAATCGCAAAGGCATTGCTTCGCAAATGCGTATGAAGACGTTGGCGAATCTCGCTTCAGATGGACCGAAACGGAAGCGCAGAGGCGGAGGCGATTATGATGATGACTTTGGAGCCAACGACGACGACTGGGGCGTTTACCGCACCGTGGCTACTGAACCCGCCAGCGACGACGAGGAGCCTGAGGAAGACCCGCTCACCGCATTGAAGGCCCTCGAGAGCGAACTTCTGCAATTTGATCCAGAATTCTCGGAAAAGGACACAATTGAAGCACAGAACGACTGGACCAAGAGCGTTCTGCATGCCTTCTTGCGAGGAGCGAGGCCAGCGGATCCGGAAAGCCAGCGAGAGGCGAACCAGATCCATCTCAACGTCGAGCGCATCCGAGTTCCTGAAGTGGTATTCCAGCCCGCGATTGCTGGCCTGGATCAGGCCGGTCTAATTGAAATTATTGAGGGCATCGTCATGAGTCGTTTCTCAAACTTTGACCAACAACAAGCGCTCTTGAAAGATGTCTTTCTGACCGGCGGAAACACCATGTTTCCCACGTTCGAGGAACGACTCAGGCAAGAACTGATTGCAGCATTGCCGTGTGATTTTACAATCAACGTCCGCAAGGCAAATGACCCGATCCTTGATGCCTGGAAAGGAGCAGCTTCCTGGTGGAGTACCTCGGATGGGATCGAGCGTGAGTCGGCCACCGTTACGCATGCGGAGTACATGGAGAAGGGAAGTGATTACATCAAGGTAACCCAAGCCTTTGGCCTGCCCAATTTTGGCTTCAACTGCTTACACGGTGCAGGAGCATGACTTGGGCAATTTCGTGGCCCCCTCTTTCACGTTCGGAGGTTGAAAATCGTCTGTCCGGCGCTCGTTGCTGTTGCAGAGCAGCTCTCGCGTGATGTCGATCCTCGATCCTCGAGCATTCCTCCTGAAATCAAAATTTTGAGATGAGAATAGCCAACCCCGCCTCCTAACGGCCACAAAAGAGTATACTCGCTTCACACGCGCAGTGGTGCAACCAGATCTCGCCTCTGCGGTTGAGGTGTTCTTTCGGACCCCCGACATGAATGACTGGGAATAACAGGGGGCAACAATTGCCTCGCCGCGCTTGATATGCAAAATTAGCCAACAACTACCATGTTTCTCTGCCAGCAAGCTGTGGGACAAGAATCGAGAAGGCTCAGAGCTCATTCAGCCTCGTCACGATGTGCCTGGCTGTCTCCTCATCCTAGGTTTTGGTTGCAATGTGGCGAAGCCCGGAGCTGATCCTTGTTGCACAACATGAGGATTCTGGCCATGACAGAACAATGTCGGAAACATCAACCGGTCCACTATGTGACTATTTTGCGGAGTACATCTTCCTCTTCGACGGACTGTTACATGGCCGCGGTCGATGTTAGTCATTAGCTCGGCATGCATTCTGTTTATCGACATGATCGTCGCTCAGCATCAGGTCTTCCTGATCGTCGCGAATCTGCCGATCCCAGAAACGTCATGAAACAACGCTGGCAGGGGCGACAGCTGGCAGGGGATGGTCCTTACGACGCTAACGGTGCGGTAACGTGACACGCCACTCCCTCGATGAATTGCCTTATAACCGAGCCACTCAGTTGCCTCTACGAGGTATTCCATTTTGGGGAATTTGTGCATGGCTTACTAAGATCTTACATGAATAATATGGCAAGCTTGTTATTCCGTTGCACAAGTCTGAGGCAAGGCTTCGGAAGCCGGATCGACAGAACCAACTTCCAGGCATGTCCTGTTTGAAGAGACACGCTATTCTTATCGCCGAACTGCACAAGGCCTTGTGAGCCCGAGGCTGCAGGCCCCATTCGGAAATCTGTAGTCCTGAACTTTGCAAGGTTGTCGGCACAGCAATACGCAGATAGTTGAGGCCCTTGCAAAGCTTGTGCAAGATCGCTCCCCTTTGCAAGACATACTCGTACCCATCATCTCGTAGTCATGGTTTACGTCAAACCTGTCCTACTCGTATGCTCCTATGCCAAGAATGAGCTTTCCTCTGCGGAGTTTTCCCAACCTCGTCCTCCACAGGCGCAATTGCCACGAATTCTTGAGTTCCGTCTCGCCGGATAGACGTGCTATGTAAGCAGTTTTCAGGAAAGAGAAGGAGCAATTTCCTCAGGACTCCATCAGCTCCTCGTACCCAGCCGATTTCCGCAACCGAACGAAAGAGAGCTGCCACCTCAAGCCTTTCAGGTCTGCAAGGTCCGCTATGCTGAACCAACTTGACCAATCGGCGCCCGCATGAAAAACGGATACCGATCGTGCGCGCCTTGCAACCATTTCCGGCGAGCGCTGCTCTGCTGACAGCATCCTGTTTCCGGCCTGGTCGCCTGGGCCGCAAACCCGAAACAGGAGGTGGAGATGTGGTGTGAATGGACAATGGTGACGCCGAGGCAGCTGGGGAGGTACCTTCCAACAGTTCCAAGCTGACTCAATCCTTCCGTAAGCGGGCTGTGTGCTTTGGATCTTTTGGGCGTGAGGTCGCCGGCCAGCCAATGGGGATATGCAGCTCTCGTCATCTTGATCCACACTGGTCCCCGAAAGCCCGAGTGCCCACCCCAGGATCAGCAATTTTCGCTCTACCAAGGGGAGAATCCGCAAGGCCGCCAAGAAACAAGGGGAGGAAGAATGAGCCATGGGCCAGCGGTACGCGATGAGGCTTCCAGGCGTTCCTTGGCCATGTGGCAATTGATCTCAACAGCCGAAATCGAAAGCATGTCGCAAGGCTGCGACGTCAGTATGAGGCTCGTAACGACACACGTGGCCGTACGGTACTGTCATGACGGCCTCGTGTCACAGGTGTCATTACATACGATACCAGTACCATTACCTCCACGTCACTTGGCACTCGTGACTGGCTTCGTTCTTTACGTCCTCCCTCCCTCACCCTCTCGTCACCATCTCTTCCATTGATCACATTATCCTCCGAACGTGATATGGATGTACCTCCTCACCACCCTTACCCTCTTGACGGCACTAACTCCCAACAATTCCCCAGTACCAGCCCTACCTCGGTCCTGGCTCCCCCGATCTCGCTGGACGTTCACCCTCTGCGAGCAGAGTCGTCATCATCTTGTCATGCTTACCTGGGTTTCCCATTGTGGTCAATCCTCCAACGCACGGTGCAGGCCAGCCTACCCCAGCTGCTCTCCTTGAAAAGCTGGAACGCAGTACTACTGCACGACGTCGCTGCAGGCGCAGCTCCTTCCGGAGGCCCCATCTAGCTCCCGTGGTCGATCGTCCCGGAGTTTCACTCTCCCGCTGCTCTAAAAATGCTTTCAAGATGTTCTGTGGAGCCATACACCTTCTGACGGGAAACCCGCCCATCGACGTTCTTGGGTAATGGTACCTGCGACTTCCCCTCCGCATGGCATGCAAATCTAGTAACAATGCTGGCTGGCCAGTGCCAATCGGGTATACCCTCCGCTGCGCACCGCCCACCAAGATACTTGGTGACATGGTTTGGGTGCGAATGATTGTTCGAGTGCCCACGAGTGTAATCGTTTCGAAGTGAAGCCGGTTCGGAAATCAAGAGACCCACGCCCTCCTTCCGGTTCAGCGCGACACTGTTATGTCCGCAGGGCGCAAAACGCGCACCACGATAGCCGTGCACCATGCTAACGCAACTGGATGTTACAGTTTCGCAAGTGATTCCGGACATCCAGGAATCGTGCTGAAAGAAGAACACTTTCCTGAATGCCCTGGGCACACCTCCCGGCCGAAAAACGGTGGCAAGTCATTTCCTACCTATGAATTCCTCCTTAGGGTCTTATCCCGGATTTAGCAGGTCGCAACATTCGACGAAGATACCACAATCGCAGAATCCGCTGCTAATCGCTCGATCCCCAAGACTCTGTCCAGAAGCTGCACCTAGTTCTCTGTCAAGGATCACCCTTGCCAACCGCGACCATGACGTTTTCCTGGTCCAAACTTCGTGGGGCAAGCTCAAGAGGTAGGGCTACCATGCATACCTAGTTCACTTAACACGATATCGAGCAGTTTACAGACCTACAGCTGGGGTTAGCATGCGTGAGTGAACGAGCTAGGGATGCTATGGCCACCATTCGCCGCTACCGGCATCCGCAAGAATAGGCAGAGAGTTTAGAGCGGCAGAAACAATTTGGCAGCCGCCAATCATATTTGCACTGCTGAATTGCTCTATGCAAGCTCGCACAGTCATCAGAGCCCATTTCTAGGCGTCGCCGGCGGGGGTACGTCGCGATTCCGGACCCTGCATTGAAAAGATCCTGAGGTGTGTGATCCACGCATCCAAGGAAACCTAACCACGACGGCCACTACACGGCTATGATGCCTCAAACGCGGAACGCAGTGGTCGCACTGTGAAGGTAGTGGAACGACTGTCAAGTTTCCACCTGCCCACTAGTCTACGCAGCCTTGAGTCAGAAACTGCTGCACAGGATCGGCGTCTTCGAACACTTGCTGGTCACGTAATTGCTGCTCTTCGAGCTCTGTCTAATCAAGGATCGAAGCTCAGTGAGAATGAGTAGGCGCAGCTTAACTACTTGGAGATAGTGGAGCAGACGTTTTCTCACCTCTATACCTGCTCTGAAGCACGAGAGGGGCGCGTGCTATCAGCCCAGGAACATTTGACACCTGCATGACGAGTCTTGTTCTCGGTCAAGGTCCCGGATAGACGGCGCGAGGTCTTGGAAGCGGAAGCTTGGGTGCTGGTGGCTCCCAGTGCTTGCATCAAGCTTCAGAAAAGGACTAGGACACCATCCCCAAATGAAATACAATCGCGGCCGCTGTTTTCCTATTCGAGGAGGGACTGCCTTTCAGTATCACCTGTTGCTCCCGGCTGCATGAGTGCCTGGAGTTGTCTTTCCCTCAGCGTTCCAACTACACTCGGTCAACACCAGCGAGATTGTGTTGGTAAGATACAGCGAAGTGCCAGGTTGGTGGTCGAAGGTCTATCTGCGACAGGCTGGACTGCTTAGGTGAAGACATCGCGATCTCTCATCAAGCTGCAGAGCGACTTGCTGCCTTATCTGGAAGGTACACTTGACGATTTCGGTACCCCCGATCAGTCAGCTATCCAGCGTCAGGATTCTCTGGTTTCAATTCCTCGATCGCCTGACGCCATGTGGCAGCAAACATCCATGCAACTAATTTATCATGGCTTGTTGTTCCCAGACGCATCCGCGTCAAACAACGCGGAGTACCGACTCGAACACACGAGGGGAAACCATTATCCAAACTCTCGAGCTGCTGACTTAGTTTGCATCTCATGTGGAAGGAATATGAGTTTCCATTTCCTCGACGTCCCCCATGGCATAGATTGAGATCAAGCAGAGCGAACATCCAACGGTTTCTTTTATGATCCCGGAATCATGCGTCTTCCTTCGGCCACAGCAGGTGCCCAGATAACTCGGCAAATCACATCAACAAAATTTGTGCGAGCGGTATTACCTATGCATCAAAAATTACAAGGGCGATGCTTCGGCGTGAAGTTGATACAAAACCATTGTCAAGCTTGCACTGTTCGTCGCCATTGAACTTGTCGGACCTTTCATCTGGGCGAAGGTTCCAGCTGGCGTACACTTTAAAAGGGTAAGGGTGTGTCTTGAGGAAATCATTCTTTCAGAGTTCCAAAAGCAGCTCGATCATAGCACCTCCAAAGAATCTAATGCTCAGGGAGGCGGCGACACAAGATGACATAGATCCCACCTCAGGCAGGAACCGGATGAAGCCTGACGCGACTGTACATGCACTGCCACCCTTCTCATCAACCTTGTCTCGTATGTCACTGGTGTCTGACACCAGAAAGGATTGTAACTCGCCTGCGAGGCTGAGCAGTCGATCCTCTTGACCTCGGAGTCGGACCCCGACAAATTTCCTCTCCGGCGTGCATGCCACACTTGCGCAACGCTTCTTCAAGGCATATCTTCGGTTGTTTGTCATACACGTGTGGACAATCCTTTTGTTGTTGAACGCAGGAACCCAAGGCCCATTATTGTCGCACGGTGACCGAAGAAGTGCCAGAAACCCCGGAATGGGACACGGCCGACGGAAACCATAAACCTCCCAGCTGCCATGTATCTGATGGTGTCTCGAGCGATTGTTCAGCTGATCCGTGTTCCTTTGCATTCCCTTTTGAGGGATCCTGTGGCTGCCAGGAATGGATTTCTGAATGAAGGGGTCGAGGATTACTCAGGCCTCTAACGAGGCTACCGTCACCAAGACGGTGTATCATCATACCACCGGAGACGTTAGCTTCGAAACAGGAGCCTTCCCTCACTTTGTGACCTTCCGTCACACCACCACTTCGTCGCGAAGCGAATACAAGAAATGTCGAACGATAGCTGGTATTGCAACCACCCGATTGCAATCCTACAGACGCGGGTGTCACCTCAAGGTTCTAGAACCACGATGCGGCCGCCTTGTGCCAAGACCGTGCTTTGATAATGAATCAGTCATTCGCTTCGGGATTTGGAATCGGAAGGCTGCGGATGATCCGGGGCTGGTAAGGGACGCCTTTCTTCTGCAGCGTCTCGCTCCTCGCAGCAATCCATCAGCGACGCAACCAACCACAGTCGACTGGGGAAATTCCAAATGCGGATAGTAGCGCTTCCGAATGCGCAAGTGCTGATCAATTGAGGCAAAGGCCCATTGTCTGAAGGCGGCACTGTTTTCAATCACAGAAGCAAAGCAAAAAGTCGAGATCTGTCAAACAGGTACTGTTGTCCAAGGACCCTCTCTTTCAGAAATACGGCTGGGACCAGGTCTCGGATTATCTGACGCTCAGGGTCCCCAGTCGATTTCAAATCGAACGAGACTTTCTCACCCGCTTACGAGTTGTATCGCGATAGGGCCACCTTTTGCTATTTCTGAGCCCTCCACAGTGCGTACCGGGGAGAGCCGTGCCTTTGGACACAGTGAGGGTCCTCGTGTTCGCTTTTGTTCCAGACCATGCTGGGGCAGGCACTTGGGAGAAGGTCCAGACTCTGTCGAAGAGCGA